CGCCCACTCCTTTTAGGCGGTATTTAAAGCCCTGTCCCAATATAATAATATCCTGTGGCCTCAAGCCAATTATGCCTCGTGGGTTATTATAAAAAGACAAAATGCGTTTTCCGAATAAACGTTAATAACCTAACCTTTACCGTACGGCCTTTAAGGCATATAACCTCTTATCGGGCTGGAATTTTAGAGCTCTAGCTTATCCTCGCTATTCAGGCGGCGTTTTTTAGCCGTGCCGGACTTACCCTCTCGCTTGGCGAGGATATTTATTACGCTATTAATAGCTATTATATCTCGCGTTGGCGGAGGGCCGAGCTGGCTGTTATTATTATTTATTATTCTAAGATTTATAATTAGGCTCGGGCTGGAGATCTTTATGCCGCTTTTACAATTACTAACGCGCGCGAAAATGGATAAAAATTTATTTTTCGGCGATTGGGGGTTATTTTTAATAGATTTTAGGGACGATATCAGGTGCCGTAAAAACGGGCTCGTCGAATTTCTAAGTTTTTATTCGACGTTTTTAGCAAAAAAATCGAGGGCTTTATAAGGTTTACGGGATAAACGTTATTTTCGCTATTTTTTAATTCGGCTATTATTTTTTACGTTATCGGCCGAAGCGTTTTAGCTAATAATAATAGCCTATTTTAATTATATAATAACGTTTAATATTTTTTACGCTTAATATTAAAAGCTTAAATAAAAAACGACGGGGCGGCGAAATATTTATATTTAAATAAGCCTTAATATAACCTTCGATAATTACGTTTTTAAAGCCGCCGGAAAGCTAATAGCGCTTATAAAGCGGAAAATCGAAAATATTTATTAATTTTTTAAAAATCGCTTTATTTTTTTTATAATTTAGCCTATAAGCAATTATATTAAATATAGCCTTATAATCGGTGATTTTTAGCGTTAATATGATGTTTATTAGCATTTTTAATAAAAATAGCATTTATTTAAAATCCTTCGCGTTAATCTGCGAGTAAAGGCCTAAGGTTAAAGGTGGAGGGCTTAAAATGTGCAGCTGGAATTCTTGGTTCGCGGCTATTATAAAGGATTGTGTGCTTGGGGGCGATAAGGTGTGGTGGAGAAGGGTTTTCTTTAGCTTGGCTGTTGTAGATCTTAATTGCGCGAGGGAGGCGTGGGAGTTTATAGTTATTGATTTTGTTAAAGCGGACGGCACGAATAAAAGCAACCTTTAAGCTAGGCACCAGATTCCCGCCTTGACATTGAGCTACCCTAGGAAGATAATATAATAAGGGCATTATACAGCGGGCTTAAACAATTCCGCTTATTAATAAAATATTTTAATTATTTAAAGCTGCCTTTAATTAAATTTTTTTGCGGTGTTATAATTATTAATATTAATTTTTAATTTTGCCTTTTATAGCGCCCTATTAAAGCTTTATAAAACTATACGCGAATATTTTATTAATAATATTTTTAATAGTTTTAAGGTAGTCGGCCTTTATAATTAGGCGTTTATTTTTATTATTAACGTCGTCTTTTTATTTATTAAGCTTTTTTTCGAATTTAGTTATAAACGTAATAAAGACCGGATTACGCGGGCTTTTTCGAGTTGGACGTTTTTTCGGCCGGAATCGGGAAATAGCCTTTATATATTTATCGAGAGCTTTAAAGACCTTAGCGCGATAATTATTAATGCCGCTTTTGCTGTTATAGCTAAAAATAAATGCTTTTATAAAGGCCGTCGTAATAAAATAGTTTTTTTTACGACGGCCGCGGCGATAAGGCTTTTTATTATTTTCGTTTAATTATACCGATTCGGCGTCGAGCTCGGCGTTTCGGAAATATTCGAAAATGCGTTATATAATGCCGCTTTTAAATTTTTTAGCTTTTAAATATTGCGGTTTAGGAATTCTGTTTTTATCGGTAAAATTTAATATATTTTATTAATTCCTTTTATAAAGAATAATTATATCGCTTAGGATTTTAATTTAGGTCGGGGTTATAAGCTTTGCCTATTATATAAAAATATATATGATTAGCTCGGTTTTATAAAGGTTATTGCCTATTTTTTATATTACGATACCGTGTATTTTTGCGATTTTTTCGATTTGCTTAATTGGCTTAATAAAAATATTAAGGAAATGCTCGGGGATAATAATTTTTTCGTTTTATTATAAGGGGCTAAAGCGGATTATTATAGTTTAATATACGGAGTGCTGCGGTTTAATTGCTAAAAAGCAGAGTATTAGTAATTTAGTAATAATTAATAATTATAAAATAAACGCTAAATTTTAATTATATTATATAAAGGACTCTCGGGGGCTTTAAGGGATTTTTTCGTTTTTTTTATGGTAGCCTTTGTTGTTATTATATAAATAAACTATATTAGAATTATAATATATTAGCTATTATAATTTTATATTAAAGCTCGGGCAATTTTATAAATAAATAATATAATATAATTAGTATTATGCCGTATAAGCATATAAAAACGTTATAAGAGATAACGTATGGTTTTATTAATCGGATAGCTTTATTTCCGGTGTAGGGTTGGCTAGACCTTATATTTAATTATAGTTTTACGGCGATTAGCAAAGGTGGCTAATCCTCGCTATTCGCCTTAGAATTGCAACGGCTTCTTATTCCTATTATTACAAAATATATTATAATTATAATTTTATTATTTTCTTATTTTCGTGGCTTTTATTTGCTTTTATTTTTTTTAGATTAAATTAAAATGTTTAGCGTAGTCGGAATTGGTATTAATGGGCTAGCTCTAAGCGGTACTAGCGATGCGGTTACCCGTTGTTTTGTTGGTAATAGGTCGCGAAACGCAAGCTGCTGCGAGGTTTGCTTCTGTTTTTGCCCTCTTTATTTCCGTGCTTAACTGTGAATTAGTATCTTTATAAATAGCTTAAATTAGTATCTTTAGAAATAGCTTAAATTAGTATTTTTGGAGATAGCTTATAAATAAGGGCCATAAATACTGCATATATCTACGGTCTTTGGCACCTAATATTTTATAGCTTTAATAAAAGCCAATAAAAAGTCAGGGTAAGCTGCATAATAATTTTATATAAAATCCGCTTTTGTCGGTTTCGCGTAATAGGTTTTGGACATTTAATGCTGCCAATACTATTTTAATAGCGAGGCAATAAAAGTCGCCTATTTCCGATAAGCTCCTCTTATACCGACGAACTTTACGATCTTTAGGTTAATTAGGCCCGAAAGCATAAAGTTTATAGCGAGAATAATAACTTTTTTATTTAATTGCCAAGGTGTAATAATAAATTTATTAGTCGATAAACGCTTTAGCTTAAATAGCGGCGTTTTTTAGGCTAAGGTTGCGATATTATTTTAAAGGTGTAATATAGAATCGTTATAAACGATCCATTAGCGTATAAAAAAGCGCGATAGCGATAAAAAATCGGATTTTTTACGCGTCGCTATATTTTTAAGCTCCTAGGCTTTAATTTTAAATAATCCTTTAGCTAGTTTCTTTTTCGCGTTTTTTTCCGTTATTTTTATTTTTTACCTTTTTTACGATTAATATTTACGCAAAAAGACTAATTTTTAATAGCTTTATTTTTTTTAATCCCTGCTTTTATTATTTTATAGCCAGGTTTAGTTAATTTTTATCGTTCGCTTTTGCCTAGTTTTACCGGTCCGTTATATTTTTCCCGGTTATAAAAATTATTATTTTTCCTTTTATTATTTTTTTTTTAAAAGGCCGCTTTTTAAACGGCTAATAGGGTAATTATTTTAAAACGCTATCCGCTGCTAATAAGCTAAAAAGGCTAAATATATTTAGGGATAATAATAGGTTTTTTTTTAAAATTTAAATTATCGTTATACGCGGTTTTTACGAAATATTTTTCGAAAAAGAAAACTTAAGGCGCTTGCGCCCGGTAGCCTTTATGCTTACGGAATCGGATATAACTATTATAATTGCTTATTTTAATTAGCTCGGTAATTTAAATAAAGCGTCGTTTAGGAATAAAAATAAAATAATAACGGAGATTTTTACGATCGCTAAAAGCCTTAATAACCTTAATCGCTTTCCGTTTATTAGGAATAATAAGGGCGAGCTTATTTTTATGCTTTTTCCTAATAATATTAAAATATATTATAATCTTAATAGGCTCTTTTTTGCTAACGGTAAATAATAGTTAAATTATTAGCCCGATAATATAAGCGTGGATATATTAGAGCAACGCCTACGGCCTTTTAGATTCGATCTCGCCGGCTTTACGCAACCCATAACCTCGGGCTTCGCACTTACCACGGCTATAACCTCGGGCTTCGCATTTATTACGGCCCAGAACTCCCAGTCCCACAAAAAGGAGGGTCAGGTTATTAAGCGCACTATCGAGTTCGCCGTCCTCGTTAAGACCCTTTTGCCGGATTAATTCCCTAAGGAGGATTCGCGTTTAAAAGCTTTTAAACCGGAAATCGAAATTAGGCTAACGGCCGTTAATAATTAGCAGTATAAGCTTTATAAAAATATCGAATACCTTTTTAATATTATAAAGCAGGCTATTAAATCGTTTAATTAGGTTATTAACTCGTTTTAAAAGCTTAAATTAAATTAGGCTAAGCTTACTAAATTCCTAAATTAGGAGGTATTCGATAATAAATATTAATTTAATAGTGGTAATTTGGATAATATTATATTTAATTTAATAATAACGTAAAAACCAAAATGGCTATAAAAAAGATTTAGCTATGGGTGGATCTAATATATTTATGCTTATAGGTGGCTAAGCGTTTATAAAACCTTAAAAATATACTAGCGCTTTATTTAGCACCCAAAATTGGAGTGCGACGCTAGTAGCATACTAAATTAAGAATAATTAGTATATTATTTCACCTCGGGTATATTTTTATTATTAATTTATAGGTTTATTATGCATCCAACTACCTGTGATGTCTATATAAGCCCCCAAGATAATCCCTTATTTCTGCATATTTCTTCCTATAAGACAGTATCTTGGGGGCTATTTCTTGCCATTTACAGCTGTCTCAACCCGCTATTCGTTGAACTGATTATGTTCAGGGGCTGGCGGCAGTTGTTTTTGCTGCTGCTGCTGTTGTTGTTGTTGTTGTTGTTGTTGCTGTTGCTGTTGCTGCTCCTTCTGCTGTAGCTCCGTCTGTCCGCCATAATGTGGTTGCGGCGTCGGCTGGTAGCCCTGCTGCTGCGGGTGCGGCGGCGCCACGACCTGGGCGACACCGCTGCTCTGGGGCACGTGGGCGACGCGACGGCCACAGTGCGAGCAATGATGATCGTGATCCGGGAACCAGTGCAGACAGCACGGGAGACACGCCAGGCAGATGCAAATGACTCCCAGTCCAATGCCCGCCAAAATGGTCATGCTCGAGTCCGACTCGTCGACCCGCGTCAGGCCCCGGCGGCCGCAGTAGGGACAGTCAATGGCCGCGGGAGCCGGGCCCAAGAGGTGCAGAGGCGTCGTCTCGCTGTAAGCGGTCGCGTGGGCATTGTGGAAGTAGTTGGGCTGGCCGCCACCAGCCGCCGGCTGCGGCTGGGGAGCTGGAGATGAGTAGTAGGATGTGGGCTTTTGTCCTGCGTGGTCCTCGGCTGTTACATGGGCCGGTTGTGGTGTGGTGATGGGTGTCGAGGCCGACTCGGCGTGGTATTGCGGAGCGGCCGCTTGAGTTTCTGGTGCCTGGCCCATTTTCGTGTTTTTTTTTCTAGTATGGATATTCGAGCTCAACTTGGTCAGACTTTGGTTGTAATAGCTACAATGGGGTTGGTGCTGTCCTTTGCTACGGAGCGAGCGCGTGTATATGATCAAGCGTTTTGAGCAACGGAAGCTCGCGATTGACAAGGACAGCAGGAAGCTAAGTCAACTGTGGTCTTAGGGATTATCAAGCAGTTCGGAAGAAAAAGAAAAAGGGAAAAAAATTGGCTGGCTTCCTCTCTATCTACCTATTATATGACGTACAATTAATTCACTTACTGTGCCGTCTCGCCAAGCATGCATGACACGGGCACCAACATTCCTGCCTCTAAATTTGCCCTTCCTTCCTCTGTAACACCAAAACACAAAGAAGGATCTCAGACCCAGCAGTTGGCGCAGCTTAAATGGGTCATGAACCACATTATCCCTTCCTAGGGGATTTCTACTCTGGGCTCAGTGCATCCACCTCGACTGATGCGATCTGATTGGCCCATGTCAGCAGAGCATTGCCGTCTTCGGCAACCCTTATAGTTAAAATCGGTCGTTGGCCCAAACCAAGCCTTAAGGGTGGGCCATTGTACGGGGCTATGCTATTGCCGCTAACCTGCATTCAAGGTTTACTGGTCGTCCAAGGAAACAAGAATGTCCTGGCCACCATGTCATCAGTGGGTGACTTAGGTAAGCAGGCATATTGAAGGATGAGGATCCTCGTATCGACATGAATGCCTGCATTGTGTGTGGCACGGTTGAGGCTGAGATGACAATTCCGGCCCCCGGCTCTTGGCACGTTGCTGCCTTGTGTTGACACAAGCCGTCCTCTTCCCTCGAACGGAAACGTAGCACTGCTTGTTGGCAATACCATTCATGCATAATTTCATAATGCACAGTCAATCCAAATGTTCCACTATACTGCTCTGATATAGATGCTTATTTACACCTCTGCTGGAAACCTACATGATACATCTTTGCCTAATTGTTTTTATGTCTTTCTGTAGAGTTTATCATCCCTCTGCTAAAGAGACCCAGATCGAGGGGCTGAGAAGATAACCCAGACGCGCGCAGCAGAAGTGTAATGGCGACTTGGAATTATAGGCCGTGGGACGGCTCAACATTCTTTGGATTGAAGGATAAATCAAACAGTTGCAGCAACACAAATGCAGTAGCCTCGAGCAGCTGATTCAGCTATCATAGGCCAAGATGGGTATATCGTTTGTCGGAGCTTAAGGTACCGGGCGGCAATCGAGCTCCAATGCGGCTGTAAATGAAACCGTTACCCCGATCATCGGGTGTCAATACCCCTCAATCCACCCAACGCAGATGTCACATTACAGTATAATCAATCTTGATTACCACAGTATCTTTTGTGTTTTCCCATACCCCGCGGCTCCAGCCATCAAGGGTAATGGAGGGGCGATTATTCCAATTTCCTCTTCTCTAATAGATTGCCCCCCGCCTATGCCTCAGCTAGACACTATATTCACCAACACCAAATCCTCTGCTTCGTTACTCACCAACGGGTCGCGATACACTGACACATAATCACAATGGCGACTGAAATCCCCGCCTCGTTGAAGGAGTCTGTTGACAATTCCAAATGCGAATATCGTAGATTGGGTAAGAGTGGCCTGAGAATCTCGGTTCCTATTCTTGGCTGCATGAGCTTTGGTGACCCTAAATCCTTGTCATGGGCGCTTCCTGAGGAACAAGTACGTGGAAAGACTGATGTGCTCAACTTGATCAATGAGCATTGGCGCTAACATGAAAAACTACCATAGGCCCTTCCACTACTAAAGGCCGCCTATGATCGCGGCCTCAATACGTGGGACACGGCCAACATGTACTCCAACGGAGTCAGCGAGGAGATTGTGGGCAAGGCGCTGCGGGAGTACCAGATACCGCGCGAAAAGGTCATTATCATGACCAAGTGCTACTGGGGCGTAGGTGAGCAGCCCGAGGTCCGGCACTATGTCCACCGCGCCGAGTACGAGGCGTCCAAGGACTATGTCAACCAGTTCCACCTGTCGCGCGCCGCCATTTTCAACCAGGTCAACGCTTCGCTGCGTCGTCTTGGCACCGACTATATCGACCTGCTCCAGATCCACCGCTTCGACTATGACACACCGCTCGAGGAGACCATGAAGGCCCTCCACGATCTCGTCGAGTCCGGCAAGGTTCGTTACATTGGCGCGTCATCCATGTGGGCCGTCAACTTTGCCCGGCTGCAGTTTACGGCCGAGAAGAATGGATGTGAGTATCTGTTGAGTTGTGGAAGATTTCTAGTTCCATTCCTGCGTTGTACTGACCAAGACACTTTCCTCAGGGACAAAATTCATCTCCATGCAGAACCACTACAACCTCTTGTACCGGGAAGAGGAGCGCGAAATGAACCGCTTCTGCGACGATACGGGCGTGGGACTCATTCCCTGGGCGCCACTCTGTCGCGGCCACCTGGCCCGGCCGCCGAGCGACTTTGGCAGCACGGACCGGAGCCGACTGGAAAAGGACGCGGCGCCGGGCTCGCACGGCACCGTCGAGCCCGACTTGACCATTATCGGCCGCGTGCAGGAGCTTGCCGAGAAACGCGGCTGGCAGATGAGCCACGTCGCCCTAGCCTGGATCAACAAGCGCGTGGCCAGTCCCATTATTGGCTTTTCCAGCATTGCCCGCATCGAAGAGGCTCTTGCGGCCCGAGGCAAGGTGCTGACCGAGGAAGAGGAAAAGTATCTCGAGGAGCTGTACAAGCCCAAGGAAATTGCTGGCCACGCATGAGTTTGACACCGAAAAATCAATAGTCATTTGTCTTGTTCAAAGTCGCCGCACATTTGACATTTGAACTGGACAAGGCCTCATGATTGGTTTATCAGACATAGAAACACATACATAAAAGCAAAACAGAGATCATGGCACCTATCCTATGACGAAATTTGAAATTTTAGGTTCAATTTTCCATGAGAGATCTCGAGGCTAGTGGCCACAATCACATTAGACTTGAGGTGCTTGCAATTTCCAATGGTCTTGCAAAGATTGGCTCATTTATCATATTTATTAGTGGTATCATCATATAATCGTATCTGTGGTATATCTATAATTCTAAAACATGCCTCCGTGGTCTAATTGACGGGGATCGACATGGGAAAACTGATAAGACACCGACGTCCGCCGGTACGAGTCCTGGTAGGTCGGTGGTGGAGGACTGGGCCGGCTGGCGCCGCCGCTGCCTCCGTCCAGAGAAGGGTGGTTGGCCGTAATGGTGGTGCGGACGCTGCTGGTCTCGGCGGCCAGTGACAATTCGTACGGCGCCTCCTGCGGCGCGGCGGGCTTGTCGTGCAGCGCCTTCCAGCCGCTGAGGGCGGGGTGGGCTATGGTGGGAGACTTTTGCAGCTTCTTGATCTCCTTGTTCTTGCCGTGAAAGATGGAGCCGCTGCGGGCTCGGGAGTGGCCGGGTCGGCTGTGGTGGTAGGGTAGGGTGCTGCTCTTGGTGACGACGAGGATCTTGAGTTTGCGAAAGAGTGGTTTTAGTGTGGCTAGTGATGAGGCCATGAGGCCAAGGCCGATCTCGACCGTGCTCCAGATGGCTAGGTCGGTAAAGTTGTAGAGATAGTCGGGGTCCGATAGCAGTTGTTTGGCATAGGGAATCCGTACAACGGTTGCCATTGAGGCGCTGTAGCAGGATAAGTATATCACCGGGGTAAGGTTGATTCGTTACTTAGCAACTTACATTGATCCTAAAGCCAAGACACAAGCGACGGAGATTTTGGAGCGGCGGTCCATTTTTGCATTCCAGACTATCGAAATTGGCAGCAAGGCCAGGATCCAGTCCGAAACCACGCTGATGATGAATGATATATACGTTGGAATGATGGCCAGGGCCGTTCCGTTGCAATTGCCCGTGATGGGCGGGTTTGGATCGTATCGGTACCAGTAGAAAGGTACTGGTTGGCACTGATACACCACCATGAAGACGTAAAAGACGGTGTAGATGCCCGAGACGACGAGCAATGTCCACAGCGTGATGCACTGCCATTTCTTCCCGACGCAGAGTCGCAGCAAGAGCAAGCCGACGATGAACTTGACCAGCATGGCAATGACAACATAGGAAACCTGGCCTGCCCACTTGTAGAACAGTGCTTTGGGTCGTTCGTCAATAGGAACGTCTTCGACGTGTGCGCCGAGTCCGTAATGTACGCCAAGAAGGCAAAACGCCGAATATGCAGAATAAAGGAACTAATTGTTTGGATTAGTTTTCTGTCAAGACAAGAATAGTCCAGTTCAAGTAAAGCAAGAACAACATACCAATGTAATGATTGCTAACCAGTCTTCCGGATAAAATCGTCTAAGTAAAAATCCCATGGTATAGCATCGTAGCGTGACGGATAGCCAACATAATGCTAGTAAAGCAATCACCACCGCCTCTAGTTGTATTCCCCGGTCCTCCACCATCATATTGTCGGTCGGTCGTCTGCGTTGAACTTTTTCTGACCCAATGTGTTTATACCCGTTCGTCTATCGTGTGGTTGTGTTGCTCTCAGGCCTTTGCCAGTTCCATCATCTTGGCAGCCCGGACGGGGTATCAGAGATCAAACGATCATGATCATAATAAACAGTCGTGAATTTTTTGTTGCAAAAAGGGATATGCAAGTTGTTGTGCTGCCTGCCGTGTTGCTCAAATATCTCAGGAAAAGGGTATTGAAACACACGAGTAGCACACGACCTCGGTCGTTCTTTTAAATATTGTCCAACGAGTTTTCTTTGCACTTTAGAATCTGGACCTGTCATATCACAAAAGCTCAATACGTACGGACGACTATGCTAGTTGCGTCGTGATCATCGGGTGACTAACACAGGGTAGAGTACGTAGAGGCAGCCAACCATGAGCGGCAGTGCAACTATCGCCAGGGTGTCAGTACCCACAGTGGCGGCAAGTTAATGCGTCGCACCCCACAGACGAGGCGCCCATCCTGGTTGTGCAACGGCCATTCGCCATCGTCCCCAGCAGAGGGCATTGAATCGGAAAGGCGCTGGCGGGATGGCTGAGGCACGATTTTTCCCATTGGCCGATTTACAGACCAATAGCTGGCGTCAAGCGGCCTCCTTTCGTGACCGTCTTTACCGTTCCCAGCAGTCGGTGCAGTGCCCAGAACAAGTGTTGGTTTAGTTGAGCCCGCAAAGTTGCCAATTATACCCAGGTTGTCGGGATATAGTGCACATTCCGGGCACTAGAGCCAGTGGAAAATCTAGCATCTCGGGCGCTATAATAAGGATTTCCGTAGCAGGACACCAACCGCTAGACGGGATAGGCCCGTGACCGCCTGGCGAGGCCTATCTTAGCCTCCGAAGGGGGCCTGTGGATCACCACGCCGCTGAAAAAAATAGCTGAGAGCTGCCAACTCACAAAATTCGCCTTTCGTGCCACCGGAAACAAACCAACAATTTTTCTTGTTCGTGTTGGCAAGGGCTGAAAAAACATCATTCTTTTCACGATCCATATTGTGCGAATTGACAAGGGACATCGGCAGTTCAAACAACGTTTGCATGCTTGCACGTCTAGGTGGATACGTTATGCGTATGTGCTTATTGAAAAAAGCCGTTGAAATATTGCCGCTCAACAAGTCATTAGTGAAGATACGTACATCAATCAGAGACACCAACTGCGCTCGTATAATTCAGTCGGTGATGGGTTGAATGCTGTATTTCATGTCTACATGTCAGGTTGCTGTACAGGGTGATGCTGATTTCAGCTTCGATCCCCTTGGAGGACAAGACTTGGTTAGACGGCCCATATATTGGTAGCACATGTGCTTGCAATAGACCTCGTACTGATTACTCCGCACCAGAACCAAGCTCAGGTCCAAAGATCCCGGCAATTGAGTGAAGATGTTGTCACGAGACTGTTGGCAAACAAGTGCAATTTCTGCACATGTATAACAATCCTCTTGCTTGATCCAATAAAATTCCAGAGGCATCAACTGTTCATAATGTGCCAAGAATCACTTTTGAAGTGAATATCTATCTTTTATCTACTCAGGTAGTGACCCGCTAATGCTGGATTTGCATTCCACCCTAGGTTTATCTGTTGGCTAGACAAGAAGTTAGACGACACCCAACGGTAAGCACTAATCCTAGTCGTGCATGATGCATCCTCATCGTTGGAGTATCAGGGGAAATGGCACGTTTCTGGCGACCGCGGTAGACTTAACATCAAGATCCTCCCGATCACTGTGGCACAGATCTCATCATTATTGCTAAAGTTCTTTCTGTTCTCTGCTCAGTAACCCGCAGCCATGTCTCACTCAAAGCCAGCGATACTCTTTATTGTAAGCAAATACTCTCGGCCAGAGCGAGATTGATTTCTCAGTCACACAAGGGAAATGCTGATTCCTAGATCTTCAAGCATGGTGCCTACCACCCTCCATCATGTTATAGCCGCTTGACCGAAAAGCTCGAGACTGCGGGTTTCGAACTAGTCACGCCGCGACTAGCATCCCTCGGCGAGGGCAAAGTCGGCATCACGCTGGATGATGACGTTGCCGTGGTCAAGACGGCAGCCAAGGCGCTCATTGATGCCGGCAAGGAGGTGGTGCTGGTAGCCCATTCCTATGGCGGCTTCGTCACCATCAACGCCGCCAAGGGGCTCAGTGTCACTGAGCTCCAAGCGCAGGGACAAGAGGGCGGTATCAAACACATTGTTTACTTGAGTGCCTGCTTCAAGGAAAAGGGCGCGACTGCCAACGAGGCATGCAATCCTACCTGTGCAGTCCCACCCGACTTTGACGACATTTTCGCCATCCACATGGTTGGTGAAAAGGTATGTTGGGCCACGGAGCGCGTTCGCTCGCATCATCATGTATAGAACCGGGTGCTATTGACACTTTTCTCTCTCAGGTTTCATGTTCACTCAAGGACACGGAGACCACGCGGCGATACTTTCTGCAGCCAGCCTCGGATGAGGACATGAACGCCGCACTAGCTCAGCTTGAGCCCATGTGCGTCGACATATTCAATATCCCGTCGCCGACGGGTCCTTCGGAGCTGTCCATTCCTCAGACGTTCTTCGTCTGTGGGAAAGATCACGTTGTTTTGCCCGAGACCCAAGAGAAGGCCGTGGCCGACGGAGGCATGAGGGCCATCAGACTGCCAGAGAGTGGACATGCCCCGTACTTGAATTTGCGAAAGAGCTTGCAGACACGATTGTCGAGGTAGCCTCTTTGTGAAAGGAAACCTTACTTTGCGAGAGCAATTACCACCAAGGCGGTAGGATCTGAATGAAGCCGTCCCGCCTACTGGTGCCAAGCCTAATTGCCGGAAAGGCCACATTATACATGTCAATGTATGCTTCATCTCTCAAGAAGGGACATGTGAAAATACATATCATGCAGATAGTATGGAGTATAAAGGATGACATGTCCACAACATTCGATACTTATTATGTTGCTGTACTATAGGAGTGAAGAGAATTCACGGATGCCCAGAGAGCAAACTGTTGAAAAACCAAGATTTGGATAAAATGAATTCTATAAATCGCATCGGTTTCGCTGAGCCCGGCACTTGGCAAATACCGAGGGTTAGTGGCGAGCACGGCATTGAGCCGCTGGCGACACGAAGCTCGCCCGAGATTAGCAGTATATAAGCGAACACAATGAATGGAATTAAGGAACCTTGAAACAGAAAAAGAAAAGAAAAAGGGGGAAGAAAGAACCACATAACCTAGATGAAATCCGAGGATCATCTTGCCAGATATAATTCGATCCTTACTAATCGGCTACTCGCATTCGAGGGTTATTGATGCACATTGCGAACTGCATACATCATGGTTGGTTGTCTAGCACTCCTATATGGAGCGATAATATTGTCTCTCATCGGCAAGACATTGGCTGCCCGCTGTGCAGGTGCCTTGCAATCAACTGTTGATATCCTCAGTGACTATCAGCCGGCATTATCATTCTGCTCTGCACGGTACACGCCTGATGCATCGACCACGACAGTCATCATCTCGTCGGGGATAACAGTCACTGCCACTTCTGCTACGACAGCGTTCACCACCACTACTAGCACCTACACATCTATTGTTACCTTGGAGCCGACTACAATCGAAGAAACAGTCTCCCCCAGACTTTTCTTGAGACGGTCGCTACCGAAAAGAATACAGCAACGTTCACGACTGTTGCGACTATCACGACCACCGATAGTACAGATATTGCCGTTGAAAGCACAACTACGTCCACCACAACTACGTCCACTGATACAAGCACGGAAATCGACACTACCACACTCACAAGCACGGAGACCGACACAGCGACTAGTACAGTGACTACTATTGAACAGACAACAACGGTAATAATGGTTACTATCACGACCACGACTACCGTCACAACCACAATCACTTCGACATCTTCTACCTCAACGACCTCCACGTTCACGCCGATCGCAACTGTAGAGACAACTACTACTATTACATCAACGCTCTATACTAATAGAAAGAGATTTATGAGCGAGCCTAGGCAGAGCGCGATACTAGCTACGAGTATATCCCAGCCGGTACCGTTCAAACCTCGACTCAACGCCAGAATACCCATATATAACATTCATCCTTTCATCACCACGACTACTACCATCACTGTGGCCGAAAAACCGGGAACAAACTCTCTGTCTTCTACTTCGACTACTCCGAGTACATCGAGATATATATCCAGTACCACGGATGCTGATGCCAGTGTTCTCGACGATCTTCTTTGGCGACCAGAGTCCGTGATTAGCTCAGTATGCAAGTGTCTCGAAACACAACAGACCTGGGTGGTTACAGTGACAAGTCTTGCACCCACGAGCACGTCGACTGTAAAAGCAACTACGAAAACGTTGATTGATGTAACCACAGTGACATTCTTTCAACAATCCACAGTTACAAGCAAGGAAACAGCAACAATCACAAGCGACAAAACGGCTACTACAACTATAGCAACCGTCACCACTACATCGACTGCAGTTCTGAGTACCACTACGACCACAACCATAAGTTCGACCTCGACAAGCACCATCTCGGTTACTGTCACTGTGACCGTCACCATGACCCAGAGCACTACTGCAATAGCGACTGAGACGACTACTGCTCCGACCACTACGACGTTGACCTCAACTGAAACAGATATTACTGTACTCACCACCACAGAGACTGATACTGACACTGAGACATCGATGACAATCACCACAATTAGCGAGACTGATACGGACAGCACAACAGCAACAACAACCGCCACAGTCACTAGTGTTGCTTCTATATTACAGGTGAGTACCTGGCGAAAAATTCCTTTTTTAAAATCTGTTATCACGTCTTGGAAAGCTCAATTTGACATGGCTTCATCCTGTTCCCAAGGCAATTCTCCAGTGGTCATTGAGAGCAAATACTAATGCCTATTGTGCGGAGTAGATCAACGGTCCCTCATGCAACGCACCAGATTCCTCACTTAATCCTGGTGTTGGTGGCTGTTCGAATAATTGCTACTGCGACAGGCGACCCTACGGGCCGCCTGGCATCTGCGATACATTCAATCCAGATCTTGGTTCCACTTGTGGCCCTCCATGTGCCATGGACATTGATTGTCCGGATGGATACGGCTGTTCGAATGGTGCTTATGTAGTGGGCGTCTGCGGCGGTGTTGTTTGTGTGCCCTTCACCGGTTGTAGTTCCTCTTTTGTCCCTGCCAAGAAACGTGGGCTCCTGTCCGAGGTCATTTCGGACATCTCTCCACGCGACGATTAGATCGATAGAGGTAGTCACTACTGGTTCTTCAGACAATATTCTGTCATAATGCCAAATCTTGGGGGGGGGGTTACCAGTGGTCAAAGGGGGGGTTTCATCAAGTTACTTGTTTGGCTGACAACGGAAACGAGAGGAGGAGCGAGAGGATAACCATGAACTGTTTTGAGGACATTACTACTGGTAAGAATTAATGGATAGGCAACTTGTCGAGAGATTCAATAATTCAACACCAAGATTTTACGTAGACTGTGGTCTAAACCTATCTCACCTAGCCAACGAGATGCATGAAGAAGACTAGCTGAGCATTTGATGCAAAGCATTCTCCCTATAAGTCTCATTGGTCTGCATCAACTCCTCGTGTTTGCCCCGTCCAGCGATCCTACCCTCGTCGACGACAAAGATCACGTCGGCCATCTTGACAGTCTGGAGCCTGTGCGCGACGGCAATCACGGTGGTCCTCTCGGCCGCACGCCGGAGACTAATCTGCAGCGCCCTCTCGCTCTCGGCGTCGAGCGCGCTGGAGCTCTCGTCGAGGAGCAGCAGCTGCGGCTTGCGCACCAGGGCGCGCGCAATGGCGATGCGCTGGCGCTGGCCGCCCGAAAAGTGCGTCCCGTTGGCGCCGCACTCGGTCTCGTACCCCCGCGGCAGGGCCATGATGGTCTCGTGGATATTGGCGATCCTGCACGCCTCCTCAATGTCCTGGTCCGTCAGCGTCTGGTTCCTCCGGGCGCCGAGGCCCACGTTGAAGCGGACGCTGCCGTCAAAGAGGGCGCAATCCTGCGGCACGAGCGACACGGCCTGGCGGAACTCGCTGTTGTCCGACTCGGTAATGGTCCTGCCGTCGACCTCGATGCCGCCGCTCGTGGGCTCGTAGAGCTTCTGCAAGAGTCGGAGGATGGAAGACTTGCCGCTTCCTGAAGGTCCTACGAGTCCGCAGAATTGTCCTGCCGTGACTTCAAAACACACGTCATGCAAAACTTCAATGTCGGGTCTTCCAAGATAGGAAAAGCACACGTCTCGGAACTTGATGGCCATTCCGCGACCAGATGGGTTGGCCGAGGTTCTGGAGCCAACGAGCTTTTCGTCATCAGTTCCGTTGGGTGCCCCATTTAGTGCTTCAATGTTGTCTTGTGGAGTGTCCCACGAGTCCTTGAAATCTAGGATATTAAAGATTCTGCGCGCCGCTGACCAGGCTCGCGATATTTCCGGAATAAGAACCAGCAACTGCCCCCACATCTGTGCACCGACGAGTATAGAGACCAGTACGATGAGGAACTGGGTCTGTGAATATTCTCCCTTGATGATGAGGTTGGAACCCCACCAGTAAGTAAACGAATAAAGGAAATTCCCCGTGCTGAAACCGAGTGCAAGCCACAAGTTGGACAGCGTGCTAGCCTTCATGACGTCTCTATTGGGCCCCTTGAGAATCCGCTTGTATCTTTCAATGGTCTCTTCCTCGATCGAAAGGGCCGCTATCGTCTTTATCGAGTTGACCGAGGCCACGGAGATGCCGATTGCTTGGGCATAGGCATCGTCATGTTTCTTTTCAAATCTGGACAGTATTCGCAGCTGCATCCATCCGGCCGCAAGGAAGATTGGACATATAGCCACGCAGACGATTGCAATCTTCCAGGCCACAATGTGTGAGACGATGAGCGAGACTATGACATTGACGATGACGGCCATGCAAGTCCCCACGATGGAACCGCTCAAGCTACCCAGCGCAGAGGCGTCCTTTGTGATGAGGGAGAGGAGCGTCGACGGGTTTCGGTTGCCTGTCTCGTGCCAGGACAGAGGTTGCTTGAATAATGACTGGAACATTTTGACCCGCGTAGAACAGACTAGGCTCTCAGCCACGTACCCAAAGGCGGACCAGCTCCCAAGATTGGCGGCACCCTCGGCTATGGCCAGTATAACGTACATGAGGGCAAAGAATCTGCCCTTGGACGAGATGATTGCTGATGGCGTACAAGGGCTGGCAATTCCTATGGTATTTCCAAAGATGATACCCGAAGCTACGTAAGTGCAGCCGACAATAAAGGCCGCCACCATTGCCAGTGTGAGCCATAGTAGATGGGGCCGCAGTATTCGCGCCATGGTGCCAATGGCGGTTCCTTTGGGTGCCTCGTCGCTAGAGGACTGAGATTTTTCCTTCTCTTCATTTTCTTGCTTCTTTGTGGTAATCTCTTTGTAGGAGGCTGTATCGGTATAGAGTGTCTCAATGGTGGAGCTTTCGTATGATGCTCGGCTCTCGATGGAACCCCTCGGCATACGAGGCCTAGCAGTCTCGGTCGCCAGATTCTGGAGACTGACTAGCCGCGCATACTGGCCGCCGACTGCCATGAGTTGGGCATGTTTACCTTGTTCTATCACGGCTCCGTCCTTCATCACGATAATATTATCCGCATTAGTGACGAGGGACAGTCGGTGAGCGATGGTGATGACTGTCCTGCCAGTGGCTGCGCGATCCAGAGCAGCCTGGACGCGTCTTTCACTAGCAGAGTCCAGGGCTGCCGTCGCTTCGTCCAGAATCAGAATGCTGGGATCCTTGATAAGTGCCCGAGCCAGGGCTATGCGCTGTCTCTGGCCACCACTGACGAGCTTGCCTCCCTGGCCAACAATTGTGCCATACCCGAATTCTTGTCGCTGTATAAAACTCGTCACATCGGCTAGCTCTGCAGACTCTACAACTAGACGAGCAATCTTGGAGATATCCGGACCGTACGCTTCGGACGCCGTAGCAAAGGGCACTCCTTTACGAAGATCTGCGGCGAGTCGTGCAAGAGAAGATCCCAAAAGTGCCTGTCGAAGATCTCGAAGTTCGGGTTTGATGGCGCTTGACAAACCCAGAGCGATATTTTCCAAGATGGACATGTCAAACAAGGATGGCTCTTGTGGTACCAGGCTGATGAAGCCTCGGAGGTTTGCAACGTCGAGAGTCTGAATGGGGTGACCAGCCAGCAGTATCTGCCCCTGTTCCGGATCGTATAGTCGACACAGGAGAGCCGCGACTGTCGACTTGCCACTGCCCGACAGTCCAACACATGCAGTGTGTGACTTGGCTGGGAATGAGAGGTTGACACTTTTGAGAACCTCGACATCTGGTCGCGATGGATAACGGAAAGAGACATTTTGAAATTCCATCCGGGGATCAATGGTAGGCTCCAAACACGCTCCCTTTTCACCTGGCACATCAATCTTGGGCAGTATCTCCATGTCCTGCTTGAGTTTGACAAATGAGGTGGTGGCAGTAGCGAGAATCGGTAAAAGAGGTGCAACCTGCCCAATCATGGTACATGCTGATAGGTATTTAGGTTAGAAAAGGGTGAATAGGCAGAAAATCCAGGGTGTTTGGAGGAAGAAACTCACCATCAACCACAAGCAACACCACGGTATAAACATCTCCTACAGACACTGCTTCGCCGTTTTGTTGGTAGGACGCCGCTATGGCCTTGGTTCCCTGCCAGAAAGCCAATGCATTCGCCGTAAAAGCCAGTAGATAGAGAAAACCAGACTGAGCGCCGACATAAATGCTCTTCTTGGTGCCCCATCCCTTGGCCTTGGTCATGTTTTCGGTAAACTTTTGTCCCAGCGGCCTTTCGGCACCAAAAGCATGCACAACTGCGACATGATTGAGCGCCTCGGATGCAGTGGACGAAGCAGCGTCAATGGCATCAGACATTTGGCTTCCATACTTTTGTGACAGGTAGCTGCAGAGATAGGAACTGCCAAGCATTGACGGTATCAAGTACGTGAGCATGCCGGTCAACTTGGTGTACTTGACAAAGCCAATGGCATACGCCGTGATGAGAAAGGACATTGACGATATGAGTATGCCGACCTTTTCCGAGGTGCCAGCCTGGATGGCCTGGATGGCGCCGCTCAGACGCGACGAGATCTCGCCGGCGCTGCGCAGGTCAAAGAACTCGGCATCCTGGCGAAGGAGGAGGGAAAAGTACTTGGCTTGTATCCGCTGCGACAAGCGCTGGCTTGCCAAGCTCCAGAAGAGGAGGTAACCATAGACGAGGAAAAATGCCCCAATTCCCAAGTATACGAGTTGGAGCACCTTTTGATTGATCTCGCCGCTGTACTGCTGACTGGTACCGCTCGAGTCTGCCTCGCAGGTGGCATCGTTCATATTGTCGACCAGGTTACCGTAGAGGATACCCATGAGAGGAAATGGCACGCCGGCGCCCACGGCGCAAAGGGTTCCCAAGAGCATCAGGCCATAGTCGATCCATGTTGGGTTTGCGTAGAAGAGCAGTTCTAGAAAGCTAGAAACCCGTCTTTGAGGCTAAACAGTGCAATCGAATCAGAGTTGAACCAAGCTCAAACGAGAGATAATCGGTCGTACAAAAGAGAACGCGACTTACTGGCATCTTGAGCTAGACGCCGTGAACCAATGTTCAACGACAATCGACTGGTGTAACTATTCCAGAGCAGCTAGAGGGATCCGAGCCGTGATATTCTCTACTGTTGCAATGTAGGAACCACGAATCCAACAAGCAATTGCCCAGAAATATTATCAACCGGGAGCAAACCTACCTCTGGCACGGAACTCCAAGAAACATCGGACGCTTCTCGGCGGGCGACTTGGCCAGGGCCAGGACCCCCCCGGTCCTTGCAGCGGGCGGGGTTCCCTAGGTACTATATGAGATCCAAAGTTTTTATCAATCGCATCTTATCTCCTGGGCTCCATTGGCAGATGCGGCACCGGCATGGGCATGGCAACGGACAGTAGGGGCTTGTCTTGTTATGGGCGGTCGGCTACACGAAGTACTCTGTACTCCTCACTTTTACTCAAAACTAAATGGGCCGGAACCAATATTCCCTCATTCTAACGTAATTGGATTCAATCGATACATTTTCGACCAACGACTTGGATTATGCATCTACTTTCAATCTTTGAAAGCTTCGTAGGTCCAGTCCTCTTTTGAGAACATGAAGCCAGGTCAAGAAGTAAAGGCGGTGGGACAGTCAGTGCAATCATGTCGTATGACAGCAACAGTCGCAGCGAGCCAATACTAATCAGACACGAAGCCAAGAAACCCTGCAGATAGGTACAACATGGCAAGAAATTCAGATCATGGATACATACCCAATGCAAATGTACGTTTCCGCATGCCAATGTCATGATTTGTTGAGTTTAGTACATGGATAATAGCTTTCAGTCGATTGCTTTAGGGTTCAGAGCGGGGAACAGGACCTTTCTATCCGCGGCGCGAATCCGGCCGAGCTGACCATGGCCATTACCTCCAAGATTTACTCATGCGCTATATGTTTTGGGATTCTTCTTTTACACTAACTGGTCAATTGCACAACTAGGAGAGAATGGCCAGAAATACGATCATCTCGGCAGTGTACATATCACTTCGGTTTACAATGCCTTTTTGACACCCCCAAAATGTCATTACTTTGCAAGTTGCGCTTTGTTCTTCGTCCAGCCTCCGGACAAGATGCAACAGCTACAAGTTAGAGCCCAAACGTTGGGTTCACACTAAAGCTCAGTTGTTATGATAAACACACGCGAATGACGGTATAGTTGCCCTAAAGTATTGCATCCAAGTCCCTTGACTCAAAACAAAACCAGTTCTATTTACCATGATATTGTGATCATGATCATTTTGCATCCAGTATATGCATATAATTCTATGGGTGAATCGTTACTTCATATCAGCAGTTCATCATCAATCTCTATAAAAACGCCCAAAATCCAAAGAAGAAACCATTACTAGATTCTCACAACAACCCATCACTCTTAGGCCTTCTTGTTCTTCTTGGTACCGCTATTCCAGTTCTTGACACGGAATGCCCAGTAAGTTCCTATGGTTATGGCAATATTGAAAATCATGTATGCAAAAAGAATGCCAAAGTTGCGCCAACGGTGGTCCCACGACATTTGGTTGCCGGCGAGGAACTGATCGGCCACGGAGATGGAGCAGTAACGACAGTCGGCCATGGCGTCAGGGTTCTGCAGCGTGCCGGGGGGAGGGGGCACGGTGTTCAGCCAGTCGGCCATGTAATCACCGCACGACTGGCCGGCGGGCGGGTTGAACACGGACGTCTCGGCGGCCGAGCACACGACGTCCCGTTCGTGCAGCTGCGTCGAAATCATGCCGTCGATCCAGTAGGTAAAGGGTGACACGCGGTACATGAAGATCCAAAAGCCCGGGAGCGCCGAGGGCGGCTGCATCGCACCGCAAAAGATGAGACACAGCAGGACGATGAGCGTCACAATGGCGCCAGAGGTCTGGGCATCGCGGACGGCGGCAACCGTCATTTGGGCAAAGGTCGAGGCTTGTATGAAGAGCTGGATGCAAAAGAGGAGGGTAAGGCCTTGCCGCTCCGAGGCTTGGATCCCAAAGACGGGGTACGAGAAACATGCATAGGTCAAAATGCCCATGACAATTGCATAGGGGATCTCGACGAGGATATTGGCAAGCAAAAAGGCCTGCCACGAGTACGCCTTGGACGGGCGCTCGCGAACCTCGTAGAGAGAGCGCTGCGTGACAAACATTGGCTGAATGGCCTGCACGACGGAGGTAAAGGTGGTTGTGAGCATAAAGGCCGAGAAGACGACAGTCTGCATGCCCGCCAAGCTCGTGTTGGCATGCCAAAAGGAAAAGCCAATGAAGAGGCCGGCGCCGATGGCAAGCGCCATCTTGGCGGCAATGTAGCTTGGTGTTCTCCAGTACTGCTGGAACACGCGGTTCGTGACCTCGATGAATTGCGTAGAGAAGGGCATGGCAAACTCGGCCCTGGCATCGCTCCCAGGCCCGGCGGAGAGAGGAACACTCTTGGTCTCGGCGTGGATCCTGCCGACCTCGCGCTGAACCGCGCGGCTCTCTGGGCTCTCGGTCCATGCAGTGTGCCAGTCGTTGCCACGGCCGTCCCATGAATTGTTTACAACATCTAGCATGTACTCGGCCGGGTTTTCGTCGTCGTCACATAGCCTGGCTCCATTGGACTCAAAATAATCCAGAAGCGTTCTCGAGTTGGGCCCAATCTCGCCAAAGTAGACAGTCTTTCCACCCCTGGCCAAGAACAGAAGGCGGTCAAACTGCTGGAAAAGGAGAGCACTCGGTTGATGCACTGTACACAAGACGGCCTGGCCAGCGTCGGCGAGCTTGCGCAATAATGCCACAATGGCCCATGAACTCTGTGAGTCGAGACCACTGGTCGGCTCGTCGAGGAAGAGAAGGAGTTTGGGCTTGGCAGCCAACTCAACACCAATGGTAAGAAGTTTGCGCTGTTCAACGTTCAACCCCTCGCCGGGGACACCGACGACGGCATTGGCAAACGACTGCATATTGAGAAGTTTGATAACTTCCTCGACATATTCGTACTTTTCCTGCTTGCTGACCGACTTTGGCTGACGCAGCATGGCACTGAAGCGTAGACTCTCACGGACGGTGGCTGTCTCGAGATGAAGATCTTGCTGTTGGACATATCCCGTACTGCGCTGAAACCCAGCATCCAGGGGCTTACCATTGACAAACATGCCGCCGGTAATGACGCCCATGGTGGTCCTCTGCGCCAGGACATCGAGCAGCGTCGTCTTGCCGGCACCACTCACGCCCATGAGCGCAGTCAGAGTACCGGGTTTGACCCAACCCGAGACATGATCCAGAAGCCTTCGCGGTTCGCCCTTGATCTCAATGTCGTAGACCACATCCTGCCAGGTGAAGACATCTCTTTGTGGTTCAATCGCTCTCATGTCACTACCGCTACTGTACTCCTCATTCTTGGCCCCGGAAACAGGCATCATCTCCTCATCATGGCCGCCTGACTTGCCATGGAGCAGGTGTGCAGGGACGTGGCCTCTGCGAAAGACGAGAGCCTCGGCAGTGATGGAGGTGGTGCTGTTGAGCTCGGAAGCGAGAAAGTAAAGAAACATGAAGAAGAGGGTGTAGCCAATGAGGATGCCGAGATTGCGCCAGGCATGAGACCAAAAATACTCGTAGCTTTCACCAATAAAGGCATCTCCGTTGACCGTCTCCTGCCCTTGGATGGCACCGACGACGGAGCAGATGAACGAGTCTCCGACCCGGCCGATAGCAGGGATAAAGGCGTCGCATGAAAACTCGCCACCGTGGAACTCATTGGCCACGAGAATTTCAAAAGCCCAGAACATGGGGTTGATATAGCGGAGCCATGAAAACCAAGGGTGCATGAGAGGTATAGCAATGGTGAACCCCGTATAGATGACAAGCATCAAGATCATGACACCCGAGATGGCCAATGCCTGAGGGGCTGTCTTGGTGATTGCTCCCATGGTTCTAAACAAGCTTGACATGGCAAAGGTGCCAATGTATGTGACCAGAAAGAAGAGGAAAAACTGAGCCGGTGTTCGACGCAAACCAACCAAAAAGTAAAAGGTAATGTTGAATACGACTGCCATGAAGAATTTTATTGGCAAGTCTGCCACAACGCCAGCTATTGCTTCCGTGGAGGGATGATAGAAGGCATAAGACACTTGTTTCTCTACAATCGGCCGCTGGTCGTACATGGTGGCAATCTCGGCAAGACTGTGCAAGCCGTTGATGAGGACAGCCAGGAAGATTGCAGAAGCCTTTGACGTGAAGCCGGCAGTTGAGTCTGGTGTGCCGTAATAGAGAGAACCCATGATGAGGGCACCAATGGTATGAGAAATCATTGTAGTCGTAACGGCAGCCCTGTCACCCCAGAGTCGCTGATATGCTCGCTTGGTGTTGAGTCGAATCTGCATTGGTATACTGATCAAGTATGGGGATTTTTCACGGACAAGTTTGGCCTGGCTTGCAACCTTTTGCTGGCGGAGGATTGCCAGACTCTCACTGTTCTCTTGCATGGGATGTCTCAGATGGTATTGCTGCAGTTCCTTGTGCAAGTGCAAGTACTCGGCCGAGTGGCGCCAGTAGTGCTCAAACTCGTCTGCTGTACGTGGCACCTGGTTCTCCATTCCTGGACGGGCCTGTCTCTCGGAAGGGTTCGTGACGGCGGTGAGAAAGTCACCAGTCGTCTGACGAGGAGGGCAGTACCATCCTTGGTTCTCAAAGTAGGCCTTTGCATGGCTGGCTGGACCAAAGTAGATCTGCCGTCCTTCGTAGAGAACCGTGGCCTTGTCAAAGAGGTCGTAGATGGCTTGACTGGCCTGGTAGATGGCAACAATTCCCGTGGTGTCGGTCAAGTCGGCAGTGAGCCGCAAGGTTTCCACAAACTTCAAAGCCGTAGCGGCATCAAGACCTCGGGTACTATTTTTTTTTTGTCAGATATTGAGAATGATATGGCTCATGGGATGAAAGAGTGAACATACCTGTTATCCCACGCACACAGAGGCGATCCGGCCAAGATCATCTCTGCAATACTCACACGCTTGCGCTCACCACCCGATACACCGCGAACAAAGTCGTTACCAACTTTTGTGTTATATGTGTGGCTCAACCCGCAGACGGCCATGACGACCTCGGCCAGCAGCTTGGACCGCTCCTCTCGGGTCATGTCGCCACCACCGTTCGACGGCATCCTAGCAGACGCGGCAAACTCCATTGTCTGACCCACCGTCAGATGAGGAAAGTGCTTATCGACCTCTTGGTTGTAAGGGGTTTCTCCCTTGAACTCTTTCATCATGACCTTTTGCGAGATGCCATTGTAGCTGACAGTTGAGCCTTCATCTACCGAAAGTCCGTAGAGCTGTCCAGTCATGGACTTGAGTAGAGTGGAACAGCCACTGCCCGGACGGCCGAGGACAATGAGAAGTTCTCCGCTCTCGACCAGCCCATCAAAGTTGCGTAGAATAACCTTGTGGTCCTTCTTGCCAAAATCCCATGTCTCGGGTCGGAACGGCGCGCCAAGCATACTACTGACAGTATCCTGGAGTTGCAGGGCAGGAGCAGTACCCGACACCTTGAGATTTGAGTAGGCAATGCCCGTCTTCTTGATGGAGACTCCTCGAGACTGCAATTCTTGTAGAGTACGCCTGAGCCACCGTCCAATGTCAAAGTCCTTGTGGGATGGCTCCAGTCTATGGTCGTGAGCTCCCAAGGTTGAGATCCTCCGCAGGCTGGTATCGACGGCAACTGACTCTCGCCATGAAAGCGTATTGGCTATTCTTTCGATTTCTCCTCTGTCAATGTCCGTTATCATGGACGCTACTCTGGGTAGGTCTTCATAACTGTCATAGTCGGTCGAGCTGTCGCCATCTCGTTCGGTCGAGGTGTCGAAGCTGAGCCTCTCGAAGCTCAACCTCGGACGCATCGTGAACAGCCTGTCGGATATCTCTGCAGCCGATTGTTCCTTTATTATGTCGATTAAAATTTACAAAGAAATCAGTTATGGAATTTTATAAATTGGTATCATTACCTTCGAACAGATCGAAGGAACAAATATGTTTTTGTATTTTAATCTAAAGAGGAAAACCCTTTCTCATAAGTAGCAGGGCACTGCAAGATCTACAAGCCCTTCTTGGCTACTAAAGATAGCACTGGAGCACTGTATGAATCATTTGTAATCATACCCAGATCTGTATTCCTATCAGATTCGACTCGGGCTCGGCAGATCCCCACAGCAGCAGCACAGTCATCCTTGTCTTTGGCGTGGCGGCTGACATTGTGAAACTGGAACAAAAGTCCACGCGGTGCTCGGGACCATGCAGCGATCCGAGGAAAAGTTTCCAAAGACGGCATCAGCATGGTTTCTGATTGGCGAGGCGGGTTTGATGGTATATGAAGTGGAGGACATTTGTATAAAGAAAGCCCGTCTACTGCACCGGCTTGCCCGCAATGGTCAGAGCATACGACTAAGTCCTTGAAATTCTTGGCTATCTGGTAACATATTGGATTAGGTACCGTATAAGAATTGCCTAAAAGGTGAATTGATGATTTACTGCATGGTAGCGTGGCTGCCATGTGCCATGGTTTCATGCAAGCAAGCCTGCGCCGCGGGCTGTTGAGAAATTCCATAGTCCGTGGGATTCTTGTGGAGCTTCGGGGTGAGACTGAACGTCGGGGTCGGGCCAATGACATCAGCTCGGGATTCAGCCTGCTTGCCTCGCAGGATCCGTATCCTGACTTGAGATCCCGTAGATGCTGAGAATATGCCGAAGCACAACAGGGATGAAAACTTTACCATGCGAAACATCTAGAAAGAAAAGGGTATCTTTGTGCTTTGGCATGGATTACAGACAGTCTCGTCAGACCGTATGGCCATGTTACACACAATCGACCTTTTCGACTTTTTCGTAGGGCGGCGGGTCGCACTGTTTGTCAGCCACAAGCCAGGATCTGTCGGTCCCGTTCGACCCTTCAGGATTTTCAGAGTGGCTGCAAAAGCCATGTGCCCCCCCAGGATATCTACGGTGAGTGCTCAAGGGTTCAAGAGAAGTGTATATTCAACATTTGTACTCTAATAATTGTACTGCTTGTAGAGGCCATATGTCAGTTCCTGTGCTCGATCCTTGACGATTCCTAAAAGACCTATGGTTAGTTCAATCAACTAAATCTCAACTGCGTGCTCAAAAGGGTTTATCCAGTTTTATAGTTCGTACTCTTCTCGGCCTGCCACTCCTTGAACCACTCTGTGACGAACTCGACTTCGTATGCTTGAATCTCCTTGATGCTCTCTGGCGGCAGCTCCGCTGTTGTCTCATTCGGGAACAAGCCATTCTCGTCCCAATGGTGAACGGCTTGGGGGATTAACCAGAATGGCTCCTCAATGGTGTCAGGTCTGTCAGGCAAACCGATAGCGTGAGGCGTAGCTGCACGCCAAGGGTCCCATTCTCCATCAACGATTGCGACACGAGGGTAGCTAAAGTTGAAGCCTCCATACTTGTTGATAATTTCAACATCCGCAGGGGTTGTGATGTTAAAGGCTTCGACACAGATAGCTGCACTATATGGGATATCAATGGTTCGCGAAATCAAGGGTAATATATCAGCTGGTGCTCCACTACCAGTCTGGAGATAACCCCACCTAATGCAAGAGTTAGTCAAGTTTATTCTCACAAGCGTTGTGAAATTGGCCTGACAAAAAGGTTCGGCTTACTCTGTGCAGTACTGATATGGCCACGACCTCCAGGTCTGTGAGATATCGTCCTGAGCATAGAATTCTGGATCATCTGTGCCATAGCATTCATCCTGGTCTGCGCCTGAACAACTGGCCGAAATAGACCGGCGAACATAGCCAACATAGTTCAAAAAATGATTGGACAACGAATCAGTTTCATTACCCCAACCGCCAACCTCAATCAGCTCTTCTACCGTGGCTCTGTAAGTCTCAGTGCTGTTGTAGACAACCGAGTCATTGCCGACAATCGCGTTGTACACGAAAAACTCGTCGGAGCTTTGCGTAGGATCCCAGTTCAGGCTCTGCAGCGAATAGATACCATTTGCAATGGCGCTGGCAAAATCCGCAGCCTTTGTGACATTGCCCAGACCAAAGAGTGTCTTGAGCTTCTTGGGATATTCAGTGCCGTTCTTGCCAATCAGGATATTGTCAACGATATTGGTAAGCTTCTGAGTAGCTTCAACACCGGCCTTGGGACCATAAATGCGGGCAGCTTCAAAGTACTGCCAATAATCCCAGATGGCTTCAGTCACGCCAGATGAAGAAATGCTGCCGTAGTAGACTTCGGGATACAGCTTTCGCAAAAATGCCACGAATGCTCCCGCATAGGAACCGCCATAGGCAAAGTAAGCGGTGCTGTTGGAGGTGAGATCATACTCCTCAAGACCGGGAAATACAATATTTTGCGCAAAGTAAGCAGTATCAGCCAGTGCTTGGTCGGTTGTGAGAAAGCGCATGCTCTCGGTGCTTAGATTCGAGACGGGCCAACTTCCTCCATAATATCGATGCTCTAGAACAACACCAATGCCATTGGTTGCATTGGCTATCTGAGCAACCACTCCCTTCTGGATGTAAGGCAGACGACCAACGCCAGAGGTCTCGCCAGCAGCCAGTACGATTACCGGGCCGCCAGGCTTGTAGTATCTTGCGTCGAACCAATAACGCATGTTATAAAAGTCGTCTGAATGGGGCTCGTACTTGGAGTCATTGTGGAAATGGTCGACCGGCACCGAGAAGTTGTAGGTGGGGTACGATGCCGCAACTGCAGCTACGGAAAAGTCATCAGGCTGCTCAGCCTGGAAAAGAATCAGCCACGGCTCTCTCGCATGTACCGTCTCGCGAAATCAAGATGGCGTTGACTTACCTGTTGCCGCAGTTGGCTGACGGGCAAGGGTCCCGATCCCAGAAACGGCTGAGCGGCTTGAGCCAACCGCGTGAGCGAGGCGAGGGACGCCGCCGCGAAGCTGACACGAACCATTGCGATATCGATATGAGGCTGTCAGGTTATATTGATGCAGTCCGAATCTCGTCTCGGCTCGTCTCCCAGCCACACAATGGAGAATCAAGGTCAGTACGACGTCCAACAAGCAACAGACGTACCTTATCAAGCCAGAGAAACGGGCAGCCTTTTAATCGAGAGACGGCTCGACGCTAAAGATTCGTTGTTTGGGCAAACTCGCTCTCTTGCCTGCAGATCGGATGCAACACACCTTCCACGCCAAGCTTTTCCGCGCCGCGCTGCTGCTTGCCGTGAAGCGAAGGTATTCACGGCAATAGGCTGGTAATGTAAGGAGTGCGGCCGGTACGTGCAATTTGGATCGGGCGCGGGGGTTGCCTAGAGAGGCGCGCACGGCACAGGGCTCTGAGGTCATCCCATGTCTGTAGGTGATGTAGCCTCGGCGGAGCTAGGTAGAAGACGGAAGGTCAAAGGTGGAAGCTAATGAGGTGATCGCTGTTGGGCAGGTCCGGGGTCTTGAAAAGTACCGTGTCCTCCAACGCCTTTAGACTTCAGTGGCTTGCCGCTGCCAGGGGATTTACTTCTGTACTGCGGGAAGACACATGGGGAGGGAGGTTTAGAGGCAAGGAGGGGTCCTTTGCCGCTAAGCCGCACTCCAAGATACATCAGGTACCTAAATAGGTGCCCCCCGCGATGATACCTACCTAGGAGTCTGGTGGCCATTTCTGGGCAGTCCCACCAAGTTGAGGTGGTGGAATCCTCTTTTGCCTTTTGTCGCGCATCCAATGTTCCCTTGTTGAACAACTACTACCGAGCCTACCCTTACATGGTATGCAGGTAATGTAGGGTAGGCAAGGTAGTAGGTAAGGTTTATGTAAGTAAGCTCGGTAAGTCTTCTGTGAGGAACTACAAACTGTAGCTAGCAGCATTCCTTCTTCCAAACGCCACATGATGTGATCCTAGACGATTTGATGAGGCGTCGACATGGGCAACTCGCCAAGTCATGCAGTGTACAGGCGCACATGGAACTTTGTGACTTGGAGCGAAAGGAAATGTGCGGAAAGCGGCAGCCAGTCAGTCTTGGAATGTTCCTCATGATCCGAGACCAATCATTAACTGCTCAGGTCACATTGGTAGCACGAACAACGTGACACTCGTTATCAACTCTAATTATCTCGAATCTTTGTGTCTATCTGTCCTTGCCTCGACTGTAGTACCAGGTTAAGGATGCCTGTGCAATCTTTTGACCTGCAGATACGGACTATGGCACAAGCCTTGGCGTTTATTACAACCTTGCAAACACGGCACTCGAGAGAAGAATGAATAGTAAATCAAACTCACAATAAATCGTGCATGGACCTCTGTGTTTCCTATATCATGTATGTCCTTCTCCTCGATTGGGAACCCTTCAATCCATGACCTCAACATTTAGCCCAGGTGCACGGGATTCGGGCTAGGCCAATCGATGCCAGCGACGAATCGCATATCAGCCATCAGCCCTATTCGGATTTAGTGTATTTCGTATACTGCTACCTTATCTAGTCCATGACGTTCACCAAACACAAGCTAATACCATCTTCGCAAGTGCAAGTGAAATATTTCCGCAAAAGTTTAGTCCATCTGTCGTTCAATTCCATTGAGAGCACGGGACTTGGCGTGAAATGGGTCAAGGGACAGAGGTTCGCAGAAGACGACTGCTTCTCCAACTAGCTCGTAGCAGCACCAATTTTCTAACCTTAGGCTTGTAGATCATCTGCCAACAACCTCAATTGACGGTCCGATATTGCGTCTTCAACAGAATGCATGCGTTATAAGTGCGGATTCTTACCCAGACGTACTCTCTTTAAATGATAAACACTTGATACAAGCTCCCTAGAATCTTTGGGTCCATTGGCCAGTCCTACCCAACTTTCTTCACAGCAGCTTTCTGACCTAGTCGCTAGGGCAAATTGTAGAGGCTTTATTCCGCGGTTATGCATTGCTCACGGATATTGGCATGCCGATGGTAGTGGACCTTGGACCCGGAGGGCTGCCAGCATATGGGGCAGATATACGAATCTCGACATTACACTCGGCTCTCGAGTTAAAAACAGATGTGGTTTTGATTGAAAAAGTTAAACAGCGAGCAAAAATAGACAACTCCGAGACGGGGTCATATGATGCCGTGGTTGTGTAGGACAGTTTTTATGACAGACAGGATGACAGGATGGGCCAAGGTCAGACTGTAAGATTTTCTTTACAGGATTGCGAATTATTAATAAACGGCGGTGACAGCTCAAGCAACCCCGATACCGACACGGCGGACGGGTAAAAGCTGCTACCCGTGATCTGCGCTGGGCCGTTTTAGCTAAAACTGAAATCGGGGCAACCGTGTGCGCGAACAGACGTTGCAGATCTGTAAGCCAACAAAGGCCATGTGCTGCCCGACGAGCGAGCCTAGACGAGCTGCACAACAACAATAGAACAGTTGTGACTAACTCGAAGCAACGTTTCTGTAATCACTAATCAAAGCTGCCTGGCGTTCCCCCCCCCAAATGAAGGCATTAGAAATAATCGGTCCCAAGCTGTCGGATTCAATACTAGGCGCAGGTTAAGCAAGACGCCGCGCCGAGTCAGTCTGGGCTTTAGCACGGGAACGGAGTTTCGGACTCGTGGTCTGAATCCCGTTGGGACAAGCAGCCGCCGGGAGGGCGTCATATTGCTTAACAATTCAATCTGTGGCTTATTTCTAGTGCCATTCTAGCGTTATTAAGCTTGCGTATGTACCATGGTAGTGTAGGACGCGCCGCCGTGACCCCTGTCTTGACTTCCTGGCAAGTCCGGGACTGTTAACGCCGAAAGCTTGGCCGACGAAAGAGTTGTGATGCCATGATTGATCAATCATCAAGTAAATTGACCAGAACCTCAAGCCTATGCTTGGTGATGTGGTGGGAAAAACTCTTTCGGTGGGTATTTGTGTAAGGAAAAAGAAAGAGAAGAGAAGAAAAACCCGTGGGTCTACTTTGCTTCCTAGTACGGAGGTTATTGATTCAAGAATTTCACTTTTTTTTTTTCTTCCCTTCTGTTCTCCATAGGAATCATTTATTCTCGGCCTGGGCAGAGACCGCGCCCCATCGGATGAAGATGCCTCGGCACGCATCTCTGCTTAGCTGCCACCGCTAGTTCCTTGCTAAAAAGATAAGGGTGCGAGCTAGTTTGTAGTGTTTTTCATAAGTTATACACGGAATGGCCCAGGAGCCGGGATTATGACGGCTGGCGCCGGACTTTTCGCAGCGCAATGAGTCGACATTGTCCAATTCCTAACCCCGGAAGCCGTCATGAGAAGCTCCTTTGTCTGTTTTTGGCTGTTCTGGCCGTCGAAGAGGTATGGGAGGGTCGCCGCTATGGGCATTTCGACTCCATTCTTGTCCATTCCAGGCGGCCCAGACAGGCCAAGGAGGGTCGGTAGCCGAGCCGAATCGCTAATCGTGTTACAAATACGTAGTCGACTACCTGACCTAGGCCGCAGATTTTTGTGCATACCGAACGGGACCGCGCTCGAGAAGTTTGACCCCGTCGTCCCGCCGATGCATGTCTCTGATCAAAGGTGGTGGTATATTATACACCAAGGCCCCCTGGAATCTGCATTTGGGAAAAAAACATTTCTCTTGCCATCTAGACAAGAATTCTAACACGACGAGTTTTAGCCGCATTGCATCGTGCCTGGCTCAAATTCTTATCACGACACCAAAAGTGCCAATCATTGCTGTCGTCATAATAGGATACTACTGACTTGCTTGGCACGCATACGAATCGACTTTTCCCCCAGCATCGATCGCCAAACCCTCACCATGGCGGACCACAACCTTGGTGAGAAGGAGAAGATCGAAGCTCCTCACACAAACAAGATTCCCTACTGGAGAATCGTCTTCGACCAAGCTGGTGTTACCGATGCCGTACTCAACCACCCATATGCAGGTTCCGGAACCGACGAGGACCCATACCTTGTACAATGGATCCCCCACGATCCCAGAAACCCCATGGGCTTCAAGACATCTACCAAATGGTTCATCACCCTGATTGTTGCCTTGGCAACTCTCGCTGTCGCCCTCGTGTCTTCCGCATACACGGGTGGTCTCAAACAGATCATTATGGAGTTTGGCATCAGCCAGGAATTGGCGACCCTGGGTGTGTCGCTGTTTGTTGTCGGTTTCGCCGTCGGCCCGCTGCTGTGGGCGCCTCTTAGTGAAATCTTTGGACGCCAAGTCCTGTTCTTCATCACCTATGCTGCCCTGACGGCCTTCAACGCCGGCTGCGCAGGTGCAACCAACTCGTACTCTCTGATCATCCTGCGTTTCTTCGCTGGCGCGTTCGGATCGTCGCCGCTCACCAACGCCGGTGGTGTCATTGCCGACATGTTCCCTGCTGCCCAGCGTGGACTGGCCACCAGTCTCTTCGCAGCCGCACCTTTTCTTGGACCTGTCCTGGGACCCATCATTGGTGGCTTCCTTGGCGAAAGTGCTGGATGGAGATGGGTGATGGGATTCCTGGCGGCCTTCTCTGGACTTTTCTGGATCGTCGGATCGTTCCTCGTGCCAGAGACTTACTCGCCCGTGCTTCTGCGCAAGCGCGCGGCCAAGATGAGCCAGATGACGGGCAAGGTTTACGTCAGTCAGATCGATGCCGACCGCGGAAGAGTCACCTTGGGACAGTCCCTCAAGACTGCTCTGTCGCGACCCTGGATCCTCCTCTTCAGAGAGCCCATCGTGCTTCTGCTGTCCATTTACATGGCCATCATTTATGGAACCCTCTACATGTTGTTTGCCGCCTACCCCATTGTCTACCAGCAGAACCGTGGTTGGAGCCAAGGTATCGGCGGTCTGGCTTTCTTGGGAATCATGGTGGGTATGCTCTTTGCTGTCGCCTACAACATTCCCGACAACAAGCGTTACATCAAGACTGAGCAGAAGAACGATGGCTACGCACCTCCAGAGGCCCGTCTTCCCCCTGCCATGATTGGATCTATTGCCCTCCCCATCGGCTTGTTTTGGTTTGCCTGGACCAACTATCCTTCCATTCACTGGATGGCCAGTATCGCTGCCGGTGTGCCATTCGGATTTGGCATGGTCCTGGTTTTCCTCGGTATTCTCAACTACCTCATCGATGCGTACACCATTTTCGCCGCATCCGTTCTGGCTGCCAATGCTGTGCTTCGTTCCCTGTTCGGTGCCGCATTCCCGCTCTTCACGACGTACATGTACAACGACCTCGGTATTCACTGGGCATCAACCGTTCCCGCGTTCCTTGCGCTCGCTTGTGTTCCTTTCCCCTTCCTCTTCTACAAGTACGGCCCTGCAATTCGCTCGCGCTGCAACTTTGCTGCCGAATCTGAGGAGTTCATGAGGAAGCTCAAGCGCCAGCAGGATGAGGCGGCCGCGATGGAGGAGGAGCCCCAGACCCCCGAGACGGAAGATGGAGAGGATGACGATTCGTCAAACACATTGACCCAGACGCACACTGGAGCTACTCGCGCCTCGAAAAGATCCTCGCTTGCACGTGTCTCAAGCAACCATTTGCACCGCAAGGCCACATATGAGGGAAACCCTTACGATATCGACAGGGTCAACACCAGAGAGTCGTTTGCAAGAGCGGCCAGCAGACCGCACTCGAGGGCATCCAGAGTGTAGGAGTTTGTATAAAAAGGTGTCTCATATAGAAGTTGTCTGTTGATTCGTTGCCATTGGCTCAAAAGTTTAGGCGTTGATTTCGTCAGCATTACAGGATTGGAGCATGATACCCAACTACGGTTTAGACTATAATAATGTGTACGAGAGATGAATTTACCATCATAAAATAAATTTTTATCCCACCTAAAGTATTGGTGACAAGTGTAATAGATGCGATAGAAAGAATGCTGCTCGAGCTGTGAATGGATCCCTACGTGGACCGTCATGTTGGCGAGACGGCACTATTTCATAAGTGCTGATCCATGAGCTGGCGCAACAGCTGCAAGGACTGTGGATCAGGTAATGTTGAGAGGGTTATGATACTAGATGACAAGAGTCAACTATAAGCGCCCTTGGCAATAGTTCTTGGGATCCACGAGCGGATAGGAGATGCATCCACGTATCAGGAGAGACAACATTTGAACTCAGGGGTTCTGTATGTGTTGTAAAATCTCCATACTCCCTCCCTACATACCTAGTAAAGAGTACCTGGGTACCTTCTACGTTCCTGCGAAATGTGTAGCACTATTCGTGGCTGGAGGGAGCAAGCCACAGTCGGATAGAGCTCAGCCACAAAGATTCTGACCAATGACAAGCCCTTGACTGAGATGGTTGAGTTTGGCGCTGGCGAACGGTTTGGGCGGCGGGAGCCTGGGGCTGACTGACTTGGCCTCGACGCCGTCTATCCGGCCCAGCAAGCCCAGCAAAGCCCAGCAGGGCCAGCAGGGCCAGCAGGGCCAACAGGGCCAGCCTTTACCAGCCAGCCAGCCCCCCGGTCCCTCTAATAAAGCCAAACTCGGGCAGGGCGCCAGGGCGGCGCGTGACGTACGAGAGTCAACTCGCGATCCGACACGCAGCAAGGACTCACCTTGACTGTGGATGTGTGGACTCCAGTCCCCCCCAACTGTGACGATGCCGTCCCCATTACTTGTACATAACGACATGTTGTTCCTGCATTCTTGGTCTTGACCCTGGAAAAGAGGAACTCCACAGGCACAAGGACAGGACTACTTACTTTACTACCCATCCTCTCGCTATTCCTGTCGTCGACGTTCGCTCCCGACACTCGTTTTCAAACCAGATAGCGATACTCTATATACTCGGCAGCACCCTTGGGAAAATCTCTGTTCAACTTTAGCAAAGGATGCCCTTTATACCAAATACGCCCGAGTCTCTTCTAGGTCGCTCCGACTCTCTCAACCCAGAGTCGACATGTAGAGGTATCACCTCCAACGGCCGTCCGTGCCGACGTCCGCTCGGTGCCTCCCCGTCCGGCTCACCTGCCGCGTCGCGCACCAAAGTTCCAAAGAGAAAGAAGAACCTCCGTGTCGATGACCCTGCCGATCCCGACTTGTACTGCTGGCAGCACAAGGACCAGGCGAGCCTGTCTGCCAAGTCCAGCCCGGGGCCGGGGCGCGAAACCACGCCCATCCTCGAGCAACGGGAGAGCTTGGACACGCTCATCGACCGATTGGGTATCGTGGAAGCACAAAAGAGAAAGAAGAAGCCAGCAAACGGGGGCATGGCCTCAGGTGGACGGGTCTCACAGGCTGCGCCGGGAAGCGTCGAAAAGCCACCCATGCCGAAACCAAAGACCAAGAAGAAGGAAAAGACGTTCTGCTGCTGCTTCACGATAGCAACGTATGAGGAGGAATTGCCGGCCAGACCCAAACCAAGACCGATTCAGCCCCATCCAAGCGCAGCAGGCGGCTCGTCAAAGCCTCCATCCAACCAATATCTGTCGCCGTCCTCGGCCCAGACATCGCGCCCCGGCGCCGGCGGCAAGTCCCCTCGGCGCAGCTCCGCCAAGTCTGACGCTTCGCAAACGTCCCAATACCTCCAGCTGATTCCGCCCTCGGCATCGCCCCAGACTGCATCGCAGCTCATGGCCGAGCTCGCCAAGCCGATTTCGCAGCAGGATGAGCCCGGATACATCTACATATTCTGGCTTACGCCCGAGTCGCAGCCCAAGGCGCCCCCCGTCGATGCCGCGCGCGACTTGCTGGCACCGCCGAGCCGCTCACCGGGACGACAGAGACGCACGAGCGACGTGCTCCAGTCGTACGCCACGCAAAAGGACAAGTCGTCCAAGACCATCCTTCTCAAGATTGGCCGCGCGTCCAACGTGCAGCGGCGACTGAATGAGTGGACGCGACAGTGTGGCTATAATCTCTCGCTCATCCGGTACTATCCGTACATTTCGGCCAATGCGCCTTCGACGCCGCGCAAGATGCCGCATAGTCACAAGGTCGAGCGCTTGATTCACCTCGAGCTTGCCGGAGCCGGACTTCGGGTCAGTGACAAGGGTACCTGTGATGCTTGTGGCAAGTCTCACAGGGAGTGGTTCGAGGTTGAGGCATCCCGAAAAGGCATTGAAATGGTTGACGAAATTGTGAAGCGGTGGTCGGATTGGGATGAAGGAAGGCTTTAGAACTGGGGAAATGGGATATAAACTTTTTCCTTTTCTGCATGATATTATACTGCATTGCGTGGCGTTTACTGGCTGGGTTTACAGAATGGATAATGTTTGGCAGTTGGGTCAAGCGAATATGAATATTTCAAGCACACGCACATCACCATCATTATTAGCATTTTTGACCTCTATCAGTGAATGGACTTGAAAATTTCAAATTTCTCAAAATCGATCATGTCTCATTTCGTAGACCCCTTTCCTGTCATCAGATATTTCACTGTCCAACTACTAATCAGTTGGCATCGCCAGGACTTTAACTATCATTTGCCTAGGAGACAATAGCAAAGAAATGCTTGAGAAGCGCATGCACTATAAAATTCTAGGCCGTAAAGGTTCTCCACTTGCATGGCCCAGCTGCTCCCTGAACACTCTTCCACTTAGTAACGCCCGGGGGGCGGGGGGGTACCGTAAACAACAAAATTGGTCTATGTACATGTATATTCTCTTGATTTTCTTGTCGGTACAAGGTCCCTATTTCTCAATTTTCTTGCTCAATGTTCTAACCCATTGTCGTGTCCGTATATGATGGTGGCGAGGGTATGTAATTTCTAGACCACCGACTCGTACCTCGCAAACTCTCTCAACCCCCGCAAACTTGCTCAAAATGGACAGGAACAAGGACATGATTGGTCAGACTGAGCGCAGTGCCTTGTCCACTAATTTTCCCCCATGTTCGAGTCTTTTTTGTTGCCGTATGAAACAATGGGCAGAAATAATGGCAGAAAATGACACGATTCACGTGCACCTGTTTAACTGATTCAGGGTCTCAAAATTGGATAATGATACACTTGTCGATCTAGGCGTTTTGAGCAGATATTCCAGATGGCTAGGTCTGGTATAAAACCGGCCACGGGTACAATGGCTCGAATAGTTTTCTCAGTTTATATTCACTTCCATTGCAGATTCACAACGACCTTTGTATATGATATATCTACAAACTGCCAAGCGCTCATATACTTCCCTGAATACTGCAACTAGCTATTTGCTCGACGCTCAACACTCACTTTTATTGAGCGTTTTCATCCTGAAAACCACCTCTCCAAGAAAAGAAAAAGAAAAAGAAAGAGATATCAATCGTATCACAATGTGCGGCATCCAATCACCTCGCCCCTCACAACCCCTAGGCGGCGCCCTCGCCGTCCTCAACGCGCCAACTTGTTCGTCACCATCATCACGTCTACGAGCCCTGTCAGGCCACATGGTCTTTCACGGGTTGCCAGCCACCTCGTCATCTTCTTCTTCCTCCTCCTCACTATCAACGCCGTCAAACATGGCAACACATATTACCTATACGCCGTCTTTGCTCAAAGAAGAAGACTACGATGATGCCACAGAGAAACACCCCCTCGACGGCTGCGTCATTGGTATCCACAGCACGGGCGACCTGAGGACGACGAGGAGGAGCACAACCCCAGAGTCCGAGTCCGAGGACGAGCAAGATGAGGATCAGTACGAGCAGATGCTGCTCCTTCACCGGCTGGACCTTTCCGCGGCGTGTCCGTCCTTGGTCCGGACCGCCCGCTCCACCGAGCTCCGCCTCGAGGGGCCGCTCGAAATTGGCGTCGGCGGCGTGGGCATCATTGGTCGCAAGGTTTCCGTGTGGAGGGATTCCGGAAACGGTCGAGGCGTGAGGATTGCCGAGGGAATCGTTGGATTCAACTAAAACGGACAAGTATTTTGTAATATCTGCCTTTTGGCGTTTATTTGGCTTTTTGACGGTACTCTTTGTTACATGTACTTTGAAGGCAATTCATCATAGGTGTTCGGTGTTTGTGGGCATTAAGTAGATCATTCCTTGAGCATAACGCTAGCTCGGGATGGAATGACAATTGAACATCTTTCAAAATAGTATCTCGGCTTTTGAGTCATCAGGTCATTGGTCAATCCAAAATGTGTATGCACATGTTCATATTGGTACCATAATCGAACAAGGTAACATACAAATAGCCATTCTTTCCCCGTCACAGAATGACACAACGACATAACCCTCCAGCGCCATGTGTGATTCACCAGCAATGCTTTAAAACGACGAGAGATGAAATCCGTATAAACGAAACCGCTGCCAAGGGTATTCATGCAAGTCCTGGTTCGAGAGACAATAGCAACAGGAAGCAGCATTGAGGGAGACAATCTATCAAATGAAACGAACTTCGCTGAACATACCAGCCCTGACTTGTACCAATGCCGCGAGCTCGAGGAGGAATGCCTGAAAGATGATGGTGTTTGTGAGAACATGTGATACGGAGGCAGCCTTCTCCCCGTCAGGTGTGGCTGTTTCACTCGGTGTCTGAGTCGGATCCGCAGCGTCGTTATCTCCCTGTTGTTCTTCAACCTTGGGGGTTGATTCATGGCCTTCCTCGTCGACTGATGTTTCCGCTGATTCCTCCGCAGCGGCAGGCTTCTTGCCAAAGTCGAGAGGAATTGATTCAACCACATCCGACTCCTTGGCGGGGAGTTTGACCTTGCGCAAGAGAATGCTTTGATCCACAGCTGCAAAGGCTGCTGCTTGACTAGCTACAGGGCCCTGTCGCTCACCGGATCCAGGGGTCTCCTGTTGCTGGTTTTCTCGGGACAGCCCGCCCCTCGTTGGGCTTTGATGATTCATCGGAAACTGCTTGGGCGGTTCAGGTCTGGATGATGGCGTTCCTCCTGGTGTACCGGCACTTGTAGTTGCACGGCTGTTCTTGCGGCCACGAGTACCACTGCTTCTAGTTGGGGTGCTTAGTTCAGACAAGAGACGCTGCGCAAAGCTTTCCAATCCACCGGGGCGTGCTGGAGAAGTGGGTCTCGATGATTTATCAAAGCTTGAACGCTCACTGACGGGTGTAGCGGTGGCTGTTGCTGGTCGCACCGGCAATGGGTTTTGCACAATGGTGTCCGCAGTCTGGAAGGCTTCCCGTCGCTGCTGCAACAGCTCTTCGAATCGAGGGATAGAGCCCTTGAAAGAAGCAACCTGGTCTGCCAAATCCTCAAGAATGTTCAGGACGCGAGGAAGACTCGAGGCTTGCCACAACGGCCTTCGACGGCATCTTTCAATGGCCTTCAGTTTTTGCGCCTCAGTAAAGGAGTCCGAAGAAGGGTCAAGAGTCGGTTCGGGGAGGAGTTCGTCATCCTCGCCGAATGAGTATCTCTGCGGAGAACGTAGCAGCCATCCTTCCATGGTTATGTAACCGCAGACAGCCATGTCAACAATTGTCTCAGTGAGGGACAAGTTTGTTTCCACTGGATTGACAAAGAATGTTTCCAATAGATCCAGCAAGGAATTCAGTAGCGGGTCCTCGGGACTCAATGAATGATGCGGAACATCTCGAGGGGCGCCTGGCAAGCTATCGGGAATGGCAGGGAGCTTGTGATTGTTGATTGACACTTTTGGTGCTACTAATCTGAGAGAGCAGGGGTGAGCCTCTAGTCTCGTCATTGTATCTTTAACAATGTTATCGTAGATCTCGTCAAAGTTGTCCTGGCCACCGACCGAGCCAGCGAGCACGGTCAAGAACTCGACCTCTTGCTCGTGAGCTCCGCGAGTTCGTTGACTACTACTTCCATGAACACCTTCGGTATGCAATAGAGTAATGATTGCGTATCGGTGATGCCTCTTAAGGATGACCGCAAGCAATTGCAGCGTGACGCAAACCGTTTGCTGGTTCTTGGACTTTAGACACGACTGGATAAGATCCACCAAATTGAAGAGCAGCGGGGTGTACTCTGATGCAATTTTAGAGGCAGCCATCATGGTTGCAAGATCCATGGACTTTCGCTTGCGGGCAGCACTGATTGCCGCTTCTGGTTTTGATGGTTTGGGCATTTCGGCATCAGGCAAAGCCAGAAGGTAGTGAAGGATGAGATTGATCATGTCGGGATGGTCAAGGGCTTCCAAGATGCGCCTCAGATATGTCAAGACAGCGACTGAAGAGCCACCATCAACGTCTGACGACTCTAACAATGACGGGTATCTGGATCTTGTGAGTCACGGTCATTCATGAAAGACATTTACAGGCACTTACAATAACTGCTGCAGGAAAATGACCTGGAAATGTTCGAGGAGCGTCGACTTGACCTCGGTTGATCTACAGTGGTTGAGCACATCTTGCCAAAATAGAAGATGGGCCAGAAAAGTATCGAGATGTAGCTTGAAGTCGGGCGAACAGGAGCTGACAATCTCAAAGGTCGAGGACGGGTGCTGGTAGTCTGACAAGGCCAGAACTGGCGGTAGGTCCTGTGGGGGGTGATCAATCACCAGCTTGCGGCTCAGTTGACTGTAGAGCGCGCCCAGACCAGTTGCCATCAGCGTAGAAAGATCACTCTCCACTATCCACTGTTCCAGCTCGGCTGAGTTGGAGGCCGACTCGATAATGTATAGCAGACCGGTGCGGGCGAAATCCCCCACTTTGCCCTCGTGGTGAATGTAGTCCATGAGAAGGTAAAAGAGAGGGAAGTCCTGCTTCTGTGTCTTTCCAGCAAATTTCTCTCTTTCATCCTTGGGTTTACCGTCCTGGCCCGACTCGTGTTGATGCGATTTGAACCATGCTGGCAATATATGCGGCTCCAAGCGGATCTTTGTAGTAATATTGAAGGCTATCTCGACCACTCTCACTTCTGTCTCTGCGCCCAGACGAATGCTGTTGGCGCCCGTGATACGGATCAGAAGGTTGGTCAAGCTAGCAGAGAAGGCCTCATTCTCGACGAAAGCCTCCTCTTCACTCTCAATCAGGGTTGCGAAAAAGGTGACGGCCTCCTTGATAATCCATTCATTGTACGAGGTGGTCGCTATCTTGGCAATGGGAACGTAAATCTGTTTGACGGCCGAGAAGGTAATGCACGGATGTGGGAGGGGTCGACGAGACTCGTCGGCGAGGATATTGGAGAGCTCCTGAAGGCGGATTTCTAGGTTTTCGGCAGCGTCGACGTCTCGAGCAATGTTTGACGTATTCCTCCATATATGCTTGGGTTGGTATTAGCACGACATGGCTCCCAGTTAGTGTCCGGCATCTGTCCTCACCAACAGCTGGCTGTACTCTTTTTCGAAACGTTGTCTCCTTCGTACCGGATCCCTAGCAGCGTCCTTGCTAGAGGTGGCCGAGGCCAAGGGGGTATGTGCTATGAGCCGCGACCACTAAGTAGTAGAGAGTGAGTATTTGGCACGTATGAGCGCGTCTTCTGATTGCCAGTGCTACTTACAAAGTCCATGACGGCGACGGCGTCATTGCTTGTGATAGTTGTTGAAAAGACAGACAGACGCTGCTCAGAACCGAAGCGTGTCAAGGTCCATTTCGCATTGAAATCAGCTGTCTGAGGTCCAGTCCGTCCCCATGCCGTCCTAGATTGATTAGCCGGGCCCCCTGTCAAACCCAATGCAGACAGACACAGCGGGCCACTAGCGCGCAATGGCCCCTTGGAAACTTTGGTGGTGGCATTGGATTTGGCAGCTTTGCCAGTGCCTGTGGCTCGGTCTAAACTGCCGACAGCCCGCCCCCAATTGGCAAGAAACCCCTCTGGAGTCGCCTCTACTGTGTACTAGACCTCTGGCTCTAGTCCAGGGGTCGTGGATTCTGGAACCCCCTACCTAGGAATGTGGTATATAAATAGGAACATTTTTTTCTGACATCACTCAGACTTATGCCTAATGCATTTATACATGTTCATATTGTCACTTGCGTATTGCATTTCTGTGGCAATTCATGGACTTCATCTACTTGTCTAGACTCCATCATTAGTACAACTGCCAGCAATATATCCGACTACTACATAGGCAACCTAGGTACTTTCGAGGACTCTCCACGTATCTGGAAATTGCCCAGTCCCTAAATACTATGTAGCGATCCATATATTTTGGCCCGGACCATCTCATGGTCCCCTCATACGATTTTCTGCTCCTTCGTATACATCATAGCCTGTTTTCAACCTAGGAACACCCACATATTTCGGTTTCAAGAATATAGCGATCTAACACTACATTGCTGACGTCGAATAAATTAAGTTGATGGAATTCTTTGCAACTGACCTTGGTGAAGTGCAATGTGTCTAGGGCAGCCCTACTGATACTGCCAAATTCTAAGATAACGTCGCCTTGGTTACGATGACTGGGTACTTTAGATTTGCTAGCAACAATGTCCGAGGCCTTCAGTTTCCTACCTTGGCAGAGTTCAGTGGCTTGATATGTCCTTTTTTTACGTCAAGGTACAAACGCACGATGATCAGTGCAACTTGTTTCTTTTCAATATCACAATGATCTGCAAGTTCTCGGCCCCGAACACTTGACATATTGCTTGTGTTTCATGAAATAATCCGGGCCACGAGCCGGAGCAGCATAACGACGATTGCTGAAGAGTGAGCTTGAGTCAGTCATTACCTGACTCTCCAAGCCCAGAACGCAAGGAAATTCGAATAGTTCCAAGGATCCGTAATATACACATGTGGGTGGAAACCATTATCAGCGTGGGTTTATGGTACAGCAAGTAAAATGGACTTGGTAATGATTTGAAAGTTGGAATGATCATGCACCTAGGGGTTCTGCAGTAGCACGCCCCCAGCGACACCGACTGGTGACGCTGTTAATTCTTTCCAATGTACGTAATGTACAAGGAATATACTCATAATATTCTTAATTTCGGGACTAAATGTGTGGATCTTGACTCTGCATGTCACATAGTGAGCCATGGTAAGTGGGTGTACTTTGAGCATGCAACTCAATCTTTCGTGCCTCGAATCTTGCGACGGATTTTATGCCTCGGCATCATTCATCACAGCTTGATGTCTCGAACGCTTCAGGCCCCTCGACTAGGTAGATAATGAATTTCAGAAACCAGCAGTTGACCGGTAGAACACAAGACAATGTCAAACGTGACTCAATCATTCAACGGAGGCAGCCTTTACGCAATAACTCGCGATGAATCCATCACCCCAATTTAACGAGTACGAGACTGCAATTCCCGCCAATATGAACCGATTGGCGTGTTCAAATTAGCACTGTTGCAACTTTGGTCATGTTGACACTTGCTCATGTGAATTGTCGAGCCTGGGTTGGGCATTGGGTTTTTGAAGAGCGCGGTAGCCAGAATATAAATGTATTCCACACTATAATAGTGTAGTCGCGGGTGGAAGCCTGCACGGGAGGTCCTGCAGTAGTGCTCACCTAGTTATCAAAACCAGCTTATTTAGTGATGACACACATGTGCATGTTATATGTCATTGCGGGGGAGATGTCGATGCATCTGTTTCGTGTATCTATTAATTATGGTCGCATATCATATCTAGAGTGTCGAGATTATCATATCTCAAATTGTTTACCATAGAGGGCATTGACTAGGTAGGTAGGTAATGTATATAAATCTGCAGAAAATTGTCTTACAACTCACCAACCCCGCACTCGCAGCTGCAGCTATCACCAGCAACTACCTAACTTTGACTCCTTGAGTAACTCCAGGGCTAGCCTGCCTCTAAGCTTATGCAGTAGGCTTAAAAAACAAAGTGGTTTGGTGAGGCCATGGCCTATACTATAATGGGGCTTCTCGGTTATTTACAGTCATGCAGTAGTTTGCATACAGAAATGTCTACCTATCGTAGCTTCGAGGACCATTTGAATGAGCATTTACCCAATTGATAAACTCGGCTGCATGCATAGTGAAGCCCCATCTGTATTCTCGCCGTGGTTCGCTCCATGGGCACCGTCGTTCAGGTCAACCACTGACCCCTGACACAATCGATTGCCTTCATTGGGGCGCAGTTGCACGGCCTCGGGCGAATCACAGCGTGTAGGCGTCGTCTTCCAGGGATCCGCGTCTGGAAAGGGCAAGGCACACCCGCCTCTCCGATTGTGCTATGCAGTATTTTGCAGTAGGTCCAGCGCTTCCGGTGCGTAGTAGTGCGAGAAACCAGTCAAGCTCGCCGTCGGTCGGCCATGTGGTGCAGTGTGCCCGTTTTTCTCTCTCTCTTAATAAGATCCGGGCCACCACCATGACGATACTAGGCAGAGGTGCTTCGCCCATTTTCTTCGTGGATGTTGCCGGTACAGTAGCCGCTTTTTTCTGTTCTTGTAACATCACACACATCTGTCGTGTTTGTAAAACCCCGTCTTGTGTGTCGTATTGCAAATCTTGTCCTGGCCTCTGAGACACATTTTATTTACATACAAACATACTATTGATCCCACATTCCCTCAAGTCCCAGCGCTTCCATGCAGGGTCAACAGAGGTCTTGCAATGGGGTTCTTCGCGTCCAGAAAGCGTCAACAACCGTCGTCGCCATCTTCGCCCACACTCAAAGTTGATCATCTAGGATATCCAATTGGCTCGTCTCGGCCACAAGTCACCCAACCCCAGGACTCACAAGTGCAGCCGCCCTCTCAACCTCAAGTCCAAGGAGGTTATGCTGTTCAGCCTCCGCCATACCCAGAGCCACAGCGGCCGTATGGTCCTCCTATTATCGTGAATCAACACTACTATCTCAGCCCCGTTCCTCCTTATTCAGCTCCGTCAACATGTTCCTTGACCCATCTCGGTAAACACAATCTTGGGTCTATGGTGGATCTTGCCAACAAGCTTGTACCATACGAGGTTGTGCATCAGGTAATCGATGACGGTTTGCCAAGATGGCATTGTCACGCCTCACAATTACTGAACCAAACCGCTGCATTGTACGATCAGATACAGACCAAGTTCAATGAAGTCATGACTTCAATTGACTGTGATCGTTTCTCCGGACATGAAGGAGACTTGTTTCAGTATCAGTCAACCCCTCATCAAGCGTCTAGCACGGTCTCGCCTCCAGCAGCGACGGGCGACAAGAGCCGGGCCAAGAAAAAAGGCAAAAAGGATACAACCAAAGGACAAACCACAGCAGTCGTGTCGTCACTTGCTCAGGGCGGTTATTTTGCCAAGGTTGATTTATACGCCAATTCTCGGCTGCCTGACAATCTACCTCCTCTGCGACTGTAAGCCACGAGCCAACAGCCATTATACCAGGTTTCACTAACAAGCAACAGCTATATCCCAACATGGCCATTGATATGCTTGGCATCCCAATATTCTGAACGGGTCTATGAGACTCCCCGAGGCTCTGAACGCGATGCCTATGTTGATGCAGACTGGCGGACAGGGACAAAGGCCATGTGTATAAAATCTGTTCCTATGGACCACATGCACACTATCGTCTTTGCCATACGTGGGACGGCGACTTTTATGGACTGGGCAGTCAACCTGAACACGGCACCAACAGCGCCAACCGGCTTCTTGGTAAGTTGCGTTGCTCTCCAGCTATGAGATTGCCACTTACCGGCTTTATAGGATGACACCAGCAATTTTTGCCACGCAGGATTCCTTTCTGCAGCGCGAAAGATGATCAAGCCCGTCGCGGCAAGGCTTCGGCAGCTGTTGGAAGAAAATCCGAATCGCTCATCGTACTCTCTTCTGATCACCGGCCACTCAGCTGGCGGCGCCGTGGCCTCTTTGCTCTACGCCCATATGCTCTCGACCTCCAAAGCAGCCTCATCTGAGCTAAATATTCTGACTGGCTGCTTCAAGAGAGTACACTGCATCACGTTTGGCACACCACCATTGTCCCGTGTGCCTTTGCAAAAACCCGAGCGATTCGAACTCAGAAAGTCTTTGTTTATAACCTTTATCAATGAAGGCGATCCCGTGGCGCGAGCCGACAAGGCATACGTCAAGAGTCTGCTCGAGCTTTTTGCCAGTCCCGCGCCAAACCTAACTCCGACAAAAACAGACGGCAAGTCGCTCAGTTCGCCGCCGAACCCGCCTGCAAAACAATCCAAATCAAAGGACAAAAAGTCCAAGACCACTTTGTCATCCAAGAAACCAAAGAATGCGGTGAAGCCACCTCAGACGAAGGCACCGAGGCCTGTATGGCAGTTACCCCCAAGCACTCTCAGCAATGCGGGGCGCATCGTGATTTTGCGCTCGGGAGACCCGAAGGCCAAGCTCAAGGGCAAAAAGACAGTCGAGGAACGACTGAATGAGGGGGTCTTGGCCCAGGTTGCGAGCGACGAGCAGCTGAGGAACGTGGTTTGGGGCGATCCCGTCTGTCATGTCATGAAACTGTATGCTGGGCGCATCGAGACCTTGGCGGTTGCGGCAGTGACCGCTAAACGATGGCTATCATGACGGAAAATACCGTCGAAATTATGGAAGCGGTTCTCCATAAGGCGTTTGGCTTGATTTCGGGCAATTATTGATACCATTTGACTTGGACAGTAACAGGTTGCAGTTTTCTGGGCCTGGATATAGTCTGCGGGGTACGAATTTTATGATGACAAAATGACACTGCTACGAATTTCATTTGTGTCTGTAGGTGTAGTAGAGATATATAGGTATCATCAATTCAGCATGTGAGAAATAATTATGGTCATCTTTGCGAAATTGACTCGAGACAAGCAAAAAGATTCATGCTTTTGACCTAGGACTGATCCGAACACAAGCAGCTTACCAGCAGTATACTTGATCGTCAACTATGTACTAACCATGATCATATGGCCAGCCCCACACTTCGGAAGCAAATTGCATCCGATAAAGGTGGTGTCAGTAAGCAGGAAGCGAGTCGACATCTCTTGACATTAACAATCATGTAACTCGCACATGCGCAGAGCATTGATGGTAGTTCGTGTTTTCCCAGATTTCGTGGTGAAGCAAATGATCTGCTAAATTCCAGCATCCAAAACCTTCATTTTGATGGTTGACGAGCAATATGAATCAAGATCGGGCTACAAGTTCAGCAGCCCCGCGTCGGCGCAGTTCGAGAACAGCTCAGGTATGTTGTACGGGACTACATCAACCAGTTGCGGGTAGGCTCCATCGTCACAAGCTCACCATATGAATCCATTAGGCCTGTTCTCGTTGTAAAGACAAGAAGACGCGCTGTGATGGAAAGAGACCTTCTTGTACTTCCTGCTCCAAATTCGGCTCGCCATGTGTCTATGCACAAACGCAGAGGACAAGAGGGCCAAGCAAAAGGTTTGTGCCAAAAGAATTACCTACAGAAAACAGGTTCGTCGTAACACAATAACTGACCTTTAAAATAGCAAAAAGTATATAGAAGATCTTGAAAATCGATTAGCTACTGTTGAGCACGATCTTCGGCGGTCTGGACTCGCAAAGGACGATGCATCGACTGAGGCGTCATCGTCTCAAGATAAGGAACCAGAGGCACAATCTCTTTGTGAAGGCAGAAGCTCTATTGGCTTGGACGAAGAGACTTCTCGCAACCAATCTCTAATCTCCCCGTCCGCTAGTACGCAGCGCGTCTTGCCGCAAACAGACTTGCCAGCAATAGAATTGCCGACAACAGACTGTCCAGGAATGAATCTACAATATTGGCAAGGTTGTGCGATGCGGCGGAAAGATATGCGAGCACATACCCGCTTCGACAAGTTTCAACAGCAAGTATTTGCTCCGCTGTTTGCGGAGGAACCGAACCAGGTCTTCATTGGTCCCGTGTTTGACGAGATCATGGCACCCTTTCCCTTTCTCGACTGGGTATTATTCAAGACGGGGTTGACGAGTGAGCTCAGCTCCTTTTGCAGCCCTTCTTGGCGCGCATGTGTCAATGCGGTGCTGTCAATGACCGTGTGCTTCCGCGCGGCGAAGAGCGCGTTTGCAGAGCTACAGGGAGATGCGTGGGCGTACTTCAAGACGGCATTTGGCTTGTTGCCCCAGCTCATGGCTGAGGGCAAAGATTTGGAGGCTGTGGAGGCAATGACATCCATGTCAATGTTTCTCCGAGGTACACCAGATGCGCAAAACTTGTCATTGTTGGTATCAAGCGCGAGTCGCTTATACCAGATCGTCAGTATGCGTCGCAATAAAGTGTCCGATGCCGCTCACGATGTTCCAGAGCCACAGAGATCTTCTCACCTTCTTTGGGCACTGCATTCAATGGATCAAGAATTAGTCTTTAGACACGGCTTGTCCCCTGTCCTAGACATGCGACACCAATTCTTGAACGAACTCGAAAGTTCCGGATCCTTGGACACGCCCATGATAAATCTATTTCGCAAGCGCACCAGTCTTGCCGTTATACAGTCACAAATTAACAACCTTCTCTACTCAAACACGAAACCTGACCTAGAATCTGCACCACTGGCTGGGCAAATATACAAACTTGCCACTGGGCTTCAGCAGTGGAGCTCCGAGATGCACTTGGTTATTCCTACCGCCGCTCGCGCATCAACAATCAATGAGCTTGAGCTTTCCTTGCTGATTCATGTCGACGACCTTTATCTCGCCCATTATCACACTATACTAATGATATACTGGCCATTGCGAGGGTTCCAAGACGATAACATAATCAACGCCCCTCAGATCATTTCCAGTAGTGATTTCACATCTTTGCGAGACCTGTCAAGGACAAAGTGTGCAGATGCTTCTCAGGAGACACTGTTGTTGATTGGCCATTTCTATTCACTCCCATTCATGTCCTTGTGGTCAGTTTGATATTGCACCCTGATGTATCATGCTTGGTGCTGATATTTTCTCAAAAACAAACAGGTCATTTCTGAGCTACTTTGTCTCGGCGCATCTCACCCTTTTTGCTGCTGTCTTGGCCCAACCCAGGGGACTCGTAGCGGCAGGACATTTATCAGCCATGGAGGTATTCATGACATCCCTTAAGTTGATCATTTCAGAGAATGGCTTTGATATCAGACGGGTAGCCTCTGCCTGTGCTGGTATGACTAGCATTTCCCGCGCCGTTACCAAGGCGGCGACGGCTATCAACAGTCCAAGTCAGAGTGAAACCGACCATATTACTCAACAAGCAGAGGTGAGAAAAAAAGTTGTAACAAGTATATGAAACTCTACTCACTTTCCGCTAGACTGCACTCGACCTTGTCAACCAAGCGACGAGTCCCATGTACATTGCACAGAACTGGATGAGCAACTTAAAGAATAAGGACTATGATATCTCAGTGGCCTTGGCTCGTGTCCTCGGGATACCGTGGGACCTTGACCAGCGTTATGGCCCTTTGGTTCCCGAGGCGCTCATGCCGGAGACCTATGCGTTTGGTTTTGCAGAGTCCAAAGAATATTCAATGTATCGCAAATAATGATCAAGTTCCTTGCTGAGTAGCTACTCATTTCATATGTTGCAGTCCAAACCAGATTGCATCTGTCACAATTTGATCGGAAACTCATGGTCAAGATTGGTAAAAGAGTGACTAAAGTTGGATTTCTGGGGCTAACAGTACTACTACCTATCAATGCACATCAAGCATCATCTCTCCAAGATCTCGTATCAAATCAAGCATTACATCTCCCATAAAACTTCGTGATCCCATGATTATCTCGCGATGGATTGAATGGATTTTGGTAAATTTGGCGAAAGCGAACGCTTCAGAGTTGAGCAAAGGGGGCACCCAATGCGTTTATAGCAGGGGAACAGCGACGCAGGGCAGCTGGGCGTTGATGAGACCCTGCTGGGGAGCACCGCCAGAGTGCTGGCAGCAAGCAACAGACTGCTTGCACTGCTGGTTGAGGAGGTCAGTAAGACCGAGACCAGCAACGGCGCCTGTTGTGGGGGTTTCATTGTGTCAGCCTTTTTTTTCTTGATCTGAGTATCGCTGTCGCGGAGAGGTCGTATCTTACCAAGGCCGAGGTCGAGCTTGGAGCAGCCATCGAAGAGAGCAGCGCCCTTGAGCAGGTCACCGGCAATGTCGAGGCCGGAGAGCAGACCGCTGGCAACGTCGGTGGAGTGGTCGTCAGTGTTGCCCTTATTGCAGCAGCTCAACTCGAGGTCCTGTCCGCAGACACTGTTTGATTATTAGCTGATGTGAGGTCTTTGAGAAGATTGGAGAAGTCGACATACTCGCCGGCAGATCCAACGGTGACGTCGCCATCGTTGCCACCACCCACCTGGGGAGCAGCAGCTGCGAAAGCAGCGAGGGTAGAGACGATGAGAAGCTTGAACTGCATTTTGACGGTTGGTTTGGGGTTTAATCAAAAAGCTGAAGCTTTGGCTAAGTTATGGGAGATGTTGGAGGGAATGTGGTAGAGTTGCAGGAAGGAGTGCTTTTTGATGCTGATGATGAGAGTAAGAATTGACAAATGGACAGAGATCAAGTTGATGTTATATACTCAGATCTTCTTCCGTGCTCGCCCATAGCCAGTCTCCCATCGTTTGTTTTTCGCTCACCAAATAGCCACGATGGGCCTCGAAATGGAATGCCTTGATAGTGATCTGCAATCGCAGGAGTCTTTGAGAATGTCCTGTCTCAATGGTCGCCGCCATGTTGGGATTCGGGGCCCCCAAGAGCCATCACCATTCTACCGCCCCCGCAAAAACAAAGAAATAATCGGTCATGTCTCAAGACGATTTGAGCCTCAAAACCCAGCCCAAGGGCTCGGGAATGATGATTGCGGTCTCAACTGGTTGATTATAAGTGCCGATGAAGCGCCGCCACAGACTTGACAATAGTACCATGGCGTCAATTCATTGACTTTAATATGATTGGGATCCTCGTAGAAAAGATAGAACAGAATTCTATTTATATGATTAAAATTATTTCCCTTTCTTTCAATGACAGACTCAACCAGACATTTCGTTTGAATTGCTTTGTTTTTTTCGGGCTTTCTTGCAATTCGGCGTTTTTAGGGCTACTTGGCAAGACAGAACCACATACTGGTGACTAATTCCACTGATGATCGCTCCAGGCCAGGATAAATCTCCCTGTCGGATGAGCTGACTTCCAGGTTCTAGTTTTTGTTAAGAACTTTACCCTTTTTAGATTCATATTTATGATTTTAGCACGGCTAACACGACGCGCCTGGTCCACTACGTGGTTGAGAAGCCCCAAGTTCATCGCTAGCCACCATATAAGTACGCGACATTCCTCTTTCACTTGATCAAGTGCTTTGTTTGAAACTGTCAAACTAGACTGATGGATTTCCACAGAACAATTCTCGCAAGTTGTGTTTGTTGCGCAGCTCAGAGATCAAATTCTGAACAGTGCGGACATGGCAAACCGGACTTCCGTCGGAAAGAGCTTTGAAAAAGAAAACAATTTCGGCAACGGAAAGTGACTAGCCTGTATATTAGTTCATATGTGAAAGTTTCATCGTAGGCTCCTATGATTGATGAAAAGAAGGATGGAGTGACATATCTCATAGATGCTGTGAAGCATTGTAGCTTACCACGATGGCGCCTCGTATAAGTGAAGCCCGAGCATAGCCAATGAAGTCATTAAGTCGGTCGAGCACTGGTAGATGTATCAATATGTCTTGCTAGTACAACTCACTGTAATTTTCGCTGAATCTGCTAGTGAAGATAGCATCGTTATAGCAATGCAATTTATGCGGTCGATCGTTCGCATATTGAGGCTTGTTCCGTGAGCCACTGTAGATCTGTCAATGTCTTTAAATGTTGACAGCATTGCGGAATTTTATGTTGTGCCGACACGATGAAGAAGGATTTTGCTGCAAACCGACCGAAGCGGCCAGCTCAGGTATATTAAACAGACAAGTCCTACTGCGCCACCTTCAGTCTAGAGCTCAATCACTGGCTGTCAACCCTATGTCGTGCCTACACTGATGGCCGGTGGGTGATGCAGCAAGACTCACAGCAAGAAAGTTGCGCCCTCCCGGCAGGTAAACGGCCATGGGCTAAGTGAATCAATAGTCGCGTTCATGTTAGTCGCACAGTGTTTCCAATTCATTGGTCAGCTGCGCCCTGCCAAATGAAAAATCAAGACAAATATGCCAAGATCTAGGGTGAAAGCTCCTGATTCGATGGCTGCACAAATGTTCATGAATGACGAGTGTATATATATTCAAATCTTGCATGTGTGTATTCTGTCCTGCATGGATATTCGAAACCCAGCACGGCTGCCAAAGCAAGCCGGCGATTTAATGGATAAATATTCAAGACGGGATCAAAGCAATAGTCATTAACAAATCCCCTGCTGTGTAGCGCTTGTACATCATGCAGTCGTTGATCAATATCAGCTCAAGAAAAAGCCAAGGCTCGGAATATGTCAGATCGCCCGCGGGGCGTACAGGGAATAGGGATGGATATGCAACAGCTGTGCCATCGATGTAAAGATAGATGCAGGCTGCCTCCAGCTAGCCACCCGGATGTTAGTCATGCAGGAGTGTGTGTGCGTGTGTCATTGCTCATATTGCTCTGCTCTGCCCTGCTTTGCCCTGCCCTGTCTTCTTCCGACTCGGCCGTTGTTGTTGTTGCCTGCCCAATGGTCCCTCGCACACCGAGGGCTGGTACGTTGTGCAACGGATATCTTCGGCTTCTCGCATGTTCAGCGCTCTGCAGGTACAAACAGCCCCCCTGCATGTCAAATCTGCAATTATTCTGGGACTAGAGAGCGGATAAGGACAGTATCATCATATCTGAAGCGTTTAGTGGCAATCGGGGAACTGTTTATTTTCCCTTATGTGAGTTGCGTTCGGCAATATAGACTTAGAATGAGTTGAGAATTTATTTGAAAACATCACGCAAGTCGGCTCACTGCAACGGAATGTCACATCAGAGGCCACCGACTTGCTTGTCCAGTCTCAATGAGAAGCTGGGAGACCTGCGCCTGTTACAAAATCCAGATCATGAGGCTGATAGTTTAATCTATTCTCGTTTACACCCGAAGCGGGGGATCAAGGTAAATCATCAAGACAACAACAATTTGGGCGGATTCTGACATCCGCCAAAAGCTGCTGCAAGAAATTTCTGTTGTTTGCTGGCTTTGGTCTGGAATCGTATCGACAATGCAGGCATCCCCTTCCGTCCAGTATTTGCTCCCGAGAATCGGCCCAGGATCTAGAATTGCTGTGCTCCTGTCCCCTGAGGAATCGGTGGCATTATACAAGTACTTCGTTGACTCATCAGCTGCCATGTGCCCGACACGTTGAACGTGTGCCAGTGTGGCGGAAAACCTTTCAAGGTCTGGATCATGGCAGGGTTGATACCACTGCCGACGATCCCGTTTGAGACAGCAATGGCATCCTTCTCGTTTGGTGTTCAATGACAGCATGGCCAGCAAGCTCTCCAAGTTCAGAATGTCTCGAAGAGCTGGCGATGTTGAGCAACGGTACACCAAACTTTGAGCGACCACAGCTTGCAAGAAACGAGAGAACTAATCGGCATACCATCACTCAATCTGGACCGAGGGCAATCCGCCTCGATACATGACAGAAATCTGGGGCTTTACGGGATGGTGCATAGGTGTATGTTGGCACACTACAAGCAACCGATCACGGAAAGACTCCTGGTCTTGTTCCTGGATTCTGAGGTAGCATATGCGCATTGGTAACGAAGCTGCGGAGGGTTTCTTGCAGGTACAGCATTCACTGTGTGCCAATACAAATGACACGAGGAGAGACGTGGTCTAGTCTTGAATTATAAAGAGGACGAGATCACCACGAGTTGTTATTTCTTTAATATTGTTCTTGTCAAGACTTTCTTCCGTTCATTACCAACTCGGAGCAACTACACTCGTTTCCCTTGCCAAATCGTTTCGAGATCGTTGTAATGCACTTCACCACTCATTTGGGCCTCCTAGGCCTCAGGTAAGACTGTATTCACTGTTGAGACTATATTGCACTTTACTCAAACCATTTGTAGTTCTGTTCTGGCTGCAGCCCGCCCTCAGCAGCTTGCAGGACCACAGACGGTCACTGTCTGCGGGAGTGAATGTGCCTCGGTCATTACATCAACCGTGACTGTCTTCACTGGATGCTCAGAGACTTCTTCGGTACCAGTGACGACCATTTCATCGTCGACTGATTCTAGTTCCCTTTCGTCTCAGTCACAGAGCTCAACCACCGATACATCTTTGACCTGGACATCAAGGATTACTTCCAGTATCATAATCACAGTCTCTCCATCAACATCAACTTCCACTGCCACGTTGACATCCGAGACAACCGATTCAGCCACGAGCTCTACTGGAGTGACTACAAGTAGCAACTCTGCAACAACTGGAACAGGCGTGTCGAGCTCCACGGAGAGCACTACTTGGTAAGGAACTAACCACCATAGTTCATTCATGATTTTCTTACAGTAATATGTACTCATTAGCACGGACACTACCGAGACCATTCCTGGCTCTACTTCATCATCATGGGGAAGCTCCGTGACTGGTCCTACCTCGTCGGCTCCTACTAGCAGTGGCGTCTCTTCCACTTTGACAACTGTGTCGTGGAGCAACACCACCTCTACAGTGACTGAAACATCTTTCACTGGCACAGCAACGAGTTCCACGGCCACATCATCCCTGATTTCCGATACACTGACCAGCACCATCACGACTACCGACAGCACCACCACGGCCACTCGAACGTCCTTCACCTGGAACTCGACCATAACTCTTGGTACTTCCAGCACTGATGCTACGACGAGGAGTTCGACTTGGTCCACTTGGATCACATTGAGCACCACATCAAGCACCGGGAGCTCAACTTGGTCGTCTTCCGTGTCAGAGTCCAGCAGCACTCCAGCATCGACTTCCAGCACATGGGCAACCTCGAGCACCGGCAGCAGCGACATTCCTAGCTCGTCGTCTATTGGCACTTCCTACTCGGTCATTCCGCCGCCACCGACTTCTTCGTGGATCACCTCGTCAAGCAGCGTCTCATCCTCTAGCAGCGGGTCCATCACTTCTTCCGAGAGCACCTCGACCATTACGATTACCAGCTCTTCAACTCTGGCCACCACAAACACCCGATCGACGTCATCCTCAGAGGTCTCAAGTGTACCCTCGTCGTCGTCAACCACAACAGAATCATCGAGCACGGAGTCCTCGTCCAGTGCGACACAGACACCTGGAACCAGCTCTTCTCTGACCACGTATTCAGTATCACCCATTCCCAGCGGCAGCACGTCTACAGACACCGTGACCTCGACCACCACAACTGGGACCACCATCACCGACAGCTCATCAATATCCAGCAGTGTTCAGACCGAGTCGTCAACGTCAACCTTGACCATCACTCTGACGTCCTCGACCTTGGTCTCGAGCAGCTCGTCGACGTTCTCCACAGACACCATTTCATCCGAGACGGGGAGCATCTCTTCTTCATACACCAGCAGTTCCGCCACCGCGCCCACAACAACAACAACATTCTACTCGGTCCAGCCGCCGCCGCCGCCGAGCACATGGTCCACCTCTACGGGAGAAACCACATCCAGCAACGATGCCATTGGCACCACCATTACGACCATTACGACATCGTCCGATCTCACGTCCACCATCACGGTAACCAGCACCAGCACCCCCATCGAGACCCTGACCATGAGCTCCAGCGTGACCTGCGTGTACCAGAGCACATCGTATGGCGGGCCTCCGGGGACGTATAGCTGCTACACTGTAGTACCAACACCGACGCCCAGCCCGGGGACGACGACGACGACGACTGGAACAGACACGCCGAGCTGGACAACTTCGTACCATGTAACCTCCTCGTCAGTCAGGGTCTCTTCTTCCAATGACGCCATCACCAACCCGCCACCTTCCACATCGCTGACGACGACGACTTCTTCCTTGTCTTCTTCTTCCCCCGTCGTTCCCACACCCTCGGTCACCACCACTTGCGTGGCCAAGGATTACGGCGCCCACACCTGCTACGCCGTGACCGTCGACCCGACGGCAATCAGCACCACCACTACCGCCGCCACCACAACCGGTATTCCCAGCAGTCCTAGCCCGTCTCCTGCCGGACCTTCGCCCCCTTGGTCTTGGTGGACCGGCGGGAGGTACGGCAGTGGCGCCGGATCCCACGAACGGCCCAGCGAACACAAGTTTGGAGACGCCCACGGCGGAGACTTTGAAGTGTCGCACTAAGTTGAGCAGGACATGCTATCAGCTCTACTAGGGACTTCATATGATCTGTCTGGATCCTTCGGGTTGGTAAACGGTTGATGATGCTGTACTAACTTCATCGGAGAAAAAAAATTGGTCAATTGAGGACGAGGAAAAGGTATTCGTACAGAAAAAAGGGAGGGGCCCAAGGGGGTATGTTTTTGGGGAGCAACACAACAGACACATTTGCAGAAAAACAAAATTTCGGGTCATGGTCAGAACATACACTTCTCGTCTATCCTTAAGATTCCCCATTTCTCATCTGGTCTTGATGGTTTCCATCATTCCTTAAGACATATTTACATGTATTTCTTGATGTAACTTGATTTCTTTACTTGCTCATTCCGGGGGTCTTGTTTAGTCAACATTGTAGCCACAAGTAATGTGAAGGGGGAAAAGGGAACTTTTAGAAATCATAAACTTGAAAATTAGGCTTAGTAACAGACTCAACATGACGAAATTGCCGAGACACGAAAGCTTTACTCATTATACATGGTGTCGTCTAAAACGATGGAAAGGACAATACTGGCAGATTGGGCATATCGTCAAATGATCCCTTTATCCGTACATGAAATTGTGTCGTTAGCATTGTTATCCCTAGGTATAATCAAGAATCGATTTTGCTGCTCAAGGAAGAAATCTTGTCTTCCCCTCTAGTCTGTATAAAAGCAAACCAATGCAATACGCGCCTCGGCAGACCGCCCACGGTCGCACTTCTTCCCTGATGCTTGATTGAGTTCTGTACAATTACACACTATACGTGTCAATTTCCATTGCGGTCATTCCTGCTTCCTTTCCCTTTTTTTTTTCTTTGTTTCTTCTTTTCTCTCGGAGTCATTTCCTTCCCTCAGTTCATAGAAATCGTCCTTGGTCTAACAAAGTATTGTCGTTTCCATATGTCCTTGGAAACAAAGGTGTAATATAGGAGCCGAAGAAATTACATGTCGATTTCACCATCGGCAATGGCAAGTCGCTGCTTTGCAGTCTTTGCCTTCTTCCCACCGCCGCGTCGCTTCTTTGCTGCTGGGGCAGCCGGTGTATCCGCCTCGGCTGGAGTAGCTGTGCCTGAAGCCTTGTTGCCATCATCGAAATGGCCCTCGCCTAAGGGAAGTTATGCAAATTAGTTGAGCTGCCCCCAATTGTTACAATCCGGGTGCAGTAAAAACTTACCTTCATGATACATGTCATCCAGACTCACAGCCTCCCTCTTTCTCTTTCCGCCTCCACGCTTCTTCGTCTGCTTCTCCAACTCTCCGCTTTCACGCAGTTCCTTCTCTCTGCGCTCAATCATCTCCGCTTGTTCATCATCTGCCAGCCATAGAGCAATATCCTTGTTTCTGTTTTCTGCGGGACGACGGCCACTAAAGTCGACGCCACGAGCACCGCCGCCTGAAATGACGACACGCTGCACCTCTTCCTTCTGCATGGCTCGCTTTCGAATACGTTCTTCGATAGTACCACGAGTAATGAGACGGTAGACCGTGACTTGCCGGGTTTGTCCCAAACGATGGGCTCGATCCATGGCTTGCGAGTCGATGGTAGGGTTCCAATCACTATCGTAAAAGATGACCGTGTCAGCAGACGTCAGGTTGATACCAAGACCACCAGCACGGGTGGATAGCAAGAAGATGAAGATTTCGGGCCGCGTTTGGAAATCCGTAACCGTGTCTCGACGATCTTCCAGCTTGGTAGAACCATCCAGTCGACAATATTTGTAGTTCCGATAGGTCAGATACTCCTCCATCAAATCGATCATGCGAGTCATCTGGAAGTAGAGCAGAACACGGTGACCTTCTTCCTTGAGCTTGAAGAGCAATGCATCAAGTTTGGCGAGCTTGCCACTGTCAGTCACGAAGCGACGCATGCTGGGCACGGTGATATTGGTAAAGCGTCTCTTCTCGTTGTCTGGGGGTGGGAGCATCTTTGTGGGTGGGTACCGCTCTAGAGGATAGTTTTGAGTGACGAGCGCCTTCTCCTCCAGGGGATTCGGTCCGTACAAAGCCTTGCGCATAGGCACGTTGAACAGTGTATCGTCGCGCTCTACCAGAGGTGCACGAGTACCTTCACACGATATCTGGATCGGAGCAGCAGTGGCGCCTGGAAGGGCGGCTTGCTCAAGACGACTCAAGCCTGAGAACTGCCTATCGGACTTGGTAATGTTCATGAGCTTGCTCAAGATTCCCTCTTGGGTAATGTCGGCAAGTGGCTGTCTGTCCGCTCGAGCTCTGATCTGAAAGAGTGCATGTGCAGGCGTGTAGTTCTGATCCTCGGGATCATCATACATGACGTTCATGTGGCCAAGACGGTTGCCCTTTTTGACAATGTCTACTGAGCGAGCGTAGACATCTTGATGACTGGCTTTGTAGACCTCTTCGGCGCTTGTGTCGGCAAAGCGCAAGAAAGAAAAGGCATCCGCGCCACTCGAGCTGTCGCGAATGTGTTCCGGAGTCCAAATGTTCATGAGATGGTTCAGATATTTATTTCTGAACCCTGCTTTTTCGTTGTCCTTGCCAGCCTTGTACAATCTTCCGCCTTCAGTTGCTACAAGCCGTGGTAGGTTGTAATCAATGAGACTGCGCGTCGAGTATCCAACGGGAACATTGTTGCCCTCGCGGAGGAATGAAGCCGTCTCGGCGAAATAGCCAGAAAATAAGGGGCTTGTCGTATCCGCTCTCTCGAACAGATCTGGATGGTTACAGACTTTTCGGAATTGCATAACCAGGTTCATTAGAGTTCCAGAGTCTTGGTCGTCACCTAGCGTAGCCTTCTCAATAAGATCCATAATGCTGATCTGGTTGCGGAGGTTGCGGTAGTAGGCTCGTTGACGGTACGTGAGATCACAATACACGTCAAGCTCGATCTTGTCGCCAAGCTCCTTCTGGACGTGCTTCTTCACACGACGCAACATGAACGGCTTGAGGATCATGTGCAGCCGCTTAAGCTGGTCCTCGTTGAGCGTTGTGTTGCTTTGCGCATGCGATTCGATATCCTTTGAGAACCACTCGCTGAACTCGTCGTGAGAGTCAAAGAGCGACGGCATGATGAAATGAAGCAGAGCCCAAAGTTCTTGCATGTTGTTCTGAATAGGCGTACCAGTCAGGAGCAGACGGTTACGGCAGTGGAAGCTCAAAAGACACTTCCAACGCGAACTTTGAGAACTCTTGATGGCTTGAGCCTCGTCCAGAATCATGTATTGCCAGCGCATTTTTTGGAAGTATGCAACATCAGAGACGACCATTTGATACGAGGTGACCAGGACATGGAAAGGCGAATCCTTTCTATAGGTGTTGTGCTTCCGGTCCCAGAACTTGCGGAGAATCTTGCGGTCACCTGCAGTACCCCAGTACGGGAGACACTTCAAGTCAGGAACAAATTTGGCAATTTCTTGCTGCCAATTGTGCAGAGTTGACGCGGGTGCAACAACCAAGAATGGACCCCAGATATCGTGGACCTCGGCAAGGTATGCCATGACAGATATGGACTGGACGGTTTTGCCGAGACCCATCTCGTCGGCCAGAATGCCGTTGATACCTTGCTCGTAAAGATTGGCAAGCCAGTTGAGACCTTTGATCTGGTACTCCTTGAGCTGGCAATTGAGCATCTTTGGCTGTTCGATTTCCACGTCACCCATACCAGTCGGGTTCTGGAAGTTCATCTCGCCGTCCTCGTCCATATCAGTGTCCTTCTTGTTGAAAGCACGAGCCTTTTGTTGAGCTTCTGCGATGGCGTTTTGAGCATTTGCAACGGCAGCGGCTTGCAACTTCTCCTCATCTTCCTCTTCAAACGTCAAATTGTCAAAGTTTGTGACCTTGGCACCAACGGGGCCTGTTGGCTCTGCAACATCTTTCTTCTCAGTCGTAGCAGCATCCGCAGCTGGGGCGATTTCAGGATTGTCAGTGCTTCGCTCAACTTCATCAGTCTTGATTTTCTTGCCAATGAAGTGAGAGTAGAGCTCTGTTTGAGAGATCAAGAAGTTGAGCTTTCTCTTCTGGCGAGCGGCTTCGCGCTCGGCTTCCTCCTTGCGAGCATTCTCAATCTCTTGACGCTCCGCTGCCTTGCGCAGGTCTCGCTCCTCACGCTCATTGCGCTTCCAGAAACTCATCATGTCTCGCATACAACGCTTTGCGCGCGCCTGAAGATCCTTGGTACCCTTGTTGGTACGCAACTGCCAGCGCTTGGCTTCTTTCGAAGCAAGGATGGCAGTCTTTTTCAGGTTCGAGGCCTTGGTTGCATAAGAGTCCACAGCAAGTTTATATGTCCTAGAAACATCCTTGCGTGCCAGGTCGCGCCAGATCTGGTCATAAATCTGATTGTAACCCTTCGACTGGAATTTAGTTTCCAAGGGGTTGGCAGGGACATCATCGACAGCTTTCTCCTTGGTTTCTTTGGCATCTTCGGAGTCCTTGTCCTTGTCCTTTGCCTCTTTGAGGTTTGAGGAACTCTTGCTGAGCTTGATGCGGATTTTCTGCTCTTCCCGGGCGGGAGGAAGTTCCTCGCCGGCATCAATGGCGGCTTGGGCGGCCTCGGCCGCGTCCTTTTCAGCTTGTTTTTGCTCCTTAGACTTCTTGGGACGCGTTCCGTTACGCTTGCTTTTGCTCTTGGAGCTCGGTTCTGCGTCACTACCCAGAAGGAATACCGATTGAGTACCTCCCTCGAGGTTGATATCAGAAGATCCAATGTTGCGTGCCGGTCCTTTGATGCCCTTCTGCAGGATTAGTTTGGTCTGTTGAGCCTTCTTGCTAGCCCGCTCGGCCTCTCGGAGATGCTTCTGGCGCTCGCTCTCATCTTCGGCGGCCAAGGCTCGGGCAAGGGCGGCCTCTTTCTGCTCGATAGTGACCTGCATAGACTTTTCACGGCGGCGTTTGCGTTGCATGTCCTTCTTTCGCTCCTTCTCGGCGTAAACTTCACGTTCCCGGACCTCCGTCATGGCCTCTTCGTAGTGTAGGTCATCGTAGCGTCTCTTGCCGAATACAGCCTGAGAGCCAAGTTTCTTACTCGTGTAGTTCGCAAACTCATCGCGGCGCAGTTTGTTGTCACTCTTCTCAATGCGTTTCAGCTCAGTTCTGCGCCGCTTGCTGCGATCGTCGTAGAGCTCCTTTTCGATCTCAAGCTCAGATAGGTCAACATCATCGGCTTGGGCCTCCAATTGTTCCAGCACTTTCTCTATCTTCTTCTCCTTTTCAGCAGATAGTTGCTTGGGCTTCACTGTGCCGTTCGACTGTCGTTTGGCCCCTCGACTAGCGGTATCGTTCAGGCCACTGGAAGACCGGCGTGAGACTTTCTTGTTTTCGGAATTTCGCAGGTGCGATTCTCGGCCCTTGCTCTTGCGCGCAGGCTTTTCCTTCTTCTCGGCCATGATGACTGGTCTGTTGGGTTTTGGTAGAGGTTCAGCGCTTGATAGAATGTTCGAAAACGACATGAGCTCAGCGGCACGGCTTGGGGTCTGTGAAACGAGTTGTTAGCATGAGTGGTAGACATTCATCGTGGCCTAGTAGATGGGGGTCGTTAAAAGAATCGGGCATTTCGGCGTTAAGCATCACGAGCAAACACGCCGCTTGGAGGAGAACTGGAAGTGGAGATGCATCGAAAATCGTAACTCAGTATTGGACGACTTACGCTGGTAGCTGCTGGTGCAGGAGCCGGAGCACTCGCCGGCTCTGGGTTCAAGATTGACGACATTGAGGAGACGGCCGATGTTGATATTGGTCGGGATGGTGGCTCCTGCGCAGGGCGCGACCGCGAAGGAGATGACGTTAAATTAAGAGCCTTGTTTGTTGGGCTTCCCGGGTCGGCACTGTAACCGTTTGTGTTCTTGGGGTGCGAATGCGAAAGCGGACTTCGACTTCGCGGGGCAGGCTCCCTTCTTACAGGTGAAGAGGGCGAGCCATGTCCGTTGCGCTGATTATGTGATTCTGGCCTCGTCGGGAGATATGGATAATCTTCAAACCGCGACTGTTTGATAGCAGTGTTAGTATTGGCAGTGCAGGCGGGGATGGATATTTTTGACTGCACGCGGGGTGCTTTGGTGATGAAAGGGGGAGAAAAAAGGTTGAGTGAGTGAGAGGGTATTTGGTTTGCGTGTTCAATTGGAAAAATGATGGGAAGATGTCTTTGGCGGTTGCCTCGTTCTGGGGGTTGCCGATCTAGCTAAGCTTATGGTGCTGAGCAAACCTTTCGTGCGACAAGCACTATCCCGACATCGAGAATACAAGACATTCCATGAACAGCAACAAGAGAAAAAAAAAAAAGGCACTAATTCCAAGGGATAGAATTGGCAAGTATATGCGATTCTTTGATAGATATAACCAAGAACAAGAGACTTAGGGCGTATATCGTAGCGACGCGTGCATTGAAGCCGCAGGGCCATGATGGTATCTTGGTGTTCCTTTTTTTTTTTTTTTTTCCTCTCCCAAAGGGAGATGGGCAGTGGTATTGGGGTGACAGGAACGGAATTCTTCTTACCGGTTTGTTACTTGACCAGGAATCTGATGGTCTTCTCTCTTTTGTTGTGTCCGTCAACGGGTCGTAAAAGCTTCCAGAGGTTTTCTCCCTGGCTGGCGGGTTGTTATACTCGGACGAGGACAGGCGGCTGGATGCTCGTGATGGTTGCGAATGCTGCTGGGTAGGTGATGCACGATGAGATGCATTCACACCATTCGACCCATGGGATGCCATAATTATTGTGCTTGGTCCAAAGTCGTGAAGCTGCGAGAGAAGTTCCAGAAAAGCAGGGTGGAAAGACTGGCTGCTACTGGAGCCACCGGACTGACTGCCGCGGGATGGGCTGCCTTTGACAAACTCACTGGGACGTTTATCTTGGCCCGCGGCGTTGCTGGTTCGAGCGGCGAAGCCGTAACAATTCGCGGATGGGTAAGTCTTGTCTCAAATGAAAGAGGCGCGAGTTGGGTACGAGTGGACGGGTTGCTGCAAGACAGGTGTGCTGCCGCGTGTGCTCACTGGGAGTCAACGCATATACACACGCACACAGACAAGTGATGTTGGAGTGCGAGGACGCGCCCGTGTTAGTTTAGAGGAAGTTTCGCGTCGCAGTCGATGATGGCGCTGTGATGGTGGAAAGGCAGGGAATCAATCAGAGGAAACTGATTGAAGGTGAGGTAGTTGGGCCAGGCATGGGCTGGCGGAAATGCTAGCTGGCGATGGGAAGGGAAATCGTTTGGAACTGCATCGATGCTGTCGGGGATCTCACCCAGGTGCCAATTGCGATTTGGCACACAGCAAGCAAGCCCGCGGCGCTCGTGGCCATTTCCCAAGAGTTCGAAATAAGCCGCCGACGGGGTTTGCACTAGCCGGCCACACTAGGCCCAGCAGGTGATTATATGCGCCAGCTCCTATGGCTACTGCTTCATTTGAAGTGGGAGCGACGTTGGCATTTGCCATCACAACGGGTCGCCACTAATTAATTCGCGTTGCTCACGATGCAAATTCTCTATTCATGCTAAATCGTAAAGAACCAAATATTTACTATGCAAACAATTAATTCAAACAAATGATTGCATTCTACATTTGAAGTAAAATATCGGAAGCACTGCAAAAGGCGTGCTTATCAAGGCGCAGGGTGTGAGCATGGGGACGGATTCAAAGTCTGAATAGCGGCAAAAGGATTCGGTTGTATCGGGAGGCTGGAAGAGGCCGTCAGGGCAGCCAGCGTGTTGTGCATGGAGAACAGAAGGAAGAGCCCGTTCTATCTCACTCCTGAAGTCTCAAGAATTCAGGAGCAAAGGGCCACAGCATTATTCTTAGAACAACAAGAATACACAATGTAGAGATTGATGATTCCCACAAGCGATGATTGCACATGCGTATCTAAAAGTCGGACTCCAATGTTATTATCACCGATGACGACGACCTTGTATTAGAGCAGCAAACACGACTGGAATTTCGCAGTTATACCCAAGATGCATTTAATTATTGATTTCCTGCCATTATTTTCTGCTCTTACCCGAACTACCTATAATTGTTCCCCCTTCCTTCATTTGTCCACACTCGTCTCTGATCATTCTGATGCTGTATCTAGATTCCAACGTCGCAAGTTCTCGGCGCAGTCAGGGAGGGTCGAGCCTTGTATCCGCGTGGACTCAGATCGATCAACTCCACACCCTAAGCAGGCCCCCGGCTCTGTCCGGCCAATTAAACCTCCTAAACACGCTAACCACCCGAATGCCCCGGACAAGGGCTTGGTAAGACACTCTTTCACCAGAGTTCAGCCCAAGAAGGATGGTTGGACAGCACTGATAACAGAAGGTCACCACCAAAAATCAACCATCGTCGGGTCGTCAGGGCATCAATTGCAATTTTTGCTGTTCGGCAGCTGACAGACTTTTGCATTCCTCGCAGAACATCTCTGATAGATCATTAAGCATTAAGCGTCATACGATTAGAGTAGTATTCAACTATTATCAGAAATCTGGGAGGCCATCATTGTGGTATATCGCTCCCCCTTTTCTCCCCGTGGGATGTGATGCCCCCATTGATTGACTGCTGCTTGCGTCAAAAATTCTGCTGTTTGTTCCAACAAAAAGCTGATCGCGTCAAAAAAAAAGGGAGCATGGGACGCACCCAAGACACAACCCCACGCCATACCGCATTTGGAGTGATTGAATCATGGCCCCTGACGCACGTCGCGCGCCGCCGCAGTGGCTGTATGACGGCTCGTGCTTCTTTGACAGGGCTTATGGAAGCTCCACTTTTAGAAACACCATTTCTTGACAGTGCCCCATGTCGTGACAGCTTCACTCTCCAGGGTTGGTATCCATCCATGGCCGACCTGGTTCACCCAACACCGACATGTGGTCGTTACCTTGGGGTCCCCCCCCCAATAACAATTAGGTCTCTATGGCTGCAATGTGTCGGCAATTGAATATTCAGCTTGTGCTCTCCAGGTGATACCATATCAGTTTCATTAGCAGAAATGGAGAATGGGGTATTGCAAAATTATGATCATAATGTTCCCGATAATTATCAATCATGTCTACTTGGATTAACTTTCATAAAACTTAATATAGATTTATTTATTTCGTGTTCACGCGTCCTTGTCCTTGATTGGAGTGAAGAGCCGCTGTTGCGAACTGCTCGACTACCAAACCCATGTGTCCATCATAATATCGATATGTCTGCTGTTTACGGTAGCCACTACAAGTCAAGTGTTCAAAATGGTGTCTATTGCAAATGCATTTTACTATCCGAAGGCCAGTGAAAAGCCTCTACGAGCCAGACAAGACGGCTCAGCTGATGCACAATCTAAAAGCCGTCCTAAAAACAGGTCCTCGGCATGCGTCTAGTGAGCATCTTCCCAGATATGCCAAGTGTCCACCGAAAAACAAATTCAACCGCATTCATGATCAACTCCATAAACTTTTTGTTTAAACGGAACCGTTGGCAATCATCTTCTTCCGCAGAGAGTTCTTGTACTCTCCAATGGTACCGTCCCACCTGGTGACAGTCTTGTTCTCGCACACCAAAATCTCCTTTGCAATCTTGTCGAGCAATCTAAGAAATGGTTAGTAATTTGTCACTCGAAATCATGAAAAAGATGCTGCTTGCCTGAAGTCGTGGGAGACGACAATGACACCACCGTTGAACTCCTTGATAGCCTCGGCAAGGGCGTCAATGGTGGGAATATCCAAACCGTTGGTAGGCTCGTCGAGCAGAAGCATGTTGGGACCGTCAATGGCCAACAGAGCAAAGACGATACGAGACTTCTGACCCTCAGACAGAGTTCCCATCAGTGCTGTCTGGGTATTACCAGAGACACCGTATCTTCCGAGCTGCTGACGCCAGTAGGCGATATCCTGAGACTTCTCCCGGTACTTGTCGCGAACAAAGTCCAAAGCGCTCTTGGTCAGGTCGAGCTGTTCAGCACTGTGTTGCGAGTACAAACCGAGCTTCAAATGGGTGTGTCGGCGGACCGAACCGTCAGTTGGGCTCAGCTTGCCAGTCATGAGTCGGAGCAGGGTAGACTTTCCAACACCGTTGGGTCCGACCAAGCAGGATCGCGAGTCCATGTCGAAACCGAGGTCAATGTGGCGGTACAGGTCATCCTTGGATTCACCAGAGTACGAAAAGGTGACATCGTCGAAAGCAAGCACGGGCGGAGGAAGCTTATCGGCATCACCGAACTTGAATCTGAACTCTCTGTCGACCTTGGGCTTCTCGACAAGGTTCTCCAGGATCTTCTCCTTTTGCTTCTCACGAGACTTGGCTTGTCTGACCAAGTTGGCGTAAGTACCGGCACTGGCAATGAACTTGTCAATGTGGGCAATTTCAGCCTGCTGCTTCTCGTAGGCCTTGAGCTGGTTGACCTCCTGTTCCCTACGGGTCTTGTCATAAGAATCGTAGTTACCTCCGTAGTAGAGAAGCTTCTTCTCGCGCATATCAATCATGGTGGTACACACACCGTTGAGGAAATCCTCGGAGTGAGAAACCAGGACGAGTGTGCGCTCCCACTTCTTCATGTACTCCTCCAACCACACGCAGGCCTCGAGATCCAAGTGAGCAGTGGGGTCGTCGAGCAGCAGCAACGAAGGCTTGACGAACAGTGCCTTTCCAAGAGCGACACGCATACGCCAACCACCAGACATGTCCTTTGTCTTCTTGTTAATGGTGGTCTTGTTGAAACCGAGACCAGTCAGAATGAGAGAGGCACGAGTAGCGAAGGTGGAGGGGTCCATCTTGTCCAAGTGGTCGTAGAGATCCATCAGGACAGGGGACTCGGGGCCTTCCTCCTCCAGGATCTTTTCGGCCAGCTCGTCCAGACGCTTCATCTCGTTCTCCGCCTCGTTGAGTACCCAGTCGAGGGCACCAAAGTCGGATGGCGGGGCACCCTCATTCAGAAGGTAGATGTCGATGTGTTCGGGGATGGGGTATTCGCGGGCGGCGATGGCCTTGAGGAGAGTGGACTTTCCGCAACCGTTCTCACCAAGAAGACCGTATCTTCGGCCCATGGTAAGTTCGAGCGTGCTGTCCTTGATCAGCTCTCTACCGTGGAATGTCAAACTGGTGCTGATAATCTTGACGTCCTTGCTGGCCTTTGTGGAGGCGAGGACACCAGTAGTCACTCTGTCGGTCAGACCAAACTTGTCCATCTGATCAGCGAGGCGCTTGACCTTCTCCATCTTCTTGCCGTCGGTGGCGACATCTTCAACATCGGAGGGGTTCTCGTCGCCGGCCTCTGAGCCGTTGGCACTGACGTTCTGGGAAGCAGCCTTGGAGCTGGCCTTGGAGCGGGAAGCAACAGTCTTCTTCTCCTTACCGCCGCCAGCGGCAGCCTTGGCTGCGAGTCTCTTCTCCTTGGAGGCGGAAACCATCTTGACGTTGATGTGTTGTAGCCTGTTTTGGGTGTCGGTGGTTGCGACTGGAAGAGATTGGTTGGTGCAAAGGAATGGAAAAAGATCCGCCTTTGACACAGGTAATTAATGAGAAAATGTTTACCCCGCTTCGTGTGTGCAGAGTAGCGTCAGCTGGAAGGGACCACAAATCAATGTGACCGTCAATGCCAACGAAAAGGAATGAAGCAAAAATGATTGTATCACGAAAAAATACAAGAGTACTATTTTCGTAAAAACAAAATAAAATTTCTGAGGCGAGAGTGAGAAAAAGGTTGATAAAGCTGCCCTGTTACTCGACAGAGAGAAGGGGGGCGAATGACTGGTGGGCTGTAAGGAAGGCGGCGGCGGCGGCGGCCACTGCGAGTGCCTTGGTGGGCTGTATTCTATGGTGGGGTAAGATTTTTTTTTTCGCCCGCTCAAAAACTCTGATAACTGCGATAAGGAAATTCTCTTATTGGCTCGCGACCTCCGTCCACAAGTTTCAGGCACCACCGGGCACCAATTATGATCCACCCTCACTGGCCTGTACAGTCTGACGTCAGGCAATAGTCGAGGGTTCAATGTTGAATACACTGTGTAGGCTCTGCTGGTCGACACCTCTGAGAATGAATCAGAATGACTTATACTAGCTTGTCATTCCGTGCTGGTCTGAATTCAAAACATACCCCTCACGCATGCCAGTGGTTTCCATCTGGTGTAAAGTCATGGCTGAGTTATGATGTTGGTGTTATTCGGTGATCGTCCAAAGCTGGTATTAAGCTCCACCCAGCGTGTGTTATGACGTTTGACCTTGGGCTAGTAGTAGGGTCTTCCCGAGTTCCAACAATTTGTGTGTAGATATAATTGTGTGGCTTTTCTAACAGGAAGAGAATTGAACGAGTATGTTTGTGCTGATGTGTCAAGTAAGCACGGGGTGAACGGGATGACCAAGATACGGCCAAGACACTATACAAAGTTCAAGACTACTTCTGAGACACAAGCGGTTCCTCTTGTGCCGTCGGAACAATAGAAAGCGATGGACGTCTCTTGGACATTGCGTTCCAACAAAGTCTAACCACAAGACGAGGGCCTTTAATTATGGTAATCAATCAACCAATTTGACTTGAAGATAAAGGATAGCTGTAGGGTGCACCTTGTAAGTCTTCTCTACAGAGATGGGATATGAGCCATGTTCACCTCGACTTATATGAATCTAGAATATCATATTGAGGGATGAGAGGGAGACTTGTATGGTTCAAATTAAGTATACACCATTCTGTGAAGTTATGGCACATCTATTATGGCATGTCTATTATGGCATGTCTAGAACAACAAGAAGAAGAAACGCACAAGTCCAGTGGCCCCGCTCACAATGGGATCGCTTCATATCTATAGCCTGCTCTATGAAGTGGCTTAATATTTGTGCAAGCATTTTCCTCGTGATAAGAACAATCCATCTGATGACTTTCAAGATTGCTTGGGTATATTACCTAGGCATCCATGTGTGAGACCTCATTTCACTGAAAGAAGAGTCTACAACAGACTTTCAACGATAAGGCTGATGATTTACCTCATCACAGGCTTCACAGCTTCTCTTCATTTTAAACAATCTATTATGATATGACGGCTCGTGCTGTCTGATCACCACGGTCAGAATCCGCGCCGGATAATTTGGATAAACCGTGCCGGATTCCGTGGTCCTGAATATACCATTGTCCTATAATACTGTACCACCACAGCGGCATGAGCACCATGTCGATCCAAAGCCATGGGTTTCACTCGTGGCTCGTTGGTGGACTTCACAGTGTCGGCACCGTAAAAATCCACTAAAAGTACAACGATGCTCTAGAGTCAAAGCAAGGTGTCGCTTCAATATAGTATAAGTAAACCATTAACATGATTTGTGCCAGCTGTGTGGGCCAATGGTCATGTATACTCAACTCTTAAGTATGTCATCCGGATTCGAGCAGGATCGGCCACGCAACAGCTTTCTACCGGCTGTCTGGATAGTCAGCTCTTTTTAAAGACAGCTTTGAAAGGTCATTACCAAATTTAGATTGCCCTGTCTGAATCACATCATCACGACAAGGTCTAAACAATCTGGCCTGCACCATCCCATTCTGACGCGGGTGTCTAGAAATGTCACTTGATGCAATACTATTCATATGCATTGGCGACCATTCAAATCCCCCATGTCGCTGAGTTTGCAAGTCCTTGTGGCTCAACATACCTTGCCTTGCATGCATAATTCGGACATGACGCTGACCCTTTCGATTGTGTTTCGTACATGATGTGCACTCATATTTAGATTTAGATCCCAACGAACGACCAAAAGATCCTAGCAAATTTCGATCCTACCAAAACTTGTATGTTTGGGGGGCGGTTCGGCTTCCCAAATCCCATAGTCCGTCATGGTACGTACTCCTAGGTAGGTAGCTAAGGCAGGGGGGGTTTTTTTTTATGAAGAGTCACATGAAAAAGTGGCGGGCTCTCTGTGTAGGCCGAGACATGGATGACTTGATAGAAAGGTACCGAAGACTCAGCATTGCCCAATGGCCCGCGGCGCATACAGCGGATGAGACGTGTCATTATATCAAAATCTACGACGGAAAAGCTTCACAGTTTAACAGTAGTATGTTGGTAGTGTGGCCCTTGTAAATGCACAATGCACATCAAGTCCACGGTGTCCTGGTGTAAATATAGTCTCTTCCTCCCTCCTACCCAGCTAAGGCTGTTCACATTGAAGTAGTCAGTCTCAGTTATACGTCATATTCCATTGGCTTGCTGGTACGTAGTGCTGCTCACAAGGCGCTGCTTCAACAGGGAATTCATGCCTGCTAGTGAGTCGCTTGACTGGGCTTTTTTAGCGCCTGCCGCGCCCAAACAGACCAGAGAATCCATATTTCCAGTGCTAACACAAGCAGCGCGGGGATGCATGAAGAGAAAACGTGGAGAATCGCGCATGACAAGCAAACTTGGAAGCTAGAGTTAAGAATAAGGTTAAAATGCACGCCATATTTATTCGTGATCAGTCAGCCATCTGATGATTTGAGGCATGAATACCAAAATACGACTGACCTGCAACCAAAATGGCAGTGTCAGGGCGTCGAAAGCGAGTTGATTCTTGAATATATATATTTTTTTCTGGTGAGATGGCGCAGCAGAGAAATTATCAGTGCATTTGCGCTGTCTATTGTCAGGGTATCCGCTCTGTATGTCGAGGAAAATTACGATCCGCCCATAAAAACGCCGTCGCTTGAAATGCAACCACCATGCAACCATCGCCCCTAAAATATGGTAGTATACTTTGTACTGTTTTAGACAAAAGAAAGAAAATGCAAATATGTTCAAAGCTCCGTGTCTTTTCGACGCATGCTGTAGTTTGTACAACTAATCCAAGTAGATCGGATAACTGTCCTCTCCCTTCCGTTTCGATCCGTTGTCCACCAATGCGCGAGCAAACAATACGGAGTGGCACAGACTGGAATTATTGGTTAGCATTTTGACCCACAAACAGACTGAACGTTACCCTTCACTCGGGAGGGAGGGAAATGACTCACGATATCACGGCGCAGAGCCCCGTCACCACGGCGAACTCGACAATGCTTCTGTACCCCCGAAACACGAATATCTCCCATACCGAGAGTCCCGTGTAGGCGAGAGCGCCAAGCGCGATGAGGAACTCGACGATGACGTGTGCTTTCCGTGGCAGACCATGTGTCCGTTGTACGGCAAACGCCAACAGCTCAGCGACCTCCCAGAGCACGATGACGATGACGAGTGGCAACCACAATATCAAGCCGGTTAGATACCCCCTTATGCTGCAACCCGCCACCATGCCCGAGAGGAACAGCGATATAATGCGCAACCCGATCTGTACTATTGTCCAGCCAGAAATTTGCTGGTCGATGGCTTGACTGTTGAGATAGTCTGGCGTCGGCTTGTCCTTGTAGAAGGCATCGTACGGGTATGGCTCCGAGGAGCAGCTGTCAGAGTAGCAACCCGAGTCTCGCCGCGAAATGTGTGCACCGATGCGACGACCGCTATGCGAGGTGCTGTTCGAGTCTGGGCTGAAGGAGGCGGCAGACATGGTGACCGACTGGAGACGCTTCGCGCCTGCCAACTAATGTCTCTCTGTGAAGTGCCAATGACCCCTTTGATGAACCCTCCAGATCCCAATCGTGTTGTTGATTGTGTGCTACCCTTATTTTCCAAATGCACTTTGCCTTCTTCAGCTGTCTTTGAGGATTTTGCGCGGCGATAAAAATGTCTCAATATGTGTTGGCTGTTTTTTTTCCTCCCCCGTGTATTTGGTGGATTGGCGATTCCTTTGATTAGAGATTATGGAGCAAGGTGGACGGGGCACGCGCGCGCCGACGACTGGGAAGGCTGGTAATTATGTATGTACTTGGTATGAGTCCAGGGGTGTGCCCAGCAGGAAAAGAGGTGCAAAGATCTCTATCTTAGCAGCCGTAGGAAGCAACAAGCGCAATAAGTGCAACGCAGATCGTAGGAGTGGGCCGACGAGTAGCAAGCCAAGAGAGCTCAGAGGAGGACCGGCGATAATGCCTCGGAGGGTCCAGGAGGAGGCAACAGGAGTAGGTTGATGAGAGCCAACTGAGAATCAGCCTCACGAGAGACCAAACTCGGGAACGTTGATCTCTCTGTTGAACAGGCAGACGGGCATGGGGGTGTATTAGCAGGAGGATTTTTGTCGGTCTCCCATTGGAGTTTCAGCTGCAACGTTCTCCCCACGATTACTGCATGTCAGATCATAACCCGATGGCGATGTAGGTGACTCGTCCCGACGGAGGCTGGCGGTGCCCTAGGTAAGGTCTTCCAAAAAGAATACACCCCAAACTAGGCACGTAGTAGAGTTTATGTCAAGTACCAGTCAGAAAAAGAGCGGAACTTTGAATCGCTTGTTTGGCAGTGCGAAGGGGACCAACAACGGGCAGTGCTTTTTTAGCTGAATCAGAACCCTAAAAAAAGGATTATCCTTTTCAACAGGTCATTGAAGGGTGCAAGTGTCTTGGGATTGGACTAAAAGTCTAGGAGTGGGAAAAAAGGAGCTGGGTTCATCGGGAGGCAGACGCGCAAAATCAAGGAGATTGGCAATAACCACAATGGTTAGATCCGCGTCGGCTCTACGACTCTCTACCAGAAGAGCTCGAATTGAGACAGAAAAAAAATATCCTCTTCCCAGGTGACATCAAGCCGCAGAGACTCCACTGCATACGATCCTGCCTTGGACACTGCCACCCCCAATCGGGTCATGGCTATCCAGTGCTTGGTTCGTGATGACAGCCAAATGCGTAAGCGAACCAATTGCCTCTCTAGACAACCAGGTGCCTGGGAGACCAATTGAAGAAAGATCCCGGCAAGACGCTGCGAGGGTACGGGGTGACGAGATTTGTTAAAGGGAGGCCGTGGCCGAGGGTCGGCTGGTGATAGGCTGTCTTGGGGGTCCTTGGCCTCGCTAGCAGATTTATTTCCCGCCAAGACGCCGCTCGTGAGGCCTAGAGCCGAGCTTCATTTAAACCGTGACCACGGCTTGTGTTGCAAAGGGCTAAAAGCTCAGGTGTGTCGCCACAAGTGAGTGACGGTTGGGAATAGCATCAATTGCGCATGTTCACACGCGGATCTGTGACGCATGATCGTGACTATTGTCGCGACTGACGGCGAGAAGGAATCCTCAATTCCGCCACCTAGGCAAGGTGCGACAACGCGGTATCCTGTCATACAAACTACTTGGCAAAATAACTGTGCCGCACCAAGACCCCATCTTATGACGTGCCCGGGGCTGTCGGCTTCCTTCTCGTCGGCAGTCTATCGTTCTGGGCACCGACGAGCAAGACTCGAAACGATGCGATGCCGAAACAAATCCCTAGAAGGAATCAAGCTGACGACATAAAACATATAGGAGCGAGGCGTACGTACGTACCTATCAAGAGCACAAAGCATGATACCAAAGGACAGAGCCTCATCCCCTACAGTTTTTGGCCGTGTGGGATTCTGCTCCTGATGTCTCCGTGACGACAAGCTCTCCTGGGGATATCTCCGCATTCTGGTGGACCAAGAAAACGGCCTTAATGGATAGCTAGCGTTAGCAACATCGAGAGGTTGTTGACAACTTGAGCGACCAATGATCCACCCTGTGCTGAGGCTCTGCTGAAATAATTCTCATTCGAACGCCGGGTCTGATGCATAGGAATCCGAAGAACAATACACCAGAAAACAGCGTCATCGGCTTTGCCTCGAGGCTGCCAAGAAATGTGCGTCGGTCTCCAGCAGAGCCGTTCTAGCGCTCACCAAACAGGCGACCCTGTGCAATTGGGAGCACGTCGAGATCGGCATCCCATCAGCCTAAGCTTGGAACAAGGCAAAGATCCGAGACACTGATGCGATGCTTTTGATGGAATTCTCGCTCACATCTGTATGTACGTTGCGACTTGAGGCAGTCTGGCACAACTTGCACGCGCTCGAGAGATACGTGGCTTCAACTTTGTGACTGTTCGGTATATCGTCGATAGCGCTTTGCAGAGGCGATGGTTTGCCGCTGTTATTACGCATGTTCAGCACAGCGCTTGTGCTGCGACTGGTCGGATCTTGTTGAGAGGTGGAAAATCCAGTGATTACTACCTGGGTGAGATCGTGGTTGTGAGGCCATAAGATCAATTCGCACGACATCCAGTTCCAAAGGCTGCTTCTGTCAGAGCATAAGTGTTACTGACTGACCTCTAGTGAATGAGGGGAGATTCGAAAACAGTGAAACGAAGTCAATGACAGGATCTTTAGATTGTTGTGTGCCAAGCAAGGCAACATATGCATAGCTCTTTCCGTACGTGTAAAGGTTATAATATCAGAGGGATGCACATGGAGTCCGGCTGCTACACGAGAGCATTTTCCCGGCTTCCACGCAGGTCAATTTCGAGATCGCTGTGGACAAGAAAGAGTTATAAATAGAAAGATAATGGCCAGATGAAAGGATATCGTATTTTCAATATCAGCCTGCATCATTCACAATATACGAGGCGCCTATCTTCCTGCATTGATTCAAAAAGCTTATCTCAATTGGATAGGAGAAGCCAGGGCGCTGTATTTGTTGCAAATGGTCTGAATTGTACAGCACGAAAATCTATACAGCCACGTTGAGTTGGAAATGCACAACGCATTCTAGTCTATAGTTTTGACGGGAGATCTTCATCAAAAACAAGGATTGACCAGCGAAAGACACCTTGGACCTCCCAAACGCCATGAAGAAGGGCTCCTGCTTGTCCCGAATTCTAAACCTCATGCCGTTTCTGTGAGGCCTTCAACCTGGCCCGGCAGTCGCTCTTCCTCCCTGAATTCTCTTCCAGCCTCGCCGTCTTCTGCCACGCCATTGTCGATTGCCCGGGTGATGAAGCCGTGGCGATCAGCCTCGAGAATGCCCTGATAGAAGATCTTGGCCATCATAGCGTAACCAGCGTCATCTGGGTGCGTTCCATCGGGGGTGATGTTGCCCGGGTGCGGCCTCTCCAGCGTGTCGCCCTCGGGCACGAATTGATCGTGCATCTCCGCCAAGACTATGCGCGTTCCCTGTTCTCGCAAGTGCGCAGCGAGGGCCCTGATCTGCTCGTTGATATCGAGGATACATGGCTCGGTATTGGGCACGGTGTTGGTCAAGAGCGTCGACAGCACAACGGTGCCTCCGGGTGACTGTTCGAGAAGAAACGTAATGAAGTTGCTCAGGCGCACATGGTAGTTGGGAGTGTCCCACTTTTGGAGGCAGTCGTTGGAGCCGACATTGATCAGAAACAGGTTCGGCTTGGTGAGGGGGACGCTGTATGTCGCCCAGTCGTGGACCTGGTCGACGCGGTTGCCGCCATGCGCCTCAACGTCGTTGTCTATGAATTCTCCAACCCTGGCAGAGCCGACCATGTTCACCTTATTGCCCATTGACACCAGTTTCTCACGGAGAGGCTTGCGGAAACCTAATGTGCCATTGGAGACGTCGCCCCGGCAGACGGATGCGCCAAGGGTCATGATGCGCAAGGGGACGCCATTGGCAATCGAGGTTTCGGCAGTGCCACCGCCATAGTAGTTGTACAATCGCTGCGGACTGAGAGTGATCGAGTCGGACAAAGACAGAGCTGTAGGCAGCCAAGTACCGCGACAAGGTCAGCAAAATCTGTTATGCCATGCTCTGGGTGCGCGCGAGATTTCGTGGTGTTTAGAAGCGTGCATGTCTGGCACGTGGATAGGAGGGATCCAGTTAGGAGGGAGGCGGCCGCTACGGTAGAATGCTTATAGTGGCTATGCCGCAGCGGTGCAGCGCCATTTGTCACTTACCAATCAGCAGGAGCGAAAAGCAGGCACCTGTGAGCAGGACGACCAAGTGCTTTCTTGTGAGGTTTGGTAGCAGCATTGTTGGGAGCCTTTGAGCTCTCTCTTCTCGTCGCTGTCTGTGAGAGTTGTGGACTACATTGAGAGGTCCACGGATGTTTGAATCTGCAACATGACTTCCCAAGTGAGAGAGGTGGCAAGTGGACTAGGTACTGCATGTACCTATGCTACGGCTGCCACTGAGACGGTCCAGCGATCGCACTCTGGGCGCAATGCCAAGTCGGGAAAGAGGTTCGCTATTGCTGCCCCGTTCGTTTGCGGTAATCGCAACGCCCAATCAAACACGTTAATTTGAAACAGCCCGGCGCTTTATCGCATATTCACAAAGAAAAAAGCATAAGTATTTATTATGTATTTTATTATATATCGAATGCACCTTTCTTATGAAATACAATCACTTACTAGCTACAGTTCGATTGCTCAACTTAAATCTCTCCTTGGCAATGCATCAAGTTTGAGAGTCTTATCTTTGTGACATTGATGTCAATTCCCTCTGCGGCAGTGCTCGTAGGTATGAGGGCGATTCAAACTTCATGCACTGGTCCGTAGACAAAGACCGTCCTCAGATTGACATTTATAGGCTCTTGCAGCCGCTCGATGGCAATTTTCAAGTTTTGCTTTGGTATTCAATATCTACTAAGCTTGAAGCAGCACCAAGTTTACTGGTGGTCTCCATCTTGGAACTACCACTTGAGCTATGATACGTATACCGAGTTTCTCTTGAGAATGAATTGACTGGGTCTTTTGTGGTACTCTTTACTCGTCTTCTTCGGATTCATAAGAACCTTCAGATCCGTCTGAGCCTGAATCATCCTCATCCTCATCCTCATCATCCTCTTCCCCGTCCTCTTCATCGGCTTCGAGTCCGTAAGCCTCGTGATAATCTGCCAGTTGTTTGACCTGAGTCTTGTAACCCATATCCTGCAAGTCTTTCTGAAGGGTCTGCGCAATTCATTAGTCTTTTGGCTTCTCTCGATTTAGATGTCGAATCACTTACATCAAGCATGATGGGGGCACAACAAACAACGACATTACTCTTGCCAGGTTCGAATAGAGGGAGCAAATATTCGGTCATAGCATGCCGGATCTGATCCTCTGTCACGTCTCGGACCTTGGCCAACAGCTTTGTGTTGAACTCTGGCTCTAGACCTCGGACGGCACCAATAATGTAGTTCTGGGTAGCAGCTGATGCCATTGTAGCCTGCTCATCTGCCATGGTCATAACGATTTGACTAATGGCACCCTCAATCATGGGCTTTTCAAAGGGGACAGTACCGTTTGCCAAGGCGGCAATAGCGTCTCGAGCAGCAGTGATGGCCTTTGAAGCCATGGGTGAGCGGTAAACCTTGAAATGCACATAGCCTCCATCGACCTCCTTGGCAAAGTACACGCCATAGGCAAGACCGTTGCCTCGAACAGCAGTCCAGAGAGGACCCTCCACCGTTTCAAGATACTGGGCAGCCACCAGGAGTGATGGCACCATGGGGTCTGAGAAGGACGTAATGCCTTTGCTTGAGCTCACTGAAAATGAAGAGTCGATCGTTGTCATGGGAATAATAATTGCTCCAACTTGACCCGGATTCTTGCCTTCTTCGCTGAGCAGAGTGTGCGGCTTCACAATGGGCTTGATGGAGTCCGACTTTGTGTTGAGAGCATCCACCAAGATGTCCCACGTTTTGACAGGATCGGGGAGCTTGCCATTGGCAACATCGGCTGTGACAAGGACGCGGATGTTGGCAAAGGTGAAGAGAGACTTACGCACTTGCTCAAACCAGGAAACAACTGTGTCGGGGTCCTTTTCGAGCAGTTTCTTCAGGCGCTTGAGGTAGACTGCTTTCACGAGCGTGCGTTTGGCCACAAGCATCGCTGAAGGTTCATTATGAATGGCCATCTCGACTTCGTTGGCCATCGTTCGGCCATCTCTCTTGGCCTCGGGGATATCCGCAATTTGTTTGCTAATAGCAGCCCTCAGACGAGTGACATCAAATACGCTGTCAAACATCATAGTCTTGAGCCAGTCAACAGCAGTTGCATATTTTTCAGGCTCAACTTGCATCCGCAATGTAATGCTCTCGGTATCGCCAAGACGGTTGCCGGATTCAATGCTGTACTGTATCGTGTCCTTCTCAAGCTCCATGACAACTTGTTCAAAGTCGACGCGTTTTCCATCTCGGTTGATGGGCGTGTTGAAGAAGTTATCGGTGAATAGCGGCATGAGTGGCTTGTACTTGAGTGGAATGTCAGAAGTACCAATGTGCAGGGTTATATGCACAAAGTTGGAGGGCACACTTTCGAATTGCACAAACAATGGGGCACCTGGTGCAGCATCATCAATGGCCTTTTGGGCCGAATTGGATGCCAGGCCGAGGCTTCGAGCAAGTCCAGATCTTGCTGTGAGAGATTCAATGAAGTGGATAGACTCGGTTCCTGGAACAGGCCATTTCTCCAGGACCGCGTCAGGAATCTCAACATCATTTTGCTTCTTGGCGTCTTCAAGCGCTTTTCGGCGCTTTTCCAAGCCTTCAGGTCCGAGTTCCTGCTTTCTCTTCTCAATTCTTGCCACCTCCTTGGCCTTCAACTCATCAGCAAGCTTCTGTGACGGCTTGCCCAAAACAGAGATATGATGGGCGTCGACAAGCCACTTTCTCAGGAAGTCTTTCCATTGCTCCTCTGACCAGTTTTCTAGCTTGTCGTACTCACCAAGACTTCCTAGGTCCTTCAAGGTTGAACCGGCACGATCTCCGAAGAGGTATGAAGTAATGACATTGTTGGACCAGTACGATTCAGACCCTTCTCCCTGGGCCTTGACCTGCCGTCTCTCACGCTGAATACAGTCTAGCAAATACTTGAGATCGAGCGGCTTGTCAAGAACCTCCTTGATCAGAGTAACGAGGCGCTGCTCAACGAATGCGAGCTTATCAGTGGCGACTCCAGTAGGCTGGAACCAAATAACGCTGTTGGGGCGCGAATCCCACCAGTATCCGACCGAGCTTGCCAGAGCCTCTCTCTCCACCAACACGTTCTCCAGAACAGATACAGATGATCCGCAAAGGTAAGTCAGAATGATGTTGAGAGCAGTAGATTGTAATGTATCAGAGCAGTCTGGACCAAAGAAGCCAATGATGATGTCTCCAGTAGATTCATCTTCCTCGGGAAACTCAACAGTCTCTATAACCGTCTCTTTGAGCGCTGGAGGCTGGGCCGAATCAATCCAGGGACGTCTGAAGGGCGCATCCAGAGCTGGAATGTCATCTTTGACGCTCTCCTCGAAATCATCTAGAATGCGGAGGAGATTGTCGTGATCAACTTCACCAACGATGATGATGCACATGTTTCGTGGTTGGTACATCTCCTTGTGGAAATCGCGAATTCTCTTGGGAGTCAGGACACGCAACGCGTCCATCATGCCTCCAGTCTCGTAGCGAAACCCGACATTTTCGGGATAAAGCAGGTGGCGTGCTTTGATGTCCATTAGTTCGGTGCTCGTGTACTGCACACCTTGCATCTCAGAGTAAACGACGCCGGCATCGTTGCCTTCCCCATCGATATGATGCACTTCTGTCAGGCAAGCAGCGTCGGTCATGGTTGGCACAATCAAGTGCTCAAGATATACCGGCAATGTTTGCGCGAATCCTTCCCATCCAGCTGTCTCCAGAGTGTATGCGGTATGATCCGTGGCTGTCCATGCATTGGTGGTACCGTATGCTCTCGAGGCAAGCTTATCAAGAAGACCCTTATACTGGTAGCTCCTCGAGCCCATAAAGACCAGATGTTCTAGAGTGTGGGGTGCTCCCGAATCATCGAAGATCTCAGTAGCCAAGGTGAAGTATCCATTCACCTTGGGGCCCTTGCGATCAACGACAATGACCTGCATGCCACTCCTCTCCGACTCATATTGAGTGATGCTTGTTGGCGCATAATCGGCATCAAAGCGCTGAAGCTTTCGAAATCTTGGAGCATTGAGTTGTGACCCCATCGTGTGTTGGTGCCAGCTTGAGGTGAACACACGAAAAGTTCTTTAAAAAAAAAAAGAGTCAGCCTATTGTACTAGTAATGAAGACCACTTGGTCTAGGTAAAATGCAAGATCTGGCATCCAGATCTTTTCCTGGCTAATGATAACTAGGTGATACACGAGAGATGAAGAGGCAAAACCCGGAGGCGACGAAGCGAGTTCATAGACAGCTCCGGACGTACCCTAGATGACCTGGGATTTTCTGGTACAAGATACCAATGATGACAGCCAAGGCAGCGACGAGCGCAGCAAGGATTTGGCGCTTGTGCTCAGTCATGGAGAGGGATGGCTACACGTGGTGATCACGGACTTGTCTGAAGCTTATATTTGGTAATACCTGACTTGATACTGTATGCCATGGCACTGGATGGGGACAATGGGGAAAGCGGCGATAGATGCCGGGTCTATGCAAGCCTCGGGGAACTTCACGCAGCAGCAAGCTTACATACCGTATTTGAGGCGGACGCACTGCAGCAGGCCAATTATATGCCTGTCTTGTGACTTGACTGGCCTTGGTCCAGGATATTGCAGTCTGAAAAGAGCTCAGACTGCTTCTGGCGGCACTAAGTGAAGATGGCGACACTTTGACAGCGATTGATGATTGTCTGATGGAGCCGAATGCAGGACGGTGGAGGAGCTTGGAGGTTATCAAGCTTGATGCAACATTCGAATATCGACCACGTTGGCGGGGTTGGTTTTTTTTTTAATCCTTTTCCCCTCGCCCGAAGCGCAAAGCCTTCAGCTGGATATATGCAAGAGAAGTGAGACCGAAGCCAGACAGTTTTGTAGACAAGCCAGCCAGCTATTTCCGATCTGAGAAAAATCGTTGCCAGTAAAAATATATACTGAACAAAGCGGGCTGTTCTTGACTGGTGTTGACAGGCTATTTGACTGATGAGTTTCAATAGGTGTGACCCCTCCATCTTTGGCGTGTGTCGTCGTCGTTGCTCTTTCCTGGCGGGTTCCACCAAAAACTTAGTTGTAAAAGCCGATTGGCTGTTACAGGAAACAAGCATGTCATCAATCAGCCTTGCACCTTGCCAGGTACCTACCCACTGGCAGCGCACCACTGCACCTACCTGGTACATGTGAATCTTAGCGCTACAGCAGTGCTACGTATCTAGATTCTAGGCGCTGGTCTGGCCCTTGAGCTTCAAACGTGGCAGCTATTCTGCTTCATACAGCGCTCAACTGAAGCTCAAGCTCAATTCGCGACAGAAAACACGACCCAACATAGCCAACCTCACGATAATCACTCAAAGAGACGAGAGAACGATATTTGCGTGCACAAAAATACTTTGGAGCTTTGTTGGCTCACGCGTACCGAATCCAGACCGCTACAGTAGGGAGGGACAAGCTGGACCTTGTGATCTAGCGCAGCATCGATCACAGGCCGTTTACTTGTACAACTACTGCGCATTGTTGTCGAACTTGCGATCGCACATGTCGCACCGCCTCGTCCAGGAAGCGCTTATTTTGCAGATCATAGAGTCCGTTCTCGGCTGGGCGAGATAGTATGGCGAGCTCGGATGGGGCTTCGGTCGGCCGGACACTCGTTGAGTTCGCTCTACAAGGGAGCTTTCCAGAGGAAGATATCTCTTCGCGCCATGTCGGCGCACAGGATTTCGGCTCAGCTTTGGAATCTCTCGCGGTTGCCAAGTCAGAACTAGAGGTAACTTTCATGGTCCTTTTCCACCTGATGTCTCATGAGACCTCTAACTGGCCTCTAGTCTGAAATACACACTATCAACGAGGAAACATCGGCCGACGTGCAATCATGGGTAACCAACGCAAAGGCTGTAGAAGACGACATTAGCCGCTCGCGAACCTTAGCCAACGAAATCATACGGCGGGCCGAGGCACCAGAAGTCTCTGGACAAACCATAAGAGAAGCAGAGGACAAGGTCCAATTCCTCCAGCGCGAGACGATCTACAATCGTCAGGTCTACGAGGCCCTGACGAGCATTCAACGTGTCAATCAACTTTTGGACCAAGTCGAGAGTATGCGGAATGAACGCAGAGTTCTTGAATCTCTCCATCTACTAGAGAAATCTTGGTCTGCTATAGATGAAATACCCGCCAGCAAGTCTTGTCGCGTTATGAGGATATTGAATATGCGTGCCTTTGAGCTCAAATCGGCCGTCCATGATGTCTTCAACCATGTGTGGAATTCTCTTGTTCAGGTCAATGTGGAAAAGGGACAAATTACAATCCAGCAGACCCAACAAGGTACGAGGAACAAACTCTTTGCTATATTCGCTTGCTAATTTGGCATAGGCGAGCCAATGAACCTAGATGAAGCCTTGGTTGGCCTCAAAGCATACAAGGAGGTCAATCAAAGGATGGCTCTCCTATGGCACGGTCTGGACGATGCCATTGTCGGCCCGCGAACTAATCTCAAGAACTCTACATTGCCAGCAATCGAGATTCATGATGTAAGTACATGAATGCAAGCCAAGATTTGGGTATCCGCTCACATACGCAGTCCTCGCTCCTTCTGAAGGGACAGGCAGACCGCAGTATTGCTGCATTGTTCTCTGATTTAGAACAAATCATGGGTTACCTTTCGCACCGGCTTCCAGACGAGCTGGTACAAGCACTTTCTAATGTAATGATGCCGGATCTTGTTCCCCGCATCAAATCAGTGTGGCTTGCTTCCGTGGTTCCAGCATCGCTCAAGGAGATAGACGAGTTCCAAGCCGTACTTGGCACAGTGAGGGCGTTCTGTGTGTCTCTGGGGAAGTTGAATTATACTGGCTACGAAGAGCTTCAGGATTGGATTGACAGTGCACCACGAGTCTGGCTTACCAAACGCAGAGAAACAGCTCTCGATACGGTGAGGGCGAAGCTGGCTGATGGCCTTGGTGATCCCAAGGAGGTAGAACGCGTAGAGACGCAGACAGTCTCGCGTGTGGAGGGCGCCAAGCTGGCGGCAAATGGCGCTCCAGCTGCCACTGACGATGACGATTGGGGCGCTGCATGGGACGATGGCACCGATAATCAGGAGAAAGACTCGACTGAAATTCCCCCGACGAATGCTGGCCAGGACGGCAACGATGAGGATGAGGGAGCAGATGCATGGGGATGGGGCGATGACGATGCTACAGAGGAGCAGTCAACAACGGCACCAGCGCCAACGTCTTCAGTCCCGCAGCCACCTACAGATGACGATGGAGATGACTGGGGTGCTTGGGGAGACGACACAGCCGGACAAGCGCCAGTACAGCCGGCATCTCAACAACCTAACTCTCAACCTCAAACTCGCGAGATGACTCTGCGAGAAACTTACAAAATCTCTGCAATGCCCGAACCTGTTTTAGCCCTGATAGCTGCGATACTGGAGGATGGAGCTTTCTTGGTCTGGTACGTGCTTGGTTCTATGCTTGCGACAGTCAGACGCTAATATTTTTACAGCTCGGAAGGCAATCCAGTTGCAGCAGCAGCGGCTGGACTCTACGGTTTACCTACATTTGTTCTTGCCATGTTCCGGGCTGTCTCGCCGTACTACTACGCCCTTGATGCATCTGGAGGCGGTAATATGTTTCTGTACAACGATGCGACTTACCTGTCTGAACGCCTAGCTGAAGCAACAGCTACCTGGAAAGCCCGTGAGGATCTTTCAGCACGTGCCATCAACATGCTGCGGCTAGACAATGACATCAAAATGCTAAAGTCGTTTGCTGCTCGTGCCTATTCTACGGAGATGACTACTCAACGAACAATAGTACGAGACCTTTTGGGCGGCGTACAAAACGTTCTTCAGCAGGACGGGGATGCCTCCGACCTGATCATGCAAGTTGAGGCAGCGACTTCGAGAATCCGTAGCGTTGCCGCAATATGGTCAGACATTCTATCAAATTCGGCCTGGTGTCAAGCTGTTGGCTCCTTAGTGGACAGTTTGGCGGGCAAAATCATAGCGGATGTGCTGGACCTGTCTGCTATTGGACAAGACGAAGCATTCAATATTGCAAATTTGATTGCAAAAATCACCGAACTGGACGATTTATTCCTTCCTCCCGGTTCCAGTAACAGTGGAGTGCCGACCACGAGTCAATACGCAGAGAACTGGCTGCGCCTTAAATTCTTGTCCGAGTTCCTGCAAAGCAACTTGAACGAAGTCAAGTACCTGTGGATGGAGAGCGATTTGAGTCTTTACTTTACGGTTGACGAGGTCATTGATTTAATTGGCCTCAGCTTTGCAGACAGCCCAAGAACCCGGGAAATTACTAGGGAGATAACAAGTAATCCTCAGCCAAGATCATAGAGATGCCTGAGGTTAATCATTAGTCAGACAATGAAAAAGAGCTAACTCGACAAGATTGATTCTTGTCTTCACATTTTCGTCGTTGCTTTGGTACATTGCGTCTATTTTAATCTTTTGTTTTCAACTATACAATATAGCTCTCATCCGGTCATGTAATATCCTTTTCGTAACCGTGACGAGAAAAGGATTTACGCAGCTGGCTAGCAGCGTCAGCGCGCTAATCTGATAGGGTTGGAAAATTGCTTTATTAATAAATGATACGATTGTATTTGAATTCAGTGTGCCAAGTGAATCTGATAGCCGCCAATTACAACCCTTCATTAGGTATCATTCGCCATGGGGTCTGGGTGGAAACTGCACTCGGAACAAATCAATCGTCCTCGGAATCCCCCTCTTCATCACCTTCCACGACAAATTCCGAATCATTTTCAAAATCTGTATCAACGACAGGCTTGACTTCCTCGACCTTCTTTGTCTTTTTGGACCCAGGCTTTGGCCCGCGCTTCTGTGGCGTCTTTTTCTCCGGGGCAGATTTCTTGTCTGCCTTTATTTCCTTGACCTTTGGAACACGGGGTTTCTTATTAGATGCAGCCTTCTTGCCAGCCAACGCCTCGTCATCCGACGCAGCACCCTCGGCCTCGGAAGCCTCTCGCTGCCGCTTCTTTGTACCCGTTCTGGCCGTTGCCGGCGGCTTCTTGCCCTTGGCGTCGGGCTGCGGACATGCTATCTTGCTCTTCTTGGGATAGCTCTCGGGGTCCGACTCCCACGAGTATTCGTAGATTCCTAGCTTCCTCTTCCTGGGTCCCTTTGGAGTGGGTGCCTTCTTTGGCGCGTTACTCTTTACCGGGGCCGTTGGGAGCGGCTTTCGCACTTTGGGCTTTGTGGCTTCAATCTCTAGGTCTGGTTGCTCTGTGGGTTGCAAGCCTCCCTCATCAGGCTCTGGATTCTCTTCTGGCTTTTGGATTTCTTCTTTGTCAAGTACCTTCCTCGAAAGCGTTTCTTGGTATTCCCGCGGTTCCTCTGCGCTTTCTTGTCCAACGTTGGCGTCCGGCTCTAGTTTTGGTGGAGTCAATTGCGGCTCAGAATCCCCATTGACATCTGTATCTGGCAATTGAGTATCCTTCCTGTCATTAATCTCTGTATCTGTCATGCTGTTTGATTTTGGGTTGTCCACTGCGCTGTCATGGACTACCTGCTGAGCCAGATCCGCGTCGGGTGAAACCAAGATATCATGATCCTTATGGCTATCTTGGTCTGATGGTTGAATGTAGTCCCTGGGTGATACTTCCATGAAAGCGACTGGAACTCTGGTCTCCAATTCATCGTATCGAGTTGTATTTTGTATTTCGCCAAATTCGGGCAACTCTGTAGTCTCGTGCTCTTCTTTCACTGTCTGGTCGTTTTCATGGTCAACGTACTCCACGCCCGAGCCTTTTGAATTCTCTGTATTCGACACAGCAGGTTCTGAGAGAGTAATACTGTTACTATTTGTATCCTCTTGGGGACTTCCCAGGTCCAAATCTTGCGTTGCTACCTTTTCTGATATGCTGCCAGACCGTAGTTGAGTCTCGACGGTAATGTCTTCCGACGATGCGATAGATGTGGTTGGGCTAGTACTTCGCGGGCCTCGGTTCCCATCTGATGTGCCTCCATCAATGCCTGCATCCACACTTGAATCGCGTATAGTGCTCAATTGAAGAATTGGAGTATTTATGGGCCCAGTCGGCAAAGAGATCGCGTTGCTCGGATTCGCGCTTTGCTTTTCATGCTGGTTCTCATAGTCCTCGTCGATTTCGAATAGCGCATCTAGAGTTTCATCATGAGCAGCAGAAATTGGTGATACAGTAGGTGCCGTAAAGTCCAAAGAAGAGGCACCATCCTTTTGGTCTAGAACCTCCGGGACTTCTGCCCCATGAGCCGGCGTTGATGGTTCGGATGCCTCCATCTGCGTCGGTGGCGTTCCCGCATCAATGGGACATGGTGTCATACGTCCCGACTCAGTGTGGTGTTCTTCCAATGGTGCCTGACTGCTTTTGTCGTCACCAGTTGAGTGCTCATAAGACGTGCCGAATTCATTTCCGCTGCTGAAGCTGTTCAACTTGTCTTCGCCTCTCATAGTTGTGTTTTCCTCTGCCTTTATCTGCATCGTGTCCAAAGCCTCTTGCGCTATGGTCTGTAGATTTTGAGACATTTTGCATCCCGCCTTGCTCGCTTCCTAACCACCTCAGTGAACGCGTTGAGTTGTGTGGTTGAGTGTGTGGGTCTACTTTCTATTCTGTAGTTGATGATGATCGCTTCAGCCGAAGAGTTCTGCGCAGATGGCGAGCATACAAAGTCGTAGAGTTCTACTTTGAGTTCTCTTTCACGAGACGAAAACGGATGTCTCTGTTGATCAAGGAAGGCCACGCCCGGCCTTTGTCACAGCAATGCACGCCACTCAATATCGAAACGTACTGACAAAGAACTCTTTGCGATGCGAAATCAATCAACAGAAGCATGGGTAAGATGCATCTTGGAATGAGACCCAACTTGTTAGATGAAGATAATACGGGCGACGAGACACTCTGAGAGCTAGTGTTTCTTCGTGGTATCATGGATGCTCAATGGTGCAGAACATAAATACAGTGTCAGTCGGCGCTATTAGCATGTATAATAGATGATTTGTACATGGTATGTATTGTTTATGAATTGATAATAGTCTGGAGGCATGAGTAGAGGGAAAGAAAGACAGATGGACCTTGCGTTGTGTATGTCCTTATATATTGATGAGGACAAATTTTTGACGATTCCACCAGCATGAATATCTGATTCTATTCACTCTGAAAAAAATCAAACATGTATCATAAGCGATTGCAAGGGAGTCTATAAGGACGTGAGACTGATACAACTTGCTCTTTGTAATTCTTGTTCTTATATAGGTAGGTAATAAGGTGACTAGCAATAGAAGCCAATTGGAACGTTGCCAAGCCTTCCAACATCTATACTTGGAGACAACTTTCTAACTATATTATTCATCGCATTGTTTTTGAAGAGAATGATAGCGGTCTCTATTTTTTTTAATGAAATTGACCAGTTTCCCCAAGGTCGCTTCCAACCTGGACAGCGATTGATGAGCAGGGGGTTATCCTATTTCTGCCTAGGTGACCTACTTAGGCCTGTTGATCCCCCGCAAATCGAGCCTCGACTGGTCCATTTTTGGAGTAAATATAAATATCAACTCATCACCTGTTCCAGTCCGTCTCGTGTGTATTCTTTACTTCCTCTTCGCCTATTGCCTGCCCTGCATCCACTACGCGACCCGTATCAATACCGCAACATTTTTCTGTCGCGCGAAGAAAGGCAACCTCATACTTCACCATGGCGTCATTCTTCAAGGAAATCAAGCCGCTCATGAACTCGACCATCGAGGCCTCACAGGCAATCAACCGCACAGCACCCATACTCGCCTGGACGCAAGTTCTCATGATTGTTCTATTAACTGGCATTTTTCTGGCTCTGTTTGGTCTGCTGGTCACCCTCAATCCAGATCTACAGGCCGAGCGACAAGAATTCATCACGCCCGCAGTACGCATACTGCTCGAACAGGGCGTCGCGTTGGGGCGATTGGTCGGGCGCGCGAGGGGGCATGCAAGGCAGGCGGCTGAGGCTGTATCTGCGTCACTTCCGGGACGTCACGTTGGAGCAAAGACCCCGTCTCCATCTGACAGTGAAAAGTCGGGGAGCAAGAAGAGTGCAAAGAAAAATTCTTGAGCTTTGGGTAAACCTTATTTCGATGCTTTGATTACTGTCACGGCATGAACCATGTGGGCTGAAGTGCACATTCTCGAGGGCAAAGGATGCATGCTCATCGCAAATACTGCGTGATGGTGAAGGACATGGTTTCGATACGCGCATTATCTCTTGGCCGTTTGGCACAATCTAATATACAATAAACTCTGGTATCCTTTGAAAGAAACAAGTACAGGAGAACCATCAGAATACCCTCGAAAACATGCACCCGAAACGCCCTGGCTCCAATTTTCAATCCCTAGCATAATACATTGTCGTCAATACATGTCCCATTTCCAATCATGACCAATAGTCGTCAGCCCACTTGCTCAATTTGATGGCAACTTGCTCGAACTAGACTCTACCTGGGGCAGACTTGCATTCATTGCTGGACTCTCAACTCTCCACCAGTCTCTCGATCCGCGACGCCCGCGTTTCATGTCGCCGCCCAATCTCGCTAGGATCATTGCTCAAGTCCTTGCCGTTTGGGGGAGGTTGGTAGAGATCATAGTCCATGTGACTGACATCGCCCTCGGCATAGACATCGGCAGCCGGCCGGGGCGCCGTCGTCGGCTTGATCTGGACCGGCGGGCCGTGCTCATCGCGGTCGTCGCCGTCATTAAAGTAGAGCCGGTCGCTGTCGTGCAGTGAGGACACCTCGCCCCACGACGCCGCCGGCACCTGGTGCGTCTGCACGTCGCCGGGCTGTTGGTGCATCGGCAGCATGTCGGGGTTGATGGGCTGTTGGGCAGTTTGGCGGCGTCGGAATGCACCCAGAAAACCTCTCTTGCCTTCGCGGCGTTGAGGGGGAGCCCCGATGTAATCTGACTTGTTGATGTATTCGCCGTCGGCATCACGTATCGGGCGCATCGCTCTATGACGCGTGCGATTCATGTGAATCTCTAGAAAGATGGAGATGATGAAGAAAAGACTGCATGTCAATGGTGTAAATATTAATAAAACAGTGATACACGACAAAATATCAAATGAGAAAAAGGGATCTCACTTACATGGCAACACAACCTGCAATCAGGCAGACTGTCTCGAGTCGACAGGTCATTTGAAATGTAGACATTCCCACGCTTCCGACAATGCTACCCTCGGCATCGCTTGGAGTGGCGGCAGCATCACCTGAGCCGAAAACGGTATTGACATTACTCCCGCTGCATGAGCTGGCACCGTCCTTGTTTGCGACGGCAACGTAGATGAAACCTCCAATCAGACCAGTGTCGAGAACCATGGCGATAAATGAGGTGCCTGCGTGGCCGGCGCAGCAGCACACCAAGAGGAGTCCGACAATGGTATATACCGTGCCGATACCCGAAATGCCCTCGACGGCCTTGACGCCGGTCGGTACGCTCATCTTTCCTTTAATCATGGTGGCCAAAAAGTAGGCGTAAATGCCTAGCACCACGACCGAGCAGACAAATTGAACTCCGCGCAAAACCCATTGGATACACTTGAGGCCTGCTATCCCTGATGACGACCCCATTGTAATGTGTTGTGATCTTGGCCTCGCAGCCAGATGTTATGCTGTTTATGTTCAAGAGTTACTTGAATTGATCTCAAAAATGTAGAAACGGTGTCGAGGCAATGGTTGCCGGCCTGCAGGATAGACATCTCATTCATATGTAAGTAGATGCGCATGATGGGCAATCAAAGTTGCGCAGAAGAAATGACGTCAACTTTGTATGACAGCAAGTTTGATTGAGCCATGTCATCGCCAGGGGTATTTTGGTGTACAGTAGGTATAATGGTCCGTGTTATGAATGTGATGTTCATCGTGATTGGCACCATCAAGCAACTGCCGAGTTTCAGATATCGGCATCCCTGCAGAGTCTAGCTTGTATAAGTTGGAGAAAGGGTGGATTGACATGGCTTCATAAGTGATATATATTCTACAACCTTGCGATTCATTATCTTTTTATTTCTTTAAAAATATTTGGGACAGATGAGTAGAAAGACGCAAAATCATACAGCGGCAAAGTTACGAGAAATAAATAGTCGCTCTGAGGTTGTCAATACAACCACATGGCTCTTAGATCGACCCTGCGCGACACATGGGATAAAACTACGTAGCAGTCAAGGTTTGGTACACCCGCAAGCAAGATTACAGTATTTCAAGTACTGAATTATAAGGCTGATTTAGCCTAGGTTGATAGGACGGCCAAGGACCAACAAAGGTACCTTGGGGCATTTGGTTTCACATGGCAAAACGACAGAAAAGTCTCACACCATCTTGCAACTTTGCCCCATGGATTAAACTGATCGCAACAAGTAGTGGGTATCATTGATAAAGTTTACTGTTCAAAATGTACAACAAAGATATAAGCCTTGGTGATGAATGTGCAGATGATCCTCTCGTGGTAAATCTGATCAGACAGGACTCTTATCGACTGGCGCATCTGGTTGTAGGCCTGGTATTGATTGCAAAGTCCACGGATCCCCCAAATCTCCAGTATTCTCTTCAGAGCTGACATGATACGATGTTTCCACCACAACATCATGCGACGTGGCCTGAACAGCTGGAGTGGTAGTTTCCAACATGAACTCTTCGCTGCCATGAAAGCTACCACCACTGATGCTGTCCTTGGCGCGGGTATTCAAGCTCTGGGCAAACGTCTGCGTCATTCCCCAAGGCGTAAAGGCGCCATTCCACGTCGACTTGGTACGCGCGCCCCCTTGTCCCGAAATGGTGTTCGAGTTGGTCTTTCTGCTGAAGCGCCGCGTCGGTGCCGGACCCCGCCAGAACGTCTTGGTAAAGGCGGGCGACAGGATGGGTATGTTGGCTGCAACGATTCCGATAATGGTCTCGCGCACGCCCCAGCGGTTGATGTTCACGGCGCTGGGGTTGGATCCGACCGTGAGAACGACCCTGATGATTGCTGCTGCTATCACAAAGAATCCAGTGCAGATGAGCATGCCGACGAGCAACTTTCTGTAGACATCAAGGTCAGTATGGAAAGCGATAGATATCGGTGGCGTTGAGAGTGCCTGATATAGGAAAGTTTCCATATCTCTGACACAAAGCGAACGCAACTCACTTTTTTATGGATACTCTTAGTTGCCAAAGAATTGGGAGTGGGACAGCCAGAATGGCCATATCCGTTCTAGAAGTCAGTTAGCAGATGGTGGTGAAACTTCATTTTGAAGCAAGTCAAGAGAAGCCTTACATGACATTAAGTACAGCTATCGAAATGAAGTTCTGTTTTCGAAAAGTACATTTTGCTGGAAAGAACGTCAGGATTCGCTGGCATGAGCACGACCTCAAAGTATGACTTACGACCTGGATCAGGTACGACCCTATGTCGATTGTCAGCATTATTCTCATGCGGATATATGAATTCAGACTTACTGCCAGTTTAGATATGTAGGATAACAGCTGAAACAGACCTAACGCTTTGTCAGTCTCCTTGTTGCAGCCCCTGCTTACGGCAAGACATACCGTCAAAACAACAGCGCAGTAGGATATACCACATGCCCACATTAGCCAGTTGACGAGTCGAGATTGCCATAGACCCATGGTCATGCGTTGGTAAAAACACAACATGGCGCCCTTGAGACACCACAGCAACGCTGGATAGGTGAACCATGCAGACCATTGACTTTTTGATCCAATGGCATATTGCGCGATTTCTGCGTCAGAAAGAGCTTAAACACAACTGTTAGCATCAGGACTCGGAGTCGCGGCTGTTCATGCCGATAAGAAGGTAACGTACTTCTGGTGCGCTGGAAAGTAGATGCTTCCACATTGGTTCCTGTCCAATCTGCAAATACTGATCAATGGTCCGTCTTTGGAAAAGCTCAATCATAACACGGCAATGTCGTACGTACAGGTAATGTCCACCAACACGGCATCACCCGTGTATAGTAGAATGAGCAGGATTGCGAAAAGATCGTCGCCCTGGAACCCCCGGAAGCCCACGGTCTTGAGCCGTACAGCAAACCGCGCAACAAAGACGAGTATCCCTATCCCATAGAGTGTCCATACTTCAATCAGGAACTAGCCACCACTTGTTAGTCCTTTCCCCAATCAAAGTGACATGTCAAACATGTCTCGGGAACGTCGCGCTTGATGGTGGTGAGCTTACCGAATCCGAACGTTCCAGTCCCGTAGAGGAGATTGGAGGCAACATGTTACCAGACAATGTGTTCCTCCCTAGCTGTTTGATTCCATTGATGTCAGAGGGCACTCGAGGCGGTCGCAAGTGGACGAGTTTCATGCAACTTGAATCGAATCCTGCATGGGGGGAATTATCAAGTTTAAATCCATTCGCGCCTACGGGAGAGGCGCCACCAGTCCGAGAGACCGGTAAAGACGGGTACCTGAAAAGGTGGTGTGTTACTAAAGGGGGGGGATTTGATCAAAGTACTAATCAAGGAAGTCTCTCCCTGTCACAGTCAACCGAGAAACTTCTAAGTATGTGTTCGAATGATGGAAAGTCACCCCTTTTACAGAGGACAGGATGACATGGAAAGCTCTCACAACTGAAATACATGCAAACGAGGGTGGAACCATGTGTCATCCAAGGGATTGATGCTTAGTCCAAGTCTTTCTGCCGTCAGCCATGCCAACGGCCATGCATCGAACTGAGACGGTTTCTGACGCCGTTCACGATCTAGCAGTTGTAAGTGGCAATGCTTCCCACTACCGGCAGTACACTAATCTTTGGGAAGCAATATACATGGTAGAAATAGATAGAGTCTTGGGGGTCGGACATTCTTCCTGGTGGCCCTTCCCATGAAGACACTAGCTGATGAAAGGTGGTTGCCGCTACCAGTTATAGTTTGAGCTATACTGCAACTCTTACAAACAACTTGGTGCGGGGGGTGGAGGGCCACCTCTATTAGTCCTGGACAAGGCGGAATTTTTCATACTGGAGGCGGGGACACTAAGCCTATCATCCCAGATTGACTCGAGATTTCGCCGTCATGGTACGGATGCGACGGGTCTCACGTTACATGCAGCGTGTATTCTTCCAGGTGCGTATCGTGGGGGAGGGGTCGCTACCTACTTTTCACAGCCGGAGATGATGTTTCCAACCCTCCATGTCCATATAGTTCGTGTAGTTGTGGCGCAGTCGCCAGCAAGTACAGTTTTATTCCGGCCTGTGCGACGCCACAACAAAAGTCAAAGTTCAAGTGTTGCAAAGGTCCATGTGAAGCAACAAGACAGATGTGAAGATCGGGGAGCAGCTCATCTCACGTGCAATAATGAATCCTCTGTATGCGATTATCTAGAGAAATGGAGTATTACGAAGAGACATTCCCTGCAGAAACCAATCGATCAAGAGCGGTACCGAAGATGGCAGATATTAGTTCATATAATATGCAAGGCTTCAACTTTACAAGAGGGCAACATGGGTTTCGGGTGATTAAGAACCAAGCTCTTCGCATCTGTGCAAAAGTTGCTCATCATGTTTCTAAGCCTCCAATACCAAATAGGTCAAACACCTCGAGTGCAACTTGTCGAGTACGAAACTGAGCAGGCGTCCTCCCAAGAAAAAACGTCGTTGGAAAGACTGAGTCAAGACACTATCAACGGCGCTGATTTCCCAGATACTAGTCTAGGGCCCACGGACCATAAGAAACGATCATTTCCGGATGGAATGACGACAAAAAAACGTGTTGCAGGCAAGACTAATGGTTGATCGGTGCAATCTTTGGATCGAAAACTACGGAAGACCAAAGGTTTTAACTCGTCGGGACTATTGTCGCGATTAGGAAGTCAGATTGTGTTGTGATTATGGTATAATCTGGGTGTGCTTGAATTTGTCCTTGAAATTTCCTAGTAATCATATATAGAAAAGATTTAATATTGAAATAAATGCTGCACTCTTGTACGACGGGACCCGATGTCTGCATTGATAGTAATGTCGAGGGAAGCAAATGTCAGACGTCTCCATTTCGCACGATATCAGGCGCCTTGAATCACCACTACAAAACTTAGCGCCGACTGATTCGCATGCCGCTATCGCCACTATTGGACGATGCTCACAGGGCGACCCTCAAGTTGGGAAAGGCAAATGTATATCTGGGGTAAGACTAATGGCGGTGCTAGCTCAGGGGCTTTTTACGACTATTCACGACAATAGAACCGCCCAATAACTGGGATGAGCCTGGTCAATCTGAAGAGCTCGCGTCGAAATGTAAGTCCAGTAGTATTAAATTGTCACTGTTACCAAACCAAGAAGCACGATAGATTTTCTCCCCATGATCATATCAATTCCTCCCACCCTGTGTATACATAGAAGCGAACAATCCTGAATAGCAATCGATACTGTTTGAGGAAATCCTTAACCTCTTGCATTCGTCATCTCGTGCAGTATGTCAGGTACTCCAAACAGATCTGTCATTTGTCGATTATGAATTCTGTAAAAGATCCTTTTCCATTCACTTGACCAGACTGCGGTAACGTCAATGCACCATCCAAATATAAGGTAGTCAATTGATGCTTGCCAGACGTCACCGTCATCTAATTTTTTGAGGTATCTATGTCATGACCCATAAGAAAAGCTCAACCATAAACGCCCAAATGATGTTCCGATATCATGACCCGGGTGATGAACCGGGCAAATAACGAGTGCCTCTTCTACTTCAACGCCATCATATGCCAAATCAATAACGCCGACTCCTGGGGGTCCATAAAGACATGGCTGCCGATGCTAACAAGATTCCCACTTGTTTCCGAGTAATGCTCGTGTGTTCTCCTTCTTCTCGTATTGTGTGGGCACGCAGCTACTTGCTGCCCACATGCTTCACCCGCTTTCTAGGCCACACCTCAGCCTGGGTGGTTTTGGCCGCCCTCTTCTTCGGATTTTCCCTATCCATCTGCTCTCGCTCCGTGGCCAGATTGCGATGGGCTCGAAGCATGTATTCGGTATTCTGATAGTCGCGCTGGAGACGTCTCCAGAGGCTCTGCAGCGCCCTCTTTCTGAACAGGCTAGCGTCGCCCATGGCTTGGATCTCGTTGGGCATCGGCGTCGCGCGGAGCCTCTCAAGCTCGGCATCCAGGTCTCTCATAGGAGTTGTAAATCGAATGTCATCGGGGCCGCCGGTGCCACGCCCCACGTTTGCCCATACGACATTATGATACCGGGCGGCAGCATCATCATAGAACCTTCGGAATAGCTCCAAGCCTTCCGGTGTCATGAGCGCATGGGCATCCTCCCACTCGGTAGTTTCAGCGTGACCGCCCGTGTTCCACCAGCGCACCTCACAGCGAGGCCCCTCTAGGAACCATCGAACGTTTGTGATCTCCTGTACCCGCCACAGCAGCCGGCCCATAGCATCATACCGTGGCAAGAGATATTTGCGAAGTGTGCCGAGACGATAGTCCACAGTGCGGTCGAGCCGGCTTTGCTGGAGTACGGCAGCTCGAGTGTGCGTGGATAGACTCACCGGGCCAAAGCCACACGACCGGTCTGCACCACTGATATCGAGGCGGGCAAAGTCGACAGCCTGCTTCCAGAACTTGGCATCGTCTCTCCGGGGAGCTGTCGTCTGAATGTTGGCAGGCATGCTGCGGTCGAGGCCTTCAAGGACTGCAGGGAGATCTCTCAGGCTCGAGCAATTTCTCAAAACAGTGACGGCATGCTTGTAGAGAGTGGTAATCTGCCTAGCCCTGGGAGTACCGATCGACGACCTTTGCGTCACGTTGATATGTCGAATCGCATTACGGCGTTCTGGCGTAACTGCGACCAGGAATGGCACCAGATCCTGGAGGTCAAATTGGAACCGATTGATGCGGTAGAAGACGGGATAGCTTCTTAGCTCTTCATAAAATTGCTTGCAGGTCAAGTTGAGCGAAACAACGGCGAGGCGCTCATTGTCCCGGCTCTCCCATAAATAGTCACGATTGCCGGGATGATTATGGACGGGCACCTGCTCACGCTCTCCCCAGGTAAACTTGTTTGAGCAGTCGGCGACCTGGCGCGGCACGATCGCCTTGTCGAGTTTGACGGCATACTCATAGATCATGAGCCGCAGCTATTGACGGGGATATGTCAGTATGTGATAGCCGTAGAGTGCCAATCCATTTTCACGTTTCGGTATCTCTTTAATGCGAGCAATACTTACATCGACTGGGATGCCGCATAATGAGGGAACAGGGCGCCATCTATCAGGTACGTCGAAGGGAATTCTTGTGGATTGCATTGCCGGTTGACCCCTGGAGGGACTACAGCTGGCTGATGCCAGAGCGATGCGTGAGACCCAACGTACTAATGCAGGTTGGCATAGGATGGATAATTGATGGTTGAACTGATTAGTTTTTGGAAACGGAAAAACAAGAATTCAGGACCAAGTCTTTCAGAGACGTTAATTGGAGTGTTCAAAGAACACCGTTGATGAGGAGGAGGCTTCCGTTTTCTCTTGCGGAAACACAGTCGTCCGTTGCCCCCAAGGGACGCAAACTTTGTGTCGATGTATATATTGGTGGGTTGTATTGGGGAGGGGAGATTCCAGAAGAGGGGACGTTGCCTGCAGGGTGCCAACGTGGACAATTATCTGGCGCTCCTTTTTGAAATTCACGATATGTTTGGTAATGATGTCAACCTGAGAAAGCCACCACGGAGATATGTGAGGAAGGGAGAGAGAAGGAAGAAGGAAAAATCTCGAAATCGTCATAGTAGAACAGGACAAAACTCGGCAAAAAACCAATTCACTACGGATCGGGCAAGCCGCGCTTGGCTGACGAAGGACGTGAAAAAAAGCGCCTCCATATTCAAGAAGCGCTAGATTGGCCTTAGAAGAAGATCCGGCATCAAGGGACCGCAGACGTGAAAGGGTTCTGTAGGGAGAAAAAGCCAACAGTCAGATGGGATCACCCTTGTTTTCTCTAGTCGAAGTTTAAAAAACCCATTTCTCGGTGCAAAATCCGAGTTCAGAGCGCGCGGAAACAAGAGCAGGGTGACGCCAGGGATGGGAGGTGCCGTAGTCGAGGTGGGTTGGGGGTTGAAATTGGACGACGACGACGACAACGACAACGAGTGCCGCTCCGGCGGTGTCTGTTTGCGCTGGACTGGGGCGCACATTGGCGGTTCGCATTGATAACATCCAATGAGAGGAGCTAGCCCAAGTACTCAGCATGAAACGAGCGGAAGCTCAGCACCTCGGTTTCGCCGGTCTCAAGCGAGGCGCGCGCCGCAGAGAGCAAAAGGGTAGCATTGACAGTGACCGGAACAATACAAGTCCTAGGGGGAAAACGTCTTCGTCTTCCGCGTTTCTTGAGAATTGGGCGAGGGGCCCGCTCTCGGTACTGTATGGCGAGTCATGGCCACGACACTGCGCTCTGCTGCGGTCGCATTTTTGGCTGCGCCCACTGCTCTAATCTCGAGCCATGAGCCATGAACCCTTGCGATCGACGAACCTGTTTGGGGAGGTACAGCACGGGGAGGGTTTCCGCGTTCGTGGGATTCGTCGACAGTTGGATCCCGAATACGCAAAACCAGAAAATCACTATAAAATACCTGGCTTGTCTGGCTGATTCTGGACCCTGACGAGTGAAACCATGCCTCCCAGGTTGTTGGTAGTTTTGGCTGTGTAGGTATGTAGGTGGCGTCGGTGAGTGGAAACTTTGACAGTGCCTGAGTTGGAACCAGAATGTCTTTTTGAACGCCAGTGATGCCAAGTTCCGATGTGCCGAGTGTACTAATGGATTAGAACGGTGCCACGCTCTGAGTTTTTCCTCACTCCCCACGATTGAAAAATCGTTTTTTTTTCTCACCTTATTAGAATTTTCTACGGCCAGTAAATGCCCGTATCGCCAGAACTCACTTCAGACAAGATGTCCGCTACAAGTCCGCCTGCCTATACTGTGATTCGGAAGGCAATTGACGCTACCCAGAGGTGGATTGTAAATGTCGTGTAATACCTTCCATTTGTTTGGGTGATCCTGCTTGCCGCTTACAGCGTTGTGTTTGGGCCGGGGGTTACTGAATAGTTCAGCCAAGTTAGGTAGTTGCATAGCAAACAGTCACAGGCTTGTGAGGAAAGCCGACATACCCATTTGGTATGAGCTATTGAAGCGATTCAATTTGACCTTATGTAAGCGCCGCCTTTCTTTATGATTAGGTACATGTGTCGAAATGTAGATTTCATACTGGATTTGGATTGTACATATTCAACACTAGTAGCGCAAAACTATGACATCGGCTTGCAATATACTAGCGTCCGCCCACTGTGGACCACCAAAAAGTATTCGCCTACTAGTCATTGCTGTAGCACCCCGGTGCCGTCAATCCGGCAACCCACCAATTGAAGCTGATGCCCATCAACGCCAGCACTAAACAGCGCTTTATTAAGGTTCCCGTCGTTCCCACAGCCATTAATAGGTATTCATAACTCCGGCTTTCAAACACCCCTCAAACCATACTCCACTGCGCCAGGCAAAAAGTCGTGGTCAATTATGTTACAATAGTTCTTGTTTTCGTGCAGCAGTCTGTTTCTGCAATGTTGCGTTGCTTGTCGAGGGCTGTTGACTCGTCTCTCAATAGAATTTTATTCCTTCTTCCAGGCAGACTTGATTGCACCTGTCATGGAGAAGCCACCAAGAAGCCATTGATCTGAGTGCCGTCCGCAATGTGTGTGACGATTCTTGTTCGACGACGTCGACTTGGAAGATTTGGCTGAGCTGGACGAATCCTGACGCGTCGGTGTGGCCCTTTCAAAATGAGAGCTAGAAGAGCTGTGTCTAGGAGACTCGTATGCCCACTCGTGAGAAAACGACTTTATGCTCGTCAGCAATTGTTCGCCAGAATTTAATTCTGTACTGTGGTTGGTACTAATGACTTACAAAGTCGGATGCGAAAGAATCTTGTCGCTGCGTGCCGTGATAGGTAGCACTATCCGGAAGTGGGGCAGAGGCTTCATTGCCTTTCTTGGAGGACCGGCCGGATCCCATGATGGTGGTAGGTATGTGCGAGACCGGTAGGTATCGATGTTGATGGAGGAGAAAGAGTATGAATCTTGACCTGTACTCTTTCAGAGCAGATGATTTAATGCGCTCAAGTCTATGCACAGAAGCAGAGAGCCACTAGTTTACATATGTAAGGGCGAGAGAGCGCTTCGGCATTTATATTCTTGGTAGGGTATGGGCTGTATCGTGGTATCTTGTTTGCCAAAGACGGATCAAATGAGTGCCCACCAGGGTTTATTTTCTAATAAATTGGAGCACTCCAGGTGCAAGAAAGTCAAATCCACTACTAAAGCAGTGAAATTTGGAGGGACTTGGTGTGCAAGATAAAAACAGAAATCTAGCAGCCTGATGACCATATATATTCCAATGGAAGGACCAGCAGCTGCATTGGGGGCTGCTGACAAGGTATCCACGTTGTGTATACTTTTCAAGTCAGACCCAAGAAATTCCTGGATCGCTTATGTATGGGCACCCCGGACGGCTAGAGGTCGCGTGGTAAGGCAACTGGACGATAAGTGGAGGACTGCATATCAAGTTGTCCATCAGACCAATGGGCACACGGGGGTTGAATGCCGCGCTGCACCGGAAGGTCCAGCTTTTGGACACGATAGCACACCAAAGGGTAAGAGTAAAAGACTTGAGAAAGGCAACACGATGGCCCAACTAGCGACCCGTTGCGCTCGGAAATGTTTATTGAGTCACCTGCCGGAGTTTAGTCGATTAGCGGAGGACCACGTCAACATCCTTATGCTCGACGAGATCACTCCGCAAAACAAAGTTGCGGAGGGCGAGATTTCCCCGATGTACATTGGCTGTAACAATAGACTCGTCCCAAGTCCATTGGATCCCACGGTTGGCAAACACATATGATTGCCGACGAACGAATGCTTTTGGGGGCTAGAACACCATGGTCTCCGACGTTTTGCATGGTGCCAATGCATACATTACCGTGTCCAGTCAGCATAATCTGCAGCTGCTACAGCACAGATGTGTTGTGGCTAAGAAAAGGCGGTGGATGGATCACCAACTTTGAAACTTTTTGAGTTCAATTGTTGGAAATGTCGGGCATCAAACCTGATCAGCGAGCTTACAAGATGGTCCCTGGTCCCGACATTGCTGTGATCAATATTGTACGAGCACGTCGGTAGCAGGTAGGTAACTGTATGGGACGATCATGGCTCGTGCTATGCTGGTGCATAGCTCGTCGGTCACACAAAGTAGTTTGATTCGTTTCGCGTCCAGTCAGCAGGCCGATAAATGGTTCGCGAACCATCGACTCACAGGGAGCGTCGGTGGTTGAATGCGTAAGCAGAGCTGCAGGCTTGTGGAGCGAACATTGTAGGTAGCCTGTATTTCGACCGACCAACCGGCCAACTTGCCAGGCAGCGGGAACATTGAGGTGCGTGGCAGAGGTGTCAAACATGGGGCAAACGGAAGACGGCAAGGGTCGAGAGCATGCCTGTCTCTCTGCCTCTACACTAGAAGTACGGAATAGGTGCCGTCTGACAAGAGAGGCAAGAGGAGGTCCATCAGCTTGCATTGGCGTGTGGAGGGAACAGCAGTGACAGGTGATGAGGACCGGGGATGACTCAATCGGACACTGGCAGAGACACCTGCCGGACAGTTGCCTCCAGCTGAGCGCCCGAGAAAGACCGTTTTTCCCTGACTGTTCGACCCCTTTCCCCGGATCCGTAGGGCTGACCTTAGCTTTTGAGCCGCACGGCATAGCGCCGACGATGACGATGGAATCCGGGGAGCTCGATATAGAACTTTTTGAACGAAGATGATGAGGTTTGCAACTATTGTCCGTGGCTTGCAGAACGGGTCTTGGGGTTTAAATCATGGACAAATGGTCAATTGTACTGCCTACAGTGAGGCGACTCTGACGAGCTACACAAAAGATTAGTTTTCTATATAAATAAACTATCTGGGTGAAATATCGCAAATGTTGACAAGTTCATGTCGAGAAACTGGATGCTTTTGGGCCTCCGAGTCGATCGCAAAATTTTGGTTACGATAGGTACGGGGCAGTTGTGGAAAGCGGGCACAAAACATGGGATCGCTAAAAAGACGCTTGGACCCCAACAATTACAGCGAGTTTGATTGGTTGAATGACCCAGTTTGGTGGGCCCTCCAGGCGCGTGCCTTGCTTGCTGAGCTAAGACAGAGTGGAGGGTAGCGAAAGGGCACGACCAGCAACAGGCTGGACGCGCAGGTTCTTGTTCACACTCTCTTCTCTGCTCGCTGTTCGATTGTCCGTAGCAATCCATCACCACCTCGACCACGGCTGGACCTCGACTCAATTATCCCTTGCCCAGCCACTCTCTTATGACTTGTTCTCAAGTGTTTTTCTTTCCTTATTGACCAGCGCGCCCTGAGGATCCGCATTAGCTCTCTATCCGCGATCCGCCATACGCCTTCGACCGGCTCCTTCAAATCAAGCCCGAGTACCTACATTCACGCCCATATTTCAACGCATGACCGCCTGCCGACAAAGATTTCCATCTCGATACCATTCAAGCCAGACCTGCACTTCACCGTCTTCCATCGCCCCTTTGGTAAATCATTATTTGCTGAAGCCGACTTGTCCATTTGTCCGCACTGGCATCCTTGCCGTTCACGGGCCGTCCTAGGTGGTATAATTGATGCATCACACCACGAGACGTTCACCAACAACAGTCGATCCAATACCTCTGGTAATGCAGCAAGCTATTTGACTGCTTCTACTGTCCACACGCTAAGCAGCATCCCTCGAATACCCACCTTCACCTAAGTAAGTTCAATAATAATTGCGACCCTTGCCGTGATATGTACCTAGACAACCATGACGGTCATCACTTCGCGTTCCGTCTTGCAACATCCATTATTGCGACTTGCCAATGCTGCAAGCACAACTCTCGTGTTCAAACCCCAATTTCTTCTCCAGACAGTTGAGAGTTTCTCTCGCCGTTGAATACAGACTGCCTTGGGGAATTCCGCAACCAAACCGCCACCAATGGTGTTCACCTACTCAAACGCTTCACATTAGCTCGTCATACAGTTCATTAATACTGCCGATATGTTGACGTCTTGTTACTGTTTACCATGATACTAGCCAGTGAAAGCGTCGAAACCAGCTAATAGTTTGGGTCATTTCTAGCTCGATTGTTTGGACCGCAGCCACTTTTCAAGCATGCCGCCAAATAAACGCAAGCGGGATATCCTCGACTTCGACCCAAACAAGTCTGACTCGGAAGACGAAAACTTCCAGCCAGATGTCGATCGTCCGGCCCGTTCGCGCAAGAAGTCTCGCCCCACAAAATCTGGCAAAGGCCCCAGCCGCACAAGGCGCAACAAGTATCGTGGTTCCGATATCGAGGACGACGAAGAAGAATCCGAGAGTGGTGGAGAAGAATCATTCGATGAGCCTGAAGAGGACGACGAAGACGAAGAAGAGCTGCCTGTCAATCAGAATACAGGCCGTCGCATGAGGAAAGCTGCTGTAAAGCAACAGACTTACAGGGAAAGCTCAGAGGAAAGTGCGGATTCAGACTCGAGCTCGGACGGAAAGGACGAGCTCCAAGAGCAGGGTTCCAACGCCAAATCGCCCCGCCCCTCCAAAATTGTTGTCCTGCAGGTGCGTAAGACTCGCGCTGGATCTACAAAGGCCATGCCCACAACGACTCGTCGAACCCGTGCCCAAACCGCCGACGCAGATGAGGAGCTTGTTGAGCTCTCCAACTCTGGCAAGCACGTCATGCCGGCACGCGGCTCCAAGAGTATTAGTCCTGAGGCTGCATCACGGATAACGCGAGCAACTCGCGGAGGAAAGGGCCTCATGAGATCACCCCCACCCCCAATTGAAGAGGCAACTCAAGAAAGCAGTCCTCGCAAGGGCAATGCAGAGAATGGCGAAGAGCAAGAAGAGCTCAAAGTGCCGGAAGTTGAGCTCTTGTCTGATATGGACCCCGCCGAGAGCACTGTGAAAGACGAGGATCACCCCATGGAAACAGTGGAGCCCGAAGAAGCCGATGATGAAGACGACGAAGTGCTCGTCTCACGCCGAACGCGAGGCAATCGCCCCACAGTAGCCGACGACGCCGAAGAGGAGGAACCCGGTAATACACGTAGCCGCCGCCTGACACGCAAGTCACGCTCCAAGAAATCACTCCAGGAACCGAGTAGCGACTTTGAGCCAGGCAATGACTCTGGGGACGACAACGAATCTGTCGCCAATCAAGCGCAGAACGTCGCCGATGATGGAAACGAAACTACCCCTTCGCGCGGTCGTAAGAATACTCGCGGCCGGGGCCGATCAGCCAAGGCGTCCCAGCGTGATGATTCAGGCGATGAGGAGGTAGAGCTTGACCGTGATGAGATGGCTGAAGAGCTTGAAGATCTGCGAGGAAGCTCGCAATCACGCCGGCCTCGTCGCCGCCGCCAGCGCTCACCGTCCTTGCGGGCCGAGAGTGTTAGGGGTAAACGGAAGCGGAATCTTGTGAATTATAGTATAATGCCACCTCGAGATGCCGTGGAAGAAGAAGAAGAGGCGCAAGCCCCCAACCCTAGCCCGGCTCGGCGTGGCCGTAGGGGCGCTGCCGCCGGCTGGGACCGCACTCTACATACAATTGCCGGTCCTTTTGGTGGTGTAAACATCAATGGCCCAGGTGCTTTGTTTAGTGGGCCTTGGGGCACTGGAGCCACTGGAGGTGTTGATTCGGACAGTAGCGACGATGAAATGGGCGGAAGATCGGGCCTGACAGGCCCGACTGCAGGTGATGTAGGAAAGACGCCCACCATGGCAGCCCCCCCAGGCTTCCTAGGAGGACCTGGCCAGGCACTCAACGTCGACGGCGGAGCTTCTGGCCTGACCGCTGCTCCCAACGTTGGCAAGGTCAAGAATCAAAAGGCATATGCGGACGCCGACCCACTCGGCGTAGACCTCAACGTTGATTTCACCAAGGTTGGAGGCTTGGAGGGTCACATAGACCAGCTCAAAGAAATGGTGCAGCTCCCTCTGCTGTATCCAGAGCTTTTCATGAAGTTTCACGTTACTCCCCCGCGAGGAGTCTTGTTCCACGGACCGCCCGGTACTGGTAAAACACTTCTTGCTCGTGCACTTGCCAACTCGGTTGGTATTGGTGGCAAGAAGATCACCTTCTACATGCGCAAGGGAGCCGATGCGCTCAGTAAATGGGTGGGTGAGGCAGAAAAGCAGCTTCGTCTTCTCTTTGAGGAAGCCAGAAGAACGCAGCCCAGCATCATTTTCTTTGATGAGATCGACGGACTTGCACCTGTTCGGTCTAGCAAACAAGAACAGATCCATGCCTCGATTGTTTCAACCTTGCTTGCCTTGATGGACGGCATGGATGGGCGAGGCCAAGTCATTGTGATTGGTGCCACGAATCGTCCGGACAACATCGATCCAGCCCTGCGCCGTCCTGGCCGCTTCGATCGGGAATTCTACTTTCCGCTGCCCGACGTCGATGCACGGAAGGCCATTATCGACATTCATACCAAGGATTGGGGCATTTCTGACGATTTCAAACGCTCTCTGGCTCGTGATGCCAAGGGCTATGGTGGTGCCGATTTGAGAGCCATGTGCACTGAGGCCGCCATGAATGCGATCCAACGAACGTACCCCCAGATCTATTCTTCAAAGGACAAACTGATAGTCAACCCGGATAAGATTGACATCCAGATGACAGATTTTGTACTGTCCAAGAAAAAGATTGTGCCGTCCTCTGAGCGCGCAACGACATCTTCAGCCGCATCACTCCCAAAGCCCATCGAGCCGCTATTACACGACCAACTCAGACATATTCAAACCATCTTGGACGACATCTTGCCTCGAAAGAAGAAAGTCACTGCCCTCGAAGAAGCCATGTTTGAACCTTATGATGATGAGGACTTTGGCTTCGCTAGAGAAGCTCTGAACGAGGAATTTGAAAGATCACGTGTGTTCCGCCCACGGCTTTTGATCTGCGGTTTGCCGGGAATGGGTCATTCCTATCTGGCTGCTGCCGTGTTGCACTATCTGGAAGGTGTTCACGTTCAAAACTTCGACCTCCCCACAATCTTGGGTGATTCACGAGTAAGTTACAACCAGCTCCCATGCCATCTTTCACGTAACCGTTAACAATGAGTCAAAGTCTGCGGAACAGGTCCTAGTGGGATTGTTCACAGAAGTGCGGCGCCACAAACCAAGCGTGATTTTCATTCCGAATGTCGATACTTGGTATACGACACTGGAAGGACCGGCTCTTACAGCATTCCTCAGCATGTTACGCTCAATTCCTCCCACCGATCCTATCTTGGTACTGGGTACATCAGAAACCGAGGTCCAGCATCTCCCATCAGACCTGAAAAGGGATCTTTTCGGATTTTCTAGGAAGAACAGCACAGAGATTGCTCGGCCGACTAAGGTGAGTTATTGACTTGTCCGCATCATCCAAACCATTGCTAATTTCGACTAGGACAACCGACGCAAGTTCTTCTCCATGATCATATCCAACATCCAAAGGTTCCCTAGGGAGTTCCCAGATCCTGCTAATCGCAAGAGGAGGGTTTTAGAACAACTTGAAGTCGCCCCACCTCCCCCACCAAAGGTTCTTACGAAAGAAGAAGAAAAGGCAGAGTGGCTCAAGTACCGCCAGCTCCTTAACTACTTGAAGGTCCACATCCAGCCAATTATGGAGCAGATCAATAGAAAGTACAAGATCTTTCGTGCGGCACCTATTCCGCACTCTCACTATCAATACCTCTTCGACGAGCAGGATCCCAATTACGTTCTGCCGGACGTGGAGGGGGCAATTGATCGGCCTTACTTGATCGCCAAAGACAAGGATGGCATTCAGGGTCTTCGCGAAACAGCAACTGGAAAGTTCTTCTACAATATCGACGTCCAGACTATTGAGGAGCGTCTCGCCAACGGATTCTACACCAAGCCCTCCGAATTCTTGCGTGATATCCGTGCTCTGGAGAAGGACGCCAAAGCTAGTGGCGACAGAATGAGGATACTCAGAGCCAGTGAGCTATTGACAAATGTGGAAGTCGATGTTAGCGACATTGAAAAGGTTCGCTTGCCTGGTGTTCCTTGGGATGAGTTATATGAGGCCGAGAAGCGGCGACGGGCTGCAAAAGCCGAGAGAGCCCGCAAGAAGTTGGCAATGCAGTCAGTTGTAGACAACGCCACTTCTGGCACGGGCACTGGCACAGGTCAGGGCGTTGAAACTCCAAAACTGCACACGACAACTGCGCGCTTCCAGGTCATGAGCCCCTTGCCCAACGGGCTAGATGGGAGCTCGGGATCCCATAACCACACCAATGGCACATCTATTCCCTCCGGCGTCGTGAGCGAAGATGTTCAAATGACAGATGCCGAGACTCAACTAGAGTTTGATGGCTCGCCAATGCAGCCACCATCTCAATGGCCGAAGATGCCACCCCGAGCTTTGAACCTCTCTACAAGGGCGACAACAGGTGGTACAACCCAGCTATCCCAGGTCTCTGCAGTACAGTCGCTTCCTGCCGGCGTCTCTCCCTCCGCACTCGCGAACGATGCTTCAACGACCAAGACATCGGACCCATCAAATAGGTCTTCTAATTGGAGCACACAAGTCACAAACGGACTTCCCCAAGAGCAGATGAGCCCTGAACAGCTGCCGGATACTCAGCCATATCAGAGTCAGACAACGTCGAGCGACGAACAGTGGCCACACTCGCAAGCGCATGGTCTCGCCCGTGGCGTCATTCAAGCCCCCGAGTATTCGGCAAGCTCACACAACAATACTTCCCTGGGCGCGGCAAGGTCGTCCAATGCCGCTAGTGTGGCCAACCTTCTCAACGACCCTCTGCCGGATGAGCCGTCTCAATCTCAGAGGCACTCGGGCGGGTCTTCGGCTTCTCAGCAGCAAGTCGAGATGGACGAGACTTCCGGTGCCATCTTTTTGGCGCAGCTTACCGCCCGTACCTCTGGTTGCACCATCGAACAGCTTGAGCAGCTTACTCGTGAAATGATGTCCGAGATATGGCGCACCAAGGGCGAGCATAACCGGATGAAGGTGCTGGATGCTGTCACTCGCGTCTTCAACGAGTCCATCAACGACATTGAGACTATGCAGAGTGTGTTTCAGTTGAGTCAGTAAAGATCATTTAAGGGCAAATATGGGGTCTCACGAGTCAGGAAATGCTATCAATACAAGTCTTGGGACTGTGATCTACTTGCGACCAAGTCCAATACGAAGTAGTGCAATCAGCCAGGCAATAATGATTACAACATGGCTCCGTAAGAATATTGCAGGCCATTAGTTCGGGGCGAGAGGTCTCTAGCATCATTGGGGCGTTTAGGACATACACAGGTAAATAGTCTCACTGGCCACTTTTAGGGTAATACAAAATAAAAGGCTATCAAGCCGCAATGCAATATGAGACTGCTAGCTGTCGAGTTGTACTTGATGTCTAAGACGTCATTGGATAACAGTCCTTATACGTTTTTCCCCCGCTTTCAATGAGATCCTTTCATGTCCTCGTAGCGTACATGGCAGAATCGCATGCATGCTGTCCAAGCCTCAGAGTCCTCAGCATTTGTTCTAATCATGTATGTAAGGTGTACGGGTTGGATTGGGTCGGATCGGGCCTTCGGGCACCTGGGCAAAGCGGGGTTTCATTTTCAAGGATGTGGTCTTCGGAGCTTCGCTTCATCTCCACTTGAATTGACTATACGGCCTATCAAGGTGGGTTCTCTATAAATGTCTCTTGGAGTATTCGCTCTCATTTTTCATCCGTCTCTCATGCCCACGACATCTCGATATCGTAAGAATTATCAGCGACCGCTAATCAAAAAATTGATTTTACGTAGAATTATATATATTTATATCGCGCACGCCCGTCTGTCCGGATTCCTCGCTGTATCGTTTACAAGTATCTTCGGGTCTCGCCGAAACCATCAAGGTGCGGAGTTTATGATGCCAGGCAGCTTCGTGGGCAGAAAAGTCCTCATTACGGGCGCTGCCAGTGGAATAGGGTAAATTCTTCCTTTGGCCAATATGAATAAAATCTATGCTAATACATTTTGCCAGCCGCGCTACGGCCATCAAGCTCGCCGCCAAGGGGGCCTCACTCTCACTTTGCGACATCAATGAGGACGCCCTCGCCAAAGTAGCGGCGGAGCTGTCCACAGAAGGGACACACACGGTATTCCAGTGCGACGTGGGATCGAGCGCGCGTTGCGAGGCCGCCGTGCAGCACACGCTGTCGGAGCTGGGCGGGCTCGATTTTGTCTTTAATTGCGCAGGCGTCAACCCGACGGCCCTGGCCATCACGGACACGACGGACGAGTACTTTGACAAGCTGGTCAATACGAACCTCCGGGGTCCTTATAATATCACCAGGGCCGCTGTGCCGCATCTCAAGGCCGGAACTGCCATTGTCAATGTGTCTAGCCAGGCAGGGATACGGGCCACCAACGGGTTTTCTATTGTAAGTATATTGGTATTGATCGGCGTTACGCAAATGTCCAATTCTAACATTGCATTTTCCCTCGAAATAAAGTACTGCGCAACAAAATTTGGCATCATTGGCTTCACGAAAGCCATGGCGCTCGAGCTGGGCCCAAAGGGTATCAGGGTCAACGCCGTCGCACCAGGTCCGATAGATACGCCCACGATGGCTGGCAATGTGGCGGGTGGAGATGCCAACGAGCGGCTCGTGGCCGATATCGCCTTGGCGCGGCTGGGGCAGCCCGAGGAGGTTGCCGACGTGGTTGTGTTCCTCTTTAGTGAGGAGAGCAAATTCATGAATGGCAGTATTGTCGAGGTGACTGGAGGGTCAAGATAATGATTGAAGAAAGAACCTTGGCGTTCAAGTCGAACACATAATCACCAATATCATACTGGTCTCGTTCCAACGCTATGCATATGCCAGATAGCATTTTCTACTCAAGTTTATGGACAAATCAAGCGCATGAAGAGCGAGGCTCGTGCAAAGCAGACAAGGTTGCAAGAGCTCAGTGTCCATTAAAGTCAACAAAAAAGAAGTTATGTAGCGACGTCTTTTGCCATCTGCGGCTCATCAGGTTCATCCTCGAACTTGAAACGGCTTCCATAATGATCACTCCGCAGCGTCTTTTGACCAGGTTGTCTGAGCAAGTTTTCTCTAAAGGTACCTCCCGGGACGGCATAACCATCAAATAATAGACCTCGTCTTCGAAGCTCCGGGATCAGTAGTTCACAAATATCCTCGAACGATCCGGGGTTACTGATATAGGCCATGTTGAAACCGTCAACATCAGCCTCATCGATCCACTATAGCACGGCCAGAAAGCATTAATCATGACACAATGAGTCGAGAGACAGAGAGAAAACGAAGGAGAAAAAGACCTTACCTGTTCCATTATATCAGCTACCATGGCGGGTGTCCCTACAGGAGATGGATGGAATCCGCCAATAGCAATCTTGAGCCCCAGCTTCCTCGGCGTCCAGACATCACCGTCCTTTTGGCTATCGCCGAAATTGCCCAAGAAGCCTTGCACAGCGCTCTCCTTGGGATTGGACGTGTCCAGCTTGAGCTCCTCATCGAGCGGGTACTTGCTCATATCAATGCCCGTGTATCCCGAGAACTGGGCCAGGGCGCCCACGACGTCGGCGTGCTCCTGCGCTTCCGCAAACTTGGCCTGCGCCTGTTCCATGGTCCTGCCAATGATGGGATTGATGGCGGCAAAGAATTTGATTGTCGTTGGGTCGCGGCCCGCGGCTTGTGCAATCTCGCGGGCCGCCTTGATTTGGTATGCTGCCTGGCTGGGGACTAGCCCGCCAATGTATACTGCCTCGGCGTGCTTTGCTGCAAAGGCTTGCCCGACTTTTGAAGTTCCAGCCTGGAAGATTACTCTGATATTTCATCATTAGTAAATGCTTTTATTATTCGATTCAAAGTCATGGGCTCACGGTGTTCGCTGTGGCGACGGGTGCATCTGGTGTCTAGCGTGGAGCTTGAGGTGCTTTCCATCATGATTGATCTTCTTGATCTTGGACGGCTCGTATGCAATGTGCTTCTCACGATCCCACATTTGCGCACCGTCTGCCCACGACGCATTCCATAGGCGGTACATGATGTCCATGTACTCGTCGGCAATCTCGTACCGCTGGTCGTGCGGCACGAGCTCTTTACCAAAGGCATCTGCCGCTGCTTGTGACCAGCTCGTCACGACATTCCAGGCTATCCGGCCCTTGGTCAGGTGGTCCAACGAGCTGAATGTCCGGGCCAGGGGAAATGGAGGAATGTAGCTCGTGCTTCCCGTCACGCCAAAGGATATAGACTTGGTGACGGCCTGATAAAGGGATGTCAGCCGTATCATGACGCGAGATCTTGTTAAATATACGTACGGCCATTGCCGATATGATGACCAAGGGGTCGAGCTGAGCGACCTGCACACCCGCTCGAAACACGGCATCCATGTTTCCACCGTATACATCATGTCCAGCATATGTGTCTGCAAAAAATATGGCCGTGATCCCTGCCTTTTCTCCCATTTTGGCCATTTCGATATAGTACTCGAGACTGTCCTTTGTCCTGGAATTATCTCCCGGCCGCGACCACTGGCCAGCGCACTCGTGATTGCCAGTGCATGCCGTCTCAAAGAAGTTCAAGTGAACCTTTTTCCGATCTGGGGTTTCCGAGCCCATTTTGTTGTCAATATCACGAGTTGTTGAAATGTACGACCGATCTCAAAAGTACTATGACGGCATCCAGCTTGTGTAAATAGACACTGATGTAATTATTATCAAGCCACCATGGATGTCCAAATGACAAAAGAGACCCTCCGCAGTGATCCGTTTTTGTGGAGTATACGGAAGACGCTTTGCGCATCTATACCAGAGTTCCGCTGCTCCACTTTCTACAGTATGTACTAGCCATGTGTTTCACCTGCAAGACATTAAAATGGATAGACGACTGAATGAAAAGCCAGACCTACGGTGTACATACGTCTTTCAAACTCCCATCTGCCTGGAGAGCGGGATGCGCTAATCATATCCGCGATTGCAAAAGCCGGCAGCAAGGGCAAGAATCCTTATCTGTCGGAGCCGGGGGTGAGCAAGCGGCGGGTTCAACGCTAGCTTCCGAAGGATAGACGGAGGGATATGCCATAGTGAGCAATTGGTGCAGGCGGCGCATCGGTCAAGTCTTGTTATTTCCTTGTACTATCCAGTAGTTTGCCTGCCAAATAAACCCCCCAGAATACGGAATAGAGTTTAGCATGTCATATTGTATGAAGTTGCCTCCCCCCTCATCACCCCTGAACCTTGCCTGAACCGTAAAACGTCAGTATAGATAACCAACAACCACGCCCATCTCCCCAGCTACAGGTCAGCTTGAGTGCTGAGATATGCCATATCATTTGAGATAGATTGGAGATAAGGTGAACTCTTGTAGGAACCACCCAGCCGATACAGATTGCCGGGCATTTGCGTTCAAGATATGCAGAACAATTGCACAGTGACGTTGGAGTTTATTTAAAACTATCAATGCCCATCCACATGGTCCCATGTTTGTATGTGCAAAGTAGCTTGCACTGAAGTCTCTTTCATAAAATTCGTTACTAAACATCTGGCATAATTGAACCCACATTGTTTGACTACATTCACGGTCGTCATCGTCGCCAGCAATGGCCGAGACCAAAGAGAAAAAGGCTCTAGAGAGCTCGGTGTTAGACCAAGACTCGAGCGCCCCGAGTATTCACGACGGTGGAATCTTGTCCGAGGAAGCCGAGCGAGAAAAGCATGAAGTATTCAAAAAGACCGAGGGCGGCGTTGATTTTCGTACCGTCACCTGGCAAAGGGCGTGTTTGATCTTTCTCAAGATCCAGATCTCCACCGGAATCTTGGGTATTCCGGGAGCGCTGTACAGCCTTGGGGCCATTGGCGGAGGACTCTCCATTATTGGATGGCAGATTTTAAACACTTGTAAGCAATGTCCATTTTCACATTTGACTTTCCCGAGTTTTGTGATTGACCATTCAAAACAGGGACGGCCATATTAATGGCCGAGTTCCGCAATAGACACCCAGAATGTCACAGTAAGTATCATGATTAACATCACAGAATCGCACAACGAGCCAAGTCTAATCATCATGCCCAGCACTCGTCGACATGTGCGGTAAACTGTGGGGCAGCATCGGCAAGGAGTTTGTCGGCGTCATGTTCATCGTCGCGTACGTCTTTTGCACGGGCTCGGGCATCCTGGGGACCTCGATCGCCTTTAATGCCCTGTCCGAACACGGCGCATGCTCGGTGGCCTTTAGCTTTGCCGCCACCGTCCTGGTCATTGCCGTCTCCAGTATCCGCACCTGGGGCAAGATGACGTGGCCGCTGACCGCGGGCTTTGTCTCCGTCATGGCCGGTGTCCTTACCGTGACCATCGGTGTCACCTTTCGCGACCGCCCGGCAGCTGCCCCGGCCACGGGCGACTATGAGCTCGGATGGTACGGCATCGCATACCCGACGTTTGCTGCTGGCATGACTGCCACTGCGACCATTTTCATTTCCAGCTCTGGCGGTCCGGGTTACCTGCCGGTTATTGCTGAAATGAAAAAGCCCAAGGACTACAAAAAGGCCGTCATCATTGTCAACATCATTGTCGGCGCCGTCTATCTTTCCGTCTCCGAGGTCATTTACCGGTGGTGTGGCGCATGGGTCGCCTCTCCTTCACTTGGCAGTGCTGGACCATTGCTGAAAAAGGTTGCCTTTGGCCTGGCATTGCCTAGTCTGATTATTTCCGCGGCTCTGTTTAACCATACCGGGGCCAAGTATGTTTTTGTGAGGATCCTCCGCGACTCACCTCACCTGCAAACCAACAGTTTCGTCCACTGGGGCACCTGGCTGGGCGTGAATTTCGTGCTCGGCATCCTGTCGTGGGTCCTGGCCGAAGCGATTCCCATCTTCAACTACCTGATCGCCCTTGCCGGGTCCATTTGTTTCGCGCCTATGAGCTTGATCTTCCCTGCTTGCTTTTGGATTTACGACTACGGCTATTATCGGAAATCTGGAAAGCCCAGGCAGGTTGCTTTTTACTATTTCCACATTCTTATCATCCTGATTGGAACTCTCCTGCTCATTGGAGGAACGTAAGTGACGCACATCTTGAATCTCGAAATTAATGATACGAAAATGGCTAATGCAAAACTCCAGATACGGCACTGCCTTGTCCATCAAGGATGCTTATGAGACTGGGGCCATTGGAGGTGCCTTCAGCTGTGCTGACAACTCCGGGACAGTAGCTTAGAAATTACACGCATGAGACTTTGAGCATCCGAATCATGAAATAATTATAACCTGTCTATCGCTTTTGATGATGAGATCGGCACCCCAGGTATTATGTCAAAACATCTCTGCATTCACTGCAAGAGAGACATTCCGAGTGTCTCCGCATTTGTTTTCCGCTGCGGTACCCATTGATTACTGTTCATTCTCGCTCTAATGGTACCTCTCTCCGCGTTCGTTTGATAACTGGTCCGCCGTGAAACCTTGGTTGAGGTCCTTGATGTACTGCTGGAACTTGTTCGCTTCACCGATGACCGTTTGGAGATGCTCATATCCCATGGGAACTCTCCGAAACATGGCCAGCTGCCTCGCTGTAGAAATTGCATTCCGAATCTCTCGTCCGTTGATCTCATGTCGCGCTAGTTCATCGAGGTGTTCGCGAATGCCAGCCGTGTCAATGCCGACGTCGATATCGCGGTCCGTACCCAACGCATTCTTTCGGAAGTCACAGCCAGCTTCAGTCGAGTGTGCGAGACCTTCCAGTCTCTCGATGAAATTCTCCCAGATTTTCCGGCGTTGTTCCTTGCCCAGGTTGTTGTACCGCAGGCTCAACTGTATGCGAGACTTGAAGGCCGCGTCGAACGTACCAACACGATTACTGGTCAAGATCAGGATACCTAGCACAAATGATTAGCGTTGTTTTATTCTTTTTATCACAGGCTCTTCATAATTATACCATCATAATATTCAAGGACACGGAGGAAAACTATGTCGATTAGCTAAGAACCTTGTGAATCAATCGCAGAAAGAAACTTTACCTGAGACCAATGCATTTCGCTCGAGATGGTGAAGGTGCCGTTGCTCAAGAAATACGTCGGCTTCATCGAGGAGAACCACTGCTTGAACTTTAGGCCAATTCCATAAGTCACGGGGTTATGTAGCTCACCACACTCCCAGGCCTTCCCCAGCTTTAAAACAGCACTCAAGTACTACTTTTGTCAGCATTGTTTGCATTAAGTGCTGGTTAGGATGGTGGAACGGACATCCTCGACCACTTCAGCCTTTGTACCAATATCACCGCAGGTCACTCTGTAGAGTGGTCTCTTTGCAACTTCTGCGACACTAGATCTGGGGTCAGCATGTCAACGACGCCAGAATTCAGAGACTTCCCACCTTTCCGCCGTCAGGGTCTTGCCGGTCCCCGGACCACTACAAACCAGTCAGTGAGTGTGGAGCATCAAAGAAAACTGCAAATGAAGACATGCCCATGCAACAATAAAAACAAACCGTTGCCCTTTCCCTGTATGACATCTGTCTGCCCCCCTGCCATGATGCGATATTTGACAACGGCCTCTACAAGCTCTTTCGTTTCCTTCTCGAGAACAAGGAGTTTAAAGGCGTTCTCATTCCATTCCACATCTTGAATCTCGGCGACTTTTAGATTTTCTGTATTATGGTAAGCACCTTTACTGACAAGTGTGTAAACCAAAGCAAGACTTCATACCCCAGACATGTGTCTGCATGTTGAATCCAAAGATATTCGTGGGGAGGCACATGAAGAAATTATCACCTAGATCAGGGTCATCCTCGACCATTGTTGCAGCATCAAGGCAGTTGGGTCCCTCATCATGTGCGCGCGGATGCTGTCGCTGGCCCCGGTGCCACTGATAATATGCCTTCCTATCCACCATGAAACGAGTGGGTGCCTTGATCTGCGTGTCAGTAATAATATCAGATTGCCCAGGCATGGTTTGAATCTTACCGTCTCTTGAAGACTGCTGTCAGATTGATTGGTTTTCATGACGTAATGACGCTCACGACATTTCCAGAACATCCTCCCTCGCTCGCGTAGCGCTCGCACAATCTCACCGCTGGCGAACCTTCGGGGGTAGATCGTCAGTTCGGAAATGGCGAACTTTTCTAGCATCGAGGGAAACTTGTCTATGGTCAAGGCTGTTTCGCGCTTTTCAAAATTTCCGTCAAAGGTCCAATGGCTTGACTCGAGATTGATTGAGAGACCATCTTTTCCACTTTGGGGTTTGCTAACTTGTGCCCATTCTTGAAGCCAGAAGCCCTCAAGGCTTGCAACGTCAGAACCTGCAGACTTGGACACAATGACTTGGTTCGGAACCTGCTACGTTTTAGTGCCTGTGGACGACTGAAATGAGTGCACATACAAATAAGTAATGTATCAAATCGACGGTGATGTTTTTGTTCGCCAAGAGCTGATCGACAATCTCCCATTCATTGCCGAAAGATTCCAGGAGGTATCGTGCGAACACGTCGATATGCTCCTGGAAGGCCGGTTGCATGGCCAAGGTGGCAACTTGTATCTGGCTCCTTTGGTGAAACCACCAGAGGTACGGGGCATCGATCTTCTCCTCCTCCTCCTCCTCTTCTTCCAGATCTGGCATCGGTATGTCTTCCAGACGCCTACCAAGAGCAATCATGGCTTCTCGAAGGTCAGACGAGATGATTTCTATGTATTCATATTTCAACAAAGCCTTGATATTCAAATCATCGGTACCACCTTGGTGTAACAGACCTTTGTCTGGCGGCTCTATCCCACAGCACTCATATTGGCGCCAAACCAGGAATGTTATTTCCTTGTTTCTTTCCAAAAACACCTCCTTGTTGGATATTCCGCGGCTGGATCTGACATGTGCACCATGAGGACCATAGTTGACCACACTGGGACGTTCTAAGAAAATCCCTCGTTCAGTTCGATCATGATGGCATATGATTTCATGGACAACTTGGTATCTTGGAGGAATGTGTTGATCAGAAGCTTGTCTTCGCAACCGCTCAATCTCTCCTAGGGTACCCGAGGCTTCCTCGAAAGCATCAAGCAGGTCATTATCGGGCACATCGCAGGGCTTATCCAAGAAGGTGCAGATCTCGTAACGCCAATCGATGGTTCTCCTTGGACGCCGGCGAGGAGCCTTGTGACGCAGTCGGCGCGGCTCTAGAAGAAAACTAGTCAGCTCATGGATAATGGTTAGTGATGGTGCGTAGAACTACCGTAACTCTCATCGCTGCCTTCGTCTTCATCGTTCTCGTCTACCATTTCATCGCGCTGAGACCCCATCGCTTCGCTATCAGAGAAAGCATCCATTCTTCCATCGACAGTGTTCAATCGCCTTCGATACGACCTGCTGCCATCATTGAAGTGATGCGATTCTCTTCGCTGTTTGCCGACTGTGGTGGGTGAAGAACGATGCTCCTCGACTCTCGGTGCAACAAGATTGCCGTGTTTTGTTCAGAGATTGAGGCATTATGCAATTTATGCCAATATAATCACGAAAGCCAGCCTGCTCCCTCTGGATCGTTTCCAACGGACAAAACACCTGCCAACCGCATAGCTTTATTGTACTGATGACCAGACGTGGAGTTAGTAGTTAGCGGCCAAGCAATTCAAGGTTGCGATAGCGGTTTGTAACTTTGCGCTTATACACTGTACACCAATGCGTTACCTCCCGAGAGCGTCGTACTATTAGGTAGGTAAATAAAGGTTTTGCCAAGTTTCGACACAGACTGGGCCTGCCGCAGGATCTAGCAAGGCCAGAGCTCGTTCAGGCATAAACTCTCTCACCTACAACCGACACAGTCACAATTCTGCGCATCGGAAGAAGCTGCACTACATTGAATGAGATGATTCAAGACCTTCATTCTTTATTGCTAGGTATGTGGTATGGCATGTCAAGTCGAAATGGTGCTATGCAGTGCTGGACTGTTTCCAGAAAAAGAAAGAATGGGTTCTGCGACGGGACTTCGTGCGCTATCATGTGATTATAAATTATAACATGTGATTATAAACTATAATGTCTTGAAACACAAGAAAATAGCGGAAAAATCAGATACAAATGACCAAATACTTTTGCCTAACAGGAGTTCAAGGCGAGACTAAGTTGTGCCCTGCAAACTTACAGCTGGTTTGACGGGAGTTCAGCAAAACATTATAATTGGCCCGGAGGCTCTTTTGTCGAAATGCTATCCTGGTGCCGTCGAATTTCTGGGAACTCTAAGAAGTGTCGTGACCTGGAATCTTTTAGGGTCGCAGTTCATTAGCTAGGTCAGAGGGAGAAGGCAGTCGCATATTCGCGGACCGCCGTATAAGACCTTGTTTATCTGGTCATCATCAGTACGCGGCTAGATGTTCATACCAGCTCAAACAAAGTCCTGCTATACCATTTACATGCAAACTATGCCTGACGATATTTGTTCAAGTCCTTCAGTGTTGTCTGTGCTACTGTGGAACAAAGGCAAGTACCCGGCAACTACTGCAAACACGCACTTGAAAGAAACTGATACGTTGCTGGCACAACCAGGAAATGATACTTGGCAAAAAGACGAGATAGATTGCAACCTGTTCCATTCAGCAGATGAAGGGGAGCAGAAACTCTGCACCAATTCGCCAATCAGCATCCTGTTCGTGTTCTCTTCCAGGGGATCCAAGTGCAAAGCTGACGGCGAGAAGATTAGCCAGTACCAGCGGGACTCTAGCCTGCTCCGGTTGTCGGCAAGCCCTCACCAGAATTTATCGAATTCCCGCAGATTGCTGGTCGAAGCAGCTACAGCAGTCCAATGGATATATCGGTTTCGCCGAGGAGCAACAAGCCGATAATGCATTGAGTCTCAGTAAGGAAATAATGCTATTGCTGGAAGGGAACGATTAGCTAACGGCACATTAGACACATGGGCATGCTTTGAAACAAAACAAATAAGAGACTGCATGCGGTATGAATGGTTTAGGATGAATGTGTTCACGCTATGGACATCATCCAATAATCAAAAAGTTCTCCTGCTCGATATGCAGCCATCCAGTACAGACCGTCTCCTCGAATCGCTGATGAGAATCGATTCGCGCCATCTGGAGGACCCGCTCTGGGTTTATGTCAACATAACCCGTGAGCTCGTGTGCCTTGAAGATGCGGCAGTATGGGCCGTCCGCGACCAGATCAGAGAAATCGAAACAGACAAGCGACCAGTAGGTAAACCCGAGCCTAATTACAGACGTCTTCATGATCTGGCGCGCCATGCGATTCACGTAACAGAGACACTGGACGTTGTTACGCATACCATGGAAAGGATGCTTGCGCAGCATCGAGAATTTCGGTCTGACGTGCTGAACAAGCATGCATGGATGGCTGTGCATCAAAAACTGCTGTTCTCCAAACACATGATCGAAAGTCTGCAGTGCCGTTCCAAATCGAATCAAAAGCGACTACAGAACGAGATCCAGCTTGCATTCAATATTGTTGCTCAATACGATTCGGGGGTGTCTATGAGGATCGCCCAGGCCGCCAAGGTGGACAGTGCTGCCATGAAGACGATATCTCTCTTAACTCTGGCTTTTCTTCCACCGACGTTTACCTGCGCAATATTCAGCATGTCTTTCTTCGACTATAGTGGCGATTCTGGTTGGACTGTTTCGGGCAGGATTTGGCTTTATTTCGTCTTTGCGATTCCTCTCACTTTGGTAGCGTCTATGGTGTGCTATTTTTGGCAGAGGATATTCCCTGCAGAGGCATTTGATGAGTCAGTGCCCGGTATTAATCCTGTAATATCTGCCTGATGATGGCCATGGCAAGCCAATACACAAGAACGCTGATCTCTGGAAGACGGGTATTATAGTGCCGTAAAATTAATATATCCGGATACAACAGTCCTAATTGCAGTATTGTGAACAGTCTTGATTGAGAATCGTAGGGGAACATGTCAGAACGTTCGAATGTGGGAATCGCATAGACCTCGAAGCCCCAAAATGTCAGCAATAATTTGAAGACCAAACGTTCCGACCTCCCTTGCATCGCTTTTTTTGCGTAAGGTTCGCGATTAGCAAACAGTATGAAATCCTCTGGGGCCGTCATTGGATTGACTTTTGTTGGCGGTAGGCTTAAGCAGTTAACCATTACTTTGACAACTAAAAACCATCATTGCCCACCATTTAACAAGAGGTCTTTGCTTTGGTTGTCTCTTCGTACTTCTATATTTGCCCAATAACACTTGGACATCGACGTTGATAAAGTCAATGATAGATTAAGGGACTAACAGACCAAACTTTACGCCTTTGAGTTTTAAATAGCTCCAACTTGAATACACTTTGGCTAATAAGTGAATCAATAAATGCTACCTACGGGCCTTGAATTAAGTTGGCTATGCCACATCCAGTAAGCGCTGAGGCTGGGTTGGCCAATCTTCCAGCAATGCCTTGACACATGCTGCTGCTGTTGTAGCAGCATACTTCTGCCAATCCTTGTTCTTGTGGCTATCGGCATAATCGCAGACACCTTTGACAATGATTGTCGGCACTAGAAAACTCGTGGTCAGGGATTTTATCGTGGTCAGGTGTTTAATGATGGTTTGAAAATTAACTCACTGTCGTCCCAAACTCCGGCTCCTTCCATCTCAAACGCAATCACCTTCTCGCGGCGACCTATCTTATCTCGATCTTCACCTGACTTCATGACTATGTCGCCTGATGCATAAGCTCCAAAATGGACGGCTGGTTGGATACAATGAGATCCCACTGAGGCCTGTAGGGCAACCTGATGGCGCTTGCGACTGTTTGTTCTCTGCGCATCGCAACCAAGCAATGCGCAATGAGTCTCTCGTGCGGCAGCGCAGACTGAACGCGTGGAGGTGTCGCATTCTTCGCAATCTCCGTTATGATGCTTGTGAGGATATGTCGCTTCAAAGGAAACGTCACTGGAAATGCCTGGATAGGTGGCCCATTGACCATACTGAGACTTGGTGCGCAGTCTGTGCAAATGACCGTACATTCTGGTCGAGAGTCTGTCACTTCCGACCCGGGTCTTCAATTTTGATAAAAAAGCAGCGATACTGCGTAAAGGCTTCCTGGCATTGTCGAGATTGGTGTCTTTCCTTTTGAACCCTTCTGGAAATTGCCGGCCATAGTCGTATTGAACAAGTCTGTCACTGACTATCACGTCGCCTAGGAGGATCTCGGCACCCGTATAGGGGGAAGGTATACCGCCACAAATACCCGTAAGAAGAGTAAGCCGAATCTTTGGGAAGCTGTGTAGACAATTCATCCCAGAAGCTGCCGCGCTGCTCTTTCCCATGGCTGGCATATACAAAATGACCGCCCTGTGGCGACCTATCTGAACCACGCTGTAGATGTTCGAGTCGCCCGGTGCGTTGCCAAAATCGTGCACATCATATACGTGGTCGCAAAGAACTTCAACAGCATCAGCCTCCCATGATAGCGCACACATGATGGCAACATGAACTTCTTGCCGTCGCTGGTACTCTATGGGATGCATCATGCGAAAATGTCGCATAGACTGATCAGCTTCAGCCGGGCTGACTACATTTAAGATCATCTTCTCATCTTTTGGTTGTACGTTCAGAGGCATAATATCACTCTGCTTGAACATGACGGAAGAATGCGATGTGTTGCCTCCACAACATTGCGCGTCGTCCTTTCTGGTAAAATGTATGAGCATATATGGAATGGAAAATTGTTTGAGTGCGACTGACAATGGCTGCCTTGATCCCTTGATACTCTCGCCGCCATCGTCGGGATGTTGGGGCGACACTTTGGTGTCAATTTCGTATCCGACTCGCGCTGCTATCGGACTAAAAAAAGGCAGTGGTAGCCTTATGCGTCGTTGGCTTTGGGTAAGTCTAGATGTGTTCTCGGGGAGGCCTCTACTAATGCTAGCCTCGATGTGAGCGTGCATGCGTTCTTTGGACGCAATATCGATTTTCCTGTTGGTCGATATCATAATCTTGACGCAAGCAGTGCTTGTATTCGCCAGTCGGGAGAATATGTCGTCGAATTCTGCCATCCACAGCCCCGCAACCGTAGCAACGTTTTGCAACACGGAAGCATCAATTACAATAAAAAGAGATGCCAACTTTCGCATCATAAGTTCCAATATACAGAACCAATCTTTGTCTGTGGAAGCGGCGTGAAATTGTCGTAGGATCTCGGTGAACAGCGACATTGTCAAGTTAGCGGATACCGTTCTCAGAACCTGGCAAGCAATTTGCCGCAGAACTTCACCAGCACCAAGGTCCTTGAAGTGCTCTCTGATATCTGCATTATTTAGGATGCATGCCGTGGCGTATCCCTGGGAAAGAAGCTGATTCACAACTTCGCAGCTTAGATATCTGAGCGAGTTGGTAGACTGCGAGGAGCCACGGATCAGGATGATACTTGATTTCTCTCGACTTGCCCATGTCGAAAGAGCAGACTCAACCCTGCTATCGCAAGTAGATTCGAGTATGTCGTTGCCTTGCCGCCGGATAACGCACATTGCAAGTTCCTTTTGTAACATGATCTCGGGTTGAATGAATGACAAGGATGGAGAGCTAAAGGCTAGGATCTTCCAAAGAAATGATGAGAGATCTGCAGAGAATCGATGCTTTTCGGGCTCTACAGGTGGGCCATTGTCAACTAAAGTTCTGTCAGTTTTGAAGCGCACGCAGCTCAAGGAATCAATGCATATACTCGGAAAGTCGAGGACGACTTTGCGCAGTCTCTTCAGTCCGTCACCGTATCCATTGCCGTCTTCTGGTAATCTGATGACCACCTTCTCGGGCAAAGTAATGTTGGTGCTGTCTGTCTGTTCCGATAGGACGTGAAGCTGCCGATCAATTTCACAAATCACCAGGTGCAGGTCGTCTTCGCTCGTCATTTCCGTTTGGTGTGAGCTATAGATCCGCTGCATTCAAGTGAATCAAGCAGATTTCCCAGCCGGTGCAATTCCAGAAGATAGAATGGCGCATTAGAAATATACAATCTGTGATACGATATCCCGCGAGACCAAAAGTGGCAGCGCAGGTGTATGTTTCAATATGTCAGGATAGTGGACCCTGGTTGCAAGCTACTCGTCCTAAGAAGACAGCTTCACTGTTTCTCAAGAGGAAGGCTATGTATGTGCTAGGAAAGTATCGCAATGGGAAGCATTCGTTTTAGAGGAGGGGGCAATGCATGTGTGGCTCAGTCACTCGCATTAGGCAACGCTCGTGTATCGTACAGAGTACATAGTACCTCCTAGATTCTAACCTCCTGGGCCAGAGTGAATGATACATAGTCGGCGTCAATGGTAAGTATCTATAAATATTTACGCGTCTCAAGTGCCGATTTCGCCTCCAGCTGCTCTCAAAGCCCGCGCCAGTCCCCCAGAACCGCTGCGAGCTTACCAGCAAGTCGGCAATTTTCCCTCACCTCTTTTTGCACATCAGTTGGCAAGAATTCCAACTCTATCTTCTCTGGCTATGAACCAAAACAACGAATCGCCCATTGCATAACTAAAAGGTTGCACTCCATGGTGTTCAGACCGCAGAGCTTTTTTTTCCTTACTGTTTTCATGCAGCAATAGTTTTACTTCCCGGTAATAGTTTTCCATCCAGAGAGGAGCACCGCATCAAAGCGCATCGAAATCAAGTGTTTGCGAGGTCGACAGGCGCACCCAATCTGTCACTTTCTCAAGAAGTTCATACATGTAACTCCAAAATCAAGACATCGCTTGTAGCCCCAGACAATTCAAACTCTACCGAAAAATGTATCGTCGATGGGTCGCGGGGTCAGATGGGACACAGCGCCCGGGTGGCCCATCAGCATCATATCAAGCACCACAGACGGCTGGTACACAACCCAACAACACGAATATCTACAGTCAATCCGTGACCCAGAACACTCTAAAGAAAGGTCGTGAAAGACCGAAACGACGACTTATAACGCAGTTCAAGAGACGGGACATATTGAGCAGAGATGATCCCACATCTGGTGCGGCGGACATTTATGCTCACGAAGAGGTGCCCCTTGATCTTGGACTAAACAGCCAAGAAACCTCTCCTCGGGGAGTCCGCACAAAAGCCCTCCACCTTCCTAATCGAAGTCAGCAGATGAAGCGAGGCAGACCATACATGCTCCCCGCCGGCCTCTCATCAGAACAATCCAAGGGAGAGCAATCTCGAGGCTCTCCCAACCCAATGAATCTTATGCAGGGCGGCAACATGGAACCAAGCTTAGCTGGAAATCAGACTGCTTTCTTCAAGACCAAGAGTGGCATGGACTCGGGTATGGTCAATGGTGCCCGCATTGGCAGACGCTGGCAGCTACAACGAAGTTCCCACTCAAACTCACCCTTAATTCACCAAGTCAATCCACAAATAATGGCGACCAGACAATCGGAGGGAGGTCAGGCGGGCTCCAACCAGATGCAATGGCGGAGTCGCCCTCGGTCGGGCAGCATCCCGCCTCCATCGCCGGAGACCGGCAGCAGTGCTCCGACCTCACCACCCGACGTTCAGCAGGACCCGGCAGCGTTCGTGGGCGGCATACTCCCAAAAGATTCACGTGAACAAGGTATGCAGCGAACGAAGCCCCCCCCCCCTCCAATTATCCCATCAGCAACAGCAGGCACAGTTAAGTACGTTGCCGGAACGTTGCACAGAGCACGCAATATGAGACTAACAACTTTTGTGTAAAGTAGCTGCACGGAACCCTGTTGTTGCTGCTCAATGGGAAGATATGCAACTGCAGCAGTTGTTGGCAAAGCAGCAGGAGGTGAAGGCGATGATGATGGCGCAGCAGCAGGATATGCGCGGCAGTGGGGATTTGCCTGTTAGCGAAGACTTTTCAATATCTTCAATGGATGGGGAGTCAAGGAGACCCGTTGACGCTGCACCATCTATATTTGTTCCCAGGACCATTTCAAGGGACAACACTGCTGGAGAGGACGACCAGATGTCCCAATGCATGGCCATTCTTAGATTGAAACATGACAGAAGCTGGGGACCCGGCCGAGCCGCAATTCACAAAAATGGCTACAAGAAGTAGGCCCCGAAGAATAAAGTGGTCATAAGAGACACAAGACATGCCGGCGGTTTCAGCTTGAGTAGCACATATGAAAGAGAAGAAAATGGCGGAGATGCACCGCGACATTGAGCGCAAAGACAAAATCGTCTTGATTAGGACAAGGCCAAGTGGGAACGGTAGTGTGGGAAATGCAGTGGAAGAACAATATATTCCTTCGCCAAGGCATATCCAGAACATATTGCAGTTCAGCTCAGCGGCGAGATCGTATGCCTCCAAATCCGCTGTGACTTTCCTCTTGCAAGACTACTCAAATCATCGACAAATAAGAGCAATCTTGACGTAATGTACAAGTCAACGAACCATGACTAACCCATTTATCAGAGCATAGCAGTATCACAGAATGAAGCCGAACCAAATTGACGTGCGCCTCAACATTGCATCACGGCCAGGATAGCTCCAGGACAGTCTCCACCTTGGCTTTCCTGCCAAGCTTGTCCATTTCTTCTCTGAAGATTCCGGCAGTGTACAAGGCGTCCAGTACATTTCTCTTCATCGATTTTAACTCCTTCTCGAAAGCGTTGCTGGTACGATACGTGACTTCGAGAGGAGCACGCCAATCGAGTTGCGGGGCACTACTCGGTGCCAGGTACCCGCGTCGTTCCACACAGTCGTCGAGAACAAAGGTGATCTCTTGTACCGAGCTCCAGCACTCCAGCCAATACTTGGATTTCCGGCGTTGCACTTCCAAGCGCCTGCCAGGAAAGGTGCGGGAGGCCATAAAGACGTCGTTACGGAGACCGAGCCGAGTGATGCTGGCCCACGGAAATTGAGGACAGAATGAATCGCGTCTTGCATCAAAAAGATCCGGGTTCAAGAACTCCATGACCACCAAATCGGAACGCCAATCGATCAAAAGGGTTCGGAAACATTTCCTCGGGTCAACATAGCCTTCCTCGACACAGATGCATGAGTATTCCCCTAGATACAGTTGTATCGAATCTGTCAGGACCAATGTCGAGTGTCGCAAACATTCATGTCGTGCTTCTTCGCTCGCCATGTAGACAGCGAAACGTTGTCGCTGATGCTTGGCTACATGATTTCGACACTCGGTGCTCAAGAACAACATCACGTAATCTTGATCGAGTCTTGCTTCGTATTTACTGAGGTCCAGGCGCATTGGGCCAGTCGAAGCTGCATCTTGCCAGATGTTTTGACGAATCTCCAGGGGCAGAAACATGAATTGGGGGAATGTAGTGACAGAGGACATGACGAATGCCGTGTTTTTGGCTCCGGAGGACAGTTGTTGGGTGTTGACGAAGAATGATGCAGTAGGTTTAGATCTGAGCTGAAATCAATAATCGGTCTACTGGGATGGGTGCTGTGGAAATCTGTCTACTTACCAAAGCTTCTGGTTGCGGGTGTTGTTCCGATTTGTGACTGATAGTCATGAAAGATAAAAGGGAGTGATCGATTTGGTGTTTTCTTAGTTTTGAAAACAAGTAAAATGTTTGATTTTATAATGGGATGATTGTTGCCTGGTTTGGTTTATTATCTGCCCAATTCCGCTCCCACTTGGTTTTTGTTTGTCCTGCCTTGAGGTCAACGTATTAGATTCCTTGGCCAACAAGGAAATATGCCACTGAGGCTTGCTGCAGGTTTGAGGCTGCGACCTCTTACTGGCACGAACAAACGTTGGAAGTATTTGGACATTTCTTTCATAGATTCAAACGTTGCCTATAGTAATGAGCAGAATCTTGAAGCACCGAACGGCTGTTCATATGTATTTCAAACTATTGAGAGATTGACGCAACATCATTGTGACTTGTATATTCTCGATCTCTGAATGTATCAGTCGTCAATTATTGCCTGCCAACAAAACAAAGAAAAGCCAAAGAAAGCAGTATGGCCCAACTTCTATGCCACTTCAAGCCTAACTTCTATGCTATTTCAAGCCCAACTGTCTCGGCTTCCGAAAGCAGCGGATGGCTGCAGCCTCGTCATCGCTTCAAAGCCAAACGGGACCAAAAAGATTTTCTCATGAACATTCTATCAAGAGTGCCAATAGTACGAGGTATTCTTCGTGATGCTCTGAAAGAACCCTTGGTCAAGAGTATCGTCATCATGGCATCAGTCTTTTCCAACATTCCCCTTCCCTTCCGACCTAACACGAAACTTCAAACGCCACTGAAGATTTCTTCGAGATGAGAAGCCAACCTTTCGAGGCAGACAACGTGTTTCCTGGCTTTCGCCTATAGCTAATGACAGAACACTCAAAACCGTCGACATGTTCTCAGGGGATGAAGCGGATTCGGATAGGCATTCTTATAGGACAATACTTATAGCTTTTGAGTAGGGAGAAGCTATGAAAATGTGATGCTAGCCAGTGTATTTTGAGAATAGTGACTCCTGATTAAATCGGTCTTTTTTCGACGACTGTTCGAGAAATATATACTCTTTCAAACGGCTTATCCGTTTATACCTCCATACTCTACTGTAGTATAACACTTCTTCGCGCAGCGTGAATTTAGCATATTTTGTTTCATTCTATCTGCCGAAATTGGTTGCTCTCAGATGCTCACCTGATACGAGAAGCCGCTTGTTTTATTGATTCACACACATATTGATTGCGATATGTCTATTGTCAGTTATGGCAGCACTCCCTTTGTATATGTGAACTGGCTCCGTAAGAGCACGGAAAAGCTGAAAACGCTCTTCCAGTAGAGCCTGTGGTTTGTAACGTGCTAATCCATCTATAGGAAGGCCGGGAGAACTGGATCAACGTAACGTATATGCATTCGTACATGGTACTTGGGTATGCAGGCGACACATGTGAAAATGGGTAATTATAAAAACGAGCAATGATGTGGTTAGCAGTAGGAATTAAAGAATTCTGAACCGGTCATGGTTTTGATTTTCGTCTAAAGTGACCCATCTTTTACAGACAATAAACATTGTCACATTATCCCTTCAAAACAGTATCCGCAGTCGTCATTAGCAACTGTTTCGTTGCGCTCGTTCTCTGACTATCCCTTTTACCGAAGTCTCCCTTTTCCCTATCTGTATTATACACAAACGCCAGACGCCATCGCAATTTGATCAGTCCGAGGCAGATTGAAGAACCATTCCGTTAGGTCGGCATGCTCAGACGAAACAGATGGATAACCCCACCACCTTTATCCCTGTTGGGCAGGTTAGTGTTCATCACTATCCGAGTCGCCCATGCCCAGAAGTGTCTTGTCAACATCGTCGAGCTCTTCATCACCTCCGTCGTCTTCCTCGCCGGCAAGTCCAAGCAGTTCCTTATCCACATCGTCCAAGTCGTCAGCATCCTGCATATCGATGTCGCCATTGCCTTGTGAGCCTGAGCGCCCAGCATCACTTCTAAAGCTCTCCGAGGCGGCTTTCGAAGCCCGGCCATTTCCAAGAACAGGGGATTGACTGTATCGCAATGACTGAAGGCGTGGGTTCTTAACTGGACGCACGACGCGCGTATCCGAGTCTTGCTCCCATCGCTTCATACGACGGTTTGTACGACGCAGAGACGCAGAATAGGTGGCCAGCTCTTCTCCAAAGTCGTCAGTTTCGACAGCAAGTGGGACGAGGCCGCCCAAGCCCTTGCCCCGGAATTCGCTCGACTTGTCAAGGTAACGATAGTCTTCTTCGTCACTGTCGGCCAAGGGGTCATGCATTTGTTCCAGGCGACGCTTGGTTCGAACAATCACCCCCTCTTGCCGTCTGAGCTTGCGAGCCTTGTGATGCTCTCTCCGCAAGTCGCGGCTGAGGATGTACTCTACGCGCTGGTTACGGTTGCGCTCGACAGCGAGCTGATGTGCCGTCGGTGGACGGGGCTTCCGCGGCATGACACCATCAAAGCCTGGACCGGCAGGTGACGACGGATCAATCTGGGTCTTGTATGAGGTCCCATAGCGGCGTGGTATGCCAGCACTACTAGCTGCCATGCGGCTTAGAGCTCTTGGGGGCGGTGTGGACCTAGCACTATCGATGTCGGACTCGTGCTTGGACGGCCGAATGCGAGGCAGAATGGTAGCCGAAGGGCTATCGTCGTTCATCAGCTTGCCCCTCTGGTTGCGGTTCTTGCTTTGGTGCTCCTGGAGATAGGCCTGGTCTGCGGCAATGATCTTGGCTCGGTGTGCTTGCTTCTCATGTCCGAATTCGATTTCCAGTGGGGGATCGTTATTCTCCAACGCTTCCTCGGCTTCAGTCATTTCCTTGAGTCTCGGTATTCCCTGATTGGCAAGTCCATTGCCATAATCGACACCAGCCCCAAAGGGGTTTTCCTCGCAGCCTTCCTCAGTGAAGTCGGACTCGAGGTATTGCCAAACCACCCACAAGAAGGCATTGGCTCTCGAGGCACTGCTGAAGTGTGTTCTCATGATAAGATCGTGAAACTCGCTGCCCTTGGGAAAGTGGAGCTCGGCAATCTGTGCTGCCTGCTGGCAGATGAGGAAGATGATGTTGACGGGGTTAGTTCTCGGGACAGGAAGATCCTTGAAGTTGTTAAGGTCGCGAGGCTCCGATCTGTCTTCAGCCGCACCCTTTAATATAGACTTGAGCCGCGGAGCATCTTGGAGCTGCTTGTAAGCCGACGCATCTTGGTAGGCTTGCAACGAAGGGATAGCGTGGTAGGTTCGGAGTTGTGCTCGCATCTCGGGGAAGACTGAAGTCAAATGGTCAGCTTGGTTCGACTTGGAAGTCTCGGGCGGGAGGGGAAAGAGTGCACGTACAGTTGAGAGTGGTGTTCATTCTGCCGACATTGACCAGTAGACAGACCATTGCCATGCTCTTGGCGGCTTCGCGGTCACTAAGCAGCTTGTCGCGAAGAACTTTGCTGGTCTTGCTACTTCTTGCCATTGTATCAATATACAAGTCGGCAAAAGTCTGCTTCTCCTTGCTCTGTAAGTCGTAGCTGTTGACGAAGACCTTCTTTTCGTTGTCAAAGATGGCCCTCAGAAAGTCGTACTGTATGTCCTTTCGCCAGAGAGGCTCGCCATCTTCCTTCTTGAGGTGTCGAATTTTACCAATGGTTGGGAATCCACCGCCGGCGTTTGCACCTTGAGACCTCCGTGAAGGCTTCTGTTTGGGCGAGGCCCGCGCAGTGCTCTCGTTGGCAAAGCTCATCTCTCCAACGTCGTCGCTATCGTAATTGTGTGATGGCTTTCGTTCGTCGGGGCTAGGCGGGCGCGATGAAGCCTGATCGCCATTCTCATCGGCTGAGGCCATGTTGGCGGATGCGGCTGTGGCAGCTCGGATGGGATCCAGTCGCAATTATATGTAGGTAACAAACAAAGAAGAGATATGCGCTTGCGCTAATTGGTGGCTGAAATAATGAGAGTTTGTTGGGTTTTGGGGGGGTGATGATAAGGTGTGTCGGGGGGAAATGGTTCGATGACTGAGGAACGTTTCCTCGAATGCGAGAGGATGACCGAAATCGCCAGTTTTCCGGGCAGCCACACCCGGGATGCAGCTGAGAAGTGACGATCACGATGATGGTGTTTATGCCCACGGAGTCAGTGAGTAATAGGCGCGCAAAGCTGCAGCCTTGGGGAAGAAAGTTTCAAAGGTGAATGTTGTGATAAAAAGGAAAGAAAGAAAACGGGCCTTTGCTCACTCGCAGGTGATGCAATTCAGAGGTTGGATTCCACCAAATCTGTCCATCGCAGCTTAGCCTCAATGCCAAACCTGCCGCAGAGCTCCCAGGCGCAGTCGCGTCAAATCTCCAACTGCTAATTAAGCAAGGCCTGGGCGTTGCAGCGAGCAGCAGCAGCGCAAGTCCCGGTCCAGTCGCTAGCCCAGTGCAAACGCGACCAGGACCGTGACTCGTCTTTTTTGATTGGGCAAATGGGGTACCTGGTACTTTGCCTAGCGCCCTCCTTGAGGCACATATGCACCTAACTTGAAGGTAGTCTAGGTACCTCGACCTCGGAATCAACATTGAACCCCCCGTTCTCCAAATCTTGGATCCGTGCAGGGGTGAATGTTGTACGTAGGTATTATATAGGGATGTATGACGGACTTGTATTTCCAAAGCACGTACAAAGAAGTATTTGTAGCCTGAATCTACCAAATTGAAATAGGCAGGCACCAAACGGATAGCATGCGGTTGCCAGTACCTTATCTATCTATTTCCTTAGCAAAACTATGTACCCAGGCACTCAAGTAGGTGTAATATTTGGAATCGTTGTTTCATCAACGACATTTCAGAGTGGCAATGTGGTGATGCATAATAGTATCAAGTCATGATTATGACCCGAGTAGTATCAAAGCTATTATATCATCGTCTCTTATCACAATGGACACCATGAGGAAACTTTAACAATTGGAGGAGATAGCTTATGGACATTAGGGCATCTCGGCGCTGAATACTTACGTTAACTTCATTGCTAGATTTTGGAGCTAAGTTTCCAGTATCTTGGAGAAGGAGTACCTATTTGTAAAGGTCGTTACACGGCAAACTCAAAAAGTTAATATTGATTCATCGCATGTTGCCATTTTTTATATACAGATATCAATGTATAGACAAGAAAGACAATAAGTAATAAGAGGGGATCAGGTCTAATCTTGCAAAAGCACCGGCTTTGTTGGCACGGTCGAACCGGTTGAGGTGAGGGTGCCTCTCGTGAAAATGTGACATCGCGACATTATGAAAACCGCTCGCATGATTTGAAAAAAGACATCCAATCTCAAGCAACCTTAAAACTCCGCACCCATCATGACATATCCGACCAGAGCAACGCATCCTCGCTCGGCCTCTTTGTGCTTCCCGTGTTTAGAAGATTCCCCAGCCCTTCTGTTTGTCGCCAGCCTTCTTCTTAGGGGCGTTCCTGTCTTCCCGTTCACGGCCTTCCAACTGTCTCAGGCTCTGCATTTTCTCTAATACAAGCTCGAGAAGTTCCTTTCTCCGGATCACCTCGAGGTGTTTTCTAATCTTGGGGTCCTCCTTAGCAAATTTCTCAATGTCCTCTTCTGAGAGGTGTCGGCCGAGCCGTTGATCCAACTCGCGAGGGAAGTTGTAGTAGAACTCGGAAAGGAGTTCCACGTTGAGAAAGAGGACTGCTGTCGAGGCCAACTTGCTTGCCACGGCGTCAAGAAAAACCTCTGGACAGTGATACTTGTTCTTCATGTTGGCGCACTGCTTGGACTTGACAGCATACATGCGCATTTTGATGATCTCGGCCCGGTCGCGGAGGAATACTGCTTCTCGGCCTAGATTGATTTGTCAGTATGACGACATTAGACAAAATGAGAATACTTGTGGCACATACCTTTGGTGAGTAAAGCAGCACTGAAGCCTCCCGCGCCTGTTGAGCTCTCGCCCTCGACAATGACATCGCCCTTGCGAGCCTTGTCAACAAAGGACATGACCTCCTTCAACTTTCTGCGCCCGCCAACATTAGTTTCCAAACCTCTGAGTGCACCTTCGCAGGCCTCAAGTTCCTTCTTCAGAACGCCCTGAACGTGCTCTCGTCCATGTGCCCACTCGCGATCCTCCATATCAATCTCAAATTTGAACGGCTTAATACAGTTCTCCACTTGGTCGCTCGTGCTGTAGAATCTGTCGTTGAGAATACTCGAAGCAGCACCCGTGATGGCCTCTTGGGCAAAAGGATGGTTGACAAAGGTCGACTGGTTGACAAGTTTGTCAACATGGGATTGAATGGCCGAGGCCACTACGGTTGTAGCAAGACGGCCGACACCGAGTTTGGTAAGCGATGAAGTAGAGGCATCGAGTCGGCGATGCCAGTATGGAGAGTCCGGGTCCGCCTTGGGAAGATCAGCCAGGTTATCTGGTTCTACAACTGGCACCGAAAGATCATAGATGGGCTTATTCCAGTATCTGGCAGCCAAGAGATCGAGAACACGCTGGTCCAGCTCATTCTTCAGTAGCTCGTGCATCTGCGGGCGACCAAATTCGGTTGCGAACTGCTTGAAAGAATGCTTGAAGGCGTCCAAGCTCTCGGCGAGGTAGGATTCGGCCGAAAGCGGTCGGTCGTTGTACTGAACCTTGAACTCATATGTCGCTTCTTCTAGCTCTTGCTGGATAGCGTCGCTTGTGCTTTGCAGACTCGCGGACATGGTCTGCTCAAGCACATGCATAAGCTTCTTTCGCAGCGTCGTAGTTCCGACGCTTACATCCGAGTTGGGTCCAAACTCTAAGGGATGAGCCGAAAAGTATGCGTTCTCGTTTTTGGTAATGGCACTCGTCAGGTTTGCATTTCCCTTCTTGAAGAGGCCAGTAGTAGTCGGAACTCGTGACACAACACCAACATAGCCAAGGCGCAGCGGATACTGTTTGTCATTCAAGATTGACATGCCTCTGATGGGATCTACTAGGTCCATCTTCGTAACAACACCAATGGTGCGCTCTCCCCTAGGGTCAACTCTGCGACTAGCTCTGAGGGCCGTGGAATTCGCCAAATCCACATCAGCCGCTGAAATCGCGAGAATGACATTTGGTGGCTGGATATACTTGTCGCAGAGTTCTGAGATCTTCTGCTTCAACTCCAGAGGCTGATTCTGGCCAACGACCTGGATGTACCCGGGCAGATCAATCAGTGACAAATCGGGAACGTGAGGAGACGATATAGACAGGCGAATAGGGTCATCAGAGACGCACTCCGCGTCCGACACAGCTAGGTTGAGTTCCGTGAGAGTTCGTTGTATCGATGAGAAATCCGAAATCTTGCCAAGTCCCAAATCCGGAAACTCGCCGTACTCTGCGTTCGAACCGGGTGTGTTGATTAAGGTCAACTCGATGGGTCGTCGAGTCACCATGTTTGTTCCTTTAGGAAGAAATTCGTGACCAACTATAGATTCCAGCACCGAACTCTTGCCCGAAGACTGCGAGCCAATGACAACAATTGACGGTAGGTTCAAGGTACTGGCCTGCCCCACCTTGGATAGAATGTTGCGGATTTCGATCATCTTCTTGGTCAGGACCATCATTTGATCGTCCTTGGCAATCTCGTCGTCGCTCCTTGTATCGTCTTCCGGGGACTGTTCGTAGCCATAGGCTGCGGCACTGGCACCCGCGGTCACTGCGGCGCCTGTCCTGCTCTGCTTGGGCGGCTCCTCCCCGCCTGGACCACCCTCGCCGCCATTCTTGCCTGTTCCGACCTCTTCTTGTAGTCTCAATATTTTCTGCATCCACTCTGGTAATTCGGCCTGCTCTTTCGTGTTTTCCCAACCTTTCATTGTTTGGTCGGCGATTCCTTTGACGCCATCGAACATGGAGGTAGCCGTGCTTACGACGGTGTCTTTCCCTGTGCTGAAGACATCCCATGCGTAGTTGCCCGCTTGTGTCGCCTGGTATTGTACCCACGCCAAACCGGCAACGGTAATGCCGCCCATCATGGCGGGTATCCTTATAAGCTTGGCCGCCAGCTTGGGCAGGAAGCGCACAAAGGAGGCATTCCGCACCACGACGGCATTGTGGAAAGCGTTTCCTCCACGCCACATGCGTTGCCTCGTAGCTCGAACGGCGGCATCGGCTCGGAGAAGACCACCGGAGGGTAGATGGTGATACTGGCGGGCAGCCTGCGTCGCGGCCGGACGCGTCAATGGGAGACGCCCGGCCGCTGCTATAAGCCGTCCGCTCATGCCGGCGGTGATGGGCAGAGGCGATCGGGTAGAATCGAAGGAAGGACCATCAATAGGTCGGTACTGTCGTTTAGTTTTGGTGGTTTTTTGGTGATGAAGGAAGTATAAAAAGAAAGAATTTGACTGGAAACGGCTTAATTCATGCAAAGATGCACCCTCGTTGACTGACCGATGCCGACCAGCTTAAGGTGGCGTGGGGCAGGTCGAAATGAGTTCATGCGTTGCACGTGTGGCTCGTCTCGCCTGCCAAACCTGCATGGAACAGGCAACTGTGGCTGATATCCGCCCCTCGACCCCACAATGTCTTCCCTCTTCCGCCCAGACGAAACCTATGGAATATTCAGTTGAAAGAATTCTGTATTGTACTTTTTCTCGAAAAATTACTCTCTCAGTCTATCATTCTGGATTTATCATTCAAACTTCAAGATCTCGTTTCCAACTTGTTATGATTTACGAACACAAAGGCCCGGCGTAGAGTCCCCAACAGTCCACTAAATACAGACCAATCAGCAACGACTTTATAGCAATCCACCTTCAGCGGTCCAGTGTCATATTTCTGGATCCTCCCCCTGACGTTCGAACAACTGCTTCTTCCAAGCTTGCAACTCAATAAGAAAATACTCACCTTTGGCTTGGCGATTCCCCCACCCCTTTCCATGGCCCACTGAGAATTAAGAGCAGCATCGACACATAGTATGGGATTCCTTACGAGGTATGCAAGGCTTGTGCAATGAAAGCTGTACAATAAGCAATCTTGATTCTTGAATGTTAACTCCGTTCAAGGGTCTAGAATACCCCTGCAACATACCCGGAAGCATACACAGTACATATTATGTACTGTCCTTGACTCCTTGACATCGATGTGGTGCTACTAATCCCTACAGACAATAGACTTCAAAAAGAGTTTATCAGAAGCCCAAAGTATGATTCTTGAGAGCTATCAACTTTGCATAGACACATACTCAAGTGACTTTTCTAATCAATTGCCTCGGTTTATTCAATGACGTTTTCCCAATTCTTTACATTCGCAGATTTTGATAATTCTTTCCCATCACGTCTTTACCAGTTCTCGGTGTGATCGCCTGTTTGTAGGCATTTCATCCGTCCGTCGTTGTACTACTTTATGTAGAATCTCCAGGCCCATTTTGACTGAATAATGATACACGATAGCTCATTGGAACAGGCCAATCATGGCCAAACCCTGGCTGGATGGAAAGAGACGCCCCTCAACTCCTCGATACATATGCATGAGCATTGCTTATGCTCTCATGTGCTGAACTACAGACATCAAAGACCGATGCTCGCCCTTGTGCCATCCGTTAATATCCTGATCCGAGACAGCCGCCCAGGCACTTAGAGGGTCGGCCCAGATATCCCATCTTCCTAGCCTGCCCTCCTCATCCCAGCCGCTCAAGACGTATGAGAACTTCTCGTCCCAGCTCCTGCCCGTTTCGACGCTCTCGAACTTTCCTTTGCCCACCACGGCCACCCGGTTGGCGTTTGTATCCACCACGAAGCCGTCCTCGCCGGGGAAGCTGTCCTTGTCCAGGTGCATTTTCAGAGTCCGTGCAAGAAGCTCGAAATACTCAATTGTTGAATGGAAACCGACAAAGTCGCGTCCGAGAAAAGGGAGATGGACTGTGGCCCACGATGGGCCATGTTCTCTGATGGTGGGGTTCTTCCCATCCGCTTCTGGAATGAAGAACTCTTTTACCAAGGCCTCTGGTGGAGGTGGAGACAATAGAGCTTGGCAGAAGGCGTGAGCATGTCTGCGTAGGAGTGAATGTCGATCGTTGGTGCTAGCATTGGCGCTGTTCTTTTGTACAGTTTGGGAAATCATAGTGCAGTATTGTGTGACAGTAATCTTCTTGAGAGCTGCTGATACCAGAATCCTGTTATATGATTTGTGAAGTTGTGGCAATTTCAGGCGCTGGCGATGCAATAATGATAAAAAAGCCGTGGAAACGACTTCGTCGCTATGACATCATGTTGTTTCTATATTTGTTCAAAATACGGAGAAGTGTATGGTGGGTTCATATAAAAGTGAGTTGCATCAATTTGGCAACGTAATGAATTTCCAACCAGACTGGACGGTCGAACGTTAAGTGGCGAGATTGCCGGACGGCTCACTTGACCAAGTGCGAAACTTTGTGCATACACAAGGTAAACTGATTTAATTGCATTCGTCAAATGCCTAAGTAATTCATATTGGTTTGGTGTTCTCCATGAAAATAATATATGAGGATAATGTGAATTCTATTTCAAGTGCATATTGGGCCTATGAGTCACCAAAACTTCCAAAAGTCATGATAACCATCATCCTAGGTTGTATACTCGAACTTCCTCGAAGAGACCTAGGCAGTAGACTAGGTCCCCTAGGTAGATGCCCAAACGCAGAAAGCGGTGAGATGTCAAGTTTGCCCCACGCTCTGATTCTGCCACATCCCTCCAGTATGTCCCAAGAGCCTGGAGCAAGGCATGTCCCGCCTTTCGACGAACAGCAGGCCAATAATTCGGCGACGTTCCCCTCCGGATCTCAGCAAAAAATCAAATTCTACGGGAAGAGGCCACTTCTTGACTATCTTTTACGAATCTTTGTATAATTCCGTTTCCCGCGCCTCTGGCGCAAAGAGCTGCCCATCATGGTCAACATCACGGAAAAAATCAAGGAGTGAGAAACTGCCCCACCTTCCCTCGGTCTTTAGCCACAGCGCTCACACAGGTTCTTAGGATTGAGGAGGAGATGAGGAAGACGCAGAGTATGAACACATGATCAATGAATCGTTCAAGGGAACGTGCTTGACTGATAATTTCATCACTTGAATAGAAAACAAGGCCACAGGTATGATTGCATATTTTCTGACTTGGATGTTCTTGAAAAGCTAACTCTTGTCCCAGAATATCATCTTGGTCTTCTAAAAGGGTACGGGGTCACTATTTAATCAAAGCTCCATGGAAGAACAGCGGGAACTGATTAGCGAAACTATAGAAAGCTTGCACGGCTACGCGCACAACTTCTAGAGCCCGGTCCCGGATCCGGAGGTGGACCGGGTGCCGGATTTGATGTTAGCAAGAGCGGAGATGCCAGAATAGCATTGGTCGGCTTTCCGTCGGTGGGAAAGTCGACATTCCTGTCCAAGGTCACCAAGACGCGGTCCGAGGTGGCGTCTTACGCCTTCACAACCCTGACGGCGATTCCTGGGGTGCTCGAGTACGGCGGCGCCGAGATCCAGCTGCTCGATTTGCCGGGTATCATTGAGGGCGCCTCCGAGGGCAAGGGTCGTGGTCGACAGGTCATCTCGGCGGCCAAGACCAGCGACTTGATTCTCATGGTGCTCGACGCCACCAAGAAGGCCGAGCAGCGGGCGCTGCTCGAGGCCGAACTCGAGGCTGTCGGCATCCGGCTCAACCGCGAGCCACCCAACATCTATCTCAAGCCCAAGAAGGCCGGCGGCATGAAGATCAACTTCCAACAGCCGCCGAAGAACCTTGATGACAAGATGGTCTACAATATCCTGCGCGATTACAAGATGCTCAACTGCGAGGTTCTGATTCGTGACGATGAGGCTACCGTCGACGACCTGATTGATGTCATCATGAAGGACCACCGCAAGTATATCAAGTGCTTATATGTCTACAACAAGATCGACAGTGTGTCGCTCGACTTCCTAGACAGGCTGGCTCGGGAACCCCATACAGTTGTCATGAGTTGCGAGCTGGACCTCGGCATACAAGATGTCATTGATCGGTGCTGGAAAGAGCTACAATTGGTTCGCATCTACACCAAGCGGAAAGGCATCGATCCAGATTTCAGCGAAGCGCTGATCGTCAAGAAGGATGCTACTATTGAGGACGTCTGCGACCGTATTCACAGGACTCTGAAGGACACATACAAGTATGCCTTGGTATGGGGTGCATCCGCGAGGCACGTTCCGCAACGGGTCGGTCTCGGTCATACAGTAGCCGACGAGGATGTTGTGTATATTGTCAGCTCTTTCAAAGCATAGAGACGTAAATACAACTGGTCAGATATCTGAAGAGTCACCCTGCGAATTTGTGTGTAGATCATATGAATGTTCTTGATTATCGACTTCAGCTGCTCTTGTTTATCCTACAAGTGCAAAAAAAAAAGCATATCATTGGCTGTTCTCTGTTCTACAGCAGGCTTTCCGGCGTAGTTACGCCCCCTAAACGCCAATGTCGTATAATTACAAAGGAAATAGACTTTGCCCCATGAGCCTGGCGTCTCCAAGCAGGCAAAATATGTACACGTGTGATGATTTGGTTCGTAAAGCGGTCGTAAAGTGTGGAACAACAAGGAAAAATGATGCCGTTTTCAGTTTCAGCGCTCGTGTAGAGTGGTGGTACTGGTCGTGGCATTTATTGGCCAAGTGGCTGCGATGCGTTCCTGGCGCCGAAGACGTTCTCTCCGTCAAACTTCTTAGCCGATGCTAGAGCAAAGAGCGACTTGGGCTTGGCCCTGTTGAAAAGATGAGTTGTTAGCAATGATCTTGATGGGCGCTATATTTCAATGACTGTATGCGCAACTTACTTGCCGACCTGCTTGTTGCGGAGCGCATTGAGCTTTGCTGTGCAGGGGCTCATGATGCCATCCGACGGCGAGACGTACTTCTCTCCATCCCTGGAAAAATGAGTTTAGCTATGGCGCACGCAAAAGGAACAAACGGCTGGCTTACTTTTCCTGCTCCATCTTCTTCTGGAGGACTTGGCGGTGGTACTCCATGCTCTTAAGGTTGGCTTTGCCGTTGCCTGCCGAAGCGTCCATCTGCTGGAGGTTGTGCGTGTTGACGCTCTTTTCGGAGAGAACGTGGCCAGACATTGTCAATGTGATGATTGGAGAATACTGCTTGATTGAAAGCGACGATGAAAGTTGTTTGATCTGAAGGATGGAAGCTCTTTTTTATGTCCAGGGACAGTCTTGATAGTAGTAAGAAAAATTTTAGTGGTGCGAATCGCAAGAGATTGGATGGAATGGAGGGAAAGTGGATGAGGTTGGATGCGAGCACTTTTGGAAACGGCGCGGCTTTGGATCTTTTATCAACCGGTCCCAATGTTAGCGTTCCATGAGGTCAGATCAGTGGGACTCCGGCAGTCTCTTCAGCTTTCGTGCAGAAAAATGTTCCTTCCGTCGCTAAAGTGGAATGAGAATGTAAATAGTTGGTACGTTGGCATAGCAACGGCCCCACCCACTGGGGATTCCCCTGATCGCCGGAGACCCTTTTGACCCACCAGAGGTCTGCTCGGACATCGCTTTCATGTCGTCCGTCCAACGGCGGCGACATGATTTCCAAATGCAAACAAATCTCCTGGTTACATTTATGCAAGGCTGGTCGTGAGTCATACACAGAAATTGCATGTTGTCTTATCATGGATTATTACGGCCAGTTCAACATGGATGGTGCAATGGCAACATGTGAAATGGGCCAGTAACAGGTACCCGAGTTGAGAATCTGCGCCGTTGCTCACTAGTCTCTACAAGCCCACGTGGGGATGTGTGAAGCATTTTCTGTGTAAATAACATACAAATTTTTCATTCAACACTATAGTAGATTGCTTGTGACATGCTTACAAACGGGACTTGATGTGCGATCCAGGCTGGTACATCTGCACGCCATATTGCTTGAGCAATTGCTCCGTCTTCTGTTTCTGTCCAAGGATCTTTTCCGTCACTGCCTTGCCTCTCTTGTTCTCGTTGCGGCCCATTTGACTAAGATGAACCTCATCCGGACCATCAGCAAGACGTAGAGTCCTAATGTTCGCCCACATGCTTGCCAGGGGTGTATCTTGACTGACGCCAGCTCCACCGAATGCTTGAACGGCGCGGTCAATGACAGTCAGGGTTGTCTGTGGGACGAGGACCTTGGCCTCAGCGATCTCCTTGAGCGTCGCCTTGGGACCCAGGTCGTCCATCTTGACAGCGGCATTCAAGACAATTAGTCGGGCGGCATCAATTTCAATGCGCGACTTGGCAACCCATTCAAGGATGACACCGTGTTCCTTGAGCTGCTTCTTGAAAGGAGTCTTCTGGGGGTCGTTGATTCTCATCAGCATCCATTCCAGAGCACGCTCGGCAGCGCCGATGCTGCGCATGGCATGGTGAATACGTCCAGGTCCAAGACGTCCCTGGATGATTTCAAAGCCACGGCCCTCGCCCAGAACAATGTTCTTCACAGGTACTCGGACATCCTTGAAGGTAATGTGACCATGGCCGTGAGGTGCATCATCGTATCCGTAAACAGACAACATGCGGTGGATCGTGATGCCTTTTGTGTTTGCCGGTACCAGCACGACCGACTGTTGCTTGTAGACATCCTTGTTGCTAGAGTCGGTCTTGCCCATGACAATGTAGATCTTGCATCGCGGGTCGCCAGCTCCGCTGGACCACCATTTCTAAAGCAGAATCAGTGCCTGGGCCATCAGTGATAGAAACGAAAAGGTGCACTTACCGAGCCATTGAGGACATATTCATTGCCTTCCCTTCTGATGTTGAGTTGGATGTTGGTAGCGTCCGATGAGGCAATGTCTGGCTCTGTCATGAGGAAGGCAGATCGGATCTTGCCGTCCATCAAAGGCCGGAGCCATTCTGCCTTTTGTTCCTCATTGCCATACTTGGCCAATACCTCCATGTTACCCGTATCGGGGGCAGCGCAGTTGCAGGCTTCGGAGGCCACTCTGGACTTGCCAAGCCACTCTGCCATGAGACCGTACTCGAGGTTTGTAAACCCGGGAGACTCCTTATAGTGACCCTTGGGGAAGAACATATTCCAAAGCCCGAGCTTCTTTGCCTTCTCCTTCAGGTCGTCGACAATTGCTGGGTGGTGGTCCCATCGCTTCGCGCCCTCGCCGATCTGTGCCTCGAGGACGGGGTCGGATGGGATACATTCCTCCTCGACAAACTTTGCAACAATATCAAGCGTCTTCTTGGCCTTATCACTGACGCGGTCCGCGACCTGTAGACCGGTAAGCATAGGGGTTATCGAAAGCAATTGATCAGTTGCCGCTGGAACTTACAAGTGCGGGAATCTGGGCAGACATGTTGGCGGGATCGAGATTTATACTTGCACACAAATGGAACACAGAGAAGGAGGCTCAGAGTAAGAAGAAAATGGTTATAGGATGTACGTCGTAGTAGAAGAGAGCTTACCCAGAAACGCCTGCAAGGGCGACGCAGCCGGTAATAGCTTTGAAATAGGCGGATGTAGGCCGAGGTACACTCCGCTTCTCAGCGGGGTAGTAGCGCTGTTGCAGCAGCGCTAGCAGGGCCAAAAGCTGGGGTAGATGAACCATTAAAGGACGTCGCAACCACCGAGGTCTAGAAAATAGCAGGAGCTAGGTCACAAAGGTTAATTCAATCAGCAGATATGGAACGAGAATTGATCTTGAAAGCCGAAACGAAACCCGAGCGAGATCCTCGCTGCATCAAATCAAGTCACCGTCCTTTCTCGGGGATGAATTCCGACGTCCGTACAAAGTATACTGTAGTCAGTCGGAAATCATCCGAATAACAACATGAGGAAACCAAAATGGACGATAATCGGGTATTACTCCACAATAGCTACGATATGCATTTATACGTCATAATAGAATAAACGCTCCAGCGTTGATCTAGTTTGCCAAAAATTACCTAGGCTAGCCGCTGGTCTGCGTGTTGATGCAACTTAGGCTTTCGCGACTGCTCGCTTTGAAGAGCCTTACTCAGCCTCGCCACTGTTTCGGCAGATATTCAGAGCTTCCAGAAGTTGGATCACCTGTCACCAACAGAACTCCCTCCTGAGCTGACCACAATGGCAACGGAAAACGACGATCAGGCGCTCGTTGCGCAATCGACCGAAGTCGCAGCGCCTGCCCCCAAGAAAGTAAAAAAGATCATCCGCAAGAAACGCCCTGCCAGACCTCAAGCAGACTCTGCCTTCACCGAGGAGCCCCCGCCGCAGACTGGAACGATATTCAACATTTGGTACAACAAATGGTCGGGCGGTGATCGTGATGACAAGTACACAAACACTGCGGCAAAAGGCCGTTGCAATATCGCCAAGGATGCTGGTTACACCAGGGCCGACAAGATCCCGGGCTCATATTTTTGTCTCTGGTTCGCACGAGGTTTATGTCCAAAGGGCCAGGACTGCCAATACCTTCACCGGCTGCCGACGATCCATGACATGTTCAACCCGAATGTAGACTGCTTCGGCCGCGACAAGCATTCCGACTACAGAGACGACATGGGAGGTGTGGGAAGTTTCATGAGGCAGAACCGCACCATTTACGTCGGTCGCATACATGTAACAGACGACATTGAGGAGATTGTGGCCAGACATTTTGCCGAATGGGGTCAGATTGAGCGGATACGCGTGTTGAACACAAGAGGTGTCGCCTTCATCACATACTCCAACGAGGCTAACGCGCAGTTCGCCAAGGAAGCCATGGCTCACCAAGCACTCGATCACAGCGAGGTTCTAAATGTTAGATGGGCAACGGCAGATCCTAATCCCATGGCACAAGCGAGAGAAGCCAGACGCATCGAAGAACAAGCCGCCGAGGCGATCAGAAGAGCACTGCCGGAAGCGTTCATCGCGGAAATTGAGGGTCGGGATCCCGAGTCGAGAAAGCGGAGGAAGGTGGAGAGCGGCTTTGGGCTAGAGGGATACGAAGCACCAGATAATGTCTACTTTGCAAGAGGAGCACAGGCTGTGAATCCTGCTGGCAGGGAAGGTCATGACTTGGAGTACGAGCAGCGGCTCATGATCGAAAATGGTGAGGTGGACGGTAATCATGATGGTCAGGCTCTGCCTGCCCTGGAGGATAAGCCCGAGGAAAAAGGGGGCATCTTCTCAAGCAGCACACTCGCAGCATTGAAAGGAGCACAAGTCAAGGCTGCACCCAAAGCTGCGCCTAAAATTTCGTCTGGGCCTTTAGTAGCATATGGCAGCGATGACGAGGATGACGATGAATAGAAAAAAGAAAGCAAAGGGTCTGCAGATTTAGAGAACGATCCAATGGCCTAAAAAGTACCACATATAATACTACTGCATATTCAAGGGCACAAAATCGTTCATCAAGTTGAGAATCAAGTTGCATTGTTCATAATTTTTTTTGGTGTTGTTAAAGTTGTATCCGAGCCGTATTCAGCTGTTGAAGATCCTAGAATAGAGCATTTCATGCCGTCCAATCCACAGATCCATCACGGGCACAGTCTGGCCGGCCTCCTCGTACTTGGTCTCCCACTCCCTGTCAATCATGGCCGAGATCAAATCCTGGACTTCCCGGCTGGCCAAGACACGCTGGGCAACATATGGACCCATCATGGCCGCCCGCACACCCGCCGAGACCAGCGCCTTTACGTGGGACAGCATAAACACGTAGGCCGTCTGCCGCAGCGTCAATCCGAGCAGGTTACAAATGGCACCAAAGAGCGGGGCCAGGTGCGCGCTGTAGCAATAGGCCGGGCCACAACCACCACTACTCGCGTCGCCGCCGCCGCCGACGGCTGCTCCCGGTGATGAGAGCAGGCCCCGGAGATGGGCAATGGCCTCCCGGGACGACGCCGGTACTGCGGGCGCAAAGCTCTTTTCCCAGACACCCAAGAGGGCGCGGCCCTGGGCAACGGAGGCGCGGCGGCCTACAGTGCAAATGACGGCGGCGTCATGGGCGTCGTCGAGCTCGGCCGTGGCCAAAGGGTCCCGGTGCGCGGCCAACACGAACGGTAGCGTTGTGGACGCGTATGCCGATAGCGAGAGGGGCAGAAAGGTGTTGAACGAGGCCCCATGCCCATCGTGCGTCTTGTAGGACTCCAGACCCGATGAGAAGGCAAACGAGCCCAGCGGCAGCGCCGAATCCGAGAGTAGCAGCAGGTAGTGGTGCGCCGAGCTGGCGGCCGTGTTTATGATGGGGCCGATGGCCGCGGTGGTGGATGGCGAAACGCCGTTGCGATGCGGAAGTGTTAGCTTTGCTGACGAGTGGGCTGTGTCTGAGGCTTGTGCACTCAGCCGTTGCCTCGCCTTTTGTAATCGCGCTTCAAGCTCCGCTATCTCGTTTTTGAGGGAATCCCGAGTCTCATCATGAGCCATTGGACTCATTGTTTCCACTCGCTAAGATTGTTGATGCAATATAAATTGTGGTAGAGCAAGGTTTGTATTCCATAAATGCTTAGCCGTAATGCTGCGCTTAATTTCACATTATTCCCTATCAAACTCCACAACAACGCCCAACACCAATGACCACATGAATCTCGTCATGAATTCGCAAAAACCAAATACAACGTCTCCCTTTTGTGAGCCTGAATTTCCAATGGGTATCTCTGTGGCCTTGAGCCAAGTAACATTTTAAGGTCTGACATTCTCCTTGCCCGTAATGTTCCGCTTTTCTCGCCTTTTCTGTGCTATTCTTGCCTTTGCCGCTGCCAGACGATCTGCTGGGAGTGTGCATCGTGATGCATTGGCAGTGAGAGCTGTGTCGTTCGGATTAGGGCCGCCAAGCTTGGCAAATCGATTCTGCAGCAGATCGAACCCTTCGATCGTCGGAGAAGGAGCATGAGCTGATGTTTTGCTATTGTAACGAGAATTGGGGATATCATCCAGCGCATCACGCGGAATTTCGCGCTCGCGCTTGGTGGAGGTAGCGCGAGACTCAGATGTCGACTGTCTTGTCTTGTGACGCAGCGTTTCGTGTTTCTTCTCAGGCATGGCATGGCGAGAGTTGTGGGTTGACTGTGTCGCTCTGGAGAAGCGGTCTGTATCGAGTGGGTTCTGACGCACATCAAGATCAAGAGTTTCCAGATCTCGATCACGTCGACGAGATTCCATACGCTCCAACCTTTCCTGTTTGAGTTGGGCCTCAATGTCCCGCAGGCTATCCGTCACGTCTGCTGAGAAACGTTGAAGATTGAGTCTTTGGCTGGGGCTTTCGAAGAGAGAGTGTTGTGTGAAATCGAGCGTAAGGTCTTCGGCAGACACGGCGCGTTTCAAATGCCCCCGCTTGGCCTTTTCATGGATCGAGGGTCGGTTCGGAGCTGCAATGCCTGGCCTGACATCCCGTGTAGTTGCGTTGTGCTGACCGAGAGGAGCGTCCATTCCAGCTGCGCGGCTGGCTGAGGCATTGGTTCTGAGAAGCGTCTTGACTTCTTTTTCAAGCTCTGCTATCCTGCGCTCCGCCATATTATCTCTTTTTCGAAGCATATTTACGTCTGTTTCGAGTTCTGATATCTTGTCGTTCTTCTCTTTAAGGACTTGCAAAGCTTGGCTTCGTGAGGACTTTGCATTCTCCTTAAGTGTGTCAAACTCCTTCTTGAGCTTTTTGAGTTCGCGATCTTTCCGTTGCATCTCAGCTTCAGCATCATGGAGTTGCTTCTCCAGCTTTTCTAGAGGTGCTTGGTCCGACTCGGTGGATTTTTGCTTGCCGTCAGAGGCCAGGCGTTCGGACTTGAGTCTTTCATTCTCTTCCTGGATCTTCTTCATCTGCTTAAGCTCGTTGCGTACGCGTCGCAGCTCCCTGCTAGTTTCAAGCAACGTCTTCTCGGTACGCGGTGAGGTGTCCATCTTGTTATGCTGTGGTTTGCCACCAGATTCGTCTTGATCGAAGAGCAAAACTTCCAACTCCTCGACCCGTTCCTTGTATCTCGCAGCCTGTGAGGTCTTTTCGGCAAGCTTCTTGGCCAAGTCGTTGTCGGGATCTGGTGCGCGACCCCTAACTCTAGGCACCTGGGTCGTCATTTCTGTCATCGTCTTCTCCATCTGGGCCACCTTCTCGCGCTCCTCTTTCAACTTCTGGTTTAGTTCCGCGGCTTCAGCGTCCTTCTTCTGCGCATAGCACTTAGCCAAGTGCTTATATTTGACGAGTTTCTCCATTTCAGCCCTGGCGTCGTCGCTGTACTTGCTGAACTCCGACTTCCAGTACTTTCCAGATCGAGAGTGAGGCTCATTAAGATCCACTGTCATATCATGGTTGCAAATGTCGTCCTCCCACTCGTCGTCTGTTCCTTCCTCCACTGATTCTGGGTGCTCAGTGGCGGGCGTCGGTTCTGGCACTGAATCTTCCATCTTGTCGTCATTGGCCTTCTTGGCCTTGTTCGACCGCGATTCCTCCAGTCTCTGCTGAATCGACTTTCTTCGGTTCCCTGTCGGGTTTGTTTTCGCAGCCGTGGCATCAGTCTCGCTGTTAGTGCCAGCCTTGACATCACGGCCGAATGATACACGCTTCCGACGCGCAGTCGCCGTTCCAGGGGTCAACAATATTCCCGTGGGTTTCACTGGCGACCTCGAATCTCTCAGCGGAGCGTCATCAGCCTTGTCGTCGGTTATTGTGCCAACTGGCTCTGGAAAGTTTTCTTTAGGGGGGGCGGGAGTTCCAAAAATCGCACGCCTGATGGCGCGAGCGGCGAATACTGGTGCTGGAGTGTCGGGAACTTCGATTTGAGTCGTATCGCCTGGAAAGTCAGCAAAAACTGGCGATACGATGTTGTGAATGCGCGGCTCTGCTTTACCTTCGTCGGGAGGCGCGTTTCTGGCACCAGTGGCGCCCTGGACGCCCTTCTTGAGTGCCCAGCCCAGCATCTTGTCCAAGTTTCAGAGGTCTCAAAATCGGAGGTAATGCTGGGTAGTAGCGCAGTGAAGATCTGTGATGGCTTGGTGTCGCAATGTCAATACAGTCGTGGTAGATGATGCAGGTTGTTGTATGAAGAGTCGCGCGCGGCCGCTAAGATTGGGACCCTGGACGCATTATTTACTTGTTGCCTCTTTGGGGTTGAAGGTTTGTAGTTCAGTGCCCCGCACTCGGCGCAAACCGACCTGGAAACGAGCGCCGTGTGTACCTGTCTGGCCAGATAGCCGCCACCAGCGCTCCGCGACCACAAGGTTTTAATGCATTACATACCGCCACTTCCATCACATACATCATTGTAGCATGAGAGGCCCTTCAAAATCAAGCGCCAAGCTTCTGGCTTACGGCATTAGATTGACAGCCCAAGTGCCAGTCCTCCATACCAAAAAGTCTAACCCAAGGTTAGTATACTTTACGCTGCTGCCATTTTTATGAAATACAAAACGGAGAAGGGAAAAGGGCGGAAAGAAGAAGAAATAAAGCACTAGACGAAATACATGATTTTCTGACGAGTATTCTTTCATTTTGTACATTCTTTGTCAGGTATACCATTATAAGAAAATGCCGAGATTTCAATGTTCAATCTAGAAATTCTGATGCAGCCCTTTAGGCCTGGCTACGTTGGCACATGTTCAGAAATCAGAATGTAGGGAGTGCCCCACAGCAGTTTAGTGCCCAAAGAGTACATCAGCTGAAGTTCAGGTGATCGCCCTTTGTTCGCAACCATCCCAACTTCAAACAACAGAATAAATATCCTACGTATTTCCAGAGCAGTATGATTTCCGCCCAGTAAGGACTCACAGCTTAGGCTGTGATCTTCCTCGTTCGCTTACCCCCTCCCGAACGATTCAAGCAACGATGCCTTCAACTGGGAAAGGTACAGCAGGGCAACGAAAGCCCGCGCTGCAGAAAACCAGAAGCAGCGATGACTCCAATTATCCTGGGCTCAAGCAGCTCAGCAGCCCGGATCCCAGCAAGACACAGTACACTCAAGTCCAAGAGGATGAGATTCTCGTGTTGCAGGCCATTTACGGAGAAGACTTCATTGAGCATAAAGCTGCAAACACCGCCTGGCAGCGCTCAGAACCAGCCTTTGACGTGCGCATCAAGGCCTTATCGGACGAGGAACTCACAGTCACCCTGGGTGTAGTACTCACCGCAAGTTATCCGAAATCAGTTCCCTTGCTCAGTCTGAAAGATGACGGCAGCTTGGGCCAGTCCACCCTCTTCAAAGTTCAGGCTTTTATCGAGTCAAAGCCCAAAGAGCTGGCTGCATCTGGTCAAAATGAGCCCATGATACATGATATAGCATCGGGCATACAGGACATTTTGGAACTTGCTGCAGAAGCCAAAGCTCAAGGCCGTGAACTTCCGTCTCTTGAGGAAGAGAGAGCTGTTCACGAAGCTGAGTTGGCTCGAAAAGCTGAACTGGAGCAGTCTGAGCAGAACCGCAAGTTACAGGAAGCCGACGCAGAAGAGGCACGAATGATGGAAAACATGATTCAGGAGGAAATGAAACGCCAGAGAGCAAAGGAGAGGGAGTCGAAGAAGAGGGGCAAGCCGCCCTCGCTAGCCATGGCTTACTCTGAAGATTCGAGCGAATTCGAATCGGGCAATGTCAATTTTGATGAGCCGTGCAGAATCACTGATTCAACAGGAAACGATGCATACTTCACTACCGTAACTGGGAGATCCGAGTACCGCCAAGGTATGATCGCATCGACTTTCGCAGTCCGTGCAGTCCTGCTCGATCGTCGAAACGTCCCGCCATTGGCCTTGAAGGAGGTTGAGTTGAAACAAAACTCTAGAGATGCTTCCCAATTCAAGAAGCACCTCTTAAGCCTAGAGAACAAGCTCAAGACTGTCAAGCAACTCACTCATCGGAATATTCTAGACGTGATTGACTTTCGAATTGATCGCAAGACTCAAGAGAATGAGGCTTCGCAAACACGCATCGTGCGAATTTTGACACCGCTGGCCGATAAGGGCTCGCTCGACGAACTTCTTGAGCTCACGGAGAAAGTGGCAATTGGCAAGGTGAGATCGTGGACTACAGATCTTTTATCTGGCCTAGGTTGGTTGCACACCCAAGGGTTGGTGCACGAAGACATCCACCCTGGAAATGTTCTGCTGTTCAGAGAAAGCTCAGGGCATGTGGTTCCCAAGCTCGCTGATGCTTCGTATCAACGAGAACTGCACACAATTTGCCGCAAGTCCCGCGCAGTTTCTTTGCTTACTTCTGCGAGATCCACATACTGGCTACCCCCTGAGCTCGATAGCGCTTCTGGCGCCCTCAACCAGAAGACAGATATTTGGGATTTCGGTGTTGTCTTCTTGCAGATGGTTTTCGGTTTGGATGTCTTCGAGAAGTATGAAAAGCCTTCGAGTCTCATGTCCAGGTTGTCTCCCTCGCTCCACGAGCTCGTGTCCAAGTTCTTTAAGCAAGATCCAGGGCGACGTCCTCGAGCGTCGGATCTGCGGTCAAGTGAATTCTTGGCTACCGACGCCCCCGTATATGCTGAAGACTTTCACACGAGCTTGACCCCATCTCATTCTTCCACCTCCCTGCCCAAGATGGATGGATTCAGGCGCCGGCTTGATTCTACCGCCCTGGCCCCCTCGTTCTCGCGCTTCAAGAATGAGTTCACTGAGGAGGGCCGCCTTGGCAAAGGTGGCTTTGGTGAAGTCATCAAGGTCCGCAAGAAGATTGATGGCCAGACTTATGCTATCAAGAAAGTGGTCACTAAGGCAACCAAAAGCTTGACATCATTGTTGAAAGAAGTTTCAACACTGTCGGCTCTGAGTCATCCTTCAATCGTGCGGTATTACGATGCCTGGACTGAGCAGCTACCCGACTCTCCAGACACGGACGGGGATGCGACAGCCGACGAGACTAGTACTCAGCGCTCCATGATTACCGGGTCGAACGAAATCGACATTCAATTTGCCACTAGTACAGGAGGCTTGGACTTTATGTCCTCGGCAAATGTTGGGGACGACTACTACCATGATGACGATGACGACGACGAGTCGGAAGACTATGACGGACTAGAAGTTGTTGTAGAGGACGAGGAAGATGAGGTTGGCGATGACGGCATCTTGTTCGCGGCAAGCACTGCTGATGACGACTCATCGTCAAGAAACCACCTGCCTGTGACACCCAAGCGCATACGGAGCCACACTCAATCCGGTTGGAAAGTGCTGTATATTCTTATGGAATACTGTGAGAAAAAGGTATTCTCCCCCCCTCCCAAATCTAATTGAAACGGCGATTGTTGGCTAACATTTATCGCCACCAGACCTTGCGTGATCTGATTTCCCAGAATTTGTTCGAGAATCAAGAAGAAGTGTGGCGTCTGTTCCGTGAGGTCTTGGACGGACTGAACTATATGCACACATTTCACAACATTGTGCATCGCGATTTGAAACCCGAGAACATATTCATTAGTAGCGGCACAGACGGTGTCGCTCATGTCAAGATCGGAGACTTTGGTCTGGCTACAGGAGGCCAAGTCGTGGCCGAAAATCGTGCATCGGGGCTCGGTGATTCGAATGGAATGAGTAACGTGGGGACCGCCCTATATTCTGCCCCGGAGCTTGAGCGTGGCAGCGGATCTGATGAGGCACCCCCCAAAATCGACGACTCCAGGAAACTAGACGTAAGTTTATTGAAGTTTTGTTTCTTTTTTTTTTAAAAAAAAAAAAGAGTACAAGAAAAGGCAGCTAATATGGTTTCCAGATGTATGCGCTTGGGATCATCTTTTTTGAGATGCTTTACAAGCCAATGGGTGGCCATGAGCGAATCACTGTGTTGAACGACCTCAGGGCCAAACATCCTACTCTACCGAGCGACTTCAAGCCTTACGACAAGGTACAGACTGAAATCATTCTGTCACTTGTGACGCATAATGCAAACCAACGCCCAGGGAGTTCCGAGCTCTTGCGAAGTGGCAAGGTGCCGATGCCCATGGAAAGTGAGACTCTGCAAAGAGCACTCGCTGAAATATCCGACCCCCTATCTACACACCATCAGAAGCTAGTCACGGCAATGTTTGGCAAGCCAACCGACAAGACGAAGGATTATACGTGGGACATGTCGGTACCTAATGTGTCATCGACAGAGCTACTATACCAGGGCATTGTCAAAGATCAACTCAAGTCGATTTTCCGTCGCCATGGCGCTGTTGAAGCTAGTACAAGCCCTCTCTATCCACGGTCGTCACATTATTCACAGAATGTCGTCGAGCTCCTTGACAGAGGGGGTACAGTTTTACAACTGCCTTACGATTTGATGTTGGGGAATGCAAGGACGCTTGCGAAACATACTGGCACTACGTTTGTGCCCAAGTCTTTCACCTTTGAGAACATATATCGTGATAGACACAATGGGGGTCAGCCCTCTAAGTTTGGCGAAGTCGCCTTCGATATTGTCTCGACGGATACGCTGGATCTCGCTCTCAAGGAAGCAGAGTTGCTGAAAGTCCTAGACGAGATCATTGACAGCTTCCCCTCTCTCAATCAGATGTGTTTCCATCTTGGTCACTCGGATCTGCTGCAGTTGATCTTTGACTTTTGCGACGTTGACCACAGCGCGAGAACAATTGCAGCAGAGGTGTTGAATAAGCTCAACATCCACAACTGGACTTGGCAAAAGATCCGTGCCGAACTTCGCGTCTCTGGCCTGTCCGTGACGAGCATTGATGAATTGCAGCGATTTGATTTTCGAGGTAGGTCATACCAGGCTATTTTCAGTTATGTGTACCGATCTAATATATTCTCCTAGACACACCAACAAAAGCCTTCTCCAGGCTAAAGACTATTCTTGAAGGGAGCAAAATGCTTGAAAGAGCGCAGCCAATCATTACTCATCTCAGAGAAGTCGTTGGTTTTGCAAAGCGCTTCGGAGTTCACAGCAAGATCTACATCAATCCCCTCAGCAGCTTTAGGGAACGCTTTTTTGTTGGAGGCATGCTGTTCCAATGTGTCTATGATAAGAAGTACAAGGATGTATTTGCAGTAGGCGGCAGATATGACAGTTTGATCAATGAGCATCGACCTCGAATGGGTCATCAGTCTCACCAGCGCCACGCAGTGGGCTTCAGTCTGGCCTGGGAGAAGCTTGCAATGATACCCAAGGCTGCTGGTAAGGCATTCCTCAAAAAGGCTGATGTTGAGCCGCAGGGCATGTTCAGTACGAAAAGAGTAAGTCGACTCTGGTCCTTCGGGTCATGCATGAGTTGCTAACGATTTCAGTGCGATGTTCTTGTCGCAAGCTTTGACACTGGTATTCTGCGTTCAGACGGAATCGAGCTGCTTCAGACTCTATGGGCTCACGACATAAGCGCTGAGTTAGCGCGAGATGCCCGATCGCCAGAAGACCTGCTTACAAAACACCGAGACGAGAGCTACTCGTGGATCATTATCGTCAAGCAAGAAGCAGTCCTCAAGATCAAGACAATGGGACGCAAAGACGTTTCTGACGCTGAAGTACCAACGACGCAGGTCATCAACTGGCTGAGGGCAGAACTTCGAGAGCGCGATCGATATTTGGCACACCGTGCAGTCGTCGACCCTGGCGGTGGATCTAGTGCCCTAGAAAAGGGAGGAGGTTTCACAAATGCAGAGCAAAAAGTTCACGTGTTGGTCGCAGGCACCAGATCGAAGAAGTTCAATCGCCGAACCGTTGTGGAGCAAGCTCAAGCTAATGCCGCAGCCTTGGTGCAAAACTTTCTTGACGGGCCTGTCGCTGCGGTTGAAACCTCTGACGCAGTGCTAGAGCTTATTCAGGAAACGACCTTGTCGGATGGAGAAAGCTGGCGCTCAGCGGAGCAGTCGGTCAACATGGCTGAACGCAAGTATATGCGCGAGATCCACGATATGTTGCTGACATGGCGCAATGTGTGGCAGTCAAAGAACGGGAGCAGGCACGCGTTTGTATACAACTTCAGAACGACGAGGTGTATCTACTACGACCTGGGCGCGTGATGAGGGACGGTGGACATTTGACGGATTGACATAGTTAGTTTCGTTTCTATTCCGCCTGCGTTTTTGGATTTTGCGCAACTGAATGAGAAAAATGAGAAAAAGGTTTGGATGAATGTTCATGAGCGATTGGGAAGAGTATAGAGAGCTAGGATCACAGCGATACCCCAAATACAGAATCGATTCACTCAACTATTTTCTAGTGGTTCTTTCCTGTGACGCACACTTGTGTTTCCTCCTAGCTAATCAGATGCTACCACTGCATTCTGTGAGAACAATGGTGCTCGTGGCCAAAGATCCAGAGCTGGCAGCCACGCTAGATCTACGCAGTCTGCGATCGCTCAGCTTCTACATTAGTTCCCGCAAAAACATTGAGCTGAAATGCTGTGGCGCTCTCGACTCCGCTGATTCCACGATAGTTCGAGACATTACTAGTCTTCTTATCTTGTCAGACTGCAACTCATCTCCACAGTTCGTACGGCCGTGGATAACACAAGACCACGATCGATCAAAGATATGCGGTTCCCTTCTAGGCAGCAGCACATACTAAACAAACTACCTATATAAACTAAGTCGACATCTGTCCAGGCTAGTTTGCAACAAATATCTGAGCGATGGGGTCAGATGTGGATTGCATCGAGAAAGAAGCAAATTCCAAGGCATTGGGAAAACTTGATCAAGCCATGTTTGGAAACGAGAACCGAGATCAGTCTCTATCCGTATGCGATGCAAGATTAATAAGTGCTGAAGAATCAGAGATATAGAATTAATGAGTTCAAGACCCGGCCGAGCTCAGCTGTTGTTCAGTTTCGGTATAATATCTTAGAGTGAACACTCACGCCGCGAGCCTCGTGGTTGAAGGGAGCCACTCTATTTTTCCGCAATGTGTCAGTGGAATTTCTTTTTTGATGGATTCGACTGCTCATAGCTCCCTTGAGGAGCCTCCACATTGGCAGGTCTAGTCCGGGCTACTACTCTGCGATGCGGTCGCCATGAGACACACGACTGGTATGCCTTGTCTCAGTTGCTCCATTGAGCTCCGATGATAACGCTTTCCATGATCATGCTCTTACGGCCGATTCTAGAATGTAGTTTGAAGGCGACCTTGGTGGAGATGGAGGGATCATATACGAGACTGATGCATTCCAAGGACCAGCAAGAGTCTTGCTTATATGAAGTCGATGATCCCTTCCCCAATAACTTTGTCCAGATGAGACAGATCAACCTTTGTGCACGCGAGTCTTGCTTCACACGTTCAGCATGAAACATTACACTCCCAACCTACTAAGCCTTTTGGCAGTTGCACCTATATCGCCCGTCTCTGCGTTTTGGCGTATGACATGTGGAGTGATTCAGACCGGTCGCGTCGATCCCATAGTCAGTCCCGGCGCCGTTGCCGGACACGCACATAAAGTCTCTGGGGCCAGCAACTTTTACTTCAACGAGACTTTTGCCTCCCTCGCCGCCTCACAATGCACTTCGTGCGAGATCCAAGCGGATAAGTCCATTTACTGGACGCCTCAGCTGTACTATCAGCACGGCAATGGTACCTTTCAAGAGGTCCCCAACGGGGGCCACGTTGTCTACTACCTTGGCCGGGGAGACCAGAGGAGCAACATTGAGCCGTTTCCTCCAGGATTCAAGATGCTGTCCGGGGATAGCGGTGCCAGGTCCAATGACACGACTACCATGACGTACAACACCAGCTCGGTCAGAGGGCGTCTCCAGTCTGATCGCGTAAGCTTTGCTTGCCTGGACAGCTCTGGGTCAATGCCTGAGCAGAATTACATGTTTCGCACGGACTGCAATCAAGGCTTGCGAGCGCAGATCCAGTTCCAATCTTGTTGGGATGGCCGCGACTATCAAACGGACAACAGCCACGTAGCATACCTATCGCAAATCGACAATGGCGTCTGCCCTCCAACTCATCCTCATATTTTACCCCACTTGTTCTTTGAGGTTCTGTATGGGGTGAATGATATCGTCAAGACCCCGGGCGGCAGATTCGTTTTTGCCAATGGCGATACCACGGGATTTGGCTTTCACGGAGACTTCATGAACGGCTGGGACGCAACAACTCTCTCGGATGCTGTCCAGCAATGTGTTAATAACGACAACATCAACGGCCAGATATCCTTATGCCCACCCCTGGCCAAGTCACAGACGCCTTATGCGAGCACAAACTGCCCAGAGAGGCCGCCGCTGGTTAACGAGGCAGTCCACGGCTTGCTGGACAAGCTGCCAGGCTGCAATAATGTGACTAGCGGACCAGCGCGCGCTCCCCAAGGCATCTGTCCTACGCAGCCGTCGACAAACGCTTTGCCCGCGGACTCGGGCGCCACCATGTTTGATCCGGCCGCGGGAGCTCGGCTTTTTGCTGGTTCGCCATGGGCTTATGTCGGCTGTGCCGCCGAGGGGAACCAGAGGACCTTGTCTGGCTACTCATTCTCGGCTTCCAACATGACCATTGACTATTGCACGGCCACCTGCAAAAGCAAGGGTTACCCTCTCGCAGGTGTCGAGTACTCCAAAGAGTGCTACTGCGCCGCCTCACTTACGAGCGGCGCATCCTATACGGACAGCGCCACTTGTGCCTCGACGGCCAAGATGGTATGCGCGGGTAACGCAACGCAGTGGTGCGGCGCACCTTCATTACTCACCGTCTGGAACGACACGTCCTTTTCCATCCCGTCGTCTTCGGGATCAGGCTCGGGCGGCGGTTCCGCCTTGGGTCCTGCCAACGGAACGGCCGTCTACAATGGGTGCTACGCCGAAGTAAGCGGGCGGCTTCTGAACAAGGACTCGTACGCCAACAGCACCGTCACGGTGGACCAGTGCATTTCCTACTGCCAGGCCAACAATTACGCCTTTGCGGGCCTCGAGTACGCGGGCGAGTGCTACTGCGGAAACACGCCGCCGCCCTCGGCCCAGGCCGCGCCCGAGTCGAGCTGTAATATGCCGTGCAAGGGCAACGTAGCGCAAATGTGCGGCGGCTCCAGCCGCTTGTCAGTCTATAACAATACGCTGTACGCGCCGACGTCGAATCCGGCAACGGTTCAGGTCGGCGGCAGGGCTGCATACAACTATGCGGGTTGTTATGCCGAGGGCGCGTCGGGCCGGGCGCTCGGCGGGAGCGGCAGTACGAGCGCGAACACGGCCAACAACCAGATGAGCGTGGAGAACTGCGCGTCCTTCTGCTCCGGTGCCGGGTTCCAGTACATGGGCGTCGAATACGGACGTGAGTGCTACTGCAACAACGGCGGGCCGATCAATGGCGCGGCGGTGGCAGCCAGCGAGGCAGATTGTTCCATGACGTGCCAGGGGAACATCACGGAGTGGTGCGGAGGCCGATCGAGAATTAATATTTACAAGAGCGTGTCGCTGGCGTAAAGTCATGTTCTTTTTGGGGGCAAGCAGGTTCACTTGCCATGAGATATGACCAGCGACTGTTCTTTTTTATGATCATGACAAACGATGTATGCCGGAACATGAGGATGAGCTATTTTTTATGACACTTTATGAATTCATCTACAAGATATAATCAGCTAATATAGTATGACATTCCTTTGATCAGTCTAGCAGAGATACGAACAGTGAAGAAATGTCATTTGATTTCAACGTCACATGTCAAGTAAACAATGCGCTGCCAACGACGTCTTCTTCTTACCTCTTCTCCATCGAAATCAACTAGAACTGTCGTCATTGCGTTGGACCGGGATCTGCCTTCATGAATCGCAAAATGACGAAAGACAAGGATAACTTGCCCATGGGTGCAGGCTGTCAAGTCTCTTGGCTGCGGGAATATAATTACCAGGGTGGTTTCTGTGTACATATGAAGGTAAGACAAGGACTTATGATGATCCCCCTGCTAGTGGTTCACGAGTCCATCCCAATGTAAGATTAGTTGCCATGTAGCCCTGTAAACCTTGTAGGCGCTCTTCAGCCCTGTTGATAGCGAGCCGCGAGCGTTTGTCCGTTTGAGTTTGTCCGCTCAGACGCTGAATGGGGCCCGAGACATACAAAGTGAACAGCGAGAATTCAGTGACAAGAGTAACGAAAAAAGAAAAGGGAAAATGATAAGAAGCTCAGCTGCAGAGACGGTAAACTAATGCCTAGTGGACTTCGCTAGGCCAAGATCCCTGTTGCCTTTGGCGGCATATGGTAAAACTCTATCCAAGCAGCCCCCCAACCCCAGACTTGCCAGACTCTCCTCACCCCACGGAACACACTGACTGTTCCCCATTTAGTATTTGCGTCGAGTTTGAGTGGAGTTGACAATCCGCACATTCTAAAGGGAATGATGACGCTGCCCAAGCCGGCTCTCGCTCCAGCGATCATGCTGGGACACAGCTAGAGAACCTCGCAGCCATCCATTGCACCCAGTGCTCGTGCGATCGCGATTTTGCACCACCAAGAGTCTCAACAGGCTCAAAGGCTTCGCCGACGCTTGGGAATTGGCTGCCCTCCAGAACATTGCATCCCAGCAGGCTGGATTCCCATTACTGCAACAAGAGAGTTTCCGACATTTGGGAAATCAAAATGGTGGTGTATGGGGAGTGCAATTTGTAGTTTTCTTCGCCAATCTCCAATTCGGCGAGAGAATGGACGAACTATGAGATCGGGCTTTCCGAGATGAGGATGCTAAAGCACAAAAAGAAAGAAAACATGTCAGAAGATGCCAAACGTCATTGCCGAAGCCAAGCCCCAATCTGACTGGACGCCTAGGTCCAGGTTAGAGTCGGTCCGGTACTGCTACATACCTAGGTTAGCGGGCTACGTATAGGCGGGCCATTAGGTTTTGCGGGGTGCATATCCCGCAAAGAAAGACCCAACAACGATCGCGGGGGGGTGTTTAAGGAACGGGTTGGATATGCATGATGATGACTAGACACCAAGCGCCCAGATTTGACCCCCGTTGCTTATTGGATTGTGCGAGAATTTCAAAGAAAAGTGCAGATCACTGGTGCCAAGAAGGGGCCCGGGTGAGGCGAGAGACGAGGCGAGGCCATGCCAAAACTGCCCAAGATGCAAATATGCCCCATCCCAGTCTCGTGACATAGTAGAGACAAAGACGTTTATATACTGCATGCTGCCTCGAACCTTGATACATATTCCCTTACCTGTTCAATAGGATGTGGTGAGATTCCCCGGATATTATAGGGATCTATACTTGAATCACAAAAAATGGCTAGGAAACCTTACTTTGGAATGAAGGGAGCCTGGCTCACCTTCTGGGTGACCGTCGCATGCGCGACCGACATGACACTATTCGGGTGAGCCAACCACGCAACGAATCTTGGAAGCACGGCGAAACCTAACAGACTCTTTCTTCTCATCTAGATATGATCAAGGTGTCTTTGGCGGTGTCATTGTGACGCCCGACTTTCTCGACTTGCTAGGTATCGCCGACGATGCCAAGCTACAGAGCACCGTGACGGCCATTTACGACGTGGGCTGCTTCTTTGGCGCCATTTCCACCATTTGGATCGGCGAGGCGCTCGGCCGCAAAAATACCATTCTCTTGGGCACTACCATTATGAGCATTGGTGCCATTCTCCAAATCGCCGCCTTTGGCGTGCCGCAAATGATTGTCGGCCGCATCGTTGCCGGTATTGGCAACGGTATCAACACCTCTACCGCCCCCGTCTGGCAGGGCGAGACGTCCAAGGCTAGTTGGCGTGGAAAATTGATTGTGATTGAAATGATTTGCAACATCTTTGGTTTTATGCTAAGTATGTATCAATTCCTACGCGTGGAAATCCGTTTCATCTGCTTGCTCTGCAATTGAAAGAAACAACTGCTCATATTCAGACAGGCAATTGGGTCACTTTTGGTCTATCCTATGTATCAGGCTCCGTGGCCTGGCGTCTGCCTTTGGCCGTACAATTTATTTTCATATTTATTCTCTATGCCACTGTCCCGTGGCTGCCCGAAAGTCCTCGGTATGTCACTCTCGCGGATGAATGTCTACTTTCTAGGTTCTTCCTTTTGCTGACCAAGCCTCACATAGTTGGCTCATTGCCAAAGGACGAGTGGATGAAGCCGACGTTATTTTGGCGGATCTCGAGGCCCTCGAACCTGAAGATGCGCTGGTCGTTACCCAATCGAAAGATATCCAATGGGCCGTCGATTACGAGAGAAAGAACACAGTACCGTGGTCTCACTTGCTCCGAGGCAAGACTGGTCCCAACGGCGGCACATCCACTATCCGACGCCTCATTCTGGGAATGGGAGCCCAGGCTATGCAACAATTTTCTGGAATCAATGTTACCTCTGTAAGTACAACCACAAAAGGATGAAGATGGGGCAGAGCAGCAATAGCTCTCTATCTTTGAGCATCATGACTGGATTTCTGACCATCGATCTACTTTTTAGTATTACCTACCACTTGTACTTATTCAATCCGTTGGTCTTGACGAGAAGTTGGCACGATTGCTTGCAGCTTGCAATTCCGTGTCCTACCTTCTTTTCAGTACAATCGGTATCCCCAACGTGGAGAGATGGGGTAGAAGAAAGATGATGATGTGTAAGTCTGCACTTGATGCATCGCGCAGTACTTAGCTAATCGGATACAGATGCGGCAACTGGGCAGGCCTTTTGTTATATGATCATTACTATTTGTATTAGATACAGTGAAGATCCCGGAACTGGAAGCACGGCGAATGTACAATGGGCCAAGGCATCCATTGCATTTTTCTTCCTCTACTACGTGTTCTTTGGTATCGGTTGGCAAGGTTCGTTCCACTCTCTGGCAACTCTCATTCTCTGAGATTTCACACTCTTCTTTGCTTGCCATTACTGACTTGTGGCAATAGGTGTACCCTGGCTCTACCCAACAGAAATTAACAGTCTGAGTATGCGTACCAAGGGCGCAGCACTCGGCACGGCCACGAACTGGATCGTCAATTTCATGGTGGTCGAAATCACGCCTGTAGGCATCGCGTCCATTGGTTGGCGCTTCTACATCATCTGGACCGTCTTCAACGCCTCCTTTGTGCCCATTGTCTACTTGTTTTATCCCGAGACTGCAGGACGCACGCTCGAGGACGTCGACCGCTTCTTCCAGGAGAACCAAGACATCTTGATCTTCAAGGACCCCGACGCCAAGTCTTCAAAGCGCCCGGAGCGCTATATCAGTCTCGAGAGGGATGAGATGCGGCGAAACAGCTCCATTAGACCTGCCGATCTACACGCTGTATTGAACCGCCAGAGCGTGGCCGACAGGGCGAACAGCGATACCAAGGATGAAGAGAAGGGCTCCACGTCACATGCCGAGTAAAACTTTGACCAGTCGCTGGAATTGAGCCGGAAGAAATTGAGCTTAGCTGGCTGTGTAGGTTATTACTACTGCAACAAGCTTTTTTGAGGTCGATATATATGTATATCAAGACGAGACATAACGCAACGAGAAAAAAATATTATTCGCTGGAATTGTATTGTACGTGAGATAAAGGCAGTGGCTGCGACGACAGACACACAACTATGGAGTGTATGGCAATATTTTAATCTTATGTCTTGGGATGAATAGGATCATAGAGAGCGTGTGATGGAAGCATTCGCGAGATTTCTCACTTCAGCTTATCCTGGGTATATTACCAAGCAATTACTACCCTTGGGGGTTTTAAATTCCCGAAGCCTTCAGCCGCAGATTCAGGCCAAGGTGCCAATGCAACGCCGCATCCGCACTCCCGCAAAGCGCAAACCACTTCTGTATTCAGAGGCTTGCAGGCTGCAGTTACAATCGCTTGATGACCTGTCCCCCAAGTCTCAGCCATATGGCGGCAGACTTCATCGTTTGCAGGTAAAGATTAGTGACATGCGCCCATGGTCGAGCACCTCTTTGTACAACCCCAAATATAGGCATGCATGTGTAGGTAGGTACCCAAGGAACAAGGATGTCCAGAAGGGGTGGTGCATAATTTCCATGCGGGGTTCACTTCATCTCACTCTGCTGATTTTGTAGGTATCGGTTGCTCTCTTCTTTTCTTCTACTTTGCCGGTTCCAATTTTGGTGTTTCGATTTATGATCCAGCATATTCCGTCTTTCTTGTTGGATGTATCAATCAGTCTACTCATTTCCAGAGATACAATACTCTCAATATCTATCCTGCGATGGAGGCTGCCCAGTCTAAAAGTTTACAGATCATGAGCGAGGGCTTCTCTGTCGTTGCTGATCCAAAAAATGCAGAGGTAGAGTAAGACTACCGTCTGCCGCTACTTTGTCTGACATGCGGGTTACTGATGAGCACCGCAGTATCATTTTTGTGCATGGACTTCAAGGCCACCCACAAAGAACATGGACCTTTGCACGAAAGACAGACAAGACCAAGAAGCGGCATCTCTTTTCCAGGAGAAAAGAGGAGCCCGAGTCAGCGGGTGGCTCCGTGTATTGGCCAAGTGACTTGCTGGCTCAAGAGCCGGAGCTCGCGGGGGCACGAATTCTCACCTGGGGCTACGATTCCCATGTGACCAAATTTTTCGATGCAAATAACAAGCAGAACATTTCCATGCACGGTAACGACTTGATGGTAGCTCTTGAGCAGCAGCGAAGGAGGAATCCAACGAGACCCATGATCTTCATTGCACACAGTCTGGGAGGAATCCTAGTCAAGGTCGCTCTCGAGGATTCGACCCGTGCGCATCATCGTGAAATATACTCGCAACTACTCAAGTCGACTAGAGGAATTGTATTCCTCGGTACGCCGCACAGCGGTAGCAATGTTGCAGCCATGGGTATCGCCGCCTCGAACTTTATCCGGTTGGGGCTTCAAGATTCAAACCAAAAGGTCTTGCAGGGTTTGGTCTATAATAACGAGCTGTTGTATCGTCTGAACGCGTCCTTCTTGGATATTGTCCAACAGGGAAGCTTCCGTGTTCATAGCTTCTATGAAACGAAATCAATGACCGGTGTGTATGGCATCAACGATATGGTGGTGCCGTTTGAATCGGCTATACTAGGAGACAAGAGCCACGAAACGGTTCGTGGGATCAACGCCAACCATCACGAAATTTGCAAATTCTCGAGCAAGAAAGACAAGGGCTACCGAGATGTCTGCGGTGCCATCATCGATTGCCTTGCTGAAGCGAGGAAACATCGAACGCATGGCCTATACCAAAGTCGGGCAGATGATACAGACTTGCAAAGCATAACAGTGCACGAATCCATATACGAGTCGAGAATCGATCAAGACCCGGCGCTTCATCTTTATGTGGAGGAAATCAAGCACGATATTGAATACAAGACAGTGTCGGATGGTACAGAAACATCGATCGAGCCGCCCATTGCCGACCGCAATCTTGATTGGCTTTTCGAAAGCCCAGAATTTCGTGAATGGGAGCTGGGATCTTCTTCGAGCATGCTTTGGTTGGGAAGCAAGACGCCTGATGAAAACACATATGCAGCCGGTCGCATTCTTCAACGAGTCTTCAACAGAAGGTACAATGCGTTTCACGTGCTTGGCGCCGCGAATTACTTGCCTAGTGAAGGCAAGTCGCTCGCTCTAGAGGCCTTGGAGATTGTGAAGAAGTTGCTCCGTCAGATCATCGACCAGGACGTCAATCGAATATATGCGGTCATGGACACACATCCTCTTTCCAGAATAAGGAAACCCCGGCCCTTCATTTTCAGCCCCACCGAATGGAAGCTTCGACAGCTTCTCGACTTGCTCTATAGTGCACTTGCGACAGGAACAACAACTACATGTGTGGTGATCAACGGAATTGAGCCAATGAATTCACACACGTACGCCTTCATTAGCCAACTTCTCGGTCTCTTAAAAGATCAAACAGCCAACCCTACCATAGCACCAGTCAAGATCATCTTCGCAACATCCCCTCGAGCATTTCCCAATCCAATGAGTGAGCAAGATCGGGAGCTCGCCACAATTCCATACATCGAAAAAGGTCAAGAGCTAAAAGGTTTGAACTGACTGGCCCCCAATTGATCTTCATCAGCTGACAACTACCTAGATTGTCTGACCTCGTTGCATACTAGCGACTTTGACGCTCGCCCTAGCGCCATCTCTGATGCCAATGAAACCACGTTTGAGTGGTTATGGAAGGATGGCATATTCAATGATTGGGTCCAGGATACATCTTCAAGTTTGTTGCTCATACAAGGAAAACCTGGCAGTGGAAAGTCTACTTTGGCCAAGAGAATCCTCGGTGGAATACCGCATCCGTTTGAAATGCATAGTCCAAGGGTAAGTCATGATGACAATCCAAACCCGGTTTGTTTCTTAAACGTTGTATTCATTCATCACAAGGTCATGTCGGATTATGATACGGATAGCACATATTCCTCATCGAGCGACAGTGAAGAATCACACCACAGTGATGTCTCTCGCAAGACCGTCATGGCTCCCAGAACCATCATGGCTCATTTCTTCTACTCATTTCGAGGTGGAAATATCGAGACAAGCCATGAGGAGATGCTGCGATCAATCTTGTACCAACTTCTCAAGCAAGAACCCAGCTTCTATGCTCTCTTTCGCGATCACTTTCGTAAAATGAGGCGCACTTCGAGCACGGCTCTTTGGACATTTCCAATCCTGTTGTCGATACTCGAATCCCTGTCCTGCACAGATCAGGCGCTTCGTGTTTACATTGTGCTTGATGCCATGGACGAGTCCGACAGTCACGAATTGCCTCAGATACTGCAAGCCATGGCCAATCTCTGCACATCAGCGGGTGAAAGCTCATTCAAAGGTTTGATGACAACAAGACCTTTGAACTCGGCGCTAAAGGTGAAACGCTTGGAAGCTTATACGCCATTGGTCTTTGCCTTGGAGGCAAAGAACCAGGAGGCTATCAATCAAATGGTCGATATGACAATTGGCAATATCATTGAAGATATCGTGCAAGAGGACCCTAGCGTAGACCTGTCTCCTTTCCACGACATCAAACAATACATCAAGTCTCATGCTGACGGAGTTTTCCTTTGGGTCGGCAAGGTCTTAACAGAGGTCAAGGTCTGGTCAGACAGGGGCTGGACACAGGACAACCTAGACGACCTCAAGACAATGTTGCCTACCGAGTTGATGGCATTGTACAAGAGAATCACCCAACGCATTGTCGAGCAAAAATCGTCATCCGATATTGCATTAGGAAAGAAGATTCTTGCATTGGCTGCATTTTCCTCAAGACCCCTAACCATTGAGGAAATGCGCGATGCCATTATTGTTCCATCCGAGATTGAACTTGAAGAGTTCAAGTTGCATCCAAATTGCTTCAAGAGCAGGATCAATCTTCTTGAGCGCACCATACCCAGGGTGTGTGGAGATCTCGTGGAAACCAAGAAACGCACTGTTCAACTGGTTCATGAGACGGTCCGGGAGTTCCTCTTGCACAAAGACCACATTGCTGATCCATTCGACATGGACTGGACGAAGAGCACAATCAGCATGGCTTATGTTTGTGTGCGGTACTTGGAACTTTCGCTATCCAAACTCACACTTGAGCACGCCGGTGTCAAGGCGTTGCCTATCACCTCTTGGGAAGACGATGACTACCAAGCGTTTGCGCGACATCTTGAATCTCGCCCATTTTTCCACTACACTGTCACCCATTTACAACAGTACCTGGGTCGCACCGGAAACGCCAGTATCCTTGGAGACTTGAGGGTTGCTCTGCTTGACATGATGGAAGTCGACGCGACGAGATATTTCCTTGTGGAAACGGATCTACCAATCCTGGCAGGCGTACCAATTGATCATGCCGAAGTGAAACTGGCACGGGACTTTCGTGGCAGAGTTTTGATCACGGCGGCCAGACTAGGTCACGGGCGAGCAATTGAGCCTCTCATGCTCTGTCGGACAGACATCAACTTTATTGACCCGGTCTCGAACCAGTTTCCTTTGCTCGTGGCTACAATTTCGGGACAAAAAGATGTCATTAGACGACTCATAGAGCTGCAAGTTGGTCTTGATACCATGGACGAAGATGGGGAGACGTCACTGTACAAAGCCATCATCCTCGGCCACCACGATATTGCAAAGCTGCTTATCGAGGCTGGCGCCTACACGGCATTCAGAAGTTTATCACGCGAAACACCATTGCATCTTGCAGCTGTGCGAGGATATTTGGATATTGTAGAATTCATTCTCGAGCGTTACGAGTACAGGGCGCGTGACAGGGACCAATTCGGCGAGACGGCACTCCACGGTGCCGTGAGTCATGGCCACATTGCGATTGCCGAGACTCTGATACGGTACAATGCCAATGTAAACGCAAACGTCAGCTGGCAGGGCACACCATTACATATTGCCGTGGACAGGAGAGACATGCAAATGGTGAAGCTACTCTTGTCCTTGCATGCCGACGTTGACATGACGGGAAGCTATGGCGCCACCGCCATACACAGCGCTGCAGCCAGAGGCGATGAAGACATGGTCGCGCTGCTCTTGGACCACAAGGCCGAAACGAGTATCAAAGATCGCCATGGCTGGCGGCCGCTTGACTGGGCTCTGAGAAACGGGCACGACCGTGTGGCGCAACTCTTGATGCATCATGGTGCCGCCAGATCTGACAGTCCGGAGCCAGTCATAGGGTGGGATGAGACGGACCGCCTACCTGTTCTCGGCCTTAGACACTTGTTCATGTAGTAAATCTCACGAGAAAGAACTGTAAAACCTTTAATCGCAAATCATTTTGTGATAGAGATGCTGTTCAATAATTATGAAAGGCAGCCATAAGGCGATGTAAGTGGTATTATTCCTTTTCTCTCTCTCTCTCTCCCCTCCCTGTTTTCCCCCTTTCCCCCAAATATACATATAGCCTTTGGCCTCCTAGAGAGCTGTTCCGCGGTTCTCAGACACTTGTAGATGAAAGCGCTTCCCATCCTTGTCGGGAGAGAGACGCTCCGTAGCTCAGCGCCTTTGAGCTGAGGTCATCTGGCATGACAGAGCCTGGCGTAATGCCAACAGCGTGAAGCGCGATTCCCAAATTCTCCTTGTCCAGGTAGTCCTGGTTCATCTGCGCGCGGCGCCAGACTTGCTGCGTCTCCAAGTAGACAGCCTTTTCCGCCTGACTTGGCGCGCAAACGACGCCATGCCTATCAAGTGTATATGCATTAGTGTAGGTAACAAATCACTTTGATAGGGAAAATCGAGTACTTACGTCGTGCTGAGGCCAAGCCTCAGCACGGGGGATCTCAATGAGAATCCGGGGAGCTCAACGAGCATCCGTGACTTCGGTTCCGACTCGTGGCTTGGAGGCGGGTTCACCCGTCACATTGATAGTTACGGTAGTCGTATCCAAAGCTGGCACCGGCCAGGTATCCCCATGGCTCCCTGTGGCAGCGCAAGCCATGGTTCTTTTCTTTCCCCACGGGAGCTCCATGAGCATCCACAACATCAATGAGCCGATAATTTGCACCATTGTTATTGCCATCATTCTTGTGGTGGTGGGCCGACACCACCACCCCAATGACAGCGGGGCAGTGTCGGGGCAGGAGTCAGACAGCCAGAAATTCCAAAAGGATTTGTTCCCGGGTTTCTGTCGACGTTCTGGCTGAAGTCATGGATCTTCACCTTAAATCGCGAATCGTACGACGGCGAGGCGGTCAAGCCTCGAAGGAGGCTAATATCTGCCACATCCTTTACACGATCCCGGCTGACGTGCCATGATGGTTTGATTGGCGCGGTCGTAGAACATTGTCTCTCCCGTGGGTTTCGACCCGGAGAAGGGATGGCTACGGCCTAGGCCCTAGCTCTGTCGGACGTTCTCGTGCCTCTGTTGAGAAAATTGCCATGAAGCTTCTCGCATCGTCTTGGCAGACTTCTTCAGTCTTCGTCAATGACAAAGATGGGGCGCCAAAAACGGCAGCCGTGTTTGGGAGGAGGAGACTGGTCTCGATTTCGATGAAATCATCAGGACCAGTCTCCCGCCCTGGGGTGGCCTCAGTAAGGCGCCACGGTACCAAAAGTTTCCTTGGTCAAATCTTGCAAAAGCAGCCGCCGTGCTCATATTTCGCTCTCGCTTGTTCGGAATCGGGCAATGCGAAGCTTGACAGAAACTTCAGTTATGGTCAACGCGAACTGTGATGACTGAGTGGTGAAAGGGCAGATGAACGGGGACATTGACAGTGATCTTTGCGACGAGGCCACTCTTTTCCCGAAGTCTCGATGACGACGTATGATTTGTTCAGGTCGAGATTGTTCGTCTGTTGTAAACCATTGGTGTTAGCTGATGAAATTACAGGATCGGGACAGTTAGCTCACGTTTGATGGAATGGAATTGCCAGAAAGAGTTCTTGGCTTGTGTAGACGCTTCATCGTCGTAGATGGATAGTTTGTCTTGGAAGCATGTGTCTCGTATCTCTTTGTTAGTTTCTGGAGAAGTGTGACTTGCGAGATGGCTCTGCCCTTTGATGGCGACGGATGATATCGCGAGATGCGCTGGCGGTCGCAAACCAAGAGCTCGGCATCAGAAGATCGCAACCGACACAACATGACAATGACTTGAATCATCTGAAGAGATTGTTTCGCATTGGAAGGATGAATGAGATACTTGGTGTGAATGTCGTGGATGATGCGTGCAATAGGGAGGGGAATGTCTCAGTGGTATGTGGAATGTTGTGAGACAAAAGGGCCTTTGGAGTCTTCGAGAAATTAGAACAGTTAGTTGAAATGGATTTTTGCGCAAAATACACAAAAGAAATACCATGGATTAAAGAGTCTTTCGAGAGAATATCTCGAGTTTTCGTAATGTGTAGAGAGGGTTGAGGCCTTGGGATATGGGTGGGAAGGAGCTCGAGGATGGAAAGTTGGAGGTGGGAAAAATCAAACACCAGAAAAGTCTGAAGGGAGCCCCCAAAAATATCTTTTCAAGCGGTGGGCCCACAGACTGGCTGATTAGAGAAAAAAATTAAATCTAATTTGATTGTTGTGGCTGTGGTATTTGCTAAGCCGGCTGCCCGTCGTCAAGAGGGCAAGACAGACGCGGCTGCCGACGACGGGGGAGAGGCCCGGAAGGTTTTGTATTCTACAGCACTGGACCCGCCTAGACTGGTGTAGAAACATCATACAGATCCACGGCTACAATTTCCTAACCAATCTGTAATCGTTTCTCTAAACCTCAGGTGCTTCGGTCACGGAGGTGCCGGTCCAGCGTATTCAGGCTCGGAGCCGGATGTGGCGTCGTCTTGTGGTCCGGAGAGCCGCATTCCAGTGACTGTTCGGCATTCCAGACGTCCTTTGTTAGTCAACGGCATCGTGGAACTTCATATATGGCCATACTTGTCACGAACCTGTTGCTGAAATGTTGGATCATGTCGCGTATAGTAGTCTATCATATTGAGAACGTGACTACTTGGGTGGGTTGAATGGTTCTTGACGGACACTGACTGCCCAGAGGACCCCCTTGCACCAGTGGTATAAGCAATTAAGTGTACATCTATCTCTAACCCGTCACTGTATCATGTATGCTCGCTGCAATCAAATGACTCCTGCCCCGACGCTACACGCTTTGCGATTCTAGCCTGCATCCATCATAAAACCTTCAAATTAAGGATGCTTTAGACCTCTACCTAGCAACTCTTCACCAACTTCTTTGATTAATTCTTCCTTTGGAAATTGTTTTGCTTTGGCCAATATTGTATCCTTGGCATCCATTGTCCTCAAAAGGTCCACCAACTCCCCATCCAAGGGAGCACGATAAACAAGGTAGCCCAACGCCAGCAACATTCCATGAAGAGCCTCGGAAGATGAAGTCTCCTGCGTGATGGCTTCCAAAACAGACGCGGCAAGCTCCACTTGGTCGGATTCTGGGAGTGTGGTATCAGATGGGCCTGCTCTTCTTTGTCTGCTGACTGTTGTGGCAATGTTGAAGAGCAGCGAAGACGCTGCAACTCTGATGTTGTTGTGGCTATCGTCCAAGAAGCTGGTTGATACGAGCTGTATGATTGGGTCCCGTAACTTGGGCTGTGCAAGTATCTGTTCAGGATATAATGGAGTTGAAAATAGATTGCAAGCCATCTGCAACGTCACGAGTCGGAGCGCATAAGGGCAATCTGAACCCTGGCTATTGGCATATCCTAGCACCGCGGTGACCGTCTCGTGCCCAGCCTCTTCTGCAAAATATCCACTGACTCTTGCATCGACGAGCGCGCATCTAAAAAGGTCCACGACTGTGAATTTGACCTCAAGTGGAAGCTCGGATCCGCGCAGTAGTGCTGAGAAGCCTCTCAGGTCAGGTAAAGTAGCCTGCGCGAGATGATTAGTCACTGGTCGAGACCATGTAATGATGGGACGAAAAACAAACCTGTGCTGGTCCTTGTGTTGTCCGAGCCTCAATGAAATGCTTCAAACCGTGAACCGAAGGATTGCTCGAGGTAGATCCCATCTTGGAAATGAGCTTGTCCAGAGGCGGAGTCTTGGTGTATAGGACCGGCGACACTTCGAGGTTCTGGAACTGTGGTACGTGAAGACCCTCGTGCGGGTGTCTTGGATTGGCCATCTCTACGAGGAGTTTGACAGTGCTTCGCAGGCGCGCAGCATCAGCACCTGCCCACCTTTCTTGTTCCTCTCCGTGGATGAATGTGGCAAAAGTTGGAGTGGCCCTGATGCCGTAACGTTGTCCAACGTCAAATGCTTGTGATGTATCTACCTTGATCAGTGTGACACGATCACCCATTTCAGCTGCCAGTTCATCGTATAAAGGATAGAGTGTTTTGCATGGTGGGCAAGTTGCCGATGTGAAGAAGATCACGGCGCACGACTTCTTGGCAGCTTCCATGATCCTGTCCAGCTCTTGCAGACTAGTGACGATCTTGACCGTGTTCGTTTTGGTAACATGACCATTGATTGCTGAACTCTGGGTGTGTGAGGATGCTGATGAGTTGACTCTTGGGTCGCTCTGGATGCCCAGTAATCCACCTTGCTGGGCTTTCCTGGCCTGAACCATCTGTTCCAGTTGCGGTTGCAGCATTCTGCCAAAAGGAGAGTCCAACACGGCTTGTGGCATGTTGCTGATATGCGCCGGGATGCCCTTGCCGAGTAGAAAGGTGGCGAAATCGTTGCTAAAGTTGTTGCAGTTGTGTCGAAACAAGTCATATGCTTCGGGAGTGAAGATGCTCCGCAGCGAATCGACATACTCGAGGATGACCTCAATTGGCAACTCTGTTTTCCCGAGGTGTATCCGCTCCAACGCTTTGCCGAGATGCGAACTTCCAGGGCGGATAGTACTGATGCCGCCATCATAGACATACTCGACTCCGTCCAGCTCGATCGAGGTGTGATAGATGGCGTCCAGCTGGAATCCTAGCAGACTCATTGACAACTGGCGGGCAAGACCACCAGAGAGGTCATAGACAAGAAGGTGAACATCCATCCTGACTCTCTGCGTTGTCAATTTCGACCGGTCAACAAAGCTGAAGAGTAAGTAGTGACTTGGCGGAATTTCGCTGGTCAGGACTTGGGTCTTTGTTGGTCTTACTTGGGACGGAATGACAAATCCAAGTCGCTGGCAAAATGCAGTTGAATGGGCAAACACGATTGTCGCAACGTACAGAGTAAAAATAGCACAAGAAATAGTGAATGCACAAGAGAAAGAAATATCTACAAGCGTGCAGGAGCGTGAATGAATCTAATAGACAGCCAGAAAATACACAGGCATAGTGTCACGGCTCGAGGCAACTTCCAATAGTACGTAAGACAATGGTCGTCCATAGAAGCCTGTCGAGTGTCGCATTCTACTTTCGGTGATATCGATTAATCGGGGACTCCTTCAAAGTGAGCATATATGTATGCTCTTGGCGAGGACCTATGTTGTACGCGTTGCATTTTCATCACCTATAGATGTTCCTTCTCTTTTGCTATTATAAACCCGCCTTGTTTTTCTCTTCTCATGTAGGGGCAAAGTCAAGGCCCGGGATTCCAACCACCTAATTCTAAATCTTATACTGCAGTGACGAAGTCAATGATATATTCATCAAAGCAGAATTGACTTGCGGCGGCAACATCCACGCATCCACGCATTACTGGCTGACTGGCTGGGCCAGTTAAGCTGAAGATCAGCCACCCCCGTTCCATCAATTAGAAAGGGGAACTTGTCCTCAAGCGATCATAACCCGCTAAAAAAAGCCCAACCCAAAGTCGCCCTACCAGAAAGCAACAGGGCCCCCTGGTCTGGGGGCGACTCAGAGAACCCCCGATAACGTCGAAATTAGGGGGGAAAACTTCTAGATTGAACACATGCGTCGACGCTCCCTTCACTCTACTCTAGCATCCTTTTTTCTTTTTTACTGGAGAGGAGTCAGACTCGATCCCTTCTTGCGACGCGTCTTTTGTACCCATAGTAAGGTTTATTAATTGTGACCTGTAGAACGGAAGCCCCATTTTGGCTTTCCTGCAACTACAAGCCACCCGCTTTCACTTTACTTGACTTTCTTCTCTCTATTTTTCGATCGCTACCAGTTCCAGCGAAAAACCCACGCTCACTTTCTTGTCTTCTGGAGGCGCCGCACTACGCTCCGTGCCGTCCGCCACGACCTCCATCTGCACCCGCCTCCTCCTTCCACTCCGGAAAGGGGACCTGTGCATGACTGCTCTATGAGGAGAACATCAGTCTCGCTGCCTACGAAACAAGCAGCCCGTGACCCTCACGAGAAGCCCGCCCGATACGAGTCCGGTCACCATCACCGGGCTGATAACAGAGGCGGCATCCTGGAGAAGCTACAGCAAGCCGCGTGGATGAATCAGGCACAAAAGGCTAGGTGGTTGAAGACCACGGCGATAGTGGTGTTTTTGGTCTTCCTCTTCTACTTCCTGTCGCCCAAGGGCGCCGATATTTACCAAGAGAGCAGTACTTCGGTCTCGAGTAAGTCAAACATTGATGTACTGTCTACGAATCAAGCTAACTTGTTGGCCTTCTTCTCAGGCTCGAAATCGTCTGGCGGTCAAACGCCTTCTGACTCTAGCTATGGCACCAAAGAGTGTACCAAGTCGTTCTCGAAGGACAAGCCCATTGTTCAATATGTCGTCATGATTGACGCTGGCAGCACTGGTTCCCGAATCCACGTGTACAAGTTCAACAACTGCGGACCGACGCCCGAGCTCGAGGGCCCCGAGGGCTTCAAGATGACCGAGAAGAGCGTTGGTGGTCTGAGCAAGTACAAGGACGACCCTCAGGCTGGTGCCCAGACCCTGGATGCTCTCTTGGCCGTGGCCATGGAGATGGTCCCCGACAAGCTGAAGGGATGTACTCCGATCGCTGTCAAGGCCACTGCTGGTCTGCGTATGATTGGTGCCGAGGCTGCTGAGAAGATTCTGGAGACTGTTCGCAACCACCTTGAGACCAAGTACCCCTTCCCTGTTGTCTCCAAGGAGGAGAACGGTGTTGCCATCATGGACGGTTCCGACGAGGGTGTTTATGCTTGGATCACTACCAACTACCTGCTTGGAAAGATCGGCGGCCCCGAGGAGAGCCCTACCGCAGCTGTTTTCGATCTTGGTGGTGGCTCTACGCAGATCGTCTTCGAGCCAACCTTCAAGGGAGTCCCCGGTGCCGGTATGCCCCAGCACATGGAGGAGGGCGACCACAAGTATAAGCTCAACTTTGGCGGTCGCAACTTTGAGCTGTACCAGCACTCCCATCTGGGATACGGTTTGATGGCTGCTCGCAACGCTATCCACCTGACTCTGCTCAACGATATCGCCAAGGGCTACGATGGCAAGGAGTGGCTCCACAAGCCCATCATTAACCCGTGCATCAATGCTGGCCAGAGCGACACCGTCACCGTTGATCTTGGTGACAGCTCCTCCCTCGGCTCCGGCAAGATCGAGCTCAACATGACTGGTCCCTCCGTTCCCGCTCCGGCGCAGTGTCGCCAGCTTGCCGAGCGCATCCTGAACAAGGACGCCGCCTGTGCTCTGGCACCCTGCTCCTTCAACGGTATCCACCAGCCTTCTCTCGGCAAGACTTTTGCCAAGGAGGATGTCTACGTCTTCTCCTTCTTCTACGACCGCGTCAAGCCCCTCGGCATGCCCGACTCCTTCACGCTTCGCGAACTGCACGATCTCACCAGCACCGTCTGTGCTGGCGAGTCTCAGTGGGATGTATTCCGCAGCATCCCGGGTGCTCTGGATGAGCTCAGAGACCGTGGCGAGAGCTGCTTGGATCTCAGCTTCATGGTTGGCCTCCTGCACACTGGCTATGACATGCCCATTGACCGCGAGGTGTTTACTGCCAAGAAGATCAAGAACAACGAGTTGGGCTGGTGCTTGGGTGCTAGGTATGTCATTTTGCACTTTTTTTTTTTATACATTGATAACACATGCTAACATGGAATACAGTCTGCCTCTTCTTGCCAAGAACTCTGGCTGGCAATGCAAGGTCTCCGAGATTCACTAGAGCATCTAGTGATTTGCTCGGTTTGACCCGCGATATATGTACACGAGGGGGGCATGAGGATCGGCGTAGCATTTTGTTATAGATATCCGGTGGCGGTAATGACTCGATGTGTAGAGGCCACTCTGGCAAAGGCCCAAAATAAAATCGAAAAAAGTTTTATGATATCGGTTTGGCGTTGGGCAAATATTATTCTTGCAAATATCTGTAACTGTAAGATGGAGGGCTTTTCGGTATGTCGGGGCCATGGTGGCTGGCTGATGTTCGAGGCTGTAGAAAAAGAATTGCATTCATGACTGAAACAAATTATCAAATGTCCCATGCACGTGATATCAAACATTACATTTATAACGTCTATTGTTTTCCTTGCTCCAACGCCGACCAGAACCTGGTGATGCATCCATGAGTCTTGAATGACATCCCCAACGCGAAAAGGCAAAATAAAAGCACGCAGTAAAAGTGCAGCAAATTTGGGTATCATAATTGCACCAGCTCAGAGCGGTGCATCGACCATGTCAATGACGTCCTCCATAACCTCCTCGGGTCCAACGCCCTCAAGGAGCTGCTCCACGGCAGCTGCCTCGCTTCCCCACTGCATGCTGCGCTCCATACTGTGGTCGCGAACGATGCGGATCCGATGGAGGTAGATCTTGCGCAGTGCCAGCACCACCAAGGCCGGCGTGACATAGTCCAGCCCGTGTAATACCGCCATGCTGCGCACAAGAGTATCAAAATGTTTCGTGGCGAGTGGTATAATACCGCCGGTCACTGCCTGATGCATGCGCATGAAAGAAATCAGATTCATCTGGTAGCGCAAGACCTCCACATCGACATTTACTTCGCGAGACGCAAGTGAAAGTGTTGTCACGTCTGCCTCGGTGATGAGAGGTCCCTTGCTTGCTAATGCTGGATCATTGGAGGGACCTCTACTGGGACTGCGCGCAAATAGTTCGTGATGTGGCGTGCTGGTCCTGCTAGGACGACGGACAACCGAGGCATCACTATCGCTGTCCTCGGTCTCGGACCGTGGCCTGGTTCCAAATTCGTCCTCCACCATCGAGGCGCCATCCTGCTCTTCAAGATGCGCAAAGCCGTCGAGGGGGTCGTGCCAGTGCGCGAGGTAGAAAAAGTCGTTCAAATGATCAGTAACCCTCGCCTCTCCCCCGCTAGCGGCGCCAAGTACGGCAATGAAGAGAAACTGTTTGGGGGCAGTTTGTACACTGGTGCGCGTGTAGATACGCCGAGTCCGCATCAGCTCGAGAGCCTGGATCTGGACAACTTTTGGAGCCTTGTCCAGATCGCGGGCCAAAATCACATTGGCGATCTGCGGTGCCGCGTTCTGCTGCGGCCCGCCGCTGGGCGAGATCTGAGACAGCGGCGAGAGGGCGACTCTGCTGTGGTGGGACGCATGGGAAGTCGGACGCAGCGCGCCGTAAAAATACGAGTCCTGCACCGGGGTCCGACTCCTCAACAGTGGCGACTCGGCTCGCGATCCTGCGCTGTTTAGCAGGATGGAGGCGGCAAAGTCGTCGAGGGTGGTTTCCGGAGTCAGTGAGACAGTGGCAGCTTTGAGGTTGAAGGTTTCAGTCACGACCTAGTCATCCGACCCCAAAACGTAAATATGTGAAAGTTGAGACGGTAGAGTAAGCAACTTACAAGCTGCAGCTCTTGGACCAGATCGTCTAGGGCTTCCGGTTCGGTACTGATGATGCAATGTTCGCGGCTTGTAAGGCAGAGCAGTGCCGCCAGATCCAGGTCGCCGAGGCCATGAATCTTTGACAGCAGCTCCTCATCCGCCATAGGTGAGGTCGTTGGCGATGATATTGGCCATGGAGCAGATGCCCGTGAGAGGACGGCCAAGTTGGGATCGCGTCACAATCGGCCTTGTTGTTTTATCTGTTGAGTCTAGAAAAGCAAGGAAGGAAGAAATCGCCTTCTTTTTAGGCGTGACCTTTCAGGAGATCGGCTCCAGAGTGATCGGAGTGCCGGGGCACAAGTGACCAGGGCCATCAAATTGCATGCGTAATTCAGGTACAATGCCCCAGAGCTTCCACTAGCTCGGTACGCAGGGATCCGTAGCTGGGGCATGTGCGACCTAGAGATCATATCCACTACAGGGACGAACAATTATAATCATCACAATCAACGATATTGGTCAATGTGTGTGTGTGTATGTGAATCAATGCCAGTCAATCTTGACTGGATATACATTCCAGCAGGCTTATTATGGTACAATGGAAACGTCAAAGCATTGTGAAGAATGCACTTGGTTTTTTACAACTTCCAAATCAAGCAGCGTAATTCGATAGGCAACCTTTTTCAAGCATTCCAATCAATTTCAGTCCCCGTGCGTCCGTTATTGTGACTTGCCGCCCCTAGGAGTCAGTCATCAGTGGCTTTTTTCGCGATCGCATGAAATTCCAATTGAATAGACCAAAGCATTCAATCAGCAAGGCTCATGACTTACTCTCCTTTCCAGTAGTTCTTGTCAACCTTGTCCTCGCCGGCTGGAGCGGCCCGATCGTGCCGCTTTTCAAAGTCCTTATTGTGCTCCTCGACCTCGCGCTTCTGTTCTTCGCTCAGCCCCTGCTTCGCACTGGGAACCGACTGGTTGTGGATCTTGGGCCGGGGCGCTCCTTCGCCCTGCGGCCCTTTGAGTGCCTCACCTCCTCCACCGACCGAACCGCCAGTGGGGCTAGATCCCTTCTCTTGGGCCTCCTTGGACCGCGAGCCCCCGGAGGCCGCGCTGGCATCGGCCGGGTCCTTTTGTGATTCTGCTGCCTTGTTCATCGACTTGTTGAGTGCTGCCTTGGTCGGTCCGCCGCCGGTGCCCTTGCCCACATCCGGTGGGGAGGGACCTGGGTGCTCCGACGCGTGTTGAGCCTGACTAGCTCCGGGTTGCTTCGATGGGTTCTCGCCCTGCGGACTTCCCTTGCCGTCGCCGTAGCCCTGGTCAGCTAGGCATCGAGATGTGCTCGTAAAGGTTCGGTATGAAGCTGCAGCTGGAGCTCGGTAGCACGCTGCTCCGCTGACGGCTCGGAGGGCGTTGGTGATACGTAGCGAAGCCATTATGATAGTGGGACTTATAATTCCAATGATTGATCGATTGTTGTTAATATTGGTCAAGATAGTAAGAATAGCCTATGTTACGGCGATTTGCTTTGGGTTTTGTAGCAATATTCGTCAACTCTGTTTGTGAGACATGCACCGCGGTGATGCCCATTGGACGTTCAATGATGAGCTTATGACATCACTACCTCGCTACCAGACATGGGCAATGAGCTCACTTTGAACCATAGCCAATATTCCATTCGAACAACAATTGACCTAGTGCTTAGTTCTATATGATACTGGGTTGATATGCTGCATCCCGTATCTATCGAAACATCTGATATCTGGTTGCAGCTGTACTAATTACTGACTTGGTCGTAATAAGTCTGAACCAGTGAACAAACGGTCATTTGGAGGTACACGCAAAGCATAATTGCATGACCAGGGGCAGGCCTGTAACACATCACTGGCTGACAACCGACCAAAAGAAACACCAATCCAGTAGACACATTAGTATACTTGTAATAAAAAAATTGATAACCATGACCACTGAAGTAGTAGTTATCACAATATGTAATCAAGACATAACTTCCTCTAAATATAGGCAGATTCCATTGACATGCGCCTACGCCGATTCACGCTTTCTACTTGCGCTTTGCTATCCGCTTCATGGCTCTCATCTCCTTCTTCATCCTAGGGTCAACAATCTTGTACCTGCCCTTGACACCCTTGGGACGACCCTTGACACCCCTATTGATGCCCTTGGCCACGACCACCTTGACTTGTTCCTTGGGTTTCTTGCGGCCGGCCTTGGCAATCAGTTTGGCAATGCTCTCTGCCTTTTCCTTCTCTGTCATGCCCTCTTCGTTGGCAAGGAGGTCACTCTTCTTCTTCAACTTCTCCAGACGCTGAGCAGTCTTGAACTTCTTACGTGCCTGTGCCTCGCGAACCTTTTTGATGGGTCGGGCATTGTAAGCACGAAGCTTTTCCTTGATAGCTGCCGCTGCGGCTTTCGTAATAGGCTTGTGCGGTCTGTCATGCTTGCCTTCGTCCTCGACAAACCACTCAGGCAGTGCATCCCTGTCCCTGAGCGCGTATTTATTCCAGTTTTCGTCTTCGATATCATGTTTCGTTGCTTGACCAGTTGCGAGTCTGTGAGCTAGTGTCATGGCCTCGGCCGTTATGATATCAATATTGAGACGTCCGTCCGGAAGTCGCTTGTCTTGATCTTCCCAGTCGTCTTCCTTCTCCTTGTTCTTGACAACTTCGAAGCCGGCATCCTCATCCTCCTTGTCCTCTTCATCTTCAGAATCAGAGTCGGGCTCAATGATTTTTTGCTTTGTTTTCTTGTCCTTCTTCGCCGGTTGTGCGGGCTTGGCTTCCGGTTTGCTCTTGACAACAGCATTCGACATCTCCACATCAGAGTTCTCCTCAGCCTCGACTTCTTCGTCATCGAGAATACCTGGGATATCCTTGAAGATGTCTTGGTTGAAGAAACTCTTCGCCCGTTTCGACAAGGCGCCTTCTTCTGTTGGTACGTTGTCGAGATCTGTGACCAACTTCTTGGCAGATGTGGAATCTTCATCGTCTGAATCATCGCTGCTATCTTGGTCGAACTCGACGTCATCATCGCTAGAGGCATTTTCGTCTCCAGAGACACCTTCCCATTCGCCATCTTCACCCTCTTGCCTTGCCTTCTTTGCGCGGTACTTTGCATCGGCTGCTGACTTGCGCTCTCTGTATTGCTCGTACATGCCATCAAGTTCGCGCTCCAAACGGTCTTCTTCCTCATCAGACTCGTCGTCGGTCTCTCCAGACGATCCGAGTCCGCTGTCACGATCCTTCCTGGCGTCGGCGTCGGTAACAATAGCCATTTTTCCCTTTGTGACCTTGTTGATGGCGTTGTTCTTGTCGATTGGCTTGAGAGCGAACATGGCATCTGCACCGCGGGGACCAGCGTCTTCCATTCCGATGTCCATGGGAGCCATCATGTTGAGCTGCATTCGGACAATCTCCTTTTGCTTCTTCTCGTTCTCTTTTCTCTTCTCGCGCTTCTTCTTGGCATTGTCCTTGTCTTTCAAGGCCTGCAGCTCTTCTTGAATCTTGAGCTCCTCGTCCATGTCTTCAACCTCGGCACTCTCCTCAGCTTCTTGGGCCAAGTCTTTCTGTGCCTCGGTCTTCTTTGTTGGAAATCCGAACTTTTCACGAACTTTGAGTCTCCATCGCAGCAGCATCTTGAATTCTTTCCGTCCGAGAACTTTCAGATCTGCGCAGCATATCCGAATTTCATCTGTTGTCTCTGGCATCTTGTCGAGGGCAGCCAGGGCAATATCCCCATTGGCGGCCTGGCTAAAGGTCAACTTGTTGTATGAACCGAGGATCGCAATAGGATCAATCGTCTGAATGAACTCGGAGGCAGGAACTTCCTTGTATTGTGTCCAATCGCCCTCCTCGTAACCACCTCTCTTTCTCTTCTTGACTTCAGGGTTGTAGACCTTGGCTTCGTTGTTGGGAGCAGGCTCGGCCAGTTCGGCGAAGACAGTCTTGGGGTCCAGAAATCTAGGATCAATCTTCTTAGGTGCCTTGAAACCACGGCAGACGACGAAAATTTCGGCAGAGACATTACGCGAGGACGGCGGCTTGGTCGCTTCGACTTTGGTGAAGAGCTGGTTGAATACCCAAAGCAGGGAGTTGTAATCCTTGGATCTGAAGACCTTTGTCACAAATGTACCACCCTCAATCAGGAACTCGGTCGCAAGCTTCATCGATTGAAGTGCAAGCTCTGCCTGGTTGAAGGAATCTTGCACCCAGGCGGTACCAACATTGGGTGCACCATCGTGAAGCACTGTATCGGCCTTCCAAGTCTTGAGGTGCTGTCGAATCGTGGCACGGCACTTGTCTGTGGTGATATCGGACTGGAAGGTAATGACACCGGGGATTGGCTTGATGGGTGACAAATCGACACCGACGATGAGACTGTTGACGGGCATGGCCTCGGCGGCAACTTGACACCATGATCCGGGGGCAGCGCAAAGATCCAGCAGAACCTTGCTCTTCTCGAGGAAGCCATACTTCTTGTTCAACTGAACGAGCTTGAAAGCGGCACGGGCTCGGTAGCCCTTTTCCTTGGCAAGTTTGTACCACTTGTCCAAACGGCCCTTTCCCGTCTTCTTTTGGAAACCCATCTTGACGGAGAGGCCAGAGTCGTGAAACTGAGGCTCGTGGGTTGAAGGTCGCAGAAGAAAGAGATGCAAATGCGAGAGGGCGGGATCGAGTCTCCAAGTAGTGGCAGGACCCTCCCCAGAAATCTTTCAAAAATTCTACCTATTGTTTTCTTATCGCGGTCCTGGATAAGAGAATTTAGGCGGGTCCCTCCCCAAAAAAAAAAAAAAAAAAGTTCGCCGCCAAGAGTGTGTTGCAGCAGAGTCAACAAGCACCCAAAAAAAGCACAGACGCTTGAGGAATGCCCCCACCTCTAGCTCGTCTAAAAGACTTGAAGTTCGCGGTTGAGACCCACAAAAGTCCTCTGCGGGCGTCACCAGGTCGTGTAATAGGCAAAGTGCTAACATCGCGTCTTGCCAGGGGACCGCGTTCGCGGCGAACCACTTAAAACCACTGGCAAGACTGGGACCCGAGACGTCTCTGTTCCCCCGCCACCAACGAAGGATTGCAAATTGACGACGTCTTTTTTGTGGTTTCTTCCTCTTCGTCATTGAACATGGTCAATTGCATATCATAGCACCCTCATCGGCCTGATTGTAAGTTCTGTCCTTGCGGCCGGCCATTGTATAAATACAGCATCCTGTCGGACCGAACCTATCCCCAGAGTAGACACCTGGGCAGAGCACAGGGCTCACGGAAACCATGACGCCCACGTCACCCATTCGAAGAGACACAAGACTACTCTCACCACCAAGACACAACAATGGCAAGGAGCGAAGGAACCCCTCCATCACTCCTAGGAAATTTCGACGATTTTTCACCCCACGGACTAGAGTCTCGTCACATCTGGCCTCTGGTCATATAAGTCCAGCCCGGAGAGCTCTCAGAGACCTGGCGGCTCCAACGCTCAACAACCGTCTACAGACACCGGCACCATCCAGTCCACTCAAACCCTCTTCCGAATATGGCCAAGACGACCAGGACGAAAATGCCATTGAGGACGACACAAGGGCCAAGCGTAGAAAGTTGCAGCACACGCCAGAATCGTCACCGTTTCAACCGCACCATCTCGAGCCACTTCTCCCTCTTGCGTCCGAGAAGTCGTCAGTCTTGCTCAGTCCCATCCAATCGATTCACTCCAGCCAAACCACCCTCCCGGACTTGGATGAAAGCGATTGTGAAAATCTTGACGAGGAACCCGTCAGGCGGTTGGCCCCCATACCAAGCAGGGGCTTTGCCGGCCAGCTTCTTCAGCGAGAATTGGGCGGTAGACCGTGCGCCGGTAGATCATACATGTCCTATCCTGCCTCGGACTGGAAAACAGAAACCGCCGACTTCTACAGTCGGCCAGCAAATGTTCATAATTGCACTAGCCACGATGGTCCGGGCCGCTGCATACCCTTCTGTACGGCAACTTGCAATAGTAAGTCCCCACGTGACGATATCTTGACTTTTGCCCCAAACTTACGCCTCGTGCAGCCAACAGCCTCGTGGCAGTAGGTGATGAAGAGGGCCGAGTGAGACTGCTCGACTCGTCAGGCGATGCTTCGCAGCCATTCAGTAACATTCATGTCTCGTTTCCGGCTCACAGTAACGCCATTATCGATCTTGCCTTTTCAAACGACGACTATCTGCTAGCAACTGCTTCTGGAGACCAGACAGGACGTGTCATAGATATGATAACTCAAAAACCAATTGCCATTCTCCAACATCACACTGCTTCCTTGAAGCAGGTACGATTCCAACCCGGAACCTCCAATGGATCAGTCCTGGCCACCTCTTCTCGAGATGGCAGTGTTCAGATCTGGGATCTTCGGTGCAAAGGCCCCGTGTCGGAGATATCCTCGGATGACGGACTCAGTACTGGCCTTAGATATGTCCGCAGCACAGCACCGAAACAGGGATGCGCAGTCAACAGTATTTATGACGCACATGCTCGGACAGCCAGACAAGTCAAGCAAGCAACTGCTGGCCCTGGAGATACACCCTCACGTGGAGAGCTGCCAGGACGGATAGGTGACGTCTCCGTGACAGCGCTGCAGTTCCTTCCAGAAGGTCGTGAACACTTGCTCCTTACGGCTTGCGAAGCTGATGCGTGCATCAAGTTGTGGGATATCCGGTCCACTTCCAATAGACACAAAACCTCGACCCCAATCTCCGCAACTGCTCCGCCTACTTCGCATTCATACTGGCGCCCTTTCGGCATTCCATCGCTCGCCCTCAATACGGACGCTTCACGTCTCTATGCTCTGTGCAAAGACAATACTGTATATGCCTACTCGATGGCACATCTGATGCTGGGTCACGCACCAGAACTCAGCAGTCGCGAGCCGGCAAGGCGCCGTCACGGCAACGTCACCCACAACGGTCTCGGTCCACTATATGGTTTCCGACACCCATCACTTCATGCTACTTCTTTCTACGTCAAGTGCGCTGTTCGCCCAGCAAAAGATGGGCACAGCGAACTTTTAGCCGTCGGAAGTTCCGACGCCTGCGCAGTAGTTTTCCCAACCGAAGAGCGCTACTTCCGAGACGATCTCTCGGGTGCCATGTCCTCTCTTTCTTTGGACCAGTCCACCATTGCCACTTCGACGCTTCCTCCTTCTGCTTTCACGCGCTCTCATAGACCATTGCTGGGACCGCCTTTGTTTCAGCGTACTGCTAGCTCCTCGAGACTCGCCGCCATGCGCGAAAAGGAAGATATTCCCATGCATAGGAATGGCACGCCGCTTGTCCGTGGCCATGACCGCGAAGTCGGAGCATTGGCTTGGACTGACAAGGGCAAGCTGATCACCGTGGGCGACGATTACCTTATCCGGTGCTGGAGTGAGGATCGGGAGCAAGCCAAAGACCTGAGAACAGGTGGCGAGACAGAAGGCCGGCGATGGGGTTGTGGCTGGGCCAACGTTGGTGAGGATTGGGAAGGCGATGCCGAAGACGATGATGATGAATAACGAAACATCTCACGAACAGACGAACGAGCTGAATGCTCAAGGAGCTCTCTCCATGGCTTCTTTGGATTATATACATGTATTCTTTGCCCCGGGTATGGGCTTGGAGCGAAGGGCGAGGCAAGGGGAAAAGGTCGTGTTTTGTGGTTTTGCATTTGGCTTGGCAGCATTGGCTTTGTTTTTGCCTTGATACCCATAGAGCATTCTGTAGCTCTCCTTGGTCTATATTTGCATAAATATACATGACGCAACATTGCATGGTTTAGGGCCTGGAGTAAATTGGTACCTACACTGCAAGGGTGAAGCAAGTTTTAGGCATGTTGGATATTTGGCGATGCTCTGGGTATTTCTCGATAGCATAATCACAGCATTGAACGTGAACAAGATTGTTTCATCATTTCTACCGTAACCTAAATGAATACACAATTCTGCGCCTTAGCAGTATCTTGGATTCCACCATCTCACTTACGGAATATACCCTGACATGTATTACGTTTCTCAATTTTCATTGAGACACGACACTACCGCAACACATTAGGCTCACGGTATCAGAGTGCAAGGGACATGAGAAGGCAGCCAGACTAGGGGAACATGCTCTTATTGTATATCAATTGTAATCTATCAAAACGGAAGGGTATCGTGTACGCAATGCAAAACGCCAACTCATGCTCAAATGCCATCTACCTCTCCAATCTCTCATCATGGGCCGTCCGAGCCACTTTCGCTGCGCCGTGTGAACGTCAGATGCCTATTGTCATCGCTAATCTCTCCATGCCAGCATGCAGCCAGCACGTCCGCATCGTCATCGTCCTCATCGGCTGGCCTAGACTCGTCTTTAATCTCACCGTCCTCGTCCACTGTCTGCTGCTTCTCGAGCCACTTTGCCCAAGCTCGTCTGTCCTTTGCAACTGCAACGCCTATTGGTACAGTCAGTTTCCAAAGACTCAACAAAGGATATCAAATAAGCGTGACGGAAAACTGGATAGAGAACGAGAGGTATGTGAGGATCTACTCACTGTCCCTCGCTCTCAACCCTAGCAACCTGCTCATTCGCCACATGATACCCTCGTCGCTATCTTGTTCCTGATCCTGAGGGCCTGTGCTACAGACTCCATCGAGCTCGCCCACGATCTCAACCATGAACTCAAAGATCCGCTGCGCCTCCATTACGACATCTTCTCGCTCATCTTGGGTTAGGAGAGACTCGGACTCGGCCAGGCGCTTCTTGAACGCCAGCTTGATCTCGTCACCCTCATTAGGCGCATCAAACGTGAAGAAATTCAGCGGTAGGCCATCCTGCTTGGGAGGTGCCGTTGCCATGGTGTTGGCGGTCCAAAAGCCTGGGTCAATCTTGGACAAAGACGCCTTCATAAAACGTCCGCCACTGAAGAGCGCCATGTAGAGAACCCATGCATATGCCAAGAGTACCTGGGGACGTTCTTGCACAGAGCGGCGGATGTGCTCGACGAAGGCAGACAGAAATGGAGATTCCGCGGCTGATGTGAGCTGTTCATCAAGTAGCTCGGGTGACCATCCAGTCATGAAAGCAATGTCTTTCTTCAATGACGCAACTCTTTCCAAGTCGTTCGTGTGCAAATGTTGCAAAAGTGACTGTATCCTGGTGCAGACAACAGGTTGATGGGGCTCATCAAGCGAGTCTGAGGTATGATGAATAGCCGAGGATGGCTTGCAAGCCTCACAAGAGTGGCCATCCTTGGTGGAGTCATTTTCCGTCGAGCTGGGTAGTTCAAGTATCGACTTCCATAGGGATTCAAAGGTGCCGTATATGGGTGTGATGTGAAGGAGTCCAGAGACATAATTTGAAGGGTCTTTAACCTGCGGAGGAATAGCCAATGGAAGACGGGCGATGATGAGTTTGTTCAGTCGAGCATGAATGGATCTGGTAGCAACATTGATCGAATCCCCCAAGGAGCGGTCCGTTTCCTCCATCTTGAGAGGCATTGTTCTAGCAACCAAAGGCATGAAGGCGGGTATCTCGGTGAAGACCGTGGGCGTTTTGTAGGAAAGTCGATAAGAGTGATGGAGAGGGTGGGATCCAAGGGCCGATGGAAGGACGAAATTATAGGGAATTCCGTACTTGCTATCCAGTCATGAAGCGGTGAATGCGAAATTGCAAAAGACTTGGTATTGCCAAAGGAGTGTGTATGAGGTGGAGGGGTGATATGGTCGTCTGCAGCCGGTGAAGATGCAATGCAGCGCATGCACAATGAATGGACTTGTAGTTGTTGTTCAGTGCAGTTTTCGCAATCTCCCAAGACTCAATCAATGCAGCTCCTGCAACCCCGTGGTCACCTAATAGCGCCTTCCCGGGGTTGGTGGATTGCAAAGGTCGAGATATGAGAGTATAGAATAACTGGAGCAGGAGCAGAGTGGACCGCTGGAGCACAAGAGTCGTGTAGTATGTCGTCAGAGACAGGGATGATCGGCGCCGAAATTTTGAGAAACCGCTTCTTTGCAAGCTTGAAGCAGAAGAAGAAGTTAAAAAAGCAACTGAACTCGGCCAGTAAAAGAGACAGCCTCGTGAGATATGTCAGAAATGATGTCGTCGGGGCCCTCTTTCAAGCAAACAGTCGAGCTGCAACCGGGATGTCGTGCAGCAATATAAATGTATGTATATGTCGTAGGTAGTTGTACGTGGCATGCAGGTGACAAAACGTTGCTGCTGAGAAGCGACCAGTCACAAGTGAACAATGACCTTCGGATACCTCCCGGCGCACCTCGCAGTCGTGTAACACGGGGGTAGTTTTGGTGTTGTGCATATAACCAAGGAGGAAGAGAAACTGGGAAGACTCGAATACAAAAAAGAAAACCTCCGAGCGGGTTGAATGGTACTACCCAAAATGTATGGAGATAACAGAACAAGGGTCTTTTCCAAGAGTCATGGACAATTGATGAGAATGGGGCCGTCTGCTAGACTCGCTGGACCACACCCATCGGACTGGGTCGGCGGAGGCCCTGTGGTGGCTCCGACAGATGGTAGCGCAGAGCAAGCTGGAACCGTCGAGCCTCGAGTGTACAGGGCTTGACACGCCTAGACACGCTATCACCAAGCTTTAGGGTCTAAGGTTCTAGAACCCGTCAAGGCGGCTGAGGAGAGGTTTCCGGGCGCTTGGGACGAATCCAAGCTTTGATCGATCCTCACCAGCAAGCACGATCCGTGAGGACGTTGTGGGTTCCGTGATCAGCGCCGGGTGCTGGTATTCTTTGTTTTGTGCTCCTTTGGTTGGCGGATTGGGAGGGGGTAGCAATTGATTGCCTGCTGCATGTAGTATGCCGCGACTGTTGGCAGAGATGGATTACTGATCGCGGCCCCATCACCTGTTTAAATGGCTCCTCTTTGATTTCCCGCGATATCCTTTATTGCGCCTCTGTGAATCCGAGGGCAAGAAAAAGGCGATGTAGTGGAATGAGGAAGAGCTGATTGTGCGACTGGCGCTATAAAATGATGTGCTGCAGCCAGGCGACTCGGACAAAAAAGGGATAGAGTATACACAGGCAGAGAAATGTTTAACGGCCCACGAAAAAGTCATAGGTAAGCAGCTTATTAGTAGCTACTCGTACGAGTTGCTCGCATCGAAATCAAAATCCCATAATTGCCACAATCGAATTCTGTGCTGAGCGGGAGCGGGGCATGGTTTTCTCTTTCGGCCCACGGGGTCCCTGAAAATCCCCCGGCTTAAGCTCTATTAAGGTTTGATCGAGCAGGAATAAAGACAGCACGTGAGCCAATACTTTCGTCTCAGAGTCCATCAACTCCAACGCTGGCAAATTGTTGGCAACATGTGAATAATACAGATGGAATCAAACAAAATCGTATCAATCTATGTCAACAAGAAATATTAAAGTGATTAAGTAGACTGAAGAAAGAAAATATTACAACGACGCTTCCAGCATATTCGGGGCCCATTGAATGAGGCCTCGCACATCTCGGATATTGAGCTCCACTGCTACCACTGTCACCGCGGCCAGACCCGGACTTTACAAGGCCCCGTAGTCCGCTATTAACCCCTGTATCCTAGAAGGCCACGGGCTCGACGCTACTCCAATTGGTCCAGCACTGCCAGGAATGTACTCGACATTCCTTATTCCTCCATCCCTCCTCTACGCGAGCATGTATACTCAATCAAATGACAATCTCAGTGATGCGTATTCCGAGCCGCGTTCACGTCGTTTTCCAAAAAGATCTCAATCTTGTTGTTCATCTTGTGGCTAATCTCCTGGCAGCAAGCACAAGCTAGCACAATTTATGAATCAGCCGTCGAAACCAACATGAATCGTTCAAGAAATATGGAATGGCGGGTTGATATTGTGCTTACCAATAATTCCAACAATACCAAAAGCGAGTGATGAGAGTGCCGTCGTTCTCAGACCTACAACGTAACTCTGCTGTAATGCCGTACTGGCGGCTGCAATGATGCTGTCGGTTATACCTGGTACTTCCGCCAGCGCAGAAGCTCCGAGGGATAATGCTGTTATCAACTGCGAGACGGACGACTCTGGCAGTCCAGCCCCTGTCGCAGCAGCAGGAATGAGCCGCGCAGCCTCGGCTGTTTGTGTGTTTGTAAGGATCGTGGTATAGACCGAGAGTGCTACAGCACCTCCTGCAAACCTGGCCACTCCGCTACACGACTAGTATAAGCTTCTGGTGTTGTATCTAAGAGGTGATAGCCGAGACTTACGCGAGACCCCCTGAAATTCCCAGCTCTTCCTGCTTGGTTCCAAATTGTATAAACGTAATTGAGAGATATTGAGCGAATCCAAAGCCGACTTCGGCAAGAAAGACGAAAGCAATCATCATGCCAAATCGATCAGGTCTTCCCAAAGCCAGAAGAGTACCAAAGACCACCATCAATGTGACAGCCGCTGTATAAGTCCAACGGTAGTGGCCAATCTTGCTGCCAAGCGTGACAAGCAAGAGCACTCCAAGAAGGAAGCCCAGATTCTGAGGCAGTGTGAGCACCATGGCATACCTCCAGCCCGTCGTGCTGTCGGTGAAGAAGACGAATATCATAGTTGGATATATGATATTAATCGAATAGTAGAACATGGTGACGACAAATCCGGCGATGAAGGGCGCCGTCAACTCACGCCCGCCTCCCTTGGTGAAGACGTGCTGGGGGGTCAGTGGTTGCTTCAGCGGCATGAAAGTCTCGTATAGCGCAAAGATGGCCAAAAGAATAAACCCGGCGATGAGAGTACCCAGGACACGAGGGTCGCTAGAGGGCAAAGTTGTCGTGTAGATGATACCAGTCAGGATGAGAACAGTTGACATGATAAAGAGGATCGCACCCCCATAGTCCAGTTCACGAATAGCTTGTTTAAAAGGCAGCCCTCGAGGATGAGCAGGCGGGTAGTAGTAAAAGAACAAGCCTGTAAACGAAATGACGACGAGTATGGCAGGGACATAGAAGAGCCATCGCCACTGGTAAGACGGTCAGTCGAACGAACTGATGAACTTGCAAAGAGAGATCAACTTACGCCACTATAACTCAATTCGATGGCCGATCTGCCAGCTATGGGGCCGACGATCACGTCAAAGACCACACCTGCATCAGCGAGGGTCACTGCCACCGGCCTCCACTTGTTTGGTAGCAGTTCAGGGACGGCAAAGGCGGCAAGCTGTGCATTACCCGCGCCAAAGCCAATGATGGCCATGGCAGCTATCATTTGCGTAGGGTTCTGGGCGCGGCCGCCTAGAATAAATCCAATGAACAAGAGTACGTTGCCGAATATGATGAACCATCGTCGTCCAAAGAGATCGCTATTCGCTACATGGGGAATGTGTAAGCTGGTGATCCCATAGAGATATGTGAGTAACATGTCTCATTACTCACCTCCGCACACCATGAACGCAATCGTAATGGTCAAGGTGTAGATTGGTAGAAAGAATGCCTGAGCACTAACGTCCCCAAGTTGGGTTGCCACTTGCGCTACACATGCCGATAACGTTGGAATTATCCAAAAGGATATACCATAGGAGAATGAGAGAATAGCCACAACGATCCAAGTCTTGAAGGTAACATTGTACTCCTCGTCACTCTGGGGGATGTAATTTGTCTGCTTTGGTCCCTTTTCAGAGTCAGACAAGCTTCCAGCCTGGTTTCCGGACTTCTCGATCTCAGGTTGCTTGTCCTCCATGTTGATAATTGGATTGTACAGAAAGTGTGAGGGAGTCAGACACTGTTTTTCGAGGTCTTCCAGGATACAAGTCTCTTTTTATTGTAAACCCGGAAAATTAAACCCAGTGAGCCACATTTTCGATAGCAAACAAATATTTTGGCATACTCCAATGGTCGATCTTTTGACTGCCGTCTTACACTGGCAACAGATCATCATATCATTCAAGGGCCTTTTTACATGATTGGCCGCAGAAGTCATGCCCACAATGCATATTTTGATTTAGTAGGGGGGATACTCTGACAAGTTGCGGGGTCATACATCTCAACACTCGCCAAGCATACATATTTCGAATGCCAAATCACCAAGAGTTCCACCCGTGAGCATATTGTACCTTGTAGATTGCTCCATCTGTACTGCAAGAAAACACAAAGGCAGGCAAAGAAGCATGGTCATAATCCATGCCATCAATTATTAGAGATAATTCGGTTTGTGTGATTAACACATCATGAGTTCATTGAAAGATGAAATCAGTGTAGTGGCCAGAACAAATTCGTAAATTTGAAATATATCCCTTACTCGGTCAGCATGTTTGCTAGAGTAGCTTGGTCTAGCTAGAACTATTGACCCTGGTTTGACGATGTTTGCGTGACCCGACATGCAGGCCTCTGCATCGAGGCGACAATCTCTTCTGTTTTTGATTCACTGCCGGCATGCCCTTCTTCCTCACAAGGGGTAGGAAATTGCGAGTTGCTTACCAAACACAGAGGTGGACGAGCATATGCAGCGTGTCGGCATGCATAAGAAAAGAAACGGCACTCGCAGGCATGATATGATAGTCTGCAACGTGAATACTGTGGCTCGGACCGAGATGAGGGTCCAACATCCTCTTGGATACATACTGACGAGCTTCTTTATTCTACTGCAGGTTGGTCTGCATAGCTGGAGTGACATGGACAATCTTCATCATTCTCAGATGATGATGATGCATTTAATCAATTTTAGAACGTCAGTTCTAGCGGATGATCAACTTGACTGCACATTTTTAACACTGCACTATAACGTGTCACGTATCTCTTGCCGGTAGTGATGACATGCGGAAGCTATGTAGAGATGTAGGAATATTGGTGTAACCCTATAGTGCTCTCCTCTATGGAATACAAAATGCCAATATTATAGGCTGCACTAACCAGTTGATTTTCGAATCAAAGACGCATATTTCAAAACGAGAATTTTTCCCAGTCACTCACGACACGATAAATCAATTTATATTACCGAGATTACTTTTGCATTGACGCCGCTATGGCCTCATAAATCAATGTTTGCTTCAGAGATGTTGCTGCAGGGAAGTTGACCCAGTTCCAGGCAGTATGCAATGGCCTCGACCCTGGCAGACAATTCATCACGCAGAATTTTGAGACAGTGCAAGTGCAGTACAGTTTTAGTGGGGTGCACTTTGTATGCAGTAGAGAGTACGTACCGATTAGGCGTTGATTGCACTTAACCCCACCAACCAAAAGCGGTGAGCTCACTGTATCTGCCAACCCCTGCTCAGATTGGCAGAAAAAGTTCTGGTAGTCCAAAATTTTGGAATCGCAGAAGCTAGAGATTGTCACCCGCCAGCACAATCAACACCTTTGCTCGCACAAGTCGCACAACCGCAAACATGGTCAACAAAGGCAAGCTCAAGATGGCCCTCGCGGCCGAGAAGGGTGTCGACTTCCAGAAGTTGCACCAGAAAAAGGCCGCCAAAGCCGCCTCCAAGAAGAAGGGCCCCCAGAGCGAGCCGGAAAGCGACGACCACGACGAGGAGGAGGACGATGACGAGAGCGGAAGCGAAGACGAAGACGATGAAGTCGGTCAATCGATGCCATTGAACGACGAATCGGATAGCGACTCCGAGGTTGAGATGGAAGAGAAGATTGAGCGCAAGCCAAAGCCTATCCTCAAGATTGCAAATGCAAAGCCGTCAAAGCCCGGAGCCCCAAAGGACGACGACGAAGATGAGGAGGAAGAGGACGAAGAAGACATCCCCATGTCTGATTTGGAGGACCTTCCTGAGGACGAGAAGGAGGATCTCATCCCCCACACTCGCCTTACCATCAACAACACATCCGCTCTTCTGGCTTCGTGGAAGCGCATTGCCATACCCACAGACAAGTCGGTTCCGTTTGCCACGCACCAGTGCGTCATTAGCACCGAGACTACCGCCGACGGCATTGAGGATGTCCAGGACGATTTGAAGCGCGAGCTGGCTTTCTACAAGCAATCGCTGGAGGCTGCCAAGCAGGCGCGGAGCCTTCTCAAGGCCGAAAATGTTCCTTTCAGCCGCCCCAACGACTACTTTGCTGAGATGGTCAAAGACGATGGTCACATGGAGAAGGTCAAGGCTAAGCTATTGGAGGAGGCATCTGCCAAGAAGGCCTCGGCTGAGGCTCGCAAGCTGAGAGACCTCAAGAAGTTTGGCAAGCAGGTGCAGAATGCCAAACTTCAGGAGCGTCAAAAGGCTAAGCGCGATACTTTGGAGAAGATCAAGTCGTTGAAGAGGAGTACGTCCTAGTTCCCAACCTTTCCTGGATATTATTTGCATACTAACTTATTTGCAGAGCGTCAAGAATCTGGCGGAGATGTGGGCCAGAATGAGGCCGATTTGTTTGATGTTGGTGTTGACAATGAGCTCCAAAAGCACAGCAGCAGTCAGAAGCGTGGTGCTCGTGAGGGCGGACCTAACCTGAAGCGTCAGAAGAAGGACCAAAAATACGGCTTTGGTGGTAAGAAGAAGCACTCCAAGTCGGGAGATGCCATCAGCACTGGAGATATGAGCGGATTCAGTGCCAAGAGGATGAAGACGGGCACAAAGGGCAAGCCTATGAAGACTGCCAGGTTAGGGAAGGCAAGGAGAAATGCTGGCGCTCAGAAGCGATAAGGAAATAAAAAGTTGCAGGTAAAATAATCGGCATGCATTCTGGCGTTCATGGTTTCTGGGCAGACTGGGTTTGAGCACTTCATCAGGAGAGCTCTGTTCAAAATATACCAATTTTATGCAACCCACCTCGTTTCCCTGGCTGTATGATTAGGAATGAAATGGCTCATACTGAGTCGTGTGCACTTATATATGTTGGTTCATTGAACTTTGTCCATCCCGTGGCAGACTGCCACAAAGTAAATTACCGTGATACATGTACATGATGGGATTTAAAGACGGCAAGTCAAAGCCAAAACGATGATAGAATGTAAAGTCTGGATGGAGGCCTCTACACTACTATCTGCATATATCGAGATAGCGGGGTACAGTAACTAGGGTGCGGTGTATTACCCAGGTAACGAACTTGGCTCATCAGGCCCATGTCACAAGCCAATGTGACTGGCTACTGATTAGCTCCGTCGATGACGGCGGGCTGATAACATGACCGAATCCGCTAGAGGTACCTCGTGCTTTGGAGCTGCCTTTCCATAGTAGCGGCCTTTGCATCAACAACAACCCGCCAACTTCTTTTTTTTTTGTGTTCTTTCACTCGACGTTGCCCTCGTCGCCGTTGTCATTGCACAGTCGCTTATTGAAGGAGCAAACAACTTGCCTCTTTCCATCAATAAATCTGGTCCAAGAAATCGGACCAATTGATCGACACCGACTCCAGACACCGCGGCTTGCTTTGTCCAGGACTCACGGCTCCACAATCATGTCTTCGCGAAAGAAGGTCCTTTTGAAGGTATACATGTGCTGGGAATGTTTTTGGGTTTCCTCGGGCTGACTCTGAATCCCCCAATATAGGTCATCATCCTCGGCGACAGCGGTGTTGGCAAGACCAGTTTGATGAACCAATATGTATGTTCCCGCCGATAAATATTCACGAGACACGCCCCGACCGCCAAATAAGAACAACGCTCCTCAACAAACCAAGTACTGAACTGACGGCATTCTTGGCATAGGTCAACAAGAAGTTTAGCGCTAGCTACAAGGCCACGATCGGAGCCGATTTCCTTACAAGAGAGGTCCTGGTTGACGACCGACAAGTGACGATGCAGGTAGGCAACAAGCCCGCACAGATCAACCATGCCGGCACAAATACTGATACGGATCTAGCTTTGGGATACGGCAGGCCAGGAGCGCTTCCAGTCTTTGGGCGTTGCATTCTACAGAGGTGCAGACTGCTGTGTGTTGGTCTTTGATGTGAACAACTCCAAGAGTTTTGATGCTCTCGACAGCTGGAGAGACGAGTTCCTGATCCAGGCCTCGCCGCGGGATCCCGAAAACTTCCCTTTCGTAAGTAACATGAATAATGGGACTTTGCGCATCCTACTGATACCATGTCTAGGTTGTTCTTGGAAACAAGATCGATGTTGAGGAGAGCAAGAGAGTCGTAAGTCGATCGTGAACTATGTCTATTCTGCACGTTTCCTGACCATTGTCAGATCTCGAGTAAGAGAGCAGCAACATTCTGCCACTCCAAGGGCGACATTCCATACTTTGAGACCAGTGCAAAGGAAGCTATCAACGTCGAGCAGGCCTTTGAAGGCAAGTCATTCAATTGCTGGTCATTTGGAACCATCTTCTAACAGCGCGCTAGTTATCGCAAGAAATGCTCTCGCCCAAGAAGAGTCCGAGGAGTTTAGCGGTGACTTCCAGGACCCCATCAACATCCACATTGAGAATGACCGAGATGGATGCTCTTGCTAAGGGTCTTCTTCCCCACCGACGCCAAATTCGCCTTTGTCGTCTAGATCCACGGTGAAATGCGTTCATGAACAGATTTACTATGCATTTCCTTTGGAGTTCAGCTCACTATGGCATGCTTCGTGCACTCGAATTATCGGTCTGCGGTCTCAATCAATCAGTTTTCCGGCTTCCAGGCTCAGGTTTAGCGGTCTCCAGAGACGGTTGGTGGGTTAGCCAAAGGCATGTGCTATTTTTTCCTGCGTTTTGGGGGGTCTATAGATGAATGAGACTCTTGTTTTGTTTTCTGTTAAGCAAGGAAATATCGCGGTAGTTGATTGTTTGATAAAGACAAATCTGCATGAAGAACACGACTTTTCTGAACGTGAATGAATAAATGTATGTATTCTTAAAAACCGTCCGTATATGGTGGATTCCAAGCGGGATGTCATCTCCACGAGCCGTCTTTTTACCACCTACCATTCATGGGTGTGTGGCGCCAAGCGGCTCCCTTGGCGAAGCTGCAGCTACTGCAATGGCTCCAGGGGTCCCGTCACCAATGTGTCTCGGGGCATAGGGGGACATGCGATTGCAACTCTCATTGAAACATCTGTCTTTAGCAGTTTTCGTCACTCTTTTCTTGTATTCATATTCGTGGCATTTTGTCATTTCTTTTGACTTCTTCCAACAATTCCACACATTCTTACTAGTCGACATCTTGCACGCGACAGTCCGATTCATGTCGTCATATCCACCACGGTTAGACGGCACCTAAAGGCTGACACCGAATATTGCGACTACCCGTCCAACACGAGAGAGGGAGAGAGACAGAGTGCTGCGGTTGCAGCCCTCTTCAGCAAAGCTGCCAGTCATGGCGTCCACAGAGCCCTTTATGCCTGCCGAAGTCGAGCCAGAAGTCGAACGCGCGAGGAGGAGGTCTTTGGAACCGCAGGAGCTGCCCGTGGATGATATGTCTGCTTCGTTCATGTCACGGAGGAGCGCAGGTTCTGTCCCGGCTCGAAAAACCAACATTATGAACGTTGCGCGAAGGACTCTAGGTTTGACCTGTCTATTGGTCACAGTCTTTCTGTGGACAGCGTCGAATTTCCTTGCCAGTGTAAGTCTTGGGAGGACCTGGTAATTCTCCCCTCCTTGCTGGAGCGCATGCTGACGGGCGCCACGACAATAGTATATCTTCTCCGATCATACATACGACAAACCCTTTTTCGTCGTCTACATCAATACTTCCATGTTTGCTCTTTCGATGATACCCATTTCGCTTAGATATGTACACCAAAACGGGGGCCTGGGACAGGCGCAGGAGATGCTCAGACAGGCGTGGAAGGAAAAGTCCCTGCGGCCGCTGAGCGCTGAAAGATATAAGACGCAGGCCGACGAAAGCGACGAGGACGTGACGGCCGGCGAGCGACTCTTGGTGGACGACGAAGCTAGTCTGGAGGCGCTTGACCTGGCCTCGCCGCCTGCGCCAGAGAAACTGAGTCTGCGCGAGACGGCTTGGCTGAGCCTTGAATTCTGCATGCTGTGGTTCTTTGCCAACTACTTTGCCTCGGCCTGCTTGCAGTGTAAGTGCTCCGAACAAGTGGTGCTTCCAAACTATACGAGTTCTACGAGAAGAGCCTGAGCTCAACTCGTCTTGTGGTTATGTCCCTGGTTTTTTCCAAGGCATTTATGTACCGTGAACCGCAAGGCGGTTAGGCATACCATGACCTTGTATTACCAAACCAAAGACTAGTAGCTAACCTATCTTGACTCCCTAGATACAAGCGTTGGTAGCGTCACAATCCTTACATCGACCAGTAGCGTTTGGACGCTTGTCTTTTGCGCCTGGATGAAGGTCGATCCTTTTTCGGTCCGCAAGCTGATCGGTGTCATGGCCTCGCTCGCCGGCATCATCCTCATCTCCTCGGTAGACTTGTCGGGCAAGGATAATGACGACAACCGCGGCAACTTCCCGCACAAGACACAGCAGCAGATTGCCATTGGTGATTCCATGGCGCTCGTCAGTGCCATAGTCTACGGACTCTATGTCACGGTGATGAAGGTGCGGGTTGGCGATGAAGATCGGGTCAGCATGCCGCTGTTCTTTGGCTTGGTTGGGATCATCAACGTTTTGACTCTCTGGCCATTGTTTTTCATCTTGCATTTTACTGGCATTGAACCGGTAAGCTTCATCCCATCTGACTTGGTAGGGAAATCACTAACAAAAGACCTAGTTTGAGATGCCACCAACGGGAAAAGTTTGGGCAATCATTTTGCTCAACTCCATCTCGTCCTTCATCAGCGACATGTCATGGGCTTATGCCATGTTGCTAACTACACCGCTGATCGTCACAGTTGGTCTTTCTCTCACGATACCACTTTCTCTGATTGGTGAGATGATACAGTATCAGCAATTTTCTAGTTTCTTGTATTGGGTGGGTGCGGGTATCGTTCTGCTCTCTTTTCTCTTCATCAATCATGAGAGTCACGAGGACGATGATGCGAAGAAGCCGTCTGCTCTGGATTCGGACTCTCAACCGTTGCCCGCATAAAGAACACGCCAGATCCTGTAAGGACATTTTGAATATTGTTTTGTGCGGCACAAATATGCATCGAAACGGCGTTCTATGGTTTCTAGGTTCTGGATATACTTCTACATCTACATTAAATTTTGATCCTCTTAATATGAGAGCACATTTAGAACATAAAATAGTTACGAGAGCGCAACAATCAACTATGAACATAGCACGTGGTCTTTGAATATCAAATGATGAATATCACACACCAATGTCGAGCTTATAAGCCCTTCTTCTAGTGCATGTTTTCTTAGTAATTGGTGATTCGATGAAGACCTGAAGTATTCTTGGTAATATTATTTGTATTTTGTCTTGAGTCGTAAGCTTTTTATGTACATGATTCGTTTGCTCGTACGGCAGTCAGACAAGCCTGCTGCCCAGAATTAAGGGCACTAATCATTATACGTCTAGAAACGGGTGAATGGTAACCTGAGAGAATATTAGTCACCAGGCATTGCGGGACGAGCTCTATTCCTTTCATCAAAAAGAACTTACCACTTGCCCCGGAGGGTGATGTTGACCCAAGCCACACCATCCTGGTCCACCTCCTTCTCAACCTTTGACGAAAAGGCAATGGCGCTCATGATGCCGTCGCCAAACTTTTCATTCATGACGGCCTTGAAGGCGTAGCCATAGTTTTGCACAACCTCGTAGAGGCGGTAGATGAGCGGTTCGACGGGGGGCATGGGACCGGCGCGGCCGCGGTCCGGGAAGCCGCCCATGGACGCCTCGAGCTGCGCCTGCGGCACGCCCAGCAGGCCCGACAGCTTGGTGATGTCCTCGGGCGAGGCCTGGGCCTGCCCGTAAAAGAGGGCCGCCACGGCAACCTCGCCCCGCCCGAGCTCGGTGGCGATCTGCTCAAAGGTGAGCTTCTTGGTCGCCTTGGCGTCAAAGAGCGTCTTGGAGTAGGTCGGCAGTCTGTCGACGATTGTGGACTATTTTTGGTTTATTGTTAATTATCTGGTGATGATGGGAAGGGGATATTGGTTCATTTTCCCCCTCCTCTATAGCAGAGCCGATGCTCGGCGGGGTTTGAGGGACCAAAGGAAGAGTATATACATACGTCGAGGGTAGCGATCTTGGAGTTGTCAGCCATTTTGAGATAGTGTCTTTGAGTGACTCAAGGGGGTTTCCGGTTTGAGTTTCCTTCTTTTCTTTTTGGGATATGCAGGTTGAGGTTATTTTGGACAAGATTTCGCTCGATTTGGAACATTTATATACCAATTCACGATGCAGTCCCTCGGCAGCCAGGTCCCGTCCCCAACGTCATGCGCTTGTCAACCCCACATACTGCCCATTGAAGATGCGGAGATAGTGCGGAATCTCGGTGTCTACTTACCGCTTCTGTACGCCTTATGATTTCGTACGTAAAAGAAAAAAAAGTTCCGCTTCATTCTGGAACTCATGGTATCTCTTGGAATAAAGGAGAAATAATAAACCGCGTGGTATTATGTCAAGTGCTTGTTGCGCGGCTTTCTCGGTGCTGTTCAATTCGCTTACATAAGAGACATCCACTCGAGTATAGAAAAGATATAATCGTGTTGCCAGTGATAATAAAGAGGTGTATACTCTTGCTGTTATCTCCTCTTCTCAACACTTTTCATTCTTTTCTCTTTTCATTCAATTTAATTTTATATATGCTAGATGTGACAAATGTCAACAAGTTAGCTTAGTAAGATTTCGTGTATGCCACTACATAAAATGGTCGTGACATTGTTCTTACTTAAAGTAATGTGTAGCTTGTCAACCTTAAAATAACTCTAATGTCACAGCTCACACGGTTGTATTCTAAAATGGAAAGGTTAAATTCACAAGTTTCGTAGACTTGACAAACAAACTCTTCAAAACTTCGGGGCCATATTTGAAAGTCGATACCGTGAAAATCATCGTGGTCATATTCGTGTCATTCCAGATCAGTCCGTCTCTTCAACGTGTGTTGTATCACAGGAATACACCCAAGTGACTAATGACCCTAAAATTGGATTGTGCATAAATTCGAATCTCGAGGGAAGAAGATTCCACGCAGTTTCAATTTCCTTTCGGAAAGCAGCATCGGTATCTATGCCTTCGCTGTTATCGATGTGCTGGAAAATGGCTGGTTCCGTCAATCTACAATTAAGACGGCTAAGTTGAGAGCCGTGAGTCTCTTGTATGCCATGAACAATGATGTTGTTCTTATTCTTCGACCTCTACGTAGGTACTTACTCTGGCATATGATACTCATACCCCATTGACATTACTATTGATTAACACTAGGAACATGTGACAGTCCACATCTACTGTGCACTCGGTGTAGAAGTGTCTGAGAGCTACTCCTGAACTAAATCATGATCCTCCAATCGTATCGTTGAACAATCAAACAGTGATCGCAAAGGAGGTATTTCAAGAGAACACAAAACCATTCGGTTCACCCCAGTACAAGCAGGCTTGTAGGTAAGCTTACCATAGCCAAGCATCGTGACAACATCCTGCTCTACGTTTCTATTGGCCATACAAAGCTCAAAGAGCCCCGTAGCAACATGCATACCGAATGTATATCTCCTTCTGTAATGCGATTAAATGCTGGTATCAACCTAGCAATGCAGATAAAAAGTACGTTGCCCTATTATAGATAAGCGATCAATGCCTATTCGGTATATCAAAGATAAACATCGAGCTTATCCAGCACATCCTAGACCGTCGAGGGGAGACTGCTATACTATTTGCAAGGGAAAAAACACAGTCTCAAGCCACGTTGTACGCCTATGGCTCAAATGGTATTCACTGACCAAGATCAAGCTTCCAGCTTCACGCCACTCCGACAACCACAACTGCCAAAAATAGATGGATCACGACCACGCGTACGGATGAGCTGTCGCCCGTATGCAAGATACGGGCTACCGTGCTACTCGAGACGCTAATTGGTGGTGAGCTGCATCGATGGAATCTTTACTGGGCTATCCGCGCGCTCTAGAGCTCCATGGTGGGCATTGGTGGACAGCTATAGTCGTACGCACTCCGCCACCGACGGCGAATAGATCCGGACTTTACGGAACAGTAGTTTCCAAGCACGACGACAACGACGACTTTAGACGCCGAACTTGGTATGCTTGTGTGAACATGTCATAATTCCGTCGTAGGAGTCTTACTGCACGGTCCATTCGGCATCCAAATGCGCCGACATCTCGATGCGTTTCACAACACGATGGTGCAGCAGTGTCTCTCCATCTCTGGCCACATGTATTATTGCACGTGGTCGCACGACAACGCTACAGAAAAAAGAGCCAAGAGTGGAAAATCCATGACGTCGGGGGGGTTTTTCCCTATTTTTTTTTTTTCATGCGAAGAGATATTGCTGGCAATCATCTACCCAAAACATGATGAAATATTTTGACTATTTGAATGATTCTATTCTGGTAATATTGAGAGAAAGCAGATCACAATACTGGCAATCATATGCAATGGGGCTGTGCTGGAGTCGTTCGTGGGGTCTAGGACAGCATTCTATCCGGGGTTCGCGGTGCAGTACCGAACCGACACGCAAGCAGATACGAATTCTCAGTGAGCCGATCTGCGTGTCTGCGCGCACGCACAGGCGGCAATTGGGCTGCTCATCGTACACGTTAACAGTGGCCAGTCTCGCTCTCCTAGCAAGCCCAGTGGCTTTTAGGATATCATGATGTGCCTGTCATCCTGTGTGGTCTGCGGTCCTGTCGGTCTGTCTGGAATCTGGATCGTTGCGACGCTGCGCTGTGATCCGAGCTTGACAAAGTTTGGTGATTGACTGGTCGGTCCATTGTCTAGGAGCATCGGAGTCCACTATTGCCGAAGGGAACCGCACCGAACGGTACTTCTCGTATTTACAACGTCATACCAGTGAAGGGTTCTATTTTTTTTCTATGGCTTTTTTTTCCGCTTAGCTTAAAGGTTACAATTAACAAAGGCCAACTAAAAAAAGACGTTGTGGGTTTGATTTTTTTCAGGCACCGGCAGCTCGCAACTCGCTACGTACTAATTACTAGTAGTAGAGAGCAGAGGCCAACCGGTGGTCATGTTAAATCGTGATCTGGCGAGATAAGTTCGTGATGAACTCCTTTGGGAAATTTTCGCCAAGACCCTTTTTTTCTATCCGCGGAAGGCAAAAATTGGGCCAGACATGCAGCGTGGTGGGCAAGGACTGTTCGCCCCGGTGAGACCGCGGGCGCGCGCTTGTGTGCACAGTTTTGGGGGGGGATTGTACAAGAGGGCCCCCTCCATCCCCTTGTCCTCTTCCATCAGATCGCCGCCCATGCAGTTGTCCTAGCTCAAGATGCTCCGGAGTACTAGCAGGAAAAGGGCACAATTGGGGGGCAAAAAAGAGAGAGAGGAAAGGGTGGGAAAGACGATGCAATTGACAAAATGGGGGTCCGCGACTTGCATATCCCATACATACTGCAGATGCAGAAAAGCTGGTGCAACCTGATACTGATTTCAATTCTTGGAAAGTTGGCACTCAGGCGCAAGTAAGATCTCGAACCCTTGTGACGAATCATGACCAAGCACACATGGCACGAATGGTCAGTCATCCAATTGATGTTTGGCTTTTGACACCACCTGAGAAAAAAAGGGCCCCCGGGACTCTTTGGGCTTGCTAGGTAGGAAAGAAAGAGGTGTCAGGTCTCACTCCACGGTAGATCCACTAGGGGACTGGAGATAAACGAGAATAGAGCTGCCCCTGTCCTAGCTGAAAGCGCACTTTAGCAGCCCGTTTGGCAGCGCCGGTGAATTGGCTGCGGCGCCATCCATGACCCAACCCAACCCAGCACTTCCTTATTCAGCCAAGTCAGAAAACCCAGCAGCCTCAATCATCCTCGTCCGTACCTAGAGTACTGTTACTCTGTAGAAAGCCTCCAGCCTCCCAGCAAGCCGGACTGGCAAGGGTCAAGGTTCTTTCTCTGCTGCCTGTACTGACATACGAAATACTGTACCGGCCGTCTGTTCGCTTATTATTTTGCTCTCTGGGGGGGTTTTTTCTCCCTCTTTAATTCAACCCCTTGTGTTATATTCACAGACAAGCTTTTCCTTCTCTCTCCTGTCATATCTCTCTCGTCAGCACCCTGATCCCTTCCTCGCCCATTCCACTCTGTCATAGTCTGTCCATCTCGCGCCCCCTTATCCCGCCAGGCCAAGAGCTCGTGTCCGTTACATTAGTAGTAGAACCTCGGGATATCTACCTAGTCTCATCGAACACAAACGAGGATATCCACATTCTAGTACTACTACTGCTGCTACCGACTACTGGCCTGCGCCTGCTTCTCCGAGCCTCCTTCGCCGCACCGGAATAGTGTGCCGTGATAGCAAAGACTAGTGTATATTGGGCTTGTCCCCATTCGAGCTCGATCCACTTGAGGCTTCAAGGACCCTCCCACCATGATGCAATAAGAACAGCTCTTTGGCCCTCCTCTGAACTTTCTCACATCTTCGCTGCAGTAGCTCCTGCATTAGCATTGCGCACCCGTGGAGACAATAGTCTGAGACACTGTTTATATACTTCGCGTCCTTCTTGCTATCATACTCCAACCATGGCCGCGTATTCCCCCCTCCCAACAGACGAGAAGTCCCCAGCAGCGTTGTCGTCCAACTCGGAATCCTCTACTCGACGAAAGATGATACCAGCACGGCGGTTGGCATTCGGCCTTTTGGTCATGATGGTTGCAGCCTTTGGCCTGACCACAGCGTCCTTGACTGAAAGACAGCCTAGTAGTGGTGGTGATCAGGAGAGCAGCATGGTGCAATCGGATTCTGGATTCTCGAAGATGCTGAGCTCGGCATCACCGGATTGTATTCACCAGCTGCTTCACACTTACTTCCCGGACACCTTCAAGGATGGACATGACGACGACTCCCTTTCCTCATCACTAGGAGAGCTGGCAAAGCGTCAGAACAGCAGCTCGACCGCAAACTCTGGTGCCGCAACTGTCACCTCTTCGGGTGCTTCTACTACTGCTGCCACTTCGGATGACACCACTTCCGCCACCGTTGCAGAGGAGAGTACAACAACACCAACTGGAAAGACCACCACCACTACGGCTCAGGGAACCGTACAAGTCGAGACAACTACTGCTCAGGAGACGACTACCGCCAAGGAGACGACAACTGTCGAGACCACAGCTGATGGAACGACAGTGGAGGTCACCACCACCAACGAGCCGACTACTACAACTACATCCACGACCACGCCAACTGCTGCTGGGACGACTACACCGACTGGTACGTCTACTCAAATTACTTCTTCAACCACTTCAAGTCGTTCCAGTACAACGACATTACTTTCTTCATCTACCACTTCTTCTTCTATCGAGACCTCTTCTTCAAGTTCGTCTTCCACTTCTACGTCTTCCTCCACCTCTTCTCAAACTAGCTCTTCATCGACCTCAACATCCACTACTTCTACTACTTCTTCCACCACCACTTCCACAACCTCTAGCACCGCGGGTACGTTTCTGTGTTGAGCCTAGATGTAATGGCTCGCGGTGCATTTCATGCATTCCTGTGTCCTTGTCACATGATTTTTCCCTCCGTGAGGCAATATGTGAGACGATTCATTGCTAACAATTCATATAGGCACTACCTTGGTGACTACTCCATCGTCCAGCAAGACGACTGCCAAGGCCACCACTACTTCGTTCCACACTTCAACCTTCACTTCCACTTCTACCATGCCAAATGGTGCGGTCACTACCCTGACCTCTACCTATGTTGTGGACGCTGCGTCGTCGTCGACTGCGGCAGCTACGACAAGCGAGAGTGCTGGTCAACTGCAAACTGGATCTTATGCTCCGAATATGCAAATCCCCATCCTCGAGGTGGTCATTGCAGCTGCAATTGGCTTTGCTGGCTTCCTCGCATAAAATTCATATCACCACATTCGCAGACACGAATGTCGTTCTTCTGGACGTCGTCAGCAAATAATTCTTCGTCAAAGGACGTCGATCATGGGTTGGAGAGAGGAGGTAATGAAAAGGGAGACTGATATTCAAAATGCATATTGGACCAAAGGGGTCCCGGCGTTCACGGACAGGCACCAGGTTTTTGATGCCATCATCTGCATTATACAAAGCGTTTCATGGCATATACACTCCTTAGATACCCTGGGCAGCATAGCGGGCATAGAAAAACAGCATTTGGCATTATCGGGAAAGTCAAGCGACACACAATAGGAAATAGTAAATACGCTGTAATCATTCCAACAGCCACAAACGGATAGAAGGGAATAGACATTAATTGTCAACATACTAAAAACATTGATAATAAACCTTGTGTGTTTCGTGTGCAAGTCGACTGCCTCCCTAGGGAATTGGAGGGTTATTGAATCACCGGTAATGACATGGATTGAATTGTAACAGGAGAGCAAGTGGTAAGAGGTTCATGTACTTCCCGTTGCAGCGGGCATTACTGGGTTTTATGCGCTGTCCGCTAAACTCGCAAGTGAGAAGAGCAGGTAGGTGTAGATGTAGGATCTTTACTGAGCTCTGGTCGCATTGCATAGGAAGCTGCCGACGTGGACTCTGAGACAATGAGTGATCAGAGACATACACTGGCGCGTAGAGCCTAATTGAGATCCTCGGTGGGTAGGCAGGTATTTGTTGTTGTTGATGTTGTTGTTGTCTTATAACGCATAACAAATGCACGCACATGGGAGGAATGCGGACAAGTGCAAGAAATGCAACGATAAACACTAAACATGAAATATAAGCACTGCAGTGTGTCGCTACGATGAATCGAGTCGGGGCTATTGGGATGCAAATGCCCATCCAAGACATTAAATTCGCCTGTTCCTAGTTGCTGCTTGTAGAATGAAAAGGTCGTAAAAGGTGCACTGCCTATTCGCATGAACATCAAGAATGCATCAAACGCCATGTAGTGCATATTGAATGATGGAGAGAAGATATCAATGCGAAAAAGAGGAAAATCATCAACCACAAAATCACGAGGTCCAATGGCCGAGCGGTAAAGAAACAAGCTCTTGAGTGTAGTGGCCACCCAGGTGAAAACTGAGATTCTCTCCGATCTGACGAGAGGGTGTTTGGGAGGGGGCTTGGTTCGAATCAAATGAACCACCAGAGCCATCGATCTTTTTTGTCGTTTTCTCCCCCATTCCCCTCGTGGCCCTTTGTCTTCTTCATCTTTCGTGACACCGTTTGGACATGGTATTTTAGCAAAGATGAATAATTAGAGATGCATATATAATACCACTTCCGCTTTGGAGATGAAACGCGGTTTTGGTAGGTTTGGATTGGTTCTTGTATTTGTCTAGCCTGGTCCGATCTTGGGCATATCGTGATGCTCGCTGAGTTTCGATAGATAGGTATTGAGCTCCTCTACCCTCTCCTTGTGCGTCTTGAGCAATTCCGGCCTCGAACTCGAGGATTGCGCAAGTTCTAGCATCTGTATTGAGGGACATGCATCGTTAGTGACACGATTTCTCTCGTTTGCAGGAAGGTTGGAATGAACTGGGAAGTGTGTTTTTACGAACCTTTTTCCTCTTATATTCCTCGTGACGTTTTTGCGCCTCGGTCTTGTATTCTATCGGCTCATCGTGCTCGTCCTCCTCTTCCGGTCGTTCGTCATCCCGAGGGGACTTCTTCTTGCCGGCTGGTTTCTCCAGCTCCTTGCTGTCAGCCGGCTCGCCCGTCGAGAGAGCGTGCTCCAGTCCGGCGGCCTTGTCCTTCTTCTTCTTCTTGGACTTGGAGACCTTGCCTCCCTTTAGCTTGAGGGCGCCGCCTCCGCTAAACGCCGTGTAGTCGTCGGACGGCATCAATCGGACAGAGAAGAAATTGGGGAGCGCAAAAGACAGGTTGTCGTCCCCCCGCTTGCGCAGTTTCCCGGACTCCGGACAAGCACGTTGATAACAAGGTTTGGGCTGACGCGCTGATGTTGAAGCGGTCGATCGCGCTGAAAGGCAAGGCGGCGGACAGCGGGCTCAGCTTGAAGCCCCGCCGGGTCTCAGTGGGGAGCTACCTGGTTCCGTTGCAGCTTGGCACAATGCCGAACAGAACCCTGCTGACGCTCTTACTGCTAGGAAGTATTACATAGTAGAAGCATGTGTAGTAAAGAGAATATAATTACAAAGTAGACATTCGCGGAACCTTCCCGATACTGTATATAAAGGTGGATTCAATATTCTTTCCATCTATACTGATTTTTCGCGACAGCTCAGTCAGTGCCCATCCCGCACGCGTACCTAGGTAATCAATCGTACACGAGTTGTAAGAAATACCATGCAGTAGTGAGGCAGTACATGGTACCTTGTGAGCATAGAGCCCGCCGCTTGCTCTTGAACGTCCATCTGCATGCGCAGGATACCTTGAAGATATCTTCATGATGATACATCCCATAAGCTAGCGCTCACTTCATTGAATAACAATTTGTGTTACTTGGAATATACATAGCACATGTCATAATACTACACAGATTCATCTGTCAAACGCGTGGCCGACCTGAGTATGAACCTATACAAACGCGCTGGGGCCCGCTTTCAATTTAGCCGCACTTCACCGCCCGGGGATCCACCCGCACCTGGTATAAATTCTGTGTCGCAAATCTGCTGCTTCGCAGTCCCCTTCTGGATTTGCTCTTCAGATCAAAAAGTATTCACAACGCAGCCACGACCTTCACCTCGAACTTCTACAGTGATGTGTTGCCATTCTCTATAAGAGAAGTCGCGTTGGAGACCAATATCCTGGCTAGGAAGTTTTCCGTGCGTCCTTCGGGACAATGCGCGGTGAATGTCGAAATTTTCAGGAGACATTCCAATCAAATATTGCTTGAATTGTTTTTTAATGCCTAAGTAGCGTAGACGTGTAACTGAGCGTTGCTACCCTTCATCACTGAGAGCTGAGTGCGACTAATCTGTCGTCGTTCTCTCAAGGTGTGTGTGAGGCTGCCACCGACCATTACTTTTCTTATTCAGAATGCTATGCTCAAATGATCCATGGGCCGTCCACCCACGACGGCGCTGACGATGAGTGCTTGCCATCAAGCATCCCATGAGCTGCCGTGCTGTCACTTCATGTGTGCAAGGCAAATTGTGGCTGCACGTTGCAGAAAAATCGTTGCTACCCGCAAGGGAGCAGACTGGGCAACAGCAAAACGGCATGCAAAGTCTCAGCCACCTCTCTGCTACTGCAAACGGTTGCGGCCTGGGCAGTCATCTCAGACTCTCATCTCAGCGCCATATTTTCGAACCAGTGTACGCTGCCCAGTTAAGTGGTAGTCTCTTGGTAGTGGAATGCGCAGTAATCCCGTGCCATTCTTCGTGGGCATGGTCACCAAGCATGTTGATATCCAATGATTTTGAGACAGCAATGTTGACGCGCTTCCGCAGGAACGGTCTCATGGCCGCCTTCGTTATAAGAGTCGTCCCCAACGACCGCTGTTTCCGTCAAAAAGAATCTTCTCCAGCATCAACAGCTTGGTCTCGACGGATCTCTAATACTCAGTCGCTCGTTTCTACTTGCCACATTGGCTCTGACGCTCTTTTTGCAAAATATCCTAGACACTCGTTTCTGAATTGATCTCGTCGACTTACCTCGTCACTATAGTCAAAGATGTCTACCACCATCATCAACGGTACTGCCACATCGGCCTTTTGGTCATGTGTTCCCACCACGTCTACTGCCATCCAGACAGTATGGACCACTACATATGTGACTGAGCTGGTTGCCGCCTGCCCAACCAGCATGTGGACGGCCACCTACACCATCGAGGAAACCTGCACCGGCAACCCGGCCAACTACCTGCCTCCGCCCATTCCTGCTGGCTTTGTCGTTACCACTGTTACGTGCGACTCTTGCGGACCCTCCTCCGAGATTGTCATTACCTGCCCTGGCGCCCAGCCGACTGGCGTGCCTCCCACTGTTGTCATCCAGGGCAACGGTGTTACTGCTGATATCACTCCCACTGTCACTGTTACTGCGGCTGCACCAGGTGGAGGCAATGGCGGTGCTGGTGGTGCCAACCCAACGGGCGCTCCTGGCGGCAAGGGCAACGGTTCTGGCGCAAACGGATCTGGCTCGGGTCCCAACGGCTCTGGTGCAAACGGCGGTGGCAACGGAGCAGGCTCCAACCCTGGATCTTCTGGCTCAGGCTCAGGCTCTGGATCCTCCAACCCACAAGGCTCGGATATGGGTGACATGGGATCGGGCAACACTGGCTCCGGCTCCGGCTCTGGTACAGGATCTTCTGGTCCCATGGGCATGAGCGGTGCAAACGCTGCTGGAAACGGTACCAGCAGCAGCGGCAGCAATGGCACCTCGAGCAGCATGCCAATTCCGGTCACTGCCGGCGCCGCATCCTTCAGGAGTGTCCTTGCTGCTTCTGGCCTGGCAGTGATCGCCATTGTGCCACTTCTTGCCTTGTAATCGGGGACTGGAAACTAATATCGAATAAGGGTGATGGAGGGGATTTGGTTAAAAAACAGAAGAAGAACAAGGAGGTAGGGATGTCTCGAATGGTCGGCCATTTGGGCTCCCGTGGTTGGCCTTCTCGCATATGTTTAATGATTTGATGTATCTGCTCTTTACTTATTATTTTTTTTCTCATCGCCTGCTCCGTCTCGCATTCCGGACCACATGGATAATCATAGAATAAGAGAGTTGGGTATTCGTTCGGCCTAGGGTGGGTACTTACTATTGTATTTTTGTCTTGGGCAGAGTCTTCCAGCATACAATTGACATTATTGCAAACCATGTCCTTTTGAAAATGACTACCTTATGTCATTATACCTGTCATTTCATTGATGCAAGTGTGTGACATTGATCTCCAATCTTGCCTAGGAGACAGGCAGATATTCATTGGTATGTCTCAGCCTAGAGGCAGGCCTATGCATACTATTAGGAATTGGAAGATTTATCCTTTCAATGGGGGTTGTCTTTTTCTAATCAATGGCAACATTGCTTTGGATACAGGTCTTGGTGATTGACACAATGCGAGACAGTGGTTGTATACTGCCACCATAGACTTCATGCTTTAAACACACCTGACACCAAGTATATAAGGCAGGCCATGGAGATTGTATAATGAATTGTACATTGCTTTGTTACAGCGTGGAGATCTATCCCCATTTTGATGCTTTATAATATGATACAGTATATCGGCCGACCCGCAACAGAGACTATCCTCATCCATTGTCGGCACACAAGTTTGATCATATGAACACAGATCCTCCAGTTTTGACAGAGCGCAGACACATGCCAAAGGCCGACAGAAACAAACCCATAAGTTTGGGCGACTAGTCCTTTCGGCGTCCCCTGTAACGAGGCACTCCACGAACTCTGTGGGTATACTTCCACAAGCTCTTGTACTTGGGCTTTTGTCGCTTGACTTCCCAACCACGGGCTTTCCTCTCTCCCTTCATCGAGTACACACGCTTGTGCTTGAACTCAATGTCAGCACCAGGAATGCCATGGCGCTCCATGACTCCCGCTGTACCCTCATCCCAGACGGTACGGAAGATGTTGAAGCCCACGGGGTTCAGACCGAACTTGTCACGGTAGCTCTTCAAGCTGAATCCATCACGGCCGCTGTACAGCTCCTTGAGCTTGGCAAGGTCTAGCTTCTCGCCTGGCTTCTGCTCGAGCACGAATACGGACAGACGGTGGTAGGGAGCACCCTTTTGCGAGAATGCAGGCAGCCATGGTACTACCAGCTCTGTCTCTTTGTTGACTAGACCGAGAGGCAGAGACTGAGTATTGGGAGAGATGGGGATGTTTGCCGCAAGATAGTGGCAGCGACGTTCGAAGCTGTCCGTCTCGGCGTTGGGGACATCCGAGTCCATGACGACGACAGAGACTAGCCGCTCGCCAGAGTTGAAGACCTGCACCTTCAAGCGAGGAGGAGTCTCTGTCACTCTGCTGTCCAGAATCTCGCCAGGCTCAACCTTGTTCCTGCGGAAGAACATTTGCACGTCGACCGTCGGCTCGAACTTGGGGAGAACATCCGGCACAATGTTCAAGGTCTCTATTCTTTGCTTAATGAGACGGAAGGGATATCCACGCCACTTCTTCTCGGCTAGGTGACGGTAGACGGGTTTGTCGAAATCGCCTAACTCTCGTGTAAGTCCTCTGGTCCTCGATTATGGATATTGGTCAGGCGCATGACTTACCAAGACCATCTTCAAACTTGCGCTTGACAATTGGATCGTTGATATCGACCAAAACTTTGAGTTCCTCGACATAGTCTCGTAAACTGGCCAAGCGCCTGTTCTTCTTCGTCTCTCCTCCAGGCAGCTTGTCCGCTGGTGTCTCTTCTAGCCTTTTCATGGATGCCAGTGTCGACTGGAGCGCCTCGAGCTTCTCTTGGCGGTCCTCCTGAAGGATCTTGCGAGCTTCTTGGAAGCATTGGTACGGCAGCAGCTCGAAGGGAATATTTGGCGAAGTCTTGATGGCGGCTCGGCGACGTCTTGAACCAATTGGCGGCAGGCCCTGCTTTACTAGCTTCCTCTCTCCCCAATAGCTCGTAACAGTATCTCTGGCATCTTGCGATGCTGCTTGAGAGTCGGCCGACTTTGCGATTGTGCTGCTCGGAGTGGGTATCGGCTCAGATGCCGGCGGTGCGGTCGTAGTCGTGGTGGTCACCTCATCTTTCCTGGCTGTACTCTGGGTAAAAGTGCGGCTCAGGGCAAATGAAGAAGACTGAAAGGCCGGCGCCTGACGCAATGACCGGGTTATTGGTCCTGCGACCCTCTGGCAACTCGACATGGCTCCGTACAATCGTGCATTCGAGCTCTAAAGCTTTGTCCAGACGTCCGAGTTCGAACTTTTTTGAAGCTCGACCTAACAAGCGCGACATCGAGCAGGGGGCCAGACGGACCCACCTTGCCTTGGCTCTTTCTTTGCGGCCCGCCCGCAGCTGCCAATCGCAAGTTCGATAATTTTCTGGACGGGAACCTTGAGCTATTGCAAGTGTTGATTGGAGCTTGACGGCATCAATCAATACCGTCCATCACGTTTCATCATGGCTTCAAAGGGTGTCCGAGGTCTAGGTGAGGCCTTCAGAGCTCTCAGCCTCACATCTCAATCATGTAGAGAAGCCGGTCTGGTATGACAATTCCCTCTGCAGTGCTCAATGCGCTTTTGCTAATACCTATCCATTTCCAGCACCGAGTCCCAGCACTCACCAGGTCAATGGCCACTGAGGCGACTCTTCCACAAACGACTGCATCAGTAGACACGAGTTCAAATATTTACCAGTCTCAACCGACTGTTCCGTTGACGATTTTCTCGTTTCCTTCGTATGAACCCCAACGCCTCGAAGCCTGGTCCTCGAAGCACCTCAACCTGCCATTGCGCCGGGACATTCTTCACTTGGCCGTGGTATACGAGGGTGACAACACGCGACAAGGAACCGCTTCATCCAAGACACGATGGGAAGTCCGTGGTTCCGGACGCAAGCTCTATGCGCAAAAGGGTCTCGGCCGGGCGCGAGTCGGCGACGGTCAGTCTCCCCTGAGGAGAGGTGGTGGAAAGACGTTTGGTCCCAAGCCTCGCGATTTCGGCACCAAGCTCAACAAGAAGGTCTACGATCTTGCATGGAGGACGGCCCTCTCCTACCGATACCGCCGAGGCGAACTGGTCGTGTGCCAGGATGGAATGGAGCTCCCGCTACCCGCCGAATTCGAGGAGCTTGTCCTGAACCACCAGATCAGAGACGAGGAGTTGCTCGATGGCTTCAAGGCGCGCTGGGCAAGACAGGTGCTGGATAGCAATGAGTGGGGAAAACAGCATGGAAGAAGCACAATCATTACCGGCTCGTGGCGGGATAACTTGTTTGAGGCAATGGATCTCGTACCAGGATACGGCCGTGCGCTCGATGTCGACGATGTCGACGTTAAAGACCTACTTGAAACAGGCAGGCTCGTTGTTGAGAGAAGTGCGCTCAAGGAGATGATTGAGAGGCATCAAAGTGATCTGGTGTCGAGTGTCTTTATGAACGGCGCAGTGGTGGGCTCGAAAGGACCCGAGAGCGGAAAGATTATCGTCGAGTAGACCGAGCGCGTCAAAAGGCGTGTCATGTATTATATACGATCTACTGTAAATCAAAATGTACAATTGGCCAGCGAATAGTCCCATCTCTACATGTCAACTCGTAGTAGTGGAGACACCGGATGTGGAGTTGTATGCTTCTTTACTGTTTTGTAACTCCACGTTTGGCACGATATGTCTCGTGATTTTGTTTTGTGTTTATTTATCTCGGGCCACAGCGTAATTGACCTGCCATGACGAGTATCTGCATAAGTAGTCATTATTTCATTTCACTGCGAAAGGATTCTTTCGCCTTATTCTCCAACGGCCACCGTCATCTCGTTGCATCGTGACCGAGAGCCCCCCAAAGCCTTCCAAAACCGTCCTCATGAGCTCATCCTCGTAATCTTGCTCCCTCACTGTCCTCTGAATTGTACCACGAGATTGTCTACTGCTTCCACAAGATTGACTGCCGGCCAACGTGCCGCAGAGTTCGGGGATGGATCTCCGTTTTCGCGGAGATTGATTTTGCGTAGGTCTGCCCATGATGGGTGTCGATTTGGACCTTGACCGCGGAAGTTGATTTGACAAAGAAGAAGAGATAGAAGAAGGAGGCGGCAGCTGAGACGATCTAGTGAACCTCTGAGCTTGGATTCCTGACCGCCGCGATGATTGCTGCTGCTGCTGCTTTTGAGTGGATGAGGATGACGACGAGAAGGCGCGTTGGGAGCCCGCCGGCCAGAGCAAGTCCACGAAGCCCAGCGTGTAGCCGGGAGGGTTCAACGAACGCGCATCGTCTCGTCAGTTGTCGAAGACAAACATTTCTCTATACTGCTGCGTGGCGTCTACCACTGATTGCACAACGTTGTAGTCTGTATGCCTATTTAGCCGGGTATACAGTATAGATTATAGAGATATGTGAAATCAACATACCGACATTGTCGCCGAGATCCTTGGACGTCAGAACCTTGATGGAGAGATCTGTGTTCACTTTGCCAATAATCTGGCAGGCATTGCCGGGAGTAAGATGCTCTTGCTATCAGCCAGTCAGCATTGATAATCCCAGCCCTTTTTCGAGAAATGCTATGACATACAGCGGTTAGGTTGATGGAGATCTGGCCGTCAGCATCGATCAAGGCCTCTGTGCCGCGGACTTGAATCACTTTGCCTACGATCATGACATTCTTGTTGATGTATGATTCGATGTAGCGGCCAGAGACGCGAGGGGTCGAAATGGGCTCCATTTTGACGATACGACAACCAACTTGATCGAGGGAGCTAATTCAAGGTTGATTTTTCTCCGAGTTGAAATCAAATCAGGAGGTTTGAATATGCTATGATCAATTGCACAGTACTTCTTGACAAGTAAAGAAAGATTCGATGCCTGGTACTAGGCAAGTTTAGGTGGGGCAAACGCGTCCAGACCGAGGTGCGGGTGGGAGACGCGACTCGACTCACGTGTCCGTCACTAATGGAGGACGCAGGGGCCCTAGCAATTAAAGTGCCTAAAATGGACACTGGCATTGAGTTTCAACTGTTCCACTGGCTGCCAACGGTTTCGGCTTCAACGTAATTTGTGTCTTTGTTTTCTATGAATGATCCAGGTAAGCCTCTCTGGAACTCCTCTCGAATGCTGTCGGAGTACATTGTCATGATTTTTTGTTCTTTTCCACGGGCAACCGACAACCAACCGTCTTGGGTATCGGTCACATTTTCACTTGCTCAACTTTGCGCAACTATGGCTGGCAGTGGGGGAATATCCCCAACGACGTTCACAATGGCATCGATCGCACTGAAATGGGTCCTTTTACGAGACCGAAATTTACCCAAGCTAATGTAGGCCGAGACTGCGACTGCGTTATGTCTAAGCATGTTGGGCCATGAAGCACCAACATCGAGAGCCCCAACTCATGGAGTGGAGCTGAGGATCCCCAGAGTCAAGACTCGCTTGACGGGAATGTCGTGGAGTTGAGCTCCATGACTACGAACCTATATCGTATGTACACTGCCAAGCTTCCAAATTTAGGAACTCCAGGCCAGTTTGGACGTGACAATCTCATGTAGGCTCGACCGTGCCACACGAAACGCTCCATCGTCATAGGACTTCGATGTTGGCGTCCTTGTGTTCTGATGTCACCGCCCAGGAGTGCCCCGGCGACTCCCATCATCAGCGGCGTGGTCGAGACGATAACACATGTTCGGCCAAGGTGCCATTGTTTCTGCCGACGGATATTGCCGGCATGTCGGCTCGGAATGCCTGGTTGGCGTTTCGCATACCGAGAGTGTCACGAAACAGCAACGTTGTGCCGCTAACAAGTTGAGGATGCGAGCCTTCACCGTGCTCTTCCATGCAACAGATTTTTTATCGTCTAAACAAGTGTTTGATGAAGTCATGCCCTTGCACTGATTTCAAATGTAAATCTGTTCTGTGTAGCTGTCAGTCGGTTTCGTGGGATCAGGCACGATCCCTAGCCTCGGACTGGAGGCTTAGAACTCTAATCCGCATCCTTCGCGAGTCCGCATGCAACGTACAACTTGCCGCATTCAACCATTGGACCCAATAGCCGCAGCGTCTAATCCCCTGTTAAGTCTATCTCGGTAGGCCCAGTGGATTCCACCAGAAGGATCAACTTGCAGGATAGGATCATTGCCCTGACGATCCAAACGCCAAGAAATACCGATTCCTGTCTGAGCTCCGCCGCTCTACTGCTTATGCATTCTGGAGTGCAGCATCTCTAATAATCGGAGCCTTGAGCATCACTGTCCTTTCAACTGTATCGGTTCCAAGCTAACAAAGTGTAAATCGCCAAACACGTGCTACGATCTGACAGGCAGGAATATTAGAAGTTGAATACCTATGACCCCCAGCTCCTAAGGAGATGACATGGAGCATTTGCTTACACTGGATTATTCATCAAAATTTCCTGCAATAGCTGCAATTTGTCTGACAGTTCCTAGGAGTTGAGCGACTTGGGGGCAATGCTGCGGAGGTCTTTGTCGATCAGTGCAGGGCCGCCAATCGTATATCATACCGCGTTCCTTGTCGCTTAACGGATGGAATGGGTTGTTTCATTGCTTCGCGCATGAACCATCGACAATCCTACCTGACAGTTCGCACGAGGCATGTCTCTTTACTTGTGAGTAGCCGAGAAAGGCCTGATATTGCCAGGTTGGCCCGCTGCTCGCATCTGCCTGGCATAGATCGAGGCTGTATCTGGTTGTCGTCGTTCTTGGGGCCTGTCGACGTGCATCTCCAGTTGCGTCTCGGCACAGGGATACAAGTACATACCTCGATTTCGTGGACGTCGATCGTACAAGGAGGTATGCTGAGTGACACTTGGGGTTTTCTAACAATACACTTTGACGGACTCCGCGGGCGTCAGATCGAACCACCCATAATCTATCGGCCCCATGCTGGCTTGATGCCAAATCTGCCTTGTTGGTCAACATCCTGAACATGTCTTCGAGGTCCCATAACAACTGCTTGTATCAATCTCACCATCTATTGGGCTTCGTTAGCTAGTCAACCTATTCAAGCATGCGATGTCAATGCCGTTTGTTCTTCGGCATATGCATTGGAAGCTATACCTTGTTCATCCCAAGAAGAAACTTCCTGTGCAGCTGCGCACATGGGCATGCCGCCTTTTAGAAGTCCTTTGAGAGTTGAGGTGGTCAGATTCATAAGCCGGCAAGTGGTCTAGGCTCTCTGTTCTAGTATTGTGCCGTTAGGCAAAGAGGCATGATAATGCGATGATCCTCCAACAGCCGTGATGCAGAATTAGATCGAAAGATCGAGACTCGCCGCATGTCCTACCGACATACTCTATTACTGCAAATGGTAACATCTCCCGCCAGATGAGCTTTCAAATCCTTGATTTCCTCTCTTACATCATTACCAATATTGAAAATCTCATTCCATTTATACATAGCGAGCACGTTATAGACGCCCAGACCATATCCCGCTCTCTATTATCTCATTTACCACGCAGCATTGCCATATGCACGTCATATTTCTCTACTCTTCTCGTCACCTTTATCAAACATCACTTATCGTCAAATTAAGAAAGGGATCTCCTATCATAGCATCAATCATTTTCAACCACCAACAGTGACCGGACCCACAGCTACGACAGCTCAGCGGCATTAAACGACCAGGTCACTGGGAAAATCAATACCTGAGCACCAACGCAAGTCTGGACACAGACGCTGAATGACCAAGGTCCCATCGGGCGACCACAGCAGTACCTTCTTGCCCGATTTCATATTTCGCATGGGTTAAAAAACGTTGAACTGTCATACTCAACCTCGTTATTCGGTGCCAGAGATCGACATTTATAAAGATATTAAGATTAACATATCAAGATAAAATTCTAGAACCGACCCAGAAGAAAACGTTCCATCTTTGGCTTGCAACAAACGACATAACTCCTCGGGAATTAGTGGCAGCCTTACCTGTTGGCTGTATTGGGATCAGAGAAATACTGTGCCTCATTCCTGCGAGAGGATCCAAACATCGCTCGATAGGTAGTCGGGCTAATCCAGTCCCAACAAGCTTCGATTCAATAGTGCGCTCCTCCTGGCCTATTCGGTGTCAAGCGCTTGCAACAAACAATCAGATCATTAAACTGGTCAGAGATCATGTTTTCAATACTTGATTAACCCAAATTCTAGAGCCTTGATCAGATAATCCTGACTTCCAATTAAAGACTGAGGAGGTTTAGCGCAACTTCTGTTGTGCTTGGCCGCAGAGTGTTCTGTGCCGTTCACCGAACAGACGTCAGACGCCCGGGTCGGGCGAGGATCAGCCTATTATTGTTTTCCGGAACCCAAAAAAATATACTGCCACCGTCCTGTTCTTGTTTGCGCGCATCTATCCTGGTCACTTTCATCCTCACGGCGCGTCAGTACATTGGAAGGATGGACGGCGATGCGCATTTTTACAGTTATGATCCGCAAGCACAAGATGGTCGAGGTTATCAAGCCTTTGATGGAGAGGCCGGTGCTTCGCAGCAAATATATCATTCAGGATTTGCGGCGCTCTCATTCCCCGAGGCTGTACCATCACAGCCTGTGCACATGCCAATCGGGCTGATGCAGCCACCGTTGACACGGTCATCTTTACCAGCGAGAGCGTCCGTTCAGTCCGATCTTGATATATATGGATCGGCACCACCCAATCACCAGCGCCAGAGACGGCTGTCACCGGCGCCTAGTCTTGATCGTTTGAAACTCGAATCCCCAGAGCTTACCAGCGGTCCGTCCAGTACACCAGAGTCAAGGCTATCTGGACAGAGCATTACTCCAAATATTACACCACCGGATCTCGCGGCTTATCCCATTCAACCATCGAAACCCTCAGAGGCAGTGTTTCCACCGCCAGCGCCGTTACTACCCAGGCGAAGGCGGCCTCGGAAACCTCGTCCAAAACCAGAGCTGAGCGTAGAGGAGGAGACGGCCAAGAGGGAGAAGTTTTTGGAAAGAAACAGAGTGGCTGCAGGGAAATGCCGAGAAAAGAGGAAAACATGGATGACTGACTTGGAGGATACCAAGCTCGAGCTCGAAGATCGCAACACCCGACTCAGAACAGAGCACAGCGCACTATTGATGGAGTTCAACCAGATGCGGGCCGCCTTGATGGCGCATGCCAACTGCGGCGATGTCAGAATCAACAAATGGGTCGAGAATGAAGCGAAGCGTTTTGTCCTGGGTGCTGGAGAGCAATATGACTCGATGCTCGCTACTTATGGTATATCGACTGGGCCGCAGATAAGGAATGACAGTACATCGACAATGTCCGAGTACACGACGGCCGTGATACAGGACATGGAGAATGCTTCACGCCAACGTACTATACCTGTGACTCATGGTATGAGTCCGACACAATCAGCATCTATTTCGATGCCACGAGCCATGCCCGACACTTCGATCTTGTTCCGGGATCCTGCGACACATGACCCCGGTAGACGCCCGATGATCTTGAACGAGCCAGTCTACATGGTCTCACCGACAACCAGGATAGAAAATAACGCAAGCCTTGGAAATTATCTTGAGAATGTGCCTCGTCCATATCCGGCATGTTGAGAGTTCCCGATGGAATGAATGTGTCTTTATGAAACGGTCTTGCAAATAGCTGGGAGGTATCCTATCAAGCCGGACTTGGGAAAGGTGGAAAATGGTTTGGTTTTGACTTTGGCGTTGATTGGACCGGTCACAGTGCACAACATCTCTTGGATACCCAGCGTGATTTCGAGGCTCCGGGCGTTATGCGAACCTGGGCGAATTGAATTCTGATTGAATAATTTGTTCCGTTGTCATGTTCGTGAAAATCATCTATACCGTTAAAAGTTTCCGTGAATGGAAAGGGAAGGAGAGTTCAGCTGAGTTGAACCGTTGGCCGCAGGTAAGATAAAGATTGGTATACTTGCTACGAGTCGTCGCCCTCAAGGTGGACAAGTCAAAGTGGAGCGAGCGACTGATCCTCGACACTGCCAACGCATAGTACTGACGTTTGTACACAGTATACTATAGACACCTGGAACTTCCCGCTCCTATGGACCTACCGAGCATTGAATACAATCCGATAGGTCGGTCATTGAGTCCCAGTCGATGAGGCGGATGGCGGTACGTTACCCGCGAGGAGCATCGTGCATCGTATTCGTACCACGAGTGAGAAAACCCCACAACCAAATTTGACAGCCGAGGTACATTATCTGATCGATTCCCTGTTTCATCAGATAAAAAGCCTTGGCGGAAGATCATTATTTGATTGATCTGGTTCGATGACCGTGCAAATTGACGATGCTGCGGTACCGTCTGTGCAGGTCCAAGGCCAAAAGTCTTACTCGCGCGGGTGATGTACTGCATATAATTGACAAAAGGCAGGGATATGATGACAACATCGTAAACTGCCAGAATAGGAAAGCTACGAGAGAGTATCGCCTAATTATTTCCAACCAAAGTGGACATAGTCCATAGCTGTGATAGATTAACCTTAAATGTATGAACGGATATATATTCTACGTCTGCTGGTCTGATGATCAGGAACCCCCTTATAGGTAAGAAGCTAGATGCTCGCCCGAGTTCGTTCGAGCATGACTACACCATAACGTAAGCTCTCCTCCTGGTTGGATAATTTGTCGCTTCATGTCCACTGGAATCGATGCTTGGCAGTATTGACTGGTGGAAAGATTCAGTAACGTAACATGGGATTTCCATTCATGTTTTCACTCATGACTATCGTTGCCCCGCCAGTGGTAGTGTCGTTGTCGTGAGTTTTGCTGCGAACTGTGGGCACGAAGTGATATCACATGGTAGAATGAATGCCTGTTGAAAGGACTGCTCTACTTGCGTACTCGGGGAGGTATTGGAGTGCCTTGGTTGACCCATGCATAGAGTTCCACCAATGACACTGGTATACCATGATATTTTGTACAAGCAAAATCGAATATATATATGTGGCCTGTCAATTCTGGTTGCATTGGCTCTCCTTCTGCCACAATCACAATCAACTCAGTACTCGACAGTCTCACAAAATGAACTTCTACCTAGCCTTTGTCACTCTCCTCGCTGCTGGCCATGCGGCCACTGTACCCCAGCAGCTCGAAGCTCGCGAACCCAGCATCCCTGCCTGCTGTGCAGTAAGTATGAGCCCAGTTTCCAAGTCCTACAGTCGCTCATGATTATAGTTGGACTGCTACAACGACCCGCGATGCGGCTAGGGTTGCTAGCCACCATGTGCAACCTCGCCATCGAGCTTGTTTAGTTGAGCGCGACTCCTTTTGATCAACATTACCAACGTACTTTGGCACGGAGGACAATATTTGGATATGTTCAAGGTCGCCGGAACGGTTACCACTCTGTCGTGGCCCTCGTTTGACAACTTATGCTAGTCAGGATAGCTTCATATAGGAGGACGTTCATCTTTGATCTTTATGCTCCGTGATTTTCACCTAGTATTGCGAATCGAAAGACAATGATATAGTGACTATTGTTGTAATTGCAACACACAAAATTTCTTGAAGCTTATTAGTATTCTCATTTGGTGTCTTTATTAGATGAGATTATTATAAGTATATGAAGGAAACTTGTAGTCGCTGTAGTGTCTTTTATTTATGGTACATCTGACTCTCTTTCTTGGAGTCTAGGGTCCTCCTTTGCTTGATTAAGTACCCTGAAAAACAAATATCGCTTGGTAAATTCATGCACGGCCAATGATGTGTCCTTACTAGGGTATCGATACAATCACCCCATTACTCTCCGGTTAGTTTCCCTCGTCATATGACGATTGAGTGTATTTTCTTTTCCTTTTTCTTTTGTCTCCTCTTTCTTCCTCCTGGTTCTTTACACAGCGCTATTACCTCTATAAGCCATGGCCTGTGTAGTGCCGCCCTTGGCCTCCCAGTCGGGAGACTGTGGATGCGAAGTGACGTCCTCGCTAGTGACGTGGTACATTGTATGGACAACCACATCGTTTCCGCCGGGCTTGAGGTTGGCATTGGCGTGGTGCTCCACGGTAGCATTCTTGCCAATGATGAACTCCTCGCTGCCGCCAAAGCTGTCCTTGCGCCGGCTGTGCCCGCTGACGCTGCCCGTCATTTCGTAGGGGCCGTGGCCTGTCGCCAGCGTGGCGTGGGTGCGGCCGCCCGTCTTGGTGCCTGCGCCCGAGGAGTACGCTAGCTCGCCCGTCGTCCAGAATTTGCGGCTCGCCATGGGCCGCAGGATCGGAATGTTGACCGTGATGATACCGACAATGGTCTCGCGCACGCCCCATCGGTTTACGTTGAGGGCGGACGGGTGGGCGCCCAGGGTCAGGACCACACGGATAATGGCGGCGGTGATGACGAATAAACCTGAGCACAGAAGCAGGCCAATAACGATCTTTCTGTAAGTGAGAGTTGTGTCAGTCAGCAGCTTAAGCGCATGGAGGTTTAGCCACAACGAATAGGTAGGACTCACTTCTTGAGGGGCACCTGGAGTGTCCACAGGAGAGGCAAAGGGATACAAAGGATGGCAGCGTCCGTGCTGTAAGTTGTCAGCAGTATTCAAAAGTTGGCTTGAATTATAAATGGCCTTACATGACGTTGAGCACGACCGCCACGAGGAAATTCTGCATCTTGAAGGTGCACTTCAATCCCGGATCGGGCACGACCCTATCATGCATTAGTATTCGCGTTGGCCCATATGGTGTTCTATATTGGGCTCCACTCACTGCCAGTTTTTCGAAGTCGGAAAGCAGCCAAAAGTGATCTGCCATGTCTTAGTACTTGCCACGAGTTTTATCTTGATGTTTTACTTACTGTCAAGAAGACGGCAACATATGATGCAACACTAACATATGAGATCCATTTGACTAGGCGGTGTTGCCAAAGGCCAGTGGTCATGCGATGAAAGAAGCACAACATGGTTCCCTTCAAGGCCCAGATGAGAGCCGTATATGAATACCAGGCGACAAGTTCGACTTTGGATCCAAACTCATACGAAGCTATATCCTCGGCAGAGAGTGCTGCAATAGAAGTATGAGAACGATAAAGTCGTGATACATGATCGATTGGTTACATACTCTGTGTAGTTTGCAGCACTGAGGCTTCGACATTCGTACCGGCGTAGTCTGGAAGAGGACAATTAGTAAAACATGGAAGAGAATAGTCAGCTCTGATATCACTTACACACTACATGTACCGTCGCCGCGTCCAAGGTATAGAATATTAACACGAGGAGAGCGAAGAAATCGTCGCCTCTCATGCCCATAAACCCAACCGTCTTGACTCGCACGAAGAAGCGCAGAGTGAGCAGCAGGCAGCCCACTCCGTAAAGGCCCCATACCTCTGCAAGAAACTATAGAGAGACATGATGTTAGTGACTATCATTTTTTTTGTCCTCCCATCGGACTCGGGCCGCAATAGTGTCTCCGAATGTCTTTGATTCGTCTTTCTTGTATGTCTCTGAAAGTCTCGGGAGCGGTAGAGAGTGGGGGAATGCGTGGAAATTCTCCGTACCGAATCATCGACTTCTCCGATCGGCATCTTGGGCGATTCGGTTAAGCGTCACGTTGTCTTTTTTCCGTGCCTTTTTAAACGAGTGGAAGCTGCGGTTCGTTGGTATACCAGCAGACTATCGAGGACAAGCAATTGAATGGCCTGATGATCGAACGATTTCGACGCTGGGGCAAGCCGTGAAGATATCTATTGTCCGGCGTATAACACCTCCAGCCCCGTGTGAAGGGAGGAGAACGCTAGGCAAAAGGCGAGACTCTCTCCCATACACCCTACTCCTACACTATTCTCTCAATGTGCCTGACAGCTATCTCTCAGGTACGTGGCGCCCTGGTTTGACAGATGCCAATGGTGCATGAAGACCATGATTCCTTGAGGTTTGGCGCGGCGCCGGGTTGTCGCGTAGCCAAACCTTGTTATGTGGAAAGTGTCTGGGTCTCCACGGCCCGGGTAGGGCAGCCAGCTTTGAGTTTGGACCACGACGTGCCTTACCAGGAGGAGACACTGAAGGCAGTCTCGCGTGCTTGTTGGGTAATCATGGGCCTGGGGATGGCTCCCGTAGTGGTGGGAGATCTGGAACAAAGAATCAGGCCATGAGGCTTGAGGACTAGACGTATAGTGTATCTACTGGACTAAGCCGGTCTGGATAACTACAGGCAGACTTAGGAAGCCATGCCATTGACTATATGATCTGGGTCTTTTCGGTAGCTGCCGTGATAGGAGCGTGCGGCCGCAGCAAATCTCGCACAATCCCCCCTTCTGATTCTCGAATGGGAGTCAGCAACCCCAGAACATCTGTCAGGCTGTACGGCGACTCCAGATCGCATCGTCGACTCGTTGAGCACTAGATTCCTCCAGTATGCCCTCGTTATCAGCGCTATACTGGGTAGTAGGGCTAGCTACATGCACTCAAAGTCCACGCCAGCCAACCATAGGTATTTGATCCTTCAGCTCACCTCGACTCGCGCGAGCGCTTTGGTGCTTTGGCCGTTAGCAAGCCACGCTTGGGCTGATTTGGTACTGGTGCCGATTGTTACGCGCGCAAATTGGTGCTCAGATGCTGGCTCATTTCTTGGGGGATCATGGGCTGGGTTCATGGGCTCGAAATTGGATTCGTTGTATCTGGATCCCACATACTGCCTCGTCTCGTCTGCAACCTTGAACTCTCGGATAGTCATGATTGTGAAGCGAAATTCCAAGCAAAACCCTCCTGACTCGAGGGCTCCCACACAAAACTTTGAACTCACTGCTGAGTAACAGACTGCGCTATTCTAGCGTGACCCAAGCAGTTGGAACTACACAAGCAACAAAGTGTGGCACATGGGATTTTGGCTTTTCCATTGCAGAAGCTCAACTGCATGAACCAGACCAAAGAGTCGTGCTTTGTAACTCAGGGGAAATTTCCTTTCTACGAGGTTTGATAGTGCCGCATGCTAGACATCAAGAAAGAAAGTTTTGCACCGTTCCGAACGTGCAACAACAATGCTTATCAGGGTTATAAGCTTTGCCCATCTATTATTGGGAGCGTTTCAAGGCTTGTCTTCTGCAGATCAGTTACAAGATTGACAAAACTCTCCAATGTCCGAGCGTTAGCTGCCGGTTTGCCGCAGGTAATGCTGCTTGCTGCTTGGAGACTCTCGGGAGAGTCTCCCGGATATCGCCAGAGTCGGGGGACTCGAGCCCACTCGAGGACCAGCACTCTGATGGCACCGTAACGACGCGGAGTAGACTTCCGGGGGGCGCTATATTCTGTAAGCGTGAATATCTAGCCCTGCTGGGCGGCAGGTTGACAGGATCTGCTCATTTGGGTCTACACTGATATTCAGCTAGCATCGTTAGATATATCCACTTTACCGAGATGAGGTAAGATCTCTTTTCTGGGGAAAGCAGGTTTAAGAGATCAGTAATCCTATACGATCTGCTTTGCCTTTCGTTCTTTTTCATATCATCTCCTGAGCCTTCTAATATACTAAATCTGTCCTTACAGTAGCTTACAGCCACACATTGATATATTGGCCGAGAGCATATTCGGTCTGAGAACCGTGATAAACCTAACTCAGTTGCTTTGACATCTTTGACATTCGTGGTTTAGGGGCTTTCCAAGTAATTTGAGGATTTCGTACTTTGACCAGCATGAATTGACTGCTGATCAACATGTTGAGGCAAACAAGTATTGGAAATGCTTGTTTCGAAGCCCTTCAAGCCGTCCTGCCCAAGTCAGAACTGTTTAGATGATACCAATACTGAAATTGGCAAGTGAGAATTTAGCTTTCGAAATTCACCCGCCAGCTTTCAAAAGAAAACCCCTGTCCGGACTCCTGATCGGTGGGCGCCGAAGCTACTTGACAGCCTGCAGCCTATCGGGGGCTTGTGAATGAACCAGAGGCGTTGTGCTCAGATCGTTCGATCGCCGTAGAACAGGGGAAGTGAGCGCCATCGGTCAGGAACAACCTTTTCTTGCTTGATCTTGTTCAGGGTACCGCGTTTTTGGCTTCGGCATGCTGGGGTGACACTGGCCTCCTAAGACCATCGATCCTTGAGGGCGGTCCGGTGCCGGCGGGCAGGAAAGTAGTCCATTTGGTATAAGTGCCGAAATACGTGGTTCAAAGAGTCACGATTAGCATATGCTACGCTTGTCTTATTGAAGGAATAACTGTGCAGGTCTAATCCACCAAGGAAGTAGTTTTATTACAGTCTGAAACTGTTATGTAACAGACATACTTGAGAGAGATGGAGCCAATAGTCTTTCCCGTGGTTCAACGCCGTATTTTTGTCTTTGTGTATTGGGATTTTGAGCTTGAAAGAAGTGGAATATGTAATCATGTATCAAGGTGGCTTATGGTACGTGAAGTGCTTTATCTATCTCATTGCCATTCAGGTACATCAAATGCCAGTGAAGTCCTCGACTCGGAGTTCCAGGACGAAAGATCCCATGTTTGTGGTTGTTCGTACGATACCAACCTGAGCGAGGTAATTAGGAGTGCTTGTGCTTAGCTGAATTCTAGTTTGACTCTATATAATCGTCATATCTATCTATAATATAAGTTCTTGAGATGGTGTCTAGTGCTGGCACTCAAGCAATCTTGGAGATTGTCAGTTCCCCCTTTTCCCCTCCATCTATCTCTAGAAATCCACCAGACTCTAGCTTCTTTTTCCACTTTGTGCTCTCATATCTGGCTAGAATTAAAGTCATACGCAAAAGCAGCTGATCACTGGAAACATGCTCGCCATCGGCACTCAGGGGTGTGAATGTCCAACGTCCAAATGCCCAGTTCAGAATATATCGATTTGGGGGATGCGGCGGTGTGGGTAGCGACTCATCGTCTCCCGAGTTTCTTACAGTAGATGAAGCCGTCAGAACTGATTTTATCCTGTACACTTCGTCTTTTGGAGCCGCTTTCAAAAGTGCCATCAACTTGTTCGAGTCCACGGCAGCTCCCTTGGGCCCTTGCAGAGTCACTGACAATACCTCTACCTCTGTCTGGTGGTCGTGTTTGTGGTCACCATGAGCATGGTCGTCGTGTCCGCTCTTGACCAGCCCGCTTTCATCCTCGAGCGCTTGAGCAAGTCCACCATCGACGCCAAAGATGACGTCGGCAGGCACACGGCCCTTGTCGCTCTTGACCCAGGCAATGTCAACCTCGAGATCGCCGACCCGGTCGAGACACTCGTCGAACCTCCTCTCGTCGCAGACTTCCCACTTGTTGAAAACAACCAGATCCGTGTACCGCGCCTGGATGCGCGCCGTGTAACTCGTGTCCTCGTAGCCTTTCCAATTCTCGACATCAATAACGCTCACGACGCCATCGAGGACGTATTTGTCCGTTTCCCTCGCCAGGCGATTCACCTCCATAGCCAGTGTTGCCGGAAAAGCCGAGCCGGAGGTCTCGATGACGACGCGGTCGGGGGACTGGGTTTCGCATAGTTCGGACAGGGCGGGAGCCAGTTGACCGACGAGGTTGCAGCAGATGCAGCCATTGAGTAGTTCCTGTACGCCCGAAATGGCCGAGCTGGAGGCTAGTTGTGAGTCGATTGCGAGATCGCCGAATTCATTCTTGAGAAGCGCGAGCTTGTATGATGGGTTGGTGGCGCGCAGTTGGGGGAGGAGGTTGAGGATCAGCGTCGTCTTGCCGCTGCCGAGGAAGCCCGTGATGATGGTGATCGGGATCGGAGCCATGATCGCGAGCGACTGAGACTGGGGACAGATAGATAGCGAAAGGATGCGAGGCGACGGTCTGTGATAGAGTTTACGCACGATTCGATCTCGTTTTGGGTCAACGTCAACGGCCGTCAATGAATTGAAAAGTTGCGACGAAAAGTAAAAAAAGCCGCGGAAAGGTTAATGCATGGTAAGGCTTATCGAGCTGATGGAGGGGCTTCAGGGACAAGAGACAGCGGGCAGAGGGAAAATACCTTATCTTAGCGTCGTTTTTAATGCCCGACACCAATCATGTTCCCCAGCCAAGGCCCAGAACCACGCTGACGGGTTTCGGCACGAGAGTGACGTAGTTTGCGTTACTTCAGATCTGGTTCGCCTTGCCCTTGGCGGAAAAAAGGTTGATCTACTTATTGACCCTGTTAAGATCGTCTTGTTTCTGGGATTTGTATCTAGAAAGCTTCTTTTTGAAAATCTCACACAAACTCCAACCCGTGTCTCAATTCTCTGGCTGCCCACCAAAGTATTCGTGATCGATTTGCAGCGTAATAAACCAGCAATGGCTTCGGAGCAAGAGCAACAACTGAACAACCCCCCTTCATTCAAAGAGCAGCTCGACCACAAGGCCCGTGTCGCTCGTGACCCCAACTATGGCAAGGAAGAGGTGCAACCTACAATTTTAGAAAAAGGTAATGTTGCAATTTTTCTGATTAACGCATCATCAACTGACATGAGGCCCTGTAGTTGCCGATTATATCCCGGCTGCAGGCAAGATTCTCGGGATTGAGAAGAAGGAAGAGGACGCCCAGAAGGCACCGGAACCCATCCCAGGCCCCCCGGAGCGGCCGCATCATGATATTCCCATTGAAGAATTCTTGAAGGATCAGCACAGAAGCAAGAAGGGCGAGAATGGAGAGCTGATCCAGAAATAGATTGGCATTCACGTGGCGGACAAGCCTTGATAACGAATCAAATCGTTGTTAGATCTGCTTTCCGACTGTCTTTTCATACTACTTACTATGCGATAACCTCTTCGTTACGACTAATTATAGAAGACTACGTACACAAATTCGGTAATAGTTGTCTAGCAGGCGTCTCTTGAGACATGTTTTCTGCCCTGTTTTCCATCAGTGAAGTTTTAATCCTATACCTTGCTCCACGCTTCATCTCGACACTGGATATGAAGGGCTGACGAATTGGTTACCTACTTTGCGTAATCATACCCAATTGTAGTTGCAGACAAATAGTGAGTTCGAATTCTACTATGCATCCCTGCAGCTGCGGGACCTTTTGGGTCTGTTCCGGCCGTTAGGGTCTTGCTGCCTAGTCTGATCCCTGGCTCGCTGTGGAGATTTCTATACGTTATCAAGCCCAGACTCATTGATGCAACATTACAAGAAACAAAAACACCATCGAGTATCGCAATATTATCGGATTCTGCCTGGCCGAGTATTCGATCCAACCCCACTGGTGTCTAGTACTCATCCGAATTATTGAACCCCCGTTCTTGCAAAGTGGGGTTAATGGCAAAGCTGCCTATAAACATACCGCCTTTTTCTATTTCCCATCCCTCTATATAAATCCCAGATGCAAGAGAAAATGAAGCATTGAGCAGCAACTACGAGAAGCAAAAAGACAAGATGGACCGAGAAGGATCGAAATTCCCGCAGGAATTATGGCTCGAAATCTGCAATCTCCTAGAGAGTGAATACATCAACACTGATGCCAAGGACGACGGCGCTCAAGGCATTGTAAGTGGACTGTCCAGTCTGAGCCGAGCATGTCGCGGCCTTCTTCAAATCCTCCAGCCGGTACTCTACAAGACACCAGTGCTCATTGGCGTCCGGTCGTTGGAGCTCTTTTTCCGAACGATCGTGGAGCAAGAAAATCTCGCCTCGTTGGTGCAGACAGTTCGATGGTACGAAGGAGAAGAAAGCGAGGTAGATCGGCTGATTGAGGAGGAAAACCTCCAGTACCGGTCATACCGTATGGACGAAGATGAAACGGAAAATGAAAAATGTTTCGACTGGGGTAGTGAATTCAAGGACAAGTACAATGCCAAGCTGCATCTACTAAGATTCGACCTGTACGAAAATACCACCCGAGGATCCATTGAATATATGCACCAGTATCCTCAAATATTACCACTTTTTCTTCCGAACCTCCAAGCTTTGGACTACCGACACGATCCGCGGACACACGGCTTCTCGGTTCTTTCGATTTACGAGTACCGCAGTCAGCAGGCATTACCGGGCCTAAGGCATCTCAATGTCCGCGCAGGGCCCAGGGATAACTTCAACTTGGGTAGTTATGCGACAATTTTCCGTCTGTCGCGAGACACTCTCGAGCACCTGCATTTCGAGTGGCCGTTCAATGTCAACGAAGTTGGGACATGGCCGCCAGAGCCCGAATTTCATCACCTCAAGACGCTCAGCGTTCATCAAGGTTGCCTAGGTACTGATTCCTTTCGGGATCTCTTGTTCCACTCTCCAAGCCTCGAGGAATTTGTGTACCGCTCTGCCCGTGAGAAGGGCGACGATGTCGAGGTTACCGCAATTGATGAAGGTGACGAGGAGCAACTGACGTGGACTTCCGTACATGAGGCCCTCTCACTAGTTCGCGATACGCTGCGGGTGTTGGAGCTCGACCTGCACGCAAGATTCTACAAAGGACGACTAGAATCTAGCGCTACTTTTACCGATTTCAAACAACTGCATAGCGTCACTTTGAGCCAAGATATGCTCTCAGAGGGAAGCGATATACACAGCGAGGGATCGCAGCTTTTGGTGGAAATTCTTCCCAAGACCTTGAAGCACTTTGGGCTCACCCGCATCACACACGATTGTCCCGATTCTTCCCGTTGCATTCTAGGCTTGGCAGAAGCTGTTTGCGACGGAAAGTTTCCAGATCTAGAGACAATTCGACTAGACATGAGTCAGCTCATGGAAGGGCAAACTGATGAGTATCAAGGTATGAAGGAAATGTTTGGATCAAGAGGCGTACGAGTAATATGAGATCCTTCTTTAATGTTCTATGGACCGACCATCAAGTGACTCATTCACTATGAAGCCGCGATTTCCCAATCAAACTTTTTACCACGAAGACTGGAATTTATATGGATCTTGTGGATATCATACTAGACAATTTAGACATATCTTTTAATTTATTGATTTTAATTTGAGCTATGTGACTCTCTAGACAATTGATTGAATTGAGTTTCTACCATCAGCTTGCATGTGGCGTTTTAAGCAGCTCTTCTCAAAGTTCATACTTCTCAATCTGGACTGTGCTATTGTCCTCTAATGCGTCCTTGATTGCCTGGCACACGACCAAGGCTGCCAGACCAGCCTGAGCAGTGCAACTAGGGGCCTCCTCACCACGAATGACTCTGACAAAGTGGTCCACCTGCAGCTCAAAGGGCACGCCGTCGGGCACGCTGGACTGCTCGCGTACAATTTCAGAGTGCCACGACTTTTGCGTACCCTTGTATGACCATATCGTCATGTCGGGCACGCTCAGCGAGGCTTCGGTGCCAAAGACACGATAAAAGTTTTCGCCCGTCTTGGGAATCAGCGGGTTCTCTCCCGTGCCGGCCTCAAAGTTCCACGGCGAAGGCGTATTGTCACAAATGAAGAAACTTCCCACCGCCCCGGACTTGAACCGCAGCGTGATGGCGGCCCCTTCCTCGGCCGCGTAGCCTCTCTGCGAAATGGTCTTTTCGGCGTGGACGGACGTGATGGGACCCAGCAGGTAGTGCAGCAGATCCACCTCGTGGACCATGTTGATGAGGACGACGCCGCCCGTGCTGCCCTGCCGCCAGTCGGTCGGGGCCTCGAAGTAGTCACTGGGCTTGTGCAGCGCCCAGATGCCATTGATGCCGATAACCCGCCCCAGGGAACCCGACGACACGACCTCCTTGGCCGCAACCATGTAGGGGTTGAACCGCCGGTGATGGCCCACCAGTGTCTTGGCCGGGACGGTGCCGGCGAGTTGGACCAGCTCCTTGCCGCTCGCTATGTCGGTGCTCACGGGCTTTTCCACCAAGACATGGACATTTGCGGCCAAGAGTTCCTTGGTTATCGACACATGCGTGTGGTTTGGCGTGCAAATTATGGCCGCATCGGGTTTGGCACTCGATTGAAGCATGTCTGCTACGGTAGAGTAAAAGGGTACCCCGAATTTGGCGGCGATTTCACTACCCTTGGGAGTAACGTCGACTATGGCCGCGACTTGGGCGCCTGCGCTTTTGGCCACGGCCTCGGCATGGCGTGGACCAATGAGTCCTGCACCAATAATGGCTATTTGAGTCTTTGTCATGATGAATAAATTGTCTTCAAATTGAATATGAACTTGTGCTTTTCAGATCAGCAATCTGGATTTGTTGGAATATCGACGCAAGCCTCCACGGTTTATACGCCCATTTCCCCAATATTTCGCTAATAACTTCAGCCAGAATGCATTGCCGATGCGCAGGTGAGCGCTAAGCTAATAGCCATTATTAGGCCGTTGCCCACTATAGTCGTCACACATCATCTCATTGGTCAACAGGTGTTTAAGTATACTAGGTCAGATATGGATCCTTGAGCTGACTGAATAGGTATTTATTTCATTTATTGTGTCTAGCCAATCCTATAGTGCCGTAACTCTTTGCCGTGGCACCTCACAATTTTGCTTAGTATAATAACTTGATCGGTTTTGGTTCACGGTTTATTTCCTGTAATTTGACATCTGACGTATTTATTATATTTTGTAATTAACGATTATATATGCTGCGCCATTGGTCTAAAATATGGATATTACTCAACTTTATACGTGTTTGTTTCCAATATGACACAGTCCCAGTAGTGCGCTCAAAACCTAATTTAAATAGATCTTCGCTTGGCCCAAATTGAAGCTTTCATGGGCGGTATCCTATTCATACCAAACCACACATTGTCTGGCCTACTCTCTTGCAATTTGATATCATAATGCAATAGGATATTGGCCAGCATCAGCTTGAGCTCACTTGATGCAAAGAATCTCCCAGGGCAGGCGTGCCTTCCGTGGCCAAAGGCAGTATACTCGGCGCTGGTTGTCGCCCATGCTTGGCGAGCTTTTTCGACATATGTTGCCTCGCCAGTCTTGTCTTCTCTCTTCGCAGCAAAGCGAAACGGCTTGAAAACAAAGGGGTCGGGATAAATGTCCGCGTCGTGGAATACAGGATAGGACTGCATGGCGAGTCTTGTCCCCTGAGGAAGATGAAGGCCAGATGGGGTCTTGACACCCCCAGGCGCGACAACTAGGCGGGTGGTTGCCAATGTCACAAACGAATTGAGACGCTGTGATTCCCTCATTGTGCTGTCGACTTTGGTCATGGCAGCCAGGGCCCGCTTGTTCCACTCTCCTCCGTGGGCGGCAAGGACCTCTTGAATCTCCTCGCGCAGCTCATCGATATACGATTGCTCAGAAGAGGCCAGATCGAGTAGGACGTGGGTAATGGCAAATGACGAAGTATGGATCGACGCAAAGTTGAGCAACATGATCCGGCCAGCTAGAGTGGCTGGTTTCATCATGTACGGATCCCCCGAGGCTTTCGCCTGGTGAATGGACCACTGCAAGAAGTCATTGGGCTCATCTCGAAGAGACTTGGCTTCTGGATCGGCAAGCTGGGCGTTGAGTTTCCTGATGCGCTGTTCAATCTCGGGCCTGAGCGTCTGGTAGAATCGATTCTGGTGTATGCGTGAAGGTATGGTGATGATGAGCGCGACGAGTGATCGCATCGGTTTCCAGACGAACCGGAGGAACAACCCATTCATGGGGATCTCTTGCGCACATTCAATACCAAGCTTTAACAAGGTTTCATTGCGACACATGGGAAGCCCAACAAATACACGGTTGGTGACCCTTCCAATGATCCGTTGCATCACTTCCCAAACGGGGATTTCCGTATACCGGTCATTGTCCTTGCCCCATAGTTGATCTAGACTGGATTGGAGCTCGTCGAACAATTCTGGGATCAGGTTGCCGGTTTCTCTGGTCAGGGTAGTGGCGATGAGATGTTGGTGTACTGGGTTGTCCATGACCAACTTTGGATCCATGACGGTGTTTTCAATCTCCAAGTCCGAGGTTGTCGCTTTGTGCATGGAAAGAGCCGAGTCGGGCTGATCAATCAGCCACTGATGCTCTTCCCTGGGTAGTATCACACTGGCGCAAGCGCCAGCTACAGGGAAGATGAAGGCTTCGTTGCGAAACTGTTGATAGGCTGTAAGGGACGCTGTGCGCATGTCTCTGGCGTTTCGCCATCCCGCCCGGAAGAGCGGAAACCATTCTCCAGGTCTTGCACCCAGAATAGGGAGTTGTGGCAATTTTGAGGGCTTGAGCAGCTGGTAGACGAGCCACCCAACGACGAGTAAAGTAGGCGCTAATACAGCGGGCCGGAGGAGGACGTCCATCTCTTTGATCCTGTATTGATGCTGCCGAGGAGCTGCAAAGATGTGAGAGAGAAACAAAGATCAAGTTAAGTGTTTGTCAAGAATGTCTGTGTTTGGCCGTGCCAGACGAGACCGAACATAATAAAGGCGCCCGAAAAAATAAACCATCTCAAGCTGGGTTAGGTATGGAGGATGCATAACGATAATCGCTTGGAGGGTGCAATTTGATGACGCTGGGATGAGCTGTAGGTACGGTCCATTGCAGCCATCGGCAATCTTTAGCGAGCTATTGAAGATTGAACCCCCCTGTCCCGCACGTGCTCTAATGCAAAGCTGGGCGGCCACGGTCCACAACGTCCCTATCAACCGACTCGTTGACTGCGAATCATGGAACCCACAGGCCCGGATGTCCAATGCTCCGAAGATTAGCACGGAAGTAAAAAGGTGCTTGAGTAGCGGGTAAAGAAGATTTTATTTGCCTCTGGTTTTCCAATTCTGGTAGTCGTCGTCCCGTTCGGCTCGACTGGTTCGTCCACGCCGGCCAACACCAAAAGTTTTGCCCCGCTCATTAGATGTGTGGGCATGAGGTATCACATCGCTTCGAGCTGGTACTATACTGTGTATAAGCGAGGTACGAGATGAGTGCCGACTCAAAGCCTTCTATCTCTACAAAGTACAATAACGCTGTGCATTGCCGACTATCTCGCTTGCGCTTGAGTGGGCGAATAAAGGAAGAGATACTAACCCAAGATATAGGCACCTACCTAAGTTAGTACTATGTAGTGTAACAACTGAGCCGTCTGACTAATAGGCGACACATTAAGCGACGACCTCTTTCCGTGTCGCAAATCTCAATTGACCAATTCGGATAATGTAAATGGACAGCGCTCTATATGAAAAGGGGAGTTCTGGAAGCCCAATGGATTCATTTCGTTACTCGAGCGTTCTTATAGACACCAGTTGGCAAGGAAGATTAACCGAGTCCAATCAGTGTTAATGTTTCTTTTGTGATATGTACTCGATTGGTGTTTGTGGAACTCGATCTTGTGTGTTTCAACGTCGCTAACATGGGTCCGGGGCTTGCCTTGCCAATATTGGAACCCGCTTGGGGGCCACGTTTAGTGCGGGGATTAATCTCGGCTCGCAAGCGATAAAACAGGTCGGATATTTTATTATCTCGGTACTTATTCTGGTCGCGTAAATTGCCTTCTCAACACCATCTTCGCTTCCTCCGCGTGAGATAGAAAAGCTAGAGATTGATATACAAGCACCTTTGATACTACCTTGAAGCAAATGGGGGCTCGCAACAATGACTTGTTGCACAGACCCAAGGCACCACTCATTAGTTCAGTACAGCGAATTCAAACGCCCAAGCCGTATAAATGTCGTTTTGGTATATCTTGAAAGCCAGCGCGTCATTTGATATACGGTGGTCATATGTGTTTCGGAAACTGGGCGCCGCTTGCGCCGTGTAAAGGTCGGCGCCATCAAAACCCCAGGTGCTGATTGAGACAGTCCCGGAAACATCGTATCCAATACTGCTCAAGTTATTGAGCTGGACGGTCCAGGTGCCTTCGCGAACGCGAGAGCCGACCAAAAGTCGAACGGTACTCTCGTCTCTGGTTGCGTACACATCCAAGTATGAGTCGCCGCTGCCAGTGGTCGCGAGCCTCTCCCCCGTCATGTTGACGTTGTAGTACTTGTACACCCAATAGCCTGGAGCTGCAACATAGTCTGTGGCCTCGTAGTCGTCGGGGTCGCTCTCCTTGGTGAGGAGGTTGGCAAAAAGATCATGAAGTGTCGTGCCAGACGCCCAGTTTCCCAGGAGACCCCAAAAGTTGTAGCGCTCGAGACGCGCGATCCACCACGCGTACCCAGAGGGGTGCATCTCCCCCAGAATGGCGTATTCGTTGACATTGACTTCGCGCTCGGGAAGTTGGTACTCTTCCAGCATCGCAGCCAAGGTCGCATTGGTAACGAGAGGGTCATTGTTGGCGTTTGCCAGCGAGTGTTCCATGTGGTAGGACCACTGATCTGGCACGGTACTGTTTCCGGCAATCTGCTGCAGCCATGTAGTCCACCACTCGTTGTCGCTGGCGGGCAAGCCAGAAAGACTTGGCCCACTGATCTTGACGCCGTCGAAGCGAGAATCAGATCTAAGAAGGAGGTTAGTCTATCTGATACAAAAAAATTCAAAGGACGATGAACTAGACATACCGAATTGCCTTGTGCGTCCTGATATATAGGTCAACCCATTGCTGCACGTCCCGCTGCCAAAATGTGGATTGGTCAGGCTCGTTCCAAATGTCAATGACGAGGCCTTCAAGCATGTCATTCGAGACAAAGCTATCGAGAAGATTGGCCACATATAAGTCCCAATCGGTCCAGTCCCCATCATCTCCGGGCCACACAGTTGAGCTGTTGTGACCTGTTGCAAATTAGTGGGCTGTACGACTCTCTTCACTGGCCGCTGGACTCACTGTCTGTCCCCCAAATGTCATGGACTAGGACAATGACGTTGGCGTCAAACTGTCTGCACACCTTCAATCACTCAGTGTCTGGTTATTGTCTCTTCGTTTTCTCAAGGGTCTTACTTCATAATTGAGAAATGCAGAATTGACTCTTCCGGAGAATTCGTCCATACCCCAGATCCATCCTCGCGCCGGTTCACCCAGCTGTGCTCCGCCGACACGACCGTAGTTGAAGTCAATGTCGCTGTACCTGCGCACTGTTAGCTTGAGCACTCCCATAACAGCAAGATTGCAAGGCTGGCCTACCAGTGATCGGGGATTTGGTTGGGGTAGTTATCAGGGATTCCATATATAAACCCCGATGCCAAATGTTGCGGCTGGCCGTTTGTGGTGCTGAGATCCACCGTGGCCGTCAAATCGTCGCGAGGTTGAAGAGGATTGGCATTGGCTCCCGGAACCGAGAGGAGAGCCGCCGCAACAGAGAATATGATAGAAGTTGGCTGGAACATTTTATCTGCGCTTAATGTACTTGAATATGATGTGATTTATTCAAATCAATGGCGGAATCTTGGGTTTTTATACTTGAAATTCGCAACATCTCCAACGGTTCTCGGACGAGATTCAACACTCATTTTGACTACCAGAACTTGTATGCAGCCATTAACGGTATTTTGAAAGACGAACAAACAGGGTCTTGACGGAATATCTTAGTGAAGCTCCACAGCCTCCCGTATTATACACTTTCTTTTCCACCAACCATGAATCCTTTTGCATAGCAAGGTTCGCCTGGTAATACGTCGAGGTACGCGTGGGTCTTTTATATCTCCGGTGGCGGTACAACCCCTGTGGGAACACAAGCCCGGTGGTGCAGGCCCGGTGGTGGAGAAGGTTCTCTCCAGCTTGCCAAGAATACCGGAGATCATGAATGGAACCATTTATTGATTGCATTCAGTCAATACTTCTTTATTGAAGTATTTTTTGACCACAAGCTACATGGATATTGGACTTTAGATAGTCACCAGATCGAATTTCTTCAGCGATCTACTTTTCGAGATTGTCTAGCTCTTCATGAGACATGGAATTGGATGCCCTCCTCTCAGACATGATAATGTGAATAAGGTGGCTATGCTCATATGATATAGCGAACAACAGTCTCACGCACGTCTTGGTTGTCATCCGATACTCCTTCACCAGAACCGTGCAACCGATCACGTCTCCGATTTTCTCTCCACAGAACAAAGCTCAAAAGTCCACAAACGCAAGCTGACAACATGGAAAAGGCAAAGCCGATCCACATGCCTCGTCTGTAATAGGGCGCTTCATTGGACGGAAACATGTTGGTCCCAAGAAGGGTCCCGCATTGGCCAACGGTCATGATGATCCATAGACCACCGGCACGCTTGCTTCCAGATTCATTCGTATTCACGTTCCATACCAGCACTGTCGACACCGTCACGAATATGAGCACGACTAGAAAAATGCCCACGTATCGAGGAGCAGCACCATCGGAAAGAGCCAGGATAAGGTATCCAGCCGAGGCCACAAGTGCAAAGAAGACGGCAATGGGACCACGCGTGCGCAGGTAGTCGGATAGAAAAGCACAGCCGATAATGGCCAAGAAGGCAAGAGCATATGGCGGAGCCGAGAGGCCATTAGCGGTGAGGGTGTCGAATGTTCCCATCTCGGAGATGATGGTCGGTAAGAAGAGCGGGAGTGAGGCAAACGAGACATTGGTGCTGAAATTACTAATGGCAAAGAGCCAATCTGTGACGTGTGAGCTTTCGGTGTGTCTATTAGAAGCCCGACGTGTGCCACCAAACTCACTTCGGTAATCTTTGAATGCATCAGCGAGATGATTCCAGTGCAAACCTCCTTCGCTTGGAGCTTCCTCTCCAGGCTGGCTCGTGGCCAGCGCCTGAGCGATTCGCTTTTCCTCGAAAGACAGAGATTTGGCCTTGTTTGGGCTGTCGGGAAGATGGAACCAGCAGACTATGGCCAAAAGCGCAGTTGGAACACCTATCGAGAAGTCGTGGTTAGTGATTGAGAGTAGCGTGGCGATGGCGGCAATGTCGCGAGACCGGTGACAAATGGGAGGAGCACACACCTTCAATTATGAACAGAAACCTCCAATTACTGACAGACGAGTGAACATGCGACAAACCATATGCAAGAGCGCCACCGTATGCATTCGCCAAAGCAGCTCCGGACAGAAAGATGCCAAAGCGAACACCCATGTATTCGCGTGGGTAAAAGAAGGACATGTAGAGGGGCACGCCAGGACCAAACATGGTCTCGGCGATGCCCAGCATGAACCTGCAGGCCATCAATCCGGCCCATGAGGTACATACTGCTTGGAGTGTACTGGCAGTACCCCAGAAAAAAACAACGAGGGCAACCCATCGGTGAGGTGGGAATAGTTTCCATCCTAGAGTAGTGAATTGAAAGATGATGTAGGCGATATAAAATCTGTCAGATCGTGACATGAGCATGATGTCCCATGTCTGTTCTGGATCCACTCATGGTAGTCACTCACGCGGTTCCTAGCCATTGGTACCGCTTGCCAGAGAGATTAATGTCATCCTCCAGGCCCGCCAGCTTTGCATTTCCAAGGTTCGATCGGTCAAGCACAGAAAAAGTGTATAAAATGAAGCAAAGGGGCATGAGGCGAAAGTCAAGCTTGCGGACTACACGCTTAATCTCGTTGGGCGTAAAGGCATCGACAGCTCGAGCTGGAGCGGAATGCTTATCGGCAGATGCATCATGGCAGTCTTCCACTTTCTCAACGTCCACCTTTTCACCTGTGTTGGCATATGACATTTTCGTGGTAGACTTGAGGAATGAAATGGTTTTCTATAAGACCCGAGGAGATATGGTGTAGTCGACGGCGAGCTCATGCATGATGCAAACAGAAATTGCTGTGAGCTTACTCCATCCACTTCCCATTACTTATAGCTCCAGGCCAAGAATCAGGATAATCATATACTATTCCCGTGGGGTTCTGCATGAGGATTTGCGGAGAAGCGTGGGCGTTGTGTTGGGGTAAGTGCCAGCGGTGTTTTGCGGGGGTTAGCGTCTGATTCTGCAGCACACTTGACCCCTAAGGGGCTTGGTTTCCGGCATGATACCGCAGTATAAAGATTGCATCGGCTTTGCTTTCGTAACACAACGGACTGCATATCGGGATCTGATGCCGACGGGATCAAGACTGAGGGGTCTAGCGAGGTGTAGGGCTTAGAAATGCACTATGCTTGACGCGGATATGGCTTTCCGAGTCCATCCTGAACACCTACAGAGAAAGTGGGATATTCGCACAACCGTTGGATCTATACCTTGGCTCTATAAGTGCTGCGCATCCGTCTTTAACACTACGATCATACAACGATCAAATAACAACCTCCAAAATGTCTGAACCCGACTTTACAATACTGACCCCCAACGCCATGCTTGGCTATGGCTACCGTCAAGACCACTTCTGGCACGGCATTGAAACTTACAAGCCCAGTGCTATAATTGTGGACAGCGGATCAACAGATGGTGGCCCCTACAAGCTTGGCATGAACAAAATGACATGTGGTCGGGAGTCTTATGTGCGAGACCTGACCAGCATGTTGGAAGCGAGCTTTTACCGGAAAATCAAGGTTCTCATAAGCTCTGCGGGCGGCGATGGAAGCAACTCTCACGTGCGTGAGATGCTATCAATTGTCGAGGAGATTGCAAAGAAAAAGGGGTTCAACTTCAATGTTGTCACCATTGAGCAGGATATTCAGCGGCAATGGATCAAGACACGTGTCATTGAGGGCAAGTCCAGCCCTTGCGGACCGCTTGACCCTCTGCACGTTGCAGATGTTGATGACGCTGTGGAAATCGTGGGCCAAATGGGGGCAGAGCCGTGAGTACATATAGGATCCCACACGACTCACTCAAAGATTGCATCTAACTGTCTTTAGTTTTATCAAGGCTCTGGAACAAGATCCTGATATTATTATCGGTGGACGGTCATACGACCCAGCTCCATTCGCCGGCTTTTGCTTATGGCAAGGCGTGGAACCAGGGACCGCCTGGCACATGGGCAAGATTATGGAATGCGGAGGTATATGTGCAGTCCCCAAAGGTCGCTCCATGGTTGCCCGCATCCGCAAATCATCCTTTGATTTGACGCCGCTTTCCCCGCTCGAGAAATGCACACCCATCTCTGTCGCCGCTCATACACTTTATGAAAAGACCAGGCCCGACAGGCTACCCGGACCCGGCGGCATTCTTCATCTGGACAAGGCTCAGTACGAGCAATTGCCTGATGGTCGCACGGTGCGCGTCCGGGGTGCCGAATTCATCCCGACGCCTGTATACCAAGTCAAGCTCGAAGGCGTCAAGAGGCTGGGCCATCGCACCATTTTCATTGGCGGAATACGGGATCCGATTCTCATTGGGCAAATTGACGACTTTTTGGAAAAGGTGAGGCGATACAGCCAGAACTTATTCCCAGAGCTCGATCAGAGCGATGCCTGCCGTCTTATATACCACATTTACGGGCGAAATGCAGTCATGGGGCCCCTCGAGACACGACATCTTGGAGGAGAAAGTCAGCAACCGCATGAAATCGGCATCATGGGCGAAGTGGTAGCTCCCGACAAGGACAAGTCGCATGCAATTGCAAACAATGTGCGTACCTCTATTCTGCATTTCCCCTACGATGGTCAATTGGCGACTACGGGCAATTTCGCCAGCCCGCTATCACCTCATGAGCAGGATGCAGGTGAGGTCTTCAAGTTCAGTGTCTATCACTTGATTGACCTGGAGAAAGGCGAGGAGACTAGGCTTTTCCCCTTGAGTACCATGGTTATTCAAAACCGGGATGATGGCATCGAACCTGATGAGCCTGAACACTTGCACTCGGCTCAGCGACAAGAGCTGGAGTCTCAGATCCCGGTGGAAGTGCCCAGAAAACGAGTGCCTGATGGTGAGGTGGCAATGCTCGACATTGCCAAAGTGGTCCGGTCCAAGAACAGTGGACCATTTGAACTGACTTTGGACATCATGTTTGACGACTTGGGGGCATATCGCCGGGTCAAGAGCGCCAACATACTCACCAACGAGGTCATCAAGAAGCTTTACAGGGTACAAGATGAGGATATCATAACCAATATGTACTTTGATCCAGCCATGGCTTGGAAGTGCACATTGAAGCGCCCGTGGGCGCAGGGTAGTGTAGGAGAGAGGGACACGCTCGGTACTCAGCAGCACGCCCCATTGCTGAGTCTTCGCGTTCCAGCTGTATAAATGTAGTACTTCTGAGTACCGACGGCCACAGGGAAATCTGATTTGCGTATGATACCAAGACTTTTAAAACTGCCCTGCCCGTAATCTATTAGTTTGAAGCTTGGGATTTGAACGATCTTCCAACTAAATGCGCTGCACCAGAGCTAAGATACGGGGCCGCTGCCGGATGCTAAACGTCGTCAAAAGTAGGGCCTGCATTATAGCAAACCTTTGTCGTTCTGTCATGGACGTATTCCATCAATTGTCAGGTTCATATCCACTACCATTTCAGTGACCACATTTCTTCTCTACCTTTCCATCTTCACAATTTTCGTTGGGGCATTTGTTACTGCATTCGCAATTGGCACCCTTGCAGTTGAAGCAATCGGTGTCCTTGAATCCTGTACCACCGCAGTCCTCGCAGCCGGTCATTATTTTCCTGTGTTCCCAATTACAGACACTGCAATATGGCCGAACCTTCTTTTCTAACCTATATCGTATTCCTTAGTACGACAGTGCACTCAAAGGTATTTGAGGGCGCTGTATGCAGTGCACGAGGCTTACTGATAAATCAATGCCGATGACTGCAGCTTAGCAACGTGATCTTGGCATTTTGGTATGCAGGTTTTCAATTTTAACCAAATAAATAAAGATTCTTACGTCGGAGCCTCGTTCATATTGAAAGGCTGTTAGCTTGCTAAATCGGAATCGCTTATTATGCCGTAATCTTGATAATGGAGATCTTCAATGGGTCTTGTCCAAATTCAATGCTTGAGAAACCTGAGCTGCAAAAGGTCTGGAGATTTAGAGATTGAGAATGTCTCTTGAGTATAATACTATGCAAAAGAAGGACACGAGTTGCTTTAATACTTCCCCATAGCGGTAAATAAAGTACCCAGACACTGCGTTTGCGCACCTAAACCAGTGGCATTGAGCAGTTCATTCCAGTCACCCATGCTGGAGTGCTCAAAATTATGTATATCGTCATTTAGACCAACTGAGAACGAGGTTGGCTACAAAGAACTCTAAGTTAAATGTAAAAGAAGGCGATGGCCTTGCGAGTATAGGGCAGTTTTCCAAGAACAAAGCAATCTCAAGTTATCTGTAATATGGGCCCACCCGTCTCCGTGTGAATTGATCTTTGTGTTTATTCATATGCTCTAGTATGAATCTTGGTATCTTTAATATGCTAGAAATGCTTTCAAAAATGTAGAAAGGCACATTGCCCCGAGATTAAGTTGCAACAAGAGATCTAATAATAGGTCACATCAAAATGAACAGGAAACAAGAAAGATTAACTAACAGTCACTCCCAAGATCTTGAATAATGCTATACTCCTAGCCCAAGCTAACCCAGTGTGTATGGTCCATGGCTACATCATTAAACTCTTGCATTCGTCGCAGTCTATCAATTACTGCGGGATCATCATCCTCAGGCGGCTGGTCCGCAGCTCCGTCACCATTTTGATCCGGTTGCCCATTCCTGGGCGTATCACCATTGACATGAGCCCGCTCATTCCCGGTACCCTGACCATTGACAGAAGGTGGTCCGGCCTCGGCGTGGTCACCATTTGTGGTGCCATGGCCGTTGGCGGTACCATCCGCAGTACCATTCGTGGTGCCATTGACAACACCATTCACATGTCCAGTGTGCTGGCCGTTATCGGCGTTCTCGTCGTTGTTGTTTCCATTATTATTATCCGCCATCTTGTACTGTCAATCACCAGTGTTAATGTTGTCAAAAAAAAAAATTAGTTCTCAAAGGAGCCAAGATGCATTTATCTTACAGTTGAGTCCTTGGGACTTCACTCTGGCCGGCAATTTCACTAATAATGTGATGTTTGTAGTTTGACTGAGGTAAAAGGAGAAAATTCCGGCTTTTCATTAAGTAATAAACCACAAACAGGAGACGACCAAGCTTTGCTTAAATACTCACCACCTCACGCTATGTTTCGAGTTTCAAATGTCATCTAATAGTCTAAGTGGAATGAATATCCATACGGTAAACAATGAGATGTCCAAGTTGTTTGCCATGGTCACGAAGGTATGTACAGGAATAAAGAAAGGTTCCTTTACGTAATGTTTCAGAATAGAGCAGTCACTGCAAATGTGGCGCCAACAGGTGGAAACGAAGTAATGTTGGCACGATGACTACCTCGCATACATGGTAAGTCTCCGCATTGAGCTTTGAAAAGTTCCTACGTATTGATTAGACGTATGCGCTTGGACAAACAAAAATTTCTCATATTTTCATTATTTCCGAAACATTGTGAGCAGTAATATTGATCAATAAATTCCATGTCGCTGAATTACTCTATTTTACGTTTTCAGTTCAATACCCAGGTAATAAATGTCGGAAGATCCAATCAACAGAGAACAATCCGCAAAAGGTAGTGAGCTTATAACCAACCCAGCTCGGTCTTGCGGGCGAATTCCTTTCTGAAGCCGAGTTCGGATACTATGCATTCACGAGATAACTAAGTTCTCTTGATTGCACAATATCTCATAGATTTCACATCTCAACCGCGTCGAAGACTCATAAAGTGACCAGAGTTTGGTGTCTCATGAGAAATATGTCGTGATCTACGCGCTTCTATGTACAGTCAAGAACAGTGCGAAGCCCCTTTGCCAGCCCCCGTCACCAACTACCAATATCCACCACATCGTCAAAGTTTGTTGTTATATATGAACATTTGCTGCAGCGCACATTTCACCCTCTCTGCTCTTCTCCCGACTTAGTCGGACATCTGGACAATCATGACAGCGCCAAACGGTCCGTTCTCGTTGTTGTTGCTAATCTTGACAGCGCAGAGACCACTCATTCCGTTGTAGGTACCGGTGCAGGTAGTTCCAGCAGGCATGGCGATTTGAAGATTCTAGTTTGGGGGTTAGTTTTACTGTCAAAACACGTCGCTCTTGAAGATTGCCAACTCACGTAATCCCTATCAACAAGAGTGGCCGTCTGGCGCTTGGCAGCCGTGCGCGTCGCCTTGCTGCCAATGGTGCGCGAGGCCCATCGGGCCACCGTCTTGCCGTTGCCAAAGGACAGAGCGGCCTCGCTGGGCGTGGTGTCGATCCAGCCGCCCTCGCCCGGCACCTGGGCGGTGACGTCCATGTCGGTGGCGTTGGAGAACTTGCCCGTGGCCGTCGGGTCGACGATGGCGACAAAGGGGCCCGCGCCATCACTCGTGACCACGTGCAGGGTGGCGTTGATGCTGCCGCCGGAGCTGCTGATCTGCGGCAGGGTGCTACCGGCCTGGGCCATGGCGGCGTCCAGGTTGGTCATGCCCAGGTTGCCGTTGCTGCTCTGGGTGAAGCCAAAGTCGTCGTCCGTGTTAATGTCCTTTGACCAGAAGATTGTGGTGTCGGGCTCGGTCTGGTAATCCTGTCCAACGTTGGCAATGGAGGCGCCCTTGATGCCCAGAGCGGTGCCGTTGCCACCCTTGTCGCCGCTAAAGACGGTGACCTTGCCGTGGCCGGCAACGAGGGGAGCCGAGAGGAGGGCGGAGATGAAGATTTGAGTGAACATTTTGTCTTTGATGGAAAAGTTGAATATCTTGATAAAGGTCTTTCGAGCGCTCTGTGGGCGTGAGAATGGATGAAATAGAAAGTTATGATTTAGAAAATGAGAGTGAGAAAAGAATGTCACGAGTCAATCGCGATTTAAAGAAAGAATGATTGAAATGAGAGAAGTAGAATGAATGTGCTTGCTGCTGTCTGATGATCGAGTAGGAAAATTGTCATCTGATGCGGCCGGGCACGATCTCTTTATACTCGTTGCCCGATGGTGAAGAGCTATACGGGCCTCTTGGATATGTGGCCCAACTTGACGGTGTAACGAGATATCATCCCATCTGCTTGTCCATTGTTGCCGAACTTGCCGAACATATTTTCATCTCATTCAAGCGAGCGATGAGAATGGAGACCGGGCTCTATAGGAGAGTGCAGTTCGCGACGGGCTCTCCTCGTCAGCCTGCCCTCTCATTGGGCCGTCGCTCAGACTCCATATTCTCCAAGTGATCCAACCCTTCCATTCCCACCCATTCACAAGCTTTTTACTAGTGGACTTGCCTGACAGATGCGGCTGAAACCAAGGCGACGTGCTCCAGGGGTTCTTCATCGCCAAGACGGGAGCGCAGCGATCAGTTGATCGTGAACTGGGGGGTCGCCTTCGGACGATGGCTGCCCCACTGACTGCAACTGCAGCGCCTCCAACCGCGCGGGGCCCTGTGTCTCATCGAGGTCGCAACCCCTTCGTGTATGCGCGCCTCCCTGCGCGCTTCATGTTTTTTTTCGCTTCTCTGTTTGTAATGACATGGCCGCCTGTATGATCCAAGGGAACACATTTTGTTCCCACTTCTCGCCATATTTAGCCACTTCGTCCGAATTCATGGTCCACAACCCCAGCGATGCGCCAGCCACAAGAGTATACAAAGCTCGGCAAACCCGGCGACTTGGCTCAGGGTCCATGCCACCCTGGGTTTCGCAGTCTTGGCGACCTGAGACGCGAAATGTCTGCACATACCGACTGACCTCCATTGTGCCCTCACTTTTGGCCTGTCGACGGCCGAGGCGGTCATGACTCGACCATGCCATCTCCTACATCAACGCCATCGTGAACTCGTCATCGGTTCGAGAAAGCTTGTATAGATCCACTGTCATACGCGGCCATCTTGTGTGAAGGTTTCCCCCCTCATGCTGCACTTTGGAATGCAGCAAGCGCTTATAGTGAACTGGAAGCGAGATACACACTGGGAGTTTCGCTCTAGTCACACGGGGTGATGTAAAATGCTTGATGCCAGTCATGGTATAGATCCGAGCCGAAGACCGAGATAGACACTCTAGCACGTTCAGTATAAGAAGAGAAAGGAAGTCTAATTCTTGTCAATAACTTGCAAGTGTCCGCTGTCATTATAGCGCTTTAGCGGGCTTTGACCCACCAGCACTATAAATTTATACTTTAAGCACAACTGTCCTTGCTTGTCATCTTATATCATTTATCAAATGTGGGGTCAATATTTTATTGTACTTAATAAATTTTAAGATATCGATCCTGATGGGAGCCCAACAATCTTGTATTACACACGGCGATTTTCGGTAAATATGCGTAAGCAACCGTGCTCTGCTGATATTTGTGTTACGCTCTGCATAATGGGAAAGAAAAGGCACTGTCATGGATTTTCGCTCTCGTGCGATAATTTCGAGATTGGCAAGCCCTCGCCTAAAAAAGATCAGGGGAGAGGAGAAGAAAAGAGCCAACTTCATATCTTGTCAAGTTGCCCTAAGCAATCATAGCATCTAGTCAAAAATCCCTACATCGTCTTCGTCCTCTTCGCTCTCGTCATCTTCATCGCCACCATACTTTGCCAGCTTCATCACCTTTTCTTCCGATCGGTTTCTGCCCTTGGGCGTAAAGATTTCGAGGATTCCCCTCTGATTCCTAGCCACCGCCAAATCGATAGGCGTGCGCAGGGCCTTGTCCTCAAGCCGTGGATCCAGCCCGAGCTCGAGCAATCTCTCGAAAAAGTCTTCTATATCCTTGACCTGATCTCGACCCGCGCCGTTGGGGTTGCCGATGCGCCGCCCCGCCAACAAATGGAGCATGCCTTGCCCTTCGTGGTTCACGGCCATGAGATTGGCACCAGCGTCGACCAAGAGCGCCAAGGTAGTGCAGTGCGTAGTATCGTGGTGCATCGCGTAGTAAGGATGAGGTAATACGTAGTCTGGGTCGCGGGTACCTCTCCAGCCAGCGCGGGAGAAGGCGAGGGCCGGCGTATAGCCGACATGGTTCTGTGCATTGATGTCAAGGCCAAGATTGACAAGGTGCGTCCATAGCTCCGCTGCCTCGGCTGCTGCGCCGGTCTCGCCTACCAATCTGCGTACAACAAGATGAAGGGCCGTGTCACCTGTCAACGGGTTGGGGCTCGACACATTTGCGCTATGGGCCAGCAGACACCAGACAGCTCCAAACTGGCCAGATGCTAGCGCAAGGTGTAGCGGTAAGACGCCATTGTCGTCCGCTGTCATAACCAGTTTCTGGCCACCTCGCTCCACGAGCGCTGTGAATGCTTCCTGTTCGGCGTTGTCAAAACGCCGGCCGGATGTTAGCATCCAATGTAGTGCCGTACGATTTCCATCGTCTGTTGAAAAGACGTCGACATGACGAGCGAGTAGCAGCCGAATGGCATCAGTATTGGCAAGTGGATAAGGAGGGTTGCGTGACGAGTATATCGGTGGTTCGGGGGCAATGGCTGGACGACAGGCCGAGATGAGCAGTGTCTGACCATTCTGGCCGCGGCAGTTTAGATCACAGTTCAGGCCGTCTAGAAGAGGCGCAACGAGTCCTTTGTCGTGGATGACTCTGTGGACCACCGTATCTCCATTAGCATAGGTAGCCCACGGGTCCGCGCCTCCGTCCAGCAAAACGCGAACCAAGGCGTCTCGATGCTCGTCCCAGAACATGGGCTGGTGGTCTACAGTAACGGGTCGGGCAGCACTGTGCAGAAAATATCGCACCATGTTCGTCTCACGCTCTTGACGCTGATTGAAGTCTCGGATTCGCTGCCGGGTATCCTCGAATTCTTCGACAGGTTCGGGTCGGCTCTCGCCCTCTGGCGTCTGCCACTGGGTGATCGCTGCTTCTTTATCAATATAGTTCGGGTCTGCACCAGCCTCGATAAGAGCCTCAGCCATCTCTGCATCCATCTTCTTGACAGCTGATTGCAAGATGGAAGTTTGGTCTCCAAGTTTCGCTCCGTGCTCAAGCAGTGCTCTTGTGATCCCGGCCGAGTCCGACAAGGCTAGACAACTTTGACCTGTTTTTGACTTGACGGCTTGAGGGTCAGCTTTGTACTTGAGCAAAACCCGCACTGTCTCCTCTTTCCAGAAACCAGAGGATCGCAGTGCCGTCACGAGTAGTGTCGCTCCATCAGGTGCCTTTGCTTCGGCATCAGCCCCTAGTGCTAAGAGGTACTCGAGCGCTTCTGCCTGCCAGTAATGGTGCCCGCGCGCCAAATTGTGCAAGGGCGTAGCTTTGGCCAAAATTGTCGGAGATACATAGGCTTTGTTGATGGTTGTGGCATCGAGGCCGGCCTTTTCGACAAGGGCTTGAATGATGTGCAGGCTCGGGAGTTGCCGGTCGCACACTCGGCTAAACGTTGTGTGGTATACTGGAGCGTCATATGAGTCGTGATCTGAGTCGTTATTTGAGACGTCATCCGGGGTTTCGTCAAAGGCGTCGTTTGAAGGTGACAATACCACCAACTCATCTTTCTTAATGGCACCCGCAAAGTGCTCCAAGAGATCCAGGTGGCCCCATTCTACGATATCCGATATGGCGTACAGCCTATCACTATCCTCAAGTAAATAGTGCTTGATCGCCTCATATTCCCCTTTATTCAATGCAGATCTGATGGTCCCACCGTGCTCATCTGGTGTGAAGGTCCGAGGAAAGTCGTCCAATAGAGCCAACTTCTCAGGGGGTGCGGTGGCCCCCCTCCTTCGTAGCTCTCTCGCCATCTCCAAGCATCCATTCTGAAGAGCCAAGTCCATTGGAGTCATCTTTATCCCATCCTGACGATTTACCTTGGTCTCAAGATCAACTCCCGCATCCAAGAGTAGCCGGACAATGTCAACCGTCCTTTCATCATTGTCACCATACAATCCATCGTTTGCTTTTTGGAACTCTGCAAGGACATGAAGAGGTGTCATGCCAGATTGGTCTTCAATCCCGGCATCGGCTCCATGCCGTAGGAGATTCCAGACGCTTTCGGGTCGTCCTGAGCGGCAGGCGTAGTGCAAGGGAGTGCGGCCATTGTTGTTGGTTGGCAGGTTGATTTGTTCCTTCAGAACCTCATGGTCTTGATACCATGTTAGTAAGCGGCCTACAACATTAGGCTGTCTCTCCATTGCCGCAATATGTAACGGCGATAGACCGTCGACTGTGATTGCAGTTGGATCGGCCCCGGCCTCCAGTAGTATCTCTACATTGCACTCGGATCGACCCGCTGCAGAGTGGATGGGTGCAATGCCCTTGGCATCGGGCCCGTCGACATCAAGGCCACGGAATTCATCAGCCTGGAGCACGTATCTGAGCCATCCAGAGCGGTCAGAAATCCCTCCATATTTAAGAGATGCGAGTATATCGATGACCGTCTTTCCATTCTTATTCTTCGCCATGTGTGGGACACCCATTTCGAGCAAGGCGTGAAAAGAGTTCAAGCTCTCTTTTGTGATCCGGTCAGTGCGCATGCTGGCGAAAAGAGAATGGATGAGGTTATTTCCATTTTCATCATAGCTTGCACAGTCGACGCCATATGACGCGAGAAGGCGCGGCCATTCAGTCTTGAGCCCACGCTTTTGCGCAGCTTGGAATAGTGTTGTACCATCGTTGGCACGGATCTTGGGATCGGCTCCCAGGCCAACCAACATGGTAAAAGCCTTGATCTTTGCTGTGTGGTTGTCTATTAAACGCCAGAGAACCGTCTTTCCGTCGTTGTCACGCATATTGAGATCCAATCCTGCTCGGATAAAATCTTCAAGCAGTTCTTTCTGGTCGCGCGGCGTCAGATCATAGCTGCTGACTGATTCGGCTGTGTATTTCAAAATAGGCGATTCTCCCTTCTCATCACGCTTGTTAATGGCATCCTCCGAGCCTTGTAGTGCCAAGCGGAAGAAGGGAATGTGTTTCTTGGTAAACTTGGTCAAGTTTCTCATGACATAATGAAACAAGTTGTTGCCACGGTTGTCTGCAGCATCACAGTTCTTCCCGTGACCGCCCAAGACCTCCATTGTCAGGACCTTGGGCTTGGCCCAGTATAAACCACACATCATTTCCAACAGCGGGGTTCGACCTGCGTTATTCTTTGCGTTCAGATCTGCGCCGCGTTTGATCAGTAGGTTTATGAGTTTGGTGTTTTCTGGATTGGCAAGATGAAGTGGAGTATTGCCATCTCCATTCATCGCATTGACCTCTGCGCCAGCATCAAGGAGCAACTTTGATACGACTTGATTGAACTTGTTGCTGTCACTCATGAAAGAGAAGATGGAAGAGTCTCGATCTTTCCGTACAGCAAAATGAAGAGGGGTCATATTCGCCGCATTGTTCCCGCGTGTGGTCTCGTTGACATTGGCGCCATGCTTCAAGAGAAGAGAAAAGCACTCTTTCGCATTTCTAGTCTTCTCTTCATCGCTGTCTCCTATGTATAGCTTATGATCACGTCCCGCAAATCCGTGCAGAGGCGTGGGACCTTGAAGAGTGCTTGTCTCATCAAGCTCCGAGGCAGTTTTAACCTCACCGAACGAATCCCGGAAATCGTCCAGGGCACAACGTTTGTTTGGGTCAGCTCCATGTTGAAGAAGGATCTTCATTATCTCGAGTTCATGGCGCTGTGCTGCCATGTAAAATTTTGTTACCCCGTTTAGGAACGAGTCAACGTTGGCCTTTCCAGTTCGCAATATGGCCTCGACATTGATTGGCTTGCGTACCCTAGACAACGACTTGTCAAAGTCGTCAGGAGGGATATAAGGAATCAAGGCGGCTACAACGTTGGGGTCGTCACCACGTAGGCCATACTTCAGCGCAGTGTCTCCCTTGTCCGAGGTGTAAAAGTGGTACATGCTATAGATCGAGGGTTTTGTCTTCTCAATCAACGGATTTACCCCTGCATCCAATAGCAGCTTCATGACTTCGGAGTGGCCGGCCTTCACAGCGTAATGTAAAGGGGTCATACCGTTGCGGCAATCCGACTTCGGATCGGCCTCGCATTCAAGCAGTAGCCTGGCGACGTGGGTCTTGCCCTCCTGCGCCGCATATGAAAGAGGTGTACGGCCTTCGCCATCGCGAGCATCAATGAGCGCGGCATTGCGGTTTTGTTCCAATGCAACAAAGTGCTCAAAACAATAAAATGGAAAATTGAGGACGGTGGCCAAATGAATCCTATTGAAGGAGCCGCAAAAGCGCCCCTTCCAGAAACGCATCATCATCAAGCCCCATGCTGGCCTGCCGGGGACAAGATACTTGTCGAGCGCGGTCATCACATCATCTGTGTTCCCCCTGGCTTCAACTAGGTGATGCAACAAGTTACCCAGAGCGAGATCGATCAGAGGGTGCTCGATTTGCATATCCTGCATCTGCTGCCGTCGCCTATCCGATATCGCCATCATGTCACCCGGATCGTCAAACGATTCGTAACTCTCCCCGCCCTCTGCGTCTGCATCTGTTAGGACTAGCGGACAAATGTCCATGAATTCCAGAAAGATGATGGCCAGCATTCCATGCGCGGCCTCGGGTGTCAGTACCGGAAAGGCACCGGGACACGAGCCCCGGCTGGCGTCATGCAGGAACTCTGTGAACGAGTGATGTATGATGCTGACAGTGTCATCTTCAAGTATCTCCAGAAGTCTACCGCAACTGGCCCGCACGAGATCCTTTGCCTTCTTGAGATCGTCCTTGTCGTTGCCAGGCATAAGGGCCACGATTGATCCGAGCTCAATGAGGCGCATTGGCCGTGCTGAATATGTCACACACGTGAGAATGCGTGCCTGTTGCTCAGTACTTACTCCGCTCCGTCGCGCGTGCTCCCGGAGCATATCCTCATAGACATTTCTGAGACTGTGCGGGAGATTCTGCAGATCATCAAGTAGCGTTGCCTCAGTATAATGTGACGCGTCTAGTCCCTCAATCAGAGTATCCGTCACGAAACGCGCATAGATGAAAAGGCCCTCGGCCCGCTTACAAATGGCGTTCTTGACCAGCTCTTCATTCACTTTGCTGAGACGAGGCTCCAGACACTCGAGTCGCGTAGCAACGTACTTGGCAACGTCCGGCTGGATCAGTGATGAATCGAATTTGAGCTGCAAAACCCCAGGATGTCTCAGAGCCTCTTCGATACGAGGCAAAGGCCGGCTTGTCATTAATACCTTTGTGGCATGTGGCTTGCGTGACCCGAGCTTCAACAACTGCTGGATAAAGTCGAAATACTCGTCGTCCATCTCATCCAAAGCGTCCACAATGCAGTAGGCTCTGTCTAACCCATCAAGAGCCCGGACCAGTGCCTGCCATAGCTCCCCGAGTTCGCTGCCGGCAACACCGCGGGCTTTTGACATGACACCAAGGTCAGACACAAGAGACGCGCTGTACGGTAGGAGCTGCGAGACGAAATCGCGCACCAAGTATTTGGCACTATGGTTCTTCTCCACAATCTGACGAAAGAAGAAAAAGAGCACAGGGACCGCCGAGTCAGCTTCTTTTAGCTGGCGGATGGTGCTGGCCGCAAATACCGACTTACCGCTGCCGGCAACGCCGCGAATGTGTAGACAACCCTGGGCATTTTCTGGCCCTGAGGAGGCTGCCCAGGCGCTGAAGGCACCCGACTCGCGTGCCCAGTTGCCAGTGTTGGGAACGTATGCGTTGAGATGCTTCATGAACTCATTTCCTGGCGACATGAATTCTGTTGGCTGGAGCCATTGTCGGATGCTGTCGATTTGTTGCTGGATTGACAGCAAGCTCTCAGTAGCTGGGGCAGGGACAGTATCTCTAGCAACGATCTCGAAGTCTTCGCCAGCATCTGGCTTTGCCAGTTTTGCCGCCATGGTGACGGCCTGGGCGGTCTGCAGTTGAATGCAAGAAGATGATCTGAAGTTGAGAAGCCATGATTTGACGCCAGTCACGATATTTTAGTGTCGATTCTGTACGGCGCAGCACAAGACTGGTGACTCACGCCGCACGGCACGGCCAGGCAGGAGGACAAGAGCTCAGTGCGTGGGATGCAGGTGTAATTGTGACTCGACAGTATCAATATATGAGTTGTAGGCATCTTTATCTTGATGTTGGAGTTTAGGCAACCGTTTTCCGAGTATTAACCCAGGCATGTCGACTTTGGTATGTGTCGGACCCCTAGATAGAGAGGTAGAGAGTACGTGCTACGTTTTCCGCTTATGTAGCGTCCAGTAGTGTCCAGGCCTGTCGGCTGTCAACGATATGGGAAGGAGCTCTTCAAAGGCGAGCAATGTAAAGCAATGCCAGTTGCATCATCGATAAGAAGCTACCCTGGTAACTGAATAAGTACTGAACATGATTTAAGACTGGTTCCAACATAAAATGATGCGTCTGTCTAATTTCAAACCAATTGAAATGATGCAATCGGTTTTGTATAGCGAAACTTAGTACTGTGGTTGCGTACAACATTTCAGCGGCTGCAGCAGTCTAGTGGATCGGTTTAGTTGTCGCAGCACTGCCGATAGCGCTACGTCGCCGGGTCGGTATCAGTGATCAAAAATAAGAACCTTCTATTGATACTTGCTCACACTGGAATGTACTGATTGCCACTGGTTTGTAGCTAATTTTTGGAAGACCACAACAGAGGACAATAATATTTGAAATGAATATTTCCACTGGCAAGAAAAAAAGAAAAAGAAAAAGAAAAAGAGAGAGAGAATATCTCCAAGGGTGGTTGCATATATGCACCTCTGTATATTGCAGTTATAGTAGTGGATGGGCGGTCCAAGCACAACCATTTGAGTCAGCGCAAAGACGAGATTTTCAATACACGCCCAACGGACTGCTACTAGCCATGTTTCGAATTTATCCAAAGATAATATGCATTGACATTTGACTCGCAGCGGTCATGTCAATGCTAGAGCTGCGAGCGCTGGTTCTTGAAAAGCCAAAGAGAACAGCCTTGAAGACGCAGCTCTCATTGCTGATCAACACGGCCAAATCTTACGTGCTCAGATGAAAATTGCCGCCAGAAATTCCTCAGAAGTATAATGGCGGGAGAGGAATCCATGATGATGTCCAAAGAGATGTCTCGTGGTCCATTTTTGAGATCCTTCCTGCCTTGAGAACATCTACGAAAACCGGCACGAGCGCTTTTGCGAGAAGCGACATGTACACAACCAGTATACATTGCCCGCGCATCGGTATGCTCTGATTATTGTTGTGCAACATGTTGGCCAACTCTAATAACGCTAGTTACTAAAGTTAGGTTAGTGTCTTCACTCTGAAATCTGAGTTGTAGATCTTCACAAAAAGTGCAGTGTCGAAATAATTGATGGAACTATATGATTTTGATCTTTTATCAACTATAATGTACCCTTCATTCACGAGCTGGCCAAGAAAACGAGCATGAGAGTCTGGTTGTATCAAACTTCAACTTCTCTTTTGGTTAAAGTGGGACATTACTTCTACCGACATTAGAGTAATTCGCACTTGGCATTAGCCTCATGTTCAAGGACGAACTCCTGCGCCTGGCATAGTGAATTGTAAGGCAAACAAATCCGCAATATACAATTGTGATTTTTCAAAGATGGTCTTGGGGACGTGGTCTCGCTTGACTTCCTTGCTAGCACCTGCGAACAGTTGGCAGTTTGTTTCCTTGTGCTGCGGGGTTTCAAGTTCAGGTCGAGGGCCATCTGATAATTCATGTTGGTGATGTCTGCGGCGAAACATCCAGGTGCTTAACAACCTTAATTCGAGCGCTAGCTATCAAGGCTAGATATATATCACATTAGTATCTTGCGCCAAGGCGTTTGTACTCGATAAACCAGCACTGTTCTCAGCACTGTTCTAAATGGCAGCGAAAGATGATTGTACGGAAAATGCCTGTGTTCATGGCAAAGTGCTTGGCAAAGCTAAAGACGGGTGCAGCTTTACCGACCACTCGACGAAACGCGCCAGGAGACGAGAATCCTGCTCATCACCAACACGGAACCTCTAGAGTTTGAATTTGAACATGCTTCCATGACTGACGATCACCTGGAACCCTTTGATGCAATCTCATGGTGCTGGGGTGAGGCGAGCGCCGTCAACCAGAAGAACATCACCGTTGGAAAATACACCCTGTCTGTTCCTGCAAATGCTTACGAGGTCCTGGTCGAACTCTGCGTAGCTCAAAAGAGGAAGAGGATTTGGATCGATGCTGTTTGCATGAATCAAAATGACATCCATGAAAAAAGCCAGCAGGTTGCCATGATGGACACCATCTACCAAAGAGCAACCATGACGCTAGTCTGGCTGGGCAAGGACAAGGGGACGGCTAGAAGGGCAAAGGAAATGATTAGAAGAATTGCTGATTGGCGTCAGGTAAAACTCCCATTCATCTCTGGTACTGATGAAGAAGAGTACGGTCTCTTTGCCGACGAGCGCCAGACGGATGCGTTCCCGCTTAACATTGACTGGGATGCGCTTACTTCCCTTTTCTCGGCAGTTTGGTTCACCAGAATCTGGATCATCCAGGAGGTTGTTTTATCAAAACATTGCCATTTATTCATGGGAAAGACTGAGATATGCTGGAAACAGCTCGCTCAGGTCATGTGGTACATCTCGAACAATATCGAGAGAACAAAGCTGGGAGAGCGCGGCAAATCAGGCGTGTGGAATGCCGTTATCATTGGGAGGACGCAAAAGAGGAGGCTGGGACCCTTGGAATTGCTCGAATCAAGTCCCGATTTTGGGGCCACAAATCCAAAGGACAGGATATTCGCATTGTATGGCCTCTTGAAGACAGACACGCGAACTGCACTCCACACGGCTTTTTATCCTAATTATGATGCAAAGCTTGTGGACATATATACAAAGGCCACCCGGGCTACCCTCAATTTTTCGCACGGAGCTCGGCTGCTCCTGCATGCCCAGTGTCTCGTGCAAAGGCCTGGCTGCGAATACTACGACATAGACTTCCCTTCCTGGGTCCCAAGGTATCATTTCATCGACGACAGACAACGGGGCTCGTACCGGCCATTATGGTTCACACAACACAGCGTAGCCCAAGCGCACGCTCAAATAATCAAGATCGATAGGGACACACCTAGCAACATCCTGCGCATTGCTGGAGCAGTCATGGACACAGTATCTACAGTCTTTGAGCCGCTATCGCCGTTGCTTTCTCACCAAGGCCAAAGTCCGCATGATTCGTGCGGCAGGGTTGGTTGTAGTGACCCGTTGTGCGTAGAGCATAGGGAAGCAATTTTTGGATCTTTACGCCAGCTGTGGCATGCGGCAATTGCGGCAAATCCAAAGCTGCCCCTATCGGAGCTTGCAACCATGCTGAGGACGACCTTGGTTGGGAAGCCCGACGAGGAAAGCTGTGAGTCAGGCTGCGATTGTTATTTGAATTTTCAGTCTGAATTCAAAGAGCTGGTGACCAAAGTCTGGCCGACTGAGCACAATGCTCCTGTTGAGGCTGAGGCCGTGGAGATAGAAGCGCAGGTCGACCCCGATGACTCGGACCTAGACGACGAATATTCCGACGACGACGACGACGACGAAGAGGATACCAAATTGGATCAAGTAGATACGGGTAAAAATGATTCTCTTGGTCACTTGTGGCACAGAATTATTGGGCGACATGCCAACAGGAGGTTCTTCCTTGCTGGTAGCGGCCGAACGGGCATTGCCGCCCCCCAAACTCAAGTCGGCGACAAGATCTGCTTGGTACCGGGACTGGAGGTTCCCTTGATACTTCGACAGGTGGGAAGCGATTGGGTCTTGATCGGTGATGCATACTTGAGCGGAACATTGAATGTATGGTATCGTCTCCTTCATCATATGATCGAAAAGTTGGCTAATCCTGCGCAGGGCAAGCACATCGACAGCTTAAGCGCTGAGGAGGAACAATGGTTTAACTTGAGATAGATGATTGGTAGGAGATATTCAACTAAATGTGTATACCTAGGTACCCAACGTATGCCCGGGAAATTCGCAAGTCCGTTGCTTGGAATCATACTAAAATTTCCTTAATCTAAGAACAACTGATGAACATCTTTGTACGGTAATTCAAACCGCTTCTGACTGCTACATGGAACTGATGCTCAGGGGATATGTACGAACCGCGTAGCCGCCTGGCCTTGTCCATGGCTGAGCTTTGTTGCTCAGAATTAGCATCTGCCAATTCATTCCAGTCTCTCCAATCTGCCAGGTATTCTGGAGGCCAAGATATAGCTACGGGGCCTTGCAAATTCTGGCTTTCGCTGGTTTCATCGCACGAACCAGTTATGGCAGTATCTTTTTGAAGATTGGGTGATATCAATTGTGCAGAGAGAGTAAGCACAAGCCGCCCCTGTTCATCCACCAATAACTTTGGTTGGCGGTATGGAGTGGTAGAAGGAAAGAAGATTGGTTGTTGCGTGGTCTGAAAGCCAGCGGAAATTCCAAAAGTTTGATTTTGCGGTTGAAGTGGAAGTCGCACAACCTTCGGCTTACACGAAAGCGGAGGCAAAGCGACGTAAACATGGTCCGGACTCCATGCCACAAGTATGAGAGGAGCCTCCAGGCCTTCATTCACGAAGAATGTCAATGCTGATGACGACCCCACCGCGGAGACTTTCAGGGCCCCGTCCTCTGTTTGAACCATCTTGAGAGCCGTGATGCAAAGACGACATTGCACACCAGTGCCAAGGGGCGTTACCGCTAGGATCAGGTAGAACAAAAGACTTCCGTTCTCCGAGACGTAAATTTCTTTGTGCAGACTCTGTGTGGTCGTGAAATCGATTCCAGGGGGCTCCGGAAGTGCTGTCTGTTCAATGAGCGCGGTTACTGTATTAGCCTTGCAGAGCACATGAGCCGACGGACTCCAAAATACCCAAGGCTCCGTTGGATGGAACCCGCCTCGTGTGATAGTGTTTCTGTACGTTGATTCCCATAGATACGAGACTGCATCAGCATTTTGTCGTGTAACGAGGAAGCAGTGTTGTTGTGTAGAACGGGCTGCACTGTGGATTGGCAGTTGTGCTTGCAGCGCTTCTTCATCGTCCTCGGAATCAGAGTCCGAGTCTGAATATAAGTTAGACCCAACTAACATTGATCCCTTTTGATGATCATGAATTGAATCATCAGTCTCTTGTGAGCTACACCTCCACTGTACTGCAACAGCTCGTGGTTCCGAGGAAGGAGGTTCCAGTTTGGTGTCCATGTCCGAAGTATAGGTAACTACTTCCCAATCAGATGAAGAGGGCACTGGACTGCGATGTGAGCTCGATATGCCGGTTTCTGCATCGGTATCGATTTCTGTTTTCGTTACTAGCTTGGATGGAAATGTCGTCAGACACATTGGACAATATGAGGAGCGGCAGTCTCCACAGTCATGAGCATAGAGCTCGACTTGTACGGAGTCATTGATTGAAATGGTCCCATAGTCTGCCGGTGACGCAGATGTGGATTTGACGGTGATCTGTCGCTGCTTTTTCTTTTGTATCTCTGCTGAGATCAAGTCGTTGATTGTCATGTCATTTGAATAAATTGCCCTACATCGTACATGATTTGAAAACCACATGCTTGTGCTTGGCCATTTCGATTTCCACTGGTCGTCCATATAGCACTGGCTCAGGTTTCCGGGACACGAGTTCAGCACACGACACCACTGTGTGATGAAGCTATCAAAATCCTCAACTCTGGCCGTCTTCATCCATGCCGGTAGTGGTGACGCATAATGAACGTCTGCTGGTTGGGACTCTGAAGATGCTACAGGAATAGCTTCCATATACTTCAGTGATGTATTATCTTGGTAATAAATGGCATAAAGATGAGGGGCGATGATGGATTGGATTGTAACGCAGTTCCAGAATGCTGAGCTTTCCATGAAAGATTCGACCTGGTGGGATATCTGGGATTTGGGCCTTGTAATGCTGAGATGTGCGTGCCAAAACACTGCAGCGTACTTGAGGAAAGCGTGATCCCTTTTTTCGAGGAGCTCCTTTTGGAGCCCGGGGGTATTGTATCGTGGGTTGGTGAGGTATTGGAGACAGACTTGCCCGAGCTCGGCGTTGGCTGCGCTTGTTGATGTGAAAAAGCGTTCAATTTTCCCGGGCGCGCCCGTGCTTTCAATGAACTTTTTGAAGAGCGCACGCATTCTTTTCTCAAAGTGATCTCCATCTAACCCGTTGAAAGAGGCATCAATTGGAATGCCCAGTTGATCCATCTCCTCAGCTTCTAGAATCTGCAAGAAGAAATCATGTACTGATTTGTGCGTGAATCGCAACACTGGGTCTTCACTAGACCCTGGGAGAGAGCGGTCAAATACGACCAAGCCTGAACATAGATCTTCGAGCAGGGAGTCCTCTGGTTGACCTTGTGGCAATGGGGGCGAGTCTGGTGATGTAGGGACAGTCAGCGCATCCGAGAGCTCACTCAATCGCAATGGCTGGAACGATGCCACAAGAAATGTGAACATTTTCCGAGCTAGCTCTTGCTGCCACGATTTGCGCTTTGACAATCGGTGAAGGTCTCTCATGTAAAGGCCGTTCAAGTCTCTAGGAAACTTTTCAAGCTCCATAGCTAGATGCTTTTCGTCGGTAAAAGAGGTGTCATTTAGCACTCGCAGCGCCATTGTCGCCCAGAGAAAGTTTCCTCCTGACTTTTCGACAATATCATCGATTTTATGATTCCATTGATCATTTGTACGGCTTTCGTGGAGAAATCTGTTGATATCACTTTTGATGGAGTCTACTGATGCTTCAATGTCGAGAACGGTGTGTCGGAGAATCTCCCCGCGAATATCGCGTTCTGGCCGGCTTGTGAGGAACCATTTCACAATGCCAAATGTGGTTGATTCCAATAGCGATCCCAGGATAGGGAGCAGGGTTTTGCGGTCTCTGCATTCATCAAGTCCATCGAGAATGATGTGAACGCGACTGATTTGTTTGACGAGTTCCTTCAGCAGATTACCCGCAATCACAACATCGCTCAGCTGGCTGGAGCCGTTTCCAGTGTCGGACGCATACAACAATTGAACACTATCTGGGACTGAGTCGTGGAGTGCGAGTAGTTCTAGAGCCAGTGCTCGTAATGCGGTGATTGTGGTCCGTTTAGAGGGATCGCTGAAGGAGAAGTAAAAGGTCGTTGTGCGGAGGCCGCGGTCTTCAAGATATTTGGCTACTGCGGAAGCTGAAACTGTCTTGCCAGCACCAGGGGGTCCGGAGAAGAGTAAACATGTCGAATTTGTGGACTTGATCCATGTCTTGAACTGCTCATGCTGGAAAATCCATTCGCAGGTTTGCGGATGATGTGTTTTCACCACCGTGGGGTTGTCGTCGCCTACATCTCCTCTAATCCAGGAAACGATGAGGCTTCTGACATTGTCTCCACTGAGCTGCTGATTCGTGATCGAAGTCATGTTTCTTTGTGTGTTTTGCAAGCTTGGTTGATCAGAATTAATCTCTGTTGGTAATTCGGTGATTCTTTCATGTCATTTAGGAAGTTGGGGAGCGTGGAGGGGTTGAGGAGCGTGGGCTTTGCAATTGTTGTAGTATTGGTGTCAGCATTGAACCTCAATCTCATCACCCTCAAAGTTCCCCGTAATGTCGGTTTGGGGCAGGACAACGAGTATGATATATGGCGCGTATCTCTCGGAGGAGTATGCTACAACGGGGTAACCGAATGAAGCTTGCCTCTGCCAATGTTCCAGCCCACGTACGGTCACACCACGCCCATGGTTTGCCCCTTCGTGCTATCCGGGGAGGGGGGTGGGAACAAAATGTGTTTACCAAAGTCAAATTCCGCGTATACAGTTTGTGTTCATGATATCCATCAGGCCTCCCGATTGTGATCTTCCAAGGATTTCTGGGCCTTGTCACAATTACGCGTGGCGCTGACAGGCTCTCGTGTACGCAAGGCTCGGTATGATGTGTCGGCACTCGTTGCGCTACATACAGATGCAGCTTTCTGCCTGTAGTAGGTACCCACTCAAGGTCGGTCTTGTCCGCCAAGCGAAACCTCAGCAGTCTTAACCCCTGCCACTTCCCCGCCTGTTGCCTAATCAGATGCTCCAGTACCTGATCTATCTGGCATGCATGCACTGAGCCTCTTCAAAAAGAATGCACCATTGCGTTGAATTATTACATCTCGTAAGCAAGGCTATGTGCCAGGCGGCCTCTCCCATACCAGTGCTTCAATGGTTAGTCTTGCACGAGTCCATCCCACTGCGCCACCAATAGAACATATGAAGGCGCATGACTATTGTGCGAACCACATATCTGCCTTGTTTCGGTCGCCACGAGAAGTTGCCCTGTCACATCCATGTCGATCCGTTCAGCCGCATCTCAATGATTTCGTTTCTTGCAAGCTCAATCGCTACTTGCAATTGGACAGCTTTGAAGTTGTCCAACATGCTGAAATCAACATGTACCTAGACCTAGTCAATGACCTGAAGTATATATATCAATTCCATACAACGTTATCCCTGGCCTACTTTTCTAGTAACTGATTCCCTCCAGATTCTTCCTGTTTGTTCATTCAGCCTGCACCTCCCATCCTCGGACATCATCATCAGGTCTTTGCTCATCATGGATCATCAGGATACCAATGGTGTACACCCCACAGCTCCATTGAAATGCGAACTAAAAACCTGGCATACCCGTGAAGATGGAAAGGGCAACAAAGTTCGCACTCCTGTGCAGGGTACGGATGCGTTGCGACCTGACAATGACTCTTCCAGTCATGCCTTGGTTCTTGAGAGAGGGTTCGACAAAAAGAGTCAGCTGCTTTGGACTACACTCACCGTCAACTCCCCCCACATACTCAAGGCTCTCAGGGACGCTGTAGGCCGCTACCCAACAGTTCCTTCCGACTTTACGGAATCATTTACCATGTCGAGCCCATTTCAGATGCTCTATCATCACTGGGAAGATTTGCACGCTTATAAGACGACCCTCGAAGACGGGGAAGATGATGCAAGGATGCACCTGAATTTACTCTTTGGATTCATGGAGTCAGAGATGGGCGATTCTAAAAGAGCAATCGAGAAGCAATTCGCCAGCGGCTATTGCGATTATGACAATCTCTGGCTCATATTCAAGCCTGGTGCTCTGGCTATTACCCATTTCAAATCTCATCCATGGTTGATGAGAGTTACCAAAACCGCGTACGAGGAGAATGCCCGAGACGGAAAGTGGCTAGAGGTGCATACTGTATACACTGGTCATGATGGGAAAAATCCCGGCGAGACAAAGCACATCATCAAGGTGAAACAGAAGGAATCCTTTGCCCAGGGGCATCCCGAGCGCATCCTCAATCTCCCAGTCTACCCGCGCAAGTATCATACCGAGGGTGAGGCACTGGAAGAGCGTCTGCGTTCCAGGGGCGAGAGGTTTATCTCACTCAGCGGCAGAAACTCCATTCAAAACTATGATGGAGCTGCCGAATATCTCAAAGAAGCGCCCCCTGACTTTTACGACCCTAATGAAGCGAGCACCTGGCAAGTATGGCGCTCGTATGCAGAGAAAGGCCGGATTGTCCTGGACTTGAGCTCTTTTCATGAAGAGAACCGTGGCATGACCATATCAGCCCCACAGGACGAGTCGACAACAGACACGGCAATGTGTCCCCCATACGTTTTTGGGTTCTCGTGCGGTCGTAAAGACTGGGGCCGTTTCCTGGTGTCCATCGTACGAGAAGCAAGTTGGAAACCGGACCCCTTTTCTTCTCTCGAAGTGCCAAGTAATCAAAAGATGCTGGTTCAGGCTCTAGTCTCGTCCCACGATTTTCCAGGCAACGATCGCGACAGGAATGAGCAAAAAGGAAAGGGACTCGTCTTCCTTCTCCATGGTCCACCTGGTGCCGGAAAGACATTGACTGCCGAGTGCGCCGCCGAGCTGTCACACAGGGCCCTGTTCAGCTGTTCCATGTCAGAACTAAACAAGTACAACAGCGCGTGGTATTTTGAGCATCGTCTTGCCCAAGTTTTGCGGCTCGCAACTGCTTGGAAGGCCGTCGTGCTTCTTGATGAGGCCGACGTCTTTCTTGAAGCTAGACGGGATGACTCGGCCGCGGATGGGGAGCGTAATGCTCTTGTCGCAGTATTCCTGCGACATCTTGAATACTTTTCAGGCATCGTGTTTCTCACCACGAACCGGATTCATGTTTTTGATGATGCAATGAAGTCAAGAATCCACTTGGCAATTGGATTCAATGCCCCAGGCACAGCTGCACGACGCGCGATATGGAGCCGCAATATCCAACAACTTCCAAAGGATCAGGTAGATCCCAATGTTGAGGAGGCGCTCGATCGACTGGCTGCTGAAGAGTTAAATGGTCGCGAGATTGCAAACACTCTGACAACAGCGAACACATTTGCTCGTTTTAGCAAAGAGCCACTCGGAATCCAGCATATCGAAACAGTCATGGTTGTGCGTAGAGACTTTGAAAACATATTGAAGAAGGGGAACCCGGCATAGCATCACATATCGTCGATATGATTGTGTAAAAGCACAGAATCCTGAAGCAAAAAGGTGTGGGATTAGACGACGTTTGCTATTTAGAAACAGCCTTTTCCTACAATGGGGAATGGATGATAGAAAATGGGCCATGAACAAGGAACAAGCTAGACATTACGCTCACCCTCATTTTCCCTTCGAAACATGTAAATCATGTTTGTGATCAGAACCACGTACCCAGTTCACTACAATATTACTTTATCAGTGACTCAGGAGTCCAATTCATCGCTAAGCGCCTTATACAAACTACAAGCCGGAGGCAGAGCAAAGATTGCTCGTGCCCAGCATCAGGCATACCTGTGGATCTATGTACCTCGAATGTGTGTCTAGGCTATCCTCACCGGTACTACATGATAGATTATCCCAATGTTGGTGCTTTATTCAGCATCAAGTCAATCTTCACTTGTGAGCGTGTGTCCCATGCTCAACGCCATCTTGCGACTCGGGCATCCTCGTACGCGGCCTCTGAAAAGGTACTCCAGGGTTCATACCGGTGTCTCGCGGTGGCCGAGACCTTGAAGCCTTCCAACTTGACACTGCCGCATAGTAATGGCAGGTCGATCATTCCTACAAACCTGGTGAAATTCTCATCACTGAAATCCAAGTGTCCTGATACCGGGTCAGGTTGGATCTCGCCCTCGCCAGTTTCGCGGCCACGCAGTCGAATGAACACTCGATGAGCGGGAGCTTTGGTCTCCTTGGGTGAGCGGCCGCGATGTCTTTTGGAATGCGTAGGCTCGGCCCTAGTAGGACCTCGCTTTCGCTTGCTTCCCAACCGGTTATACGACTTGGTCTCCTCCTCCTTGTGATCATCGTCGCTGTCACTGTCGCTATAGCGATCGTAATCCTCGGTGCGCCTCTCGTCGTCGTCATCGCTATGGCTGTCGCTATAGCTGCGACGGTTGCTATCGTTTTGACTGTCGCTGTCGCTGCTATAGCTTTGACGGTTACTATCACTTCGACTGTCGCTGTCGCTATCTCTGTGGCTGTTGTTGTTGTTGTTGTCTCTGCGTCCATGACTGTCGCTGCTGGCTGCATCGCTGTGGCTATCACTGTCGCTACGTCTATGGTTGCTATCCCCATCAATGTGGCTGTCGCTGCCGCTGTCGCTGTATCTGTGGCCATCACTATCGTCGTCTTCAGTGTCGCTCTCATCTTGAGCTTGTATGTAATCTTCGAGTCTGTCGTTGGACAGTGCAATAAGCATGGTGCCGTCGAAATAGCCCATATCCAAGCGTCCGGCAGAGATACTCGGCGCAACCCCACGACTAACGTCAAGGGTGAATGGTGCCATTGAGGGCCATTGGCCAGAGACCTCTTCGCAGCGAATGACATAAGAACCCCGGCATTTTTGCAGAGTGGGCGGCTCAATGCTTCTGGTTTGGACACGGGGACCTTCTTTCCGCACCTGCTGGACAAGTCTGTCGTGGTCTTTCATGGCAGTCAACCATAAATTGTCTGACCTCTCTGCTTCCTGACGACTAGACTGTCTGTCAACGTGACGGGCAAGACTAATGACTGCTGAGCGATTCCAACCAATGCAGATCGTCCGCATGCTGCCAGTGCCGCCGCTCCATGTTTCCAGGCCTGGGACTCTCTCGGCTGCCGCACGAAGAAGATGTCTATCATCATATCCATACAAGGCCATAGGTTCGGGGGTCTTGGATTCATCCGGTCGTCCGTTGGTCAGGAAATAATGTTCCATGAACCGATGGAGATCCTGCTTAGCTCGCTCAGCTGGGTTCGAGTATTTGAACCAAGCCTGATTCTCTTTGGACTCTTGCTCGGCTTCCCAGTCTTCCACTTCTTGATCCCAAGCTTTCAGAGCAGGCTCGTGATCTCGCCTCATGTCCAGTTCAAGTTTAAGCACTGAAGCAGGTACTTGTTCGCACTATAAAATTGGTAATGATTAGTGCATGTCGCGATTGACAAAGTGCAAAGTTATTATGGAAAGGGGAAACTTACTCTGCCATCTACAACAGCATCTCTCAATAGTTGTTGCAATTCGGGAAGTCGTGCAGAGGATCGAAAGGGGATGCCGTACCAGCGGAGCTGGGCAACAAAGAATGTCATCTTGAACAGGTCTCTGGCGCTTTCTCGTGCTTCCTCTTGTCCACGCAACGAGCGCAGTCGTCCTGGAAAGAAGAGCTCCAGCAACCGTGATCCGTCAATGCGAGGCTCCCGCCTTGCTGTGGTTTGTGTAGGACCAAACTCTCGGCCACGCATTTCGAAGCCATTCCTGCGGAGAACGGGCGCAGCTGGACGCTGAGGGTGCCATCCGTACTTATAGTTGGGCATTTTGGGTACGAAAGTTGGTTGACTTACACAACAATGACCCAATTGCCCACCAAATTTTGTACAAAATTGAAAGATGAATCTGGATACCAGAATTTAAAGTAGTCGGAGCTGTCTCTGCACTGGGCTTGCGTTTGCTTTGTGTCGACCCAAGAAAAAAAAAATACCTGCACACACCCGCCTGTGTTGCCCAGTGAATAAAGCGCGCTAAGAAACCAACACCAAGGCCCACGGGCTCCGAGTCCCAATTCTCGCCTTAGCTCTAAGCCAACCTGCTACAGCAACATGAGAATCTTCCTGGTTTGTTTCCATGGATTTAATTTCTTGAAGAATTGCATTCAAATGACCTGAGTGACAACGATTACTCAAGGCTACCAGCCGGTACCCAAAAGAGGTAGTCGAGCCATCCAGGCGCATATCGACGCGAACCTAGATTGATGGCGTCAGCTCTGGCTCGCATTGAAGATTCAGGCCAGTTGTAGCATACATGCCACCTGAAGGGCGCGCCGGAAGGAGAAAAAGACAAGATGCCTATCAGCGCCTTCACTTATGTATATCAGGGCAATATTATTCATCAATCCATTCATCAATCTTTCATGATTCCTAGATCTCATAAAGAAACTTTGCATACTTCCAAAATGGCCGAGTCACCAGCAATTGTCATCACTTACGTTCCTGCGGATTGCGGTTCCATCTTTCCTGGAAAATCCAAAGCATCGCAGGCATTTCGAGATGCAGACATTGTCACGAAACTGCGCAGGGCAGGCTACCAAAGTATCTCGGAGTACCAAGCCTTGGAATCCCCCGCCACTTACAAAGCGTCAAGCCTGGGTTCAAATGGGGTGCGCAACGAAGACCTAAACGTCCAAGTTTGTAAAGACGTCCAAAGAAGCCTCGTCCAGACTCTAGCCCTGACTGGCGATGCGAGCCTGCCACCGTTCCAGCTTATACTCGGCGGCGAGTGCGGCATGTCCCCAGGCGTCTTGTCTGCCTTCTGGCAACACTCGACTCAAGGCGATTTGCATAAGCGTGTCGGCTTCCTCTACATTGATGCCGACACGGACCTGGCATCTCCAGATGATTTGAACAACACTGGCATCTTTGCAGGCATGAACATGACAAACCTCATTCGCTCCAAGGGAGCGCTGAAAAGCATGCAACAGTTTGCGCGGCCGTCGGGTGAAGCTCTCTGCGACGCTTCGAATACGGTCCTGTTTGGGATCAACATGTCGAGCCCGGGCAACAAGCCAGAACATCTCGGGTATCTGCTTGATCATGGTTACAGAGTCATCAGCTCGTCTTCCGTTGCGCGACAACCTATAGAACAAGCAATGGCGGCCCTAAGGTTTCTCGAGGAGAGAGTAGACATCATCGTGGTGCATCTCGACGTCGACTCCATCGATCCTAGAATGTTTCCCTTGGCCAACGTACCCAATCACACCGGCGTTGAATTTCACCAAATGATGCAGGCATTGAGGGTCATTCTTTACAGTGAAAAGGTGGGCGCATTGGTGGTTGCAGAGGTCAACCCAAATCACGACCCAGGCTTGGACATGACCGAAAGACTTACAGATAGTATTGTTGACATTTTGACTGAAAGACGGGCGCCAAGAAGAGGCTAGCCCAAATCACATGTGTTCCATATTTTATAGTCGCAGGGAGATGTGGACACTGGACTATATTACCTACCATGGTGGGAAATTGTGTGTACCTGCAGCGCGTCATGGATTCTGCCCAACATGACGGTATTTTAATCGATGGAAAAATATCAGACAAAGTCGTTTGGATTGACTCAAAGAATACATACACCTGTGAGCTAAACTGTACTTTCATCTTTATTCGCCTATCCTTTCCGAATCGTCTCCTCGCAGTCCAGTTGTTGTTAGCCCAAGTTGACTAGAGTATTAGAAGATTCATACACGATTCATGTAGCGACAGACAAAAGAGGGAGAAAGGATAGCTAGAACTTAAAATGTGAACAGTAAAAGAGCGGCAAGATCCAAAGTCTGTCGTATTGGAAGATGGAGATCAACCATCAAGTCACACAATGAGTCATAATGATTCGAGAAAACAAGCGTCTCGCTAGTCTTCGGCCTCTGAAAAAGCAACACAGCTAAGGCGAGAAGGAAGAAAAGGCTCTCACAAACTGCCAATTGCATTGCTTTGACGCCAGCTATGGCTGCCGTCCTACCGAGCATTCACATGGGGTACCGCAGCGCATGGTTAGTGCTTATAGGAAATCATACCGACAACAAATGATGCGGCAGTGTTATGGAGGATCGGCCATGATGAACAGAACAGGTGAGACATCATACTCACTGTGCTTCATTTTACCGGACTTTTTAATTGTTCATGTCTCCGCGAACTCATCCTTCAACATTTATGCTTCCTACTCAGTATTCATCTCATCCATTGTAGTATCATCTGTGCCTGCTGCCCGGGTACCCCTGATCTCGAACCTGTAATATCATCAAGCCTTTTACAATCAGAGAGATCTCTGCATAATGGTTTGGGACTTTCTGGAAGGTGGTTGGAACCCCTCAGGCTGGGGAAGCCCGTGGCGTCCTCAAATGCCCCTAGGCTCCACTAACAGGTGCAGTCCAGCCGGACTCTCCCTGCCCGACATCACTGGAGTGAGCATACTGGCAGTGGAAGCAGTGGATCAACGCAACTACACGTACATTCCCGGACCCCTCGCAACCGCCGTCCTGCCGGATGCCAAGACGCTTCCAAATCTGCATTTTTGCAATGTCACCGTCACCTACACACACCCAGGCTGGCATGACACGATCAATGTCAACATATTTCTCCCCACAGATGATTGGAATGGTAGATTTACTGGCATTGGCGGGGGTGCCTTGGTCACGGGCGGGGGAGAACTTGCCGAGTCCAACATGATGCCCATCATGGCGACGGGATCTGCCACTGCCACCACCGACGGTGGACACTCTTCCGACGTTCTCGGTCCGGAGCTGAACGAACCCGCCTGGGCATTGACGAGCCCCGGCAACTTGAATTGGCCGCTGCTCGTGAATTTTGCCTCGGTCGCGCTGCACGACACGGCCACGATTGGCAAGGCGGTTGTGCAAGCATTTTACGGCACTGCACCAAGCTACTCTTACTTCTTGGGCGCTTCGACGGGCGGTCGCCAAGGCCACATGCTCGCGCAGAGATATCCGCACGACTATGATGGCATCATTGCCCTGTTTCCGGCCGTGAATTGGGTCAAGTTCTGGTGGTCTGGCCTCTGGCCGACATTTATCATGGATCAGATGAGTTCCTACCCCCAACGCTGCGAGGTGGATGCCATCACGGCCGCAGCCGTGTCGACTTGCGACAAGCTGGACGGTGTGGAAGACGGGATCATTTCTAGAGTGGATCTCTGTGACTTCAAGGCTCGCGATGCGATTGGTAAAAAGGTTCAGTGCAATGGCATCGAGACTACAGTATCTCCAGAGGCCGCAAAAGTAGTACAAAAGACGTGGGACGGACCCCGAAGCTCTACAGGCGGGTTCCAATGGTATGGATTCGGCATGGGAACCAGCTTGACGCAGCCGCCTACGGGCGCCATTCAGGTCCAGTGCATTGAAGGGGATATTTGTCAATCTGCGGCCAATACTGCATGGGCTCGATACTGGGTCAAAAAGGATCCCTATTTCGACATGACCGGAATCACCCACCAAGAATGGGACGATCTCTTTCACGCATCCGTCAACGAATATGAGTCCATCATTGGGACCTCGGACCCTGACCTGTCTGCATTCAAGAGAAGAGGGGGCAAGATGATGTTTTGGCACGGGACCGTCGATGCGGCTATTCCTTTTAATGGTAGTACCGACTATTATGACCGCGTCTTGAGTCGCGACCCCAATGCTCAGGATTATTACCGATTCTTTGTTGCGCCTGGGGCCGGCCATTGCTTCAACTGCGGGCCGGCACCGCCATTCGGCATGGATCATATTGTTAATTGGGTAGAAAATGGTGTGGCTCCCGACGTACTGAGAGCCGCTGGTACGAATGGGTTCGGCGATTGGGTTGAAAGAGACATCTGCCTGTACCCCAAGGTTCAACATTATGCAGGGGGGGATCCGTCAAAGCCATCATCTTTCATTTGCGTCTAGAGTGTCAGAAGCTATCCACAGCGGTAACATTAGGATATCGGGATCGCATATTCTTGGACCTAACACGAATCGAATCGTCTCTCCATACGTTGACTCATTTGCCAACATGCAGCACATTATATAATGAACTCGAGCTCATGTGCCATGTTTTATACAAATACATGATCTCCGTTTGGTTTAAAGGCTGCAGTTGCGACGGCGACAATGTCGAATCATTTCTGTCAACGGCGTTATTACGGTGTATTGGAAGGAGCTTCCCCCGACAGCATGCAAACCTTACACCACCTTGTGACTTTTCTTGCCATCATGAGGAGTTTCGAGAGCAGGGAGAGATAAGAAAGAGAACACCTGGCATGATCATAATTTGATGTAGCTTTGGAAGAGCATCAACTTTTTTGCTTCCAAGGTTATACTCACGGTACACCTTGCGTGACCATTTTCTTTCTCTTTACTTTTTCTTCTGGCCTATTCGACCGAGTAGCTCAACCAGCTGCCTCGAACTCGTGAACTTCAGTGATTTGATCAGACCTACAAGTACTGCCAATAGCATGACAACAAAGATTAAGTGGAATTACTACTGGCGCCAGCATCTCAACTTTCATTGGTGAGTGCCGCGATCGGCTTGCTTTTGGTGCTTGTCCCTACATTCGTGTACCTTCAGGACAAATGGTGCAGTGCTCACGAGCTGGAAAAACCTTATCATCTACAAACTTCGCTGCTAATATGCAACACCTTGGCCGTTTCAATGCAGGGTCCGGACAAGAGACTTTGGAGTTTTTCATTTTCATGCTCCAAGGTATAAAGAGGCCTGCTGTGCCCATCAAATCTCTGCCCATGCGTCTCTGAATCAAAATTGCATCTGACACTCAGTATATGTCGACACAATCACACCTGGGCGTACCTTTCAGAAACTGACTGTGTACACTCACAAGCAACAATATTCCAGTTACCCTGCTTAGCAAAGTATTGTTAAGAAACGAGAGTATGGATAAAGACAAGAAGAACTATCCAATGGACTGCGAAGTACAGAGAAGCGAGGAGCCGTGGGCCGAAATGAGTCGAATGACTGAGCGCCGCAAAATCGAAAAGAAGCGGCTACACTGGCGAGGGTGGTTTCGAAGCAAGTTGCAGGGTGGGCGCAAAACGACGACCAAAGCGACCGAAACAAACTTTCAGTGTCCTCCCGACGTCGATTCTTTAGCAGCAATGCCGTTGGATCAGAGCTTGGCAATAAGTCGCGCGCCACGGCAACAAGACACGCGAGATGACCTCGGGCCCCCTCCGTACCATGGTGTCGACGCACACACTCTGCTCTATTCCGGCGTGTATCTGAAAGACATTCTGGAAATTGACCGATATGTGCAACAGACTGTCGCGAATACTGTTAGAGAGAAAATACACGCTAACTTCTGGGGACATGACGCCCAAACCATGATGATGATCATGGACGCTATTCAAGAAGGGTGTACATCTGTCGCCGTTACCATATGCCGCGTTGACGTGCAAATAGAGCCAGCCAAAGTCAACGCATTCGTCAACGAAGGCTGCCGCAAAGTAGCCAAGGCAATTATCGAGGCCGCCTACGCCGTAGCCCCCGCGGGACGAGGAAATCATCCAGCTATTGCAGCTTCTTATGCCGCCAAGATCATCAGGGAGGCCGCAGACCACTTCTTCCGCTACAAAAAGTCCTGGCGGCCATACTTGGCCAAAATGCAGCTGATGTCTACGGCTTATAGCGTGGGCGCTACCCTCTGCTGGAATCACACCAATCGCAAGTCTATACTCGACCACCCTGTCGCCTTCCCGGCATACCAGGAGTTTCTCGAATCTCCCCTCTAAAGGTCAGATCCGTTTGGGCCATGCATTGCCTAGAGACCCTGGCATGTGCCCGTCTAGACATTCGATTCCTTTTTTCAAGTTCGTCCCGTTTTTAAGAATTGTCACTCGTGAACTCCTTCTAGCTTTGTGCTATGTATTTCGAAACTTCTACCCGGTGGCACTCACGTGTGTCGGCTTTCTCCTTCTTCTTTTTTCATATTCTTCCTTTCAGCAGCTACCGTCGGGGCTACTAGTACCGGCGGGACAGGCTGGGGTTTCAGCTCCAGCATCGGTACGCTCCCAAAAAGCAGCAATCAATCATATGTTATGACAGGGGTTCGTGATTGGTGTACAATTTGCGGGGTCATATTTCTACCTTTCAGCCCTACCACGGTTCAGCTGAGCCCCTACATCGAGGCTGTTCGTTCTCGTAAGCTTTCGCCAGCAAGTTGCGCTGGAAACAAAAGATAACTTCGCCTGAAAGGACCAGACATCTCCCTGGCTCCACCTTGTGTCCCTGGCAATGAACTAGCTGGGCGAGCGGATGGAACCCTTGCTGCCACGATGCGTCTGCTGCAGCTCCGCGATGGCGAGCTTACTCTAAGCAATCATCCGAACGAGGCAGTGCCGGAATATGCCATCCTCTCACATACCTGGGGGCTCGATGACGAGGAGGTCACTTTCCAAGACTTGATGCAGAAGCAAGGTAAAGACAAGATTGGGTACAAGAAGCTCATGTTTTGCGGACAACAAGCGAAGCGTGATGGTCTCGATTATTTCTGGGTCGACACTTGCTGTATCGACAAGGCGAACCATACTGAGCTCTCGAGGGCCATCAATTCCATGTTTCGCTGGTATCATAACGCCGTGCACTGCTACGTGTTCCTTTCAGATGTATCGACACAACCAAGTGGCTCGTCGGCCTCGTGGGAACCTCAGTTCCGGCGAAGCAAGTGGTATCAGAGGGGTTGGACGCTGCAAGAACTTTTGGCTCCTACCTCGGTCAAATTCTACTCAGTCGAAGGAGATTTCCTCGGCGACAAGTCCGGCATGGTGGATGTGATCCATGATATCACAAAGATCAAAGTGACTGCGCTACGTGGAGCCTCTCTTGCCCAATTCCCGATCCATGAACGCATGAACTGGTCGCGGCGGCGGCAAACAAAAGAAGAAGAGGACATTGCCTACTGTCTCTTTGGAATTTTCGATGTATTCATGCCACTCATATACGGAGAAGGGGAACAGAACGCAATGAGCCGACTAGAAGAGGCAATTGAGAAGCGCACAGGCAGTTCACGGAAGCCAGATCCACCGGGTAAGCATTCTGAATCGAAGGTCTTGGCTATGGCTAATCGCACACTTAAAGTGCAAAGCCCAGCGTCTCATCTCATACTCCCATTTGGACAAAATGAGGATTTTGTTGGGCGAGAAGAGATTCTCTCCCAGCTGGTGGACAGGATACTTCCTAGTGCGCGCAAGACCGATTGTCAAAGAACGGTTCTAGAAGGCCTTGGCGGCGTCGGCAAGACGCAAATCGCCCTCGAAGCTGCATATCGTGTCCACGAACAAGACCCAAAATGTTCCGTCTTTTGGGTCCCTGCTATTTCCATGGTGACCTTTGAGAACGCCTACAGAGAGGTTGGCCGAGCACTTGGTATACCGGGTCTCGAGGATAGTCAGACAGGCGTCAAGACACGAGTCAAATTGGCCCTCGAACAGAGCACCTATGAATGGCTCCTGATTATTGATAATGTTGACGACATTGCATTGTTGACACATGGCGGCTTGCAAGAATATCTGCCCTTCCACCGCAATGGCTCCATCTTCTTTACAACACGCAATCATGAAGTCGCCGTCCAGCTCGACGTCCCTTCGAAGCACATACATGCGATCGGAGAGATGAATGAAACCGAAGCACTCATGCTACTGCAAAACAATCTCAAGCCTCGACAATATCAGGACTGCCCTGAAGCCACGAGAGAACTCGTCCAGAACTTGGTGTATTTGCCACTGGCCATCAAACAGGCGTCCGCCTATTTATCAAAGACCGGGGAGACCACAAAGGCGTACTTGGAGTATTGTCTTTCATCTGACGAGACTCAAGTTGAGCTTCTCAATGTTGCATTTGAAGATCGATGGCGTTACTCGAAGAACGCAAATCCCATCACCACGACATGGCTTATATCATTCCAGCACCTGGAGCAAACATATCCACTGGCTGTTGACTACCTGAAATTCATTTGCTTCTTGGCTGAAACGAACATCCCGATATCTCTACTACCGCCAGGAAGCAATAAAAAAGAAGAGGCAGAGGCTATTGGGATCCTGGAAGGTTACGCGTTTATAAGCATGCGCGATCAAGCTCAGTCGTTTGATATCCATCGCTTGGTGCGCTTAGCGACTCGAAACTGGACAAAGGTCGAATGGGAGATGCGATGTACGAAAGCAATGCAGCGCCTGCACCTGATTTATCCTTGGCCAGAGCACGAGAATCGGCAGGTTTGGATGAACTACCTACCTCATGCCCAAACGATTCTCATCGAGCATGACAAGTGTACGGACCAATTAGCCATCGCACGCCTTGCTCACCTTGTCGGGAAGAGCTACATGGACCTTTCAAAGTACAGAGAATCGGAAAAGATGTTTCGACATGCCGTTGAACTATATTCATCTATGGAAGACCATACCCTTAATTCACTTAATTCGATGAACTGGCTAGCGAATACGTTCGTGTTACAGGGGAAACTTCAAGACGCAGAAGACATCTACCGCGAATTACTCGATACCAAGGAGGTACCGCAAAGTTTGCGCATTAGTCTTCTCAATAATCTTGCCTCGGCGTTTCAAGAAAAGGGTAAATACCAAGAAGCATTGGAAATGTATCAACAGGCGTTGATGATGGGATTGTTTGAGTCAGGCCCGGACGATCCAGAAGTACTCAGGACCATGGCTAACATTGCCGAGAACTTTTCTTATCAAGGTGATCATTGGGGAGCAGAGGAGCGTTTTCGTCATCTCCTGGGGCGAAGAACAGAAGTGCTTGGCTCTGGGCATCCAGAGACACTTGACACCTTGTGCGCCTTGGGTGTGCAGCTTGACCGACTAGACAAGTTGGATGAGGCCGAGGAAATGCTGCGAGATTGTGTCCAGGGATGCATCTTGGTTCTGGGTCCAGAACATGCCCAAACAGTGGTCAGCTCCACTTGTCTTGGAGATGTGCTGCGCTTGCAGGACAGAGACGACGAGGCCGAAGAGATACTCCGCCAAACATTGAACATTTCAAAAACTGCGCTTGGCCCTAGGAGTCCACGGACACTGAAGACCATGGTTAGCCTCGCGCTTGTGCTCAATTGTCAAGGGCAATTTGAGGAGGCAGAGGCGTTACTTCGAGAAGCATTTGAGCTGAGGAAAGTGGTGCTTGGTGAAGAGCACCCACAAACATTGGAGGCAGAAGAGTTTCTTCGGCTAATCACAAATCCCCAAACCAAAGCTGATGGGGGTTCTGACTCTGAAGATTCTGACAATGGCGGCGTTGTACTATAGACAATGAATTTACTTTGGCAGAGTCTGCAGGGCTTGCATTTGGGAATACACTGAACGATGCCTAAAATCTCTTGCTGCTAGGTTGTATCTACGCCGGACGTTTCTATGGATTCATGGTACATTGATTCCACGGCCCCAGCCAACGAGATCACACTTGTGAATATGGTGGTCGAGTCGTGGTACGATATCTGCTCGGACCAGGAGAGGCGCCCTGGCAATAGAGTAAAGCATCAAACTCGGGGGCCGTCATGGCCGCAAAATAGTATTGGCTCATTATTTCAGATGAATTAGACTCACCATGTTGGCTCCCGCAACATGCCTGTCGATCAAAGCAACCCTCGTTTCGTTACAGGCAATGTTTCAGCCCAGTGCGCGCACAGGCACTTGGTCTCTAGTATGAAGCCTGGGCACCAACAGCACGACTTTGGACGAATCAGGAAAGAATCTGTATAAGTTCTGTGATAATCTCTTGAGAATCAATTCACTGATTGATTTCATTTCGTATGAAAGTCTCTTGCTACGCAGATCTACAAATTTGAAAATGCCAGAAAAGACCGAGTCGCAGCCCTTTCTATACTCGGACGATCCGACGCCAAGAGAATCACCAAGTATCGTAGATGGTCCATTTCTAGCACCACAACGACAGCATAGACTAGTCACACATTTCGGCGTGGCAGTGGGCACATCTCTCCTATGGATTCTAGTCCTCTTCTTTTGCCGCGCCACGTCTACGCCATCAAGTACCCCCGCCACCCATGACATGACATGGCCTCGGCACAACATCACCAGCGGCGCGCGCCTCCTCCAGTGCGGCAGCTCGCCCCAGGAGGCGCGCGACAGGGGCTGCAAATACGACATCCTGCTCAACAACTGGGTGCCGGCGCCCTGCTTTGACCAGGAGTGGATCGACGAGTACACCGACGACCTGTCGTGGGGCGCCTACGCCGACGTCGACATGACGCGCGAGCTGAGCGTCGAGGAAATGTCCGAGGCGGATCACTACTACACCTCGATCCGCGACCATGTCAACCACTGCGCCATCATGTGGAAGAAGCAGTTTTGGGTCTTGTACGAGGGCCGGTCCGCCTTTGATACCGTCATTTCCTCTCCCGGGCACACTGAACACTGTGCGTTGTATCTCATGGAGTCGGCCGAGGCTAATTTCACTGAGCCGACCAAGACGCAGATGGGGTTTGCTGGTTGTTGGGTACGAGATTGAGGATTGGAGGTGTCAAGATGATATTGGCGGAATCGAGAGTCTCAACACTAAATATTTGATGCACTATCGGTATGGAGTCATAATTACGGAATAAAATCGTGAATTGTTTGTCATTTCATCTCTTTCTTTATTTGCCTTGAAATGAAATTCTTTTACACTTGCTATAATCAGCAGATCAGGACAATGCGATGAGCACCACTCAACAAACAATGATTATTGTCGCAGCACAAAGCTTAGTTCACAAAGCCTTTACAATCTGATTCTTTTATTTGAGAACTTTATGTTGGAAGAGTATCCTAGATCAATTTTCGCAAGAAATGTCAGTTCATTTTCACTTTTTCAATCAACATTACCAAGTTAATATGCCCAAAAAATATCGATAATCTCATACGGATTGGTCGGAATACCAGATATACACCTTTACCGTCTCCTTTCGTGACTGCGGTGGCTGTCGATAAAGTCACCCAGCGTCGTTGTCGCATGCGAGTCTTTCCTCCACGCCATATTGCTCGCCGAGTCAATGGGTCGAATCTCAGATGCGTCGTCGCCCCAGCCGCCTCTCCCCTGATCCGTCCTCGGCGAGCCGAGCCGGGACGTGGGTGGCGTGTCAGTGTCGGGACTGTAGGGATACACATGGTCCCGACTTCGTGTGTCTCGGGCACTGCGCTCCTCGGCTTCACGGTTCAGCGCCGCGTATCCTTCATATCGCGGTCCCGTACTGTAAGTCGTGTTGCTCCTACTACCGCCCGATCTCGGGCGCACAGGTTCGTCGTCATATCGATTGCTGGCGGCCCTTCTGGCCCGCTCCTCTGCTTCACGATTCAGTGCGGCATAGCCTTCGTATCGCGGGCGCCCATCATCATAGCCACCACCGCGGCTACTTCCTCCTCTAGAATGTGGACTCATGGGGCTCGTCATTTCAACGTCTCCACCATCGTCCCTCTTGACGCGCTTGCTCTCCTTGCGGACAAAGGGGTTCGCCTCTACAGGAACCTCCTTAATTCTGCCCTTGTTCTGGCGCAGGTACTTTTTGTTCGTAATGGTCAGGTGCGAAGCAGCCACTGAATCGTCGTCGTGGAATAAGTACTTGCGTCGATCGGCCTTGGTCTGCGGCGGACGCGGAGGCGGGCGACTAAAGGGTTCGGGATCGGGGCCTGAGGGCCGCTTTCGCCCATCATACTCGAAAGGGTCTTCCCTCGGACCACGAGACGATTGAGGCGAGAAAGCTTGGCTGCTCCCGCGATCAGGGTAGAGATCAGGGATGGAGGATAATCCGGGCACCGAAGAGTTGGTATCGATTGGCGGCAGATCTCGTCTGCTCCTCTGGTCATATCGGTACTGAGATGGAATCTGCGGCATCGGTGGTGCTCCGGCCAGATTGACCGACTCAAAGGCATCTGCAGTCGTATACACAGAGGCATCTTCCCACTCGGACCGAGCGTCGGCTCCAGGGGAGTGTAGCACGGGCTCATCAATGTCCCTCTCTGGCTTCTGCCAGCCTTTACGCGCCGGCTGATACGACTCGACTCGCTGGTCCTTTCTGATGTCAAGTGCTTCTGGCAGAGCTGAGCGATTGGTTGCAAATGCCGGATGGATGCTTCCCGCGTCCAGGCTACTCAGATTGGTCTTTGTCGCATTGAATGCTTGCTGTTGGTACCAATTCTGGACCTTCAAGACACTGGCCGCTTCCTCGGCATAGTCCCTCTCGTCGTACTCATGCTGGTACGTCTCGTCCTCTTTGTCATCGTCATCGTCATCATCTTCCATACGCGCAAGATAGTCATTCGGCAACGGTGGAGGGACCTCGCCAGCGAAGCGATTGGCAAAGCCGTCGCGCTGTGATGCGGGCGCGCCCGGTCGCGCATTTGCCTGTCCTGCACGGTCCTGTAAGTCTATCCCGAGCCGTTGAAAGTCAGCAATGACTGAATCGGTATACATACCTTCGTCATCAATGACAGTTCCGTCACGGTACACGCTACGAGCGTCAGAAACGTGGTGCAGCCCGGCCATGTTGCGTTGCAGAGCAGCAGACTCGACATTCGTCCGTGGCAGACGAATATTGAAGCCGTGATCCTGTCCGCGCACCTGGACTATTTTCTTGCTGCCGTCCTTGTTGGTTCGTATCTCCTGATAGGTGTCCCCGTTGGCTTTTCCCGCCGCCTTCTTTTTTTTCTTATAGTCCCTTTTGACTGACGGCCAGATCCGGATCAGCTCTGCGGAAATATCCCCGCCACGACGACGAACTTCGTCTCTATCTGCCTTCTTCAAGTGTTCAATCCATAGTCTCACCAAGCGGTGCAAGTAGACTGGCTCTTCTCTTTTGGTCCCGTTCGACTTGGCGGCCCGGTTGAAATCCCTGACATGTTTTCTGCGCACTTTGAGCCAGCCATAAAGATCTGCCAAGATTTGACCATTGGCACCAATGGCGGCGAGAATACAAGCCTCGCAGTTACTCTCGATCCTGACGAAGCGGTCGTCATGGGGAGATGCTCCAAACATCTTTTGGAAAACTTCTCGGTCGACCCAAAATGCGTGGAGAGAGTCGATCCTGGTCAAGAAGGCAGAAACCGCCGGATTCTTCCCCGGACACTCTCGAAGAGCATCCATGTAGTCACCGCTCACCTCCTTGGTTACAGCGAAGAAGATATTGCGAATGAGATAACAGTTCAAACGTTCGTGGGAGGGGCAGAGAACTGCACTGGGTGGTACTACTCTTCCTGTGTTCGGGATCGATTCGGGTAAGTACTCTCCGAGCCTGTTTTCGAGCTTGCTGATTGACTCGAACCACTTGCGCTTAAGCTTGCCCGGGTTAAGCAGTACCTTTGGTAGAGCTTCAATCTTCTCTTCCTGGCGACTAAGCCAGCGGGCTGACGGGCGCGCAATGCCATAGTCAGGACGACGGCAGAGGACTCCAGCTAACTCTCTGCAGGCGTCCGGGCGCAGTTCGCGAAGTTGCACGACTGTCTTGTCAGATCCGAACATTGTCTCGACTGGCTGTGCCAGCAATAATTTTAGTTCGTGAGAGATGAAAGATGATGTCTCGTCTTGAGTCGTATATTCACTGCCGGACCCGGCCCGGCACCTATTTATTTGACAAGGTTCAAAATTCCCGACTTTTGTTGAGTCTTAGACACAGTAGTCAGATCCAACCTGAGGGAGTCACTTTCTGTTAAAAAAGAATTGGGGGATTATAAATATGCCCACGGCAGGCAACTCGTGCCCATCGACTCGGTACAACAAGAAACTTCTGGTCAAAGAAACATTAGCCTTGACAGAGTTCATGAAGCTGCAACCGTTGGTGTCAGTTTCTTTGTCATTCCACGTTTGGCAACGGGATTCGACAGTCGTGCTACGACAAGGCCATTGTTGTAGGTCATATAAGTATGCTATCCTACAAGTCAGGTTTCTGCCAAAGCCGAAAGATACAGCATGTAGAACTAACCGCTTGTGATACAGGCCTCGGATCAGTCAGAGACATTGACCGAGAGACAACACATTGACCAACCATTGTAGACCACGACCTGTATTTCACCAATCCGGGAAGAGTAGCCATATCTGAGCTGAGCGAACAATATAGTGCAATAGTGTATTGGCGTTACTCGGGGATTGCCATGGTCTCTGGTTCAAGTTCTCAATAATACTATATACCAAAGGACATTCGTTAGTACTCAAGTTGGTGCAGTCCTGAGTTTTCAACCTGATTTTGTTCTATGTCAAAGGATTACTGCTCGCAATTAGAACAGGTAAGAGAGCCGAACACGAAACCAAGTGTGAGAGATATCCGCCTGGTCATTACCTAGCGCCTGTCCATTTATAGACAAATATCCCCCCATTTGTTTATGCCTTGTCATGGTATGATTTGTTTGTATGTATTATAACCTCAACCCTCCTATCCGAATATACACATGCGCCGTGGTATCAATGCAAAAGTGGTGAATGATTTGAGTGCAGTGCTGTCCAGCATTTTCTACCCCAAATTTGCATCCAATATGGATGTACCGAAGTTCTCATGGCTTGCTGAAATATCCCTCAATCAGCTAGAGTGTTGGCGTAGTTGCCCATCGTATGTGATGTATGTCTGAAGAGGGTGTGTGCTCTACAGCAAAGGTGGCAGACGGTTGCCATAGTCGGGCTCTGCTCTGATACGTTCATTTCGTATCTTGGCTGCCTCAGTTCCGTCGTCTGGAATTGCTCGTTCCCGGAACCACGGGTGCTCCAAAGCCTGCCTGGCCGTGATTCGCTTGGACGGATCATAAATGAATATCTTCTCGAGGAGATCCAAGAATTGCTTCAAAAAGTTGCTGGACGCTGGAATAATGTCCTGTAGCAAAAGATCAGTCACCTGTTTGTGTTACAAGAAAAATGCATTCCACGTACTGATAGGCGTTTCATGTTCTTAACAAAGCGCCTAGATGCGCGGGTGGTCTCCGCGGTAGGATAATCAAGCTTGGCTCGTTTGAAATACCTAGAACTTGTTAGACATGGAAATCATGAAGGCGACTTGGGAGAGCCCTTACTTGGCGGCTTGATTGTTACTCGAGCCACTCCGAGAAGAGATCTTGGAGACTTGTGCAATCAAGTGGGTGTCGATGCGGCTGTCGCAAACGTTCTCCATCATGGCTAGATGCTCCAGATTGTCATGCGTCTGGAAAAGAGCATCTCCAGTAAAGAATTCCACCAAAATGCAGCCGATACTCCAAATATCACAAGGAAACGACCACCCCAACCCGAGAATGATTTCTGGCGCACGATAGTGACGAGTGCTGACGACGGAGGAATGATATTCGTCCTCAAAGGTCGCCGAGCCGAAATCAATCAGGCGAATTTCCGTGTCCAACAGTACTTTGCGTTGATTTGCTTGCCTGTTTGTTCCAGCAGACGAAGAAGGCATCCTGCGGTTGTAGGTAAATGTCTGGTAGGCATTATCACACAGTAGAATGTTCTCAGGCTTCAAGTCTGTGTGGATAAGGTTGAGGTCATGCAGGACTGGCCAAAGTTAGCAAAGTATTCGAGATGACAAAGATATCCATGTTACTCACAAGCAACACTCGTAAAAAGCTGACGCGCGAAGCTCTGGATCTGGCTGTTGGGAAAGGGCACAAAGTTATTCATCTTCAAGAAGTCGAAGACACTTGAGCCCAGCAGATCCATCACGATACAAATGTGGCCACGGTAGTCGAAACAGTCTCGCAGGTGTATGCATCTGTTGCGGTTCTCGGGATCATTTGCCTTCAGTGTCTGCAATACTCGTAACTCTATCCTCGAAGCGTCACGGTATTTTTGGACGGAACGAATGATTTTGATGGCGACGAGTTTGTTCCTCTTGCGATCTCTGGCTTGCACGACTTTTCCAAATGTGCCTTGGCCAAGCAATTTGATCATTTGATCTACAACCATATTAATATGCAGATCCAGTAAGGTGATAGAGTATGGCTTGAACTTACATTGGGTGGTGAGCTCGGCATCGGGAACGACAATGTAGTGGCCGTCGTCGTCGTCGACCTTGATGTTTTGGTATCGCTGCGCAAATTGGAGTAAGCAATGGAACAAATTCAAGAATACAGAAAAGGGACTTACATCATTGACGACTCTCACGGCAACCTCGCCTGACTTCTTGACCGGCTTTGCTGGCGGCCTGTAGCTCACATATGTGTCATTCAAGACCTCGACCTCCCGGCGTTTTGCCTCTTGAGCCAACTGTTGCCGTGTGGTTCGTTTTCTCTTCTGGCCTGTCAGTGATGCTTCGTATTCGTGGCCATTTGAGGACAACGATGCCAAGGAAGTCGGAGCAGTAGTGTTGTGTGCTGATGTGGTCCGGTCTGTCGACGTCGAAGTGCTAGTTGGCGTGGCAATATGCGATCCGTTGACGACTCTGCCATTCGTGTGGGGGTAGGTATCTTCCTTCCTGCGCTTCTTTGCAGCATGGCGCGAAGCATCCGAGCCATTCGTCATGCCCGTCGTGTATGTCCTCGAGGAGTGAACCGACGACACATCCTTCGCGTCAGCCTCGGGCTCTGGCGTGTCGTCAATGACAATGATCTCCTTGGGAAGACCATTTTGATAAAATTTATCCCAGTCGGGCTCTTTGGATCTTCTACGTTTCCGCAAAGGGGCATCGCCCTGTTGGAGGTGCGATTGCGTCGATGAAGCGGAAGCTGGCATGTTGCCGTAGTAGTTTGCGTCAGAGCGAGTGGTCGAGGCCGAATCAGTTCTGGCGTAGTCCTGAGTCCGTTCGGAGGCTGAGGTCACCGAATGGGCAGTGGCCCCATTTGCCGTTGGGGTCCTGTATGGGTGCTGGCTTGCAGCATAGGCCGAAGTGGTATAATTGCTGGCCGATGTGTACGACGAGGCAGGAATCGACCGAGTTGATGCTGTCGAAGACACCACGGTCGAGGCGCTGGAGGTGGGGAGGATAGGGTTTGCTGGGGCAGCGGACGGAACAGCGGGTGCGCGATAAGCGGCGCTGTGGCCGTTGTTCTGCAGAAACGGCGGGTAATGAGAGTGCTGGTGAGGGTGACGGTACTGGGGAGGCAGAGTGGCCGTCGCGGTTGTGGGCGTTGACATTGTTGTTGTTGTAGATGTCAACGGAACTAGCGAGGCGGCAAGACCCAAAGACCCTCAGGCAAAAGAAGAAGAGGCCTAGATTATTGAAAATCCGGGGGTTGTCGCGACGATGGGTCGCTGGCCTTCCCAGTTAAGCCTGCCGCCTTTTTTCGTCACGGCCACAGGTGCAAAGGTAGGGGGAGAAGAGGACTGGACTGGGGGGGGTCAAGAGTAAGAGCACTCTGGGCTGGTGGAGGCCAATGACTTCACTGGCGTGGGTTGGGGCGTCCTCGCGCGCGTTTTTCAGAGAAGTCAGAAGGGCTACCGCGCTGACTTAGCGCTGCAGCGGCACAAAACCAGTGGTGCTTGGAGGTCCTATGCACTGAAAAACCCAGCTAAAAGGTACCGAAGGGGCGCTAGAACCTCAGACTCCAGCAGTAGGTATTGGCCAAAACACAAGAGGTATCTTTGGTGCTGTGCCCGCCCTGGGAGGAAATCGATTTGCTGGAAGTCGTCGGAAAATGGGAAGACTTTGAATCGAATTTGGCCTGGCCTCAAGAGTGTATTTTTGCAAATGTATTTCTGCGCTGCTAGGTCGTAATTGTAATTGCCTTTACAAGGCGAGAAAAGACGTGCAACCTTTTGCTTTTCGAAATGTTGAAGGAAGCTTAAGGTTCCGTCCCCAGGCGGTCAAAACGTGAACGTCTTCTTTGCCAGTTGGGAAGTCCCAGGTAAGGTGGTCGGCTCTCGAAACTTTGAATGGATATCGCAGAGAAATTGTCGGTAATATTCGATATTGGCAAGTGCAAGGCAAGCAATAAACCGACGCCTTTGACGGCAATATATTGTGAATGGCCCTCGAAGGAGTTGCCGGTAGATCAGGGAGAGGGCTCCTCTCTCTTTTTTTTTTTCCTCGTCTCCTTCTTTCTGGCGTGTGGAATGGCAGACTGGCGCTGCTCAGCAACGTGGGAGGGCAAGGTACCTGGCGGTAGATTGGAGGGAAAGAGCCTGCAAAAGCAGTAAACGGGCCCTAGGGCGAGATCATTCCGCTTTGGCCGAAAACAGAGTTGAGGATGTTGTCTTCTCGAAACCTCGACGTGGGCTGTGGTTGTGGGAAAAGAGAACTCTGACGAAAGGGGACGAAGTGATGCGTCGTCTTGTCAGAGCACGGAACAGAAAGACCACAGGAGGCGAAGTACTGTCTGGTCTGTTATCCTCACGTTGCAAATCATTGGATTCGTCGTCAGTCAGTCAGTCAACCCCAGGCGTGAGAGCGAGAGATGGGCTGCGCACAAGTGGAGTCTAGTTGAAGTCTGCGGCCACACAGTGCGCGAGCACCATGATTACTACAGTTCCAGCACTCAATTATGGATTCCAATTTTCTTCCCCTTTGGTTTCTGTCTGGTGCAAACACTTCTTCATCCTGACCATTATTCATTACCGAAGCCACAAGCTGAAGTCCCAGCACGGTCAGTGCATCGTTTTGCACGCAACCCCAAGTCCGCCTTCACAAAGAGGATCCCTCCCGATCCCATCTAATTTTGTCTAAACCAACAGTGATATCCGTGACTCTGGTGAATGTAACTTACTTTGTGAGTCCCGTGCAGCAATGGGGAACTATAGGAAACAGTCGACAGTGTCTTAAGGTGTGAATTGCATAGTACATATGTTTTCTTGAGGTTCAATCCGCTTCAAAGCTTCACAGTGCCGACATCAAGCATCTGGCAATGTGCTCCTGCTCAGCTTGAGGTAAGCTGGGTGAGTTGGATATCGAATCTGCACGCATGTTCGGACGGACTTAAGGGCACTTTCTCCTTTTGTTGAAGAAAAAAGATATGCCCAACATTCTTTATTGTCACGGTTCAAACAATGTGATATGTGCTTGTTGGTGTAATACTACGTGGGACAGGAGCCCGTCACATAACGGAACCTACTGCTGCTGTGCTTTGCCATGAGAAAAACCATCCGTCAGCTGGATTTTCCAAACCAAACTCTCTGCAAAATGCTGCTGCTGCTGTTATTGTTGCCCCCCGTCCCGTTCGGCACCGCGGTGCACCGTGCAAGGCTCCCCGGCAGATTGGTTCACAGGCGACAGATCAGGAACACCCCGCTATTAATTCAGTATCATCATCTGCGTGAGCAGCAAGCCTTGATCTATGCCGTTGCCCTGGGATCGCATCTCAACAACAAATCTTGTCAGAGTGAACAGGCCACACTTTAATCGACCAACTTGTGAACTCTACTCTGTTTCTTCTAGCTTTTCATGCCGCTGTCGTTTTTATTTTCTTTACTATTTATTCCCGTGCGCTGCTCGCTGTGCACATACACACAGAGAGAGAAAGAGAGACACAGACACCAAAGACACGGACGCCAAAGGGTACATTTCCTGTTGTAGAAGCCAAAGCCCGTCTGCCGAACCCTGTCCGCTACAATCTGTCGTTCAATCAATCCACTTTGCGATCTCACAAAAAGTCGAGGATCAGCGCCCAGTGCCCCTCACGCCACAAAAGCGTGCCTGGCCCTTGCTGGTTGGCTGGCTAGAGGGACCCTACGCGGCACCAAAGTCGCTTAGGACCATCAAGACCCTGAGAAATCGTGGAAAAGGACGACACCATCTTTTGAAGAAACCCCCCGACCGATCAGTGGCCACTTCTCACATTACTGTTAGTCACTGCCTACTTGCGCCTACAGTACATATAATGTGCCCTGTTCTCAACTGCTTTTGCTATTACTACCATGTTGCCATGCAAATGAGTGAGTGAGCGAGCGAGCGGAAGCCCGTGCTGGCTCGAGGGAAACAATAAGGGCAACACGCGAATAGACCCTCGCCGAATCATGCTGTCGAAAACATTCGCCTATGCAGGTCTTGCAGTAGTCGCCATCCATCACCACATGGCTTGCTACCTACTGCTGCGCTGCCGTCGGCGCGGTGCATTTGTTCCCTTTGTCCTCTTCCCTGGCTGCCTGCTTCTCTTTCATGTAGTCTTTCATCATTTATGAAATTCACAAGGCTCTCGGGTCACGTAACTCTTGTCAACCCTTTTCCTTTGCAGTAAGCGGCGTTCCCGGGTTCCCTCGCTCGCTCATGGAGAGGGTTGAAGGGGGGGTACAGTACCCCCAAATGGGGTCATGTCTGGGCTGATGACTCGAGCAGACTCTTGATAGTCTGTCTTTCTGGCCCTGTCTTGTCTCCCCCTCAAAAGAAAGCATAGAAACCTATTTCAACAAGACTGACCCGGAACCAGTCAAGGGAGATGGTTTAGAAGACACTAGTCCCGAATTCTGATGTTCTTGCATGTTCCAGTCGAGTCGGGATAGGTTTGACAACGTATCACCGATATCCAGGCCGGTCGGTTGTGTCTGACAGTGCTCGAGATGAGCTCACACAGAGGGGTGTGTGTGTGTGTGTGTGTGTATGTGCACTCTAATGATTGATTCTCCTACGACAATCATGTATGAGTCTCTTTGTTCATTCCCTTGTTGACGACGGGCCTCCGGCACGACCAAAGCACTAATATGGAAAAGACAAATACCCCCCCTGTGCTGCTTTTTGCCTGACTGTTTCGTCCCTGTATCCTTATTTTGATGGTAGAAACCCCCATTCATTTCTGCCCTCTCCGGGGCCCAGTGTGGCGCTCCTATTTCACCATGATGCAACAAATTCCTACCAAACCAATCCTACACTGTAATATTTCTTATTTTGAGATTTCGAGCCCCGAGATCTCCATATTTCTCGGCATCTTTTTAGTGCTTTCTTTCGCTGCCTGGTTTGCCTGGTTTACCTGCGTTGCCCGCTCTCACGTGTACTGGGCAATCCTTGAAACACTTATTTAGATGCCGGGTTGCATATTCACAATTGGTATTTTACACACGGTACGCCCAGTCTTTGACCTTGTCGTCGACCGGTGCCAATTGTTCCAAAAGTGCACTCACCTTTCTTACGAGCCCCGCCTTGTTAGGGGTTTTAAGTGATATGACCTAACATTGGCCTCGACTCTCGAGAAGGTGGCGAGTCTCACGTACTGAGAAGGGGGGTGTGGTTCCTTCTTCTATTAGCGACCTTGACGCTGTTGGGAAGCAGAATACTACGTCCCGTTTCTTCCACGGCCGCATCTTTGTAGACCAGATGATGAAATCATCTGTTTCTCACAGAGCAGCTGCTGCAAGACGTGAAAATATTCATGGCTCGATTCGGATGAATACCTGGATAGGCATACTTGGCAAGGCCCCTTTCGAGGTCCCATTTCTGGCCAACATCACCGATGCCCCCAGCAGCCGGCTGGCCTTTTGGTTATAATTCGCCTCGCCAGCGTTACTTTTTAATGTGCATCCAACTTTGGGCCTGCTTACCTGTAGGTGGAATCGGGGGATATGATGCATACACAGTACTAAAGTGACCCTCATTGATGGATTTCCGGGATTCTTTCGACCACATCCTCTCAGTCTCATCCTGGGTCTTTTGCTGTTAGCTGAATTTGCCGGCCCCCAATATCTTGCGAAGTCGAATCCCAGCCTTTGTAGGTATTCGCAGCCGCCGGATAGAGTCTCCACCGGGGAGCAATTCATCAAGCCGAGCGTCACCTGCCATAGTCAGCCCAGCGATTGTGGAGCATTCTACGGAACGCCCAAAGTACGCTATTTGCTGCGGAGAAGCCAGTGTGATTCGCATATCGTGTGTGTGGTCTCTTTTACCCATACATAACGTGTACCAAGAAGCATGACCCCGAAAGTGTCCAATGCCAACGCTTCCTTCGTGCGGTGGGTTTTCGTCATCCTATGCACCCATAAAGTGCTTAGCGTTCGTTTGTCACAGGAGATCTGCTGTTTCGGTTCCGTTCTTTGCGTCTTAATATCCAGACCACCTAGACCATGAACAAGCAAGCATAGCACGGCTCAATTACTGGCGAGGTCTTTCCGTATCGAATACAACATGCCAAGACAGAGGAACAATTATCCTGCACCCTAGCTCATCCTTGACCTTGGTGTTTTTTTTTTCTTGTGATGAAATCGTAAATCAAATGCGGTTATCAATATATTGCTCCGAGATTACGCAACACCTCGTCAGTCTGCGAGGCTATATTCTAGGTCGCATATGTAGGTTCGATCGTCACTATCAAGGATTAGCCAATTCCCCCATGATTTTCAATGATGCAGCTCACCCCATAACACACGCATGCGACTGAGCCCTGATCAAAGTAATGCGATATGAAATGTTTGTACGAGAACCAGAAAATTGAAGCAAGCATGACTATATGGGTTCTTATAGGTCTCAAGGTCGCTGTGAAAAGACCTCATGAATCGCCTCATCTGAAGCCTACCGAAATGCCACTGGAAAAGAACGCCGTCCCAATGCAAATAGATGCGCGCGCAGTCAATATTGCGCACTATTCGTATGCTCAAATTCCGCGGTTGAATACCACCATACCATCCGCACCGCCGCGGCCGTGGAATTCCTCCTCCAGCTTATCGGCGCCGATGCGCTGACGGGTCGGGAATGCCGCCAATGCGAGCGGGAGCGCAATGTAGCTCATACCCAGGATCAGACCCAGGTTCACCGGCGTGGTGAGCTTGGGGTTCTTCTTCAGCCATTCTGTCTTCTGCAGCTGGACGAGAATCAAGGGAGGGACCACCATGATGGGACTGCTGTTGAGCACTCGGCTAACGGCGGTCTCGGAGACGGCAATGGTTGCAGCCTTCTTACTCTTGCCGAGCGAGGGAACGTCGTTCTCGGCCTTGCCCTCGGCAGCCAACTTGGCCTTGTCGGACTCGGAGAGCACAGGGAACACGTCGATACCAGTGCGCATCTCCTCACCGCGCATCAGGAACACGTTGAGGGCACCAGCGGTTGCAACGGCGGCGAAAGGAACAAGGCGACCGAGGATCGTGCGCGTAGCAGGAGAGACGCGCTTGAGTCGGGGAACAAGTGAGTTGAGACCAACAGCCACAGAGCACGATGCGCCCACCGCCAGGCAGTAAGACTGTGCAATCTTGCCCCATGACAGAGGCGTGGACTTGTTTGCGTTGGCATTGTTGATGGCAACGTTGAGAGACTGGTTGGCTACCTGCCATGCGATCGTTCCGGCTGTCTATAGTGGAAAAGGGTGGTCAGTACATGGAATCGCGAGGCCGAGATAAGCACAATGCAAAAGTGAACCTACTCCGAGACCGGGCGTGAGCATACCAGCCGTGACGACCAAGTTGGACAACACGAAGCAGGACATGCGGAAAGGCAAGAGGACAGGCTTGCCAGTATCTATATCAGAGCTTTCGGTCAGCTCTGCTGCATTTCATCCCACGGGTCGCATTATTGCTCGGTGTGTGCTGCGCGCTGTTTTCATACCAGGATGCAGTGTAGAGTCCACAATCTTCTTGGCCTGCCAGAGCTCAGGCGTCATGCTCTTGATCTCGCCATTCTTGTACTTGACGAGCAGGTCCTTTGCGTTCTCGAGTCCATTCTTGCCGGCGAGGAGGGTTCTGTTGAGCACGAGAGCATCGTGTTAGCGCAAGTGAATTGGTCGCAAGAGGGATTGGGGTGTATGGAAATCTTTAGAGCTTTGCGCCTAAGAGGAATTGCTTACCTCGGATCCGTGATACCAGCCGTCTGCTTGACGCGACCCCAGTAGGTGCTGAGATCGTACTGCGACTCGGGCAACTCCCGATTGCCAGGAAGCGAAGCCGACATGTTGCCTGCAGCTTGGGTCCGCAACCTGGGTTAGATTCTGTTTTGCGTTTTGTCCGGGACGACGCGCAGACGGTGGCTCGAGAGTAATGAACGTGGGCAAACAAAAAGAATGTGTAGAAAACCGCCAATCCCAAGCCAGGGTCGAGTGATTGATGTCGCTGATCGGGGATGCCAACTGGGGATGATAAATTAATATAATAGTAGCACTTCTAGTAGCTTACTACTGTTATCAGAGCTATCGAAAATCAGTCGCGTCCAATTGGATAACTCCTACAGCGGTGTAGGGGCCCAACCACGGCCATTTTTTTGAATTCTCCCCCAGGGCAACGGGGCCGGTGTCGCTGGTGTGTTTCGCGAGAACCCCGCTGTCGTTTCTGACCGTGAAATGCCATTGTGAACCGCTGCAAGCCGTCCCCAATGTCCTGTCGTGGATGCAAGAATAAACACCAGGATTTTCTGCAAAATGCAACATGTCACGCGCTGCGCGGCAACTTGAAAAGTGGCGGTCTTGCATGTGTCGATATGTATGGTGATAATGATTGCGCATTGAGCAAGTGTCAAGCACATAGCCTAAATAAATAAATGTTGTTCAATGGTACGCAAATGGGGAAGCAGCGTGATATTCAAATGGAATAATCCAGACAGTAGTCGCATGTCAAAAAGCGAAGGAAGGTGCGTTGTTGGGCAACTTGAGGGTGGGCAGGAAGGCACGCGGCGTACTATAGCCTCCCTCACGTCTTGACTATACAATGAAATCGAATACAACTTCAACATTCAACAACACAACAACACCAAAAGATATCGCCAAAAGGAACATAGCCGTGCAAAAAGCGACCGACGCAGGGCTCGAACCTGCAATCTTCAGAGTTTTGGAGTTCGGTGGGCCGAAATCTGACGCGATACCATTTCGCCAGCCGGCCGAAGATGCCGGAGGAGTATTCTCCTCTGTTTGGATGGAATGTCACTCAATTATTAGCTGATATGACACGTATAGCAATCTGGGGTCTAGCGCCGGCATGGTATCCACTTTCGGACTGGGCAGACTGGCAGATAGATACGGGCAGTGGGCACATTGACGTGTGCCCCAGATGCGGACTTACACGCAGATTGCAAAACCGCCTACACAGTGAACTATGGCTTCACACTTATGTCCTCACACGTGGTCTGTGAACACAAGAGGATCTCCTCCTCTCCAAGAGGTGAACAGGAAGCATTGGATTAGTAAATCCAAGTTCCATGGCGCAGTGATGACTTACACATGATTCTCACTTACAAGCACGAAAGGTCGAGTATCGTAAACAATGTCTACGTTTATAGATGATCTTGTTCTACCATCATAGGCAAGATGAAAATTCTTACACCAGCTTATCTGCAACACTACAGATGCGAATTGTACGTCATCTATCAAATACCAAGCACCATTTCAACTTTGCGTTTGCATATGTCGGGTTAGGTCTTCATCACACCGAAGGTTACCGAACTGCTATCTTGGTGCGAGATGATTTTCTTTTAGCCACAGGGGCCATGAGCCACAAGCCATGATCCGGAGACTCTGATAAAGTTGTATAGAGCCGCGCTTACTGCCACCCTCATGGCTGAGCCCATGCTCATAACGGGCACTGAAACGAAGCAAGAGCTCCCGATGAAATACCTTCTTTACACTGCGAAGCAGCCTTTTCTTAGTCAAAAAAAGCCAGCAGCTGTGCGATTCTCTAAGCGCTGTTTAGTATCACTCCCGAGTCGAGTTGCTTGCCCTAGTCTCAGGGTACGGATCGACTCCTTGACAAAGCATGCTAAATGACAAATGCCGCAGTCAATGATGCAATTGAATCATCTCCAAGAATCAAACTACAAGTTTCGAGTCGATAGGCCATAGAGGTTCCATGCTCTTAGTCACGACTCACAAGATGTCTATCGTTCATGGTACAAATTATGGTAAAATACAAAGATCTTTGCCCTTTCTTCACGAACACTGAAACTGTGATGGAACATTTACAGAGCAGTCGACCACAACAGCAACGGGTAGTGTGATATGGGTATCAAGTGAGGATGGATGAATCTTCAGGGCAATAATAAGAAGCGTGGATGAGTGTCGACGAGGCCATCGAGCAAAACCAGAAAAGTGTAGCTCTATTCTATCGCAGTTTTCCACCTACTTTGAATAACTCCGATGTTAAATATTGCCACTTAGGATGATCAAAGAGGAAAAAGGACTTCGATATCTTGGCTTTTGAAAGTCGGAGGTCATCTATGGTCTCGATATTTTACAATTCAACTACTTTTTCTGTCTTTGAGTGCCCGAACACGGTAGTATAACTATTGTTCCGTCCTAAATTGCCTGAATCATGCGTTTGGCTTCGTTTGTTGTCGCAGTACGTTGCTGTAGCAATAGCCACAACCCGCATAACTTATATCATCGAAGACTCATTGAAGTCTTATATCGCGTGACCATTGACCTTTTCAAATACACCACTTTGAAATTTCTCGTGCAGAGCCATGATCGAAGGGTGTAGAGGAGGCATGATTTGACACATGGCAACGCCGCAAACTCCGGCCTCGTGGTCAATAAACCAGACCGTACTCGGAACACCAGCCCACATAGTTGTTCCCGAAGAAAATCGACCCTCTTGTGCCTGCTTGGCCACGATACCGGCGAAACTCCAGTTTCTTCTGACCGAGGCCGGCATTCCGAGGCCGAGCAGCATGGTGTGAACGGGATCGAGCGCAATGTAGTCGTTTAGCGCCTGCTCGAGTTTCTCGTCCAGCTGCGGACGGAAGAGTTCCGTCCAAGAGTCTGGCTTCAAGAGTCTAGAGTCGCGCCGGAGGACCGCACTTAGCAAGGTTTGGTAACCTTTCTGAGAGGCAAAGAGACCGGCGCCGCCGAGACAATCCGTACCACCAAAGAGGATGTCAAAGGTGGCAGCATCGACGGCTGGCGGCTCGCCCTTCTCATTGAGGGTACTGATGGTGGCCATTCTGTCCTTCATCTTTTCGTTATTTTGAGGATAGAAGCTGATCTCGTCCTGGATTCCGAGTGGCTCCCAGATCCGTTTGTGCATGAACTCCTGGAGAGTAGTCTTGGCGGCGATCTCGACGAGCTTGCCCGCCCAGTCGTGACCCGCGCCATAAGCAAAAGACGTCCCGGGCGCAAACACAAGGGGCAAGACCGACTTGTGCTCAACGGTCGGACCAGTCCATGGCTCCTCGTTGCGCGAGGCCCGCCACTTGCCCAGCAACGGGCTCATCCAGTCGTACTCGTGGCCCGAGGTATGCGTGAGAAGCATGCGGAGAGAAATGGGATCAGCGTTGGGCGCCAGTTGCGCCGAGTTGCTGTCGTCCGCAAAACCAGTAATGACACCATGTTCTCCCATACGCGGGAGAAGCGGCCGCGCGTCTGCGTCGAGATCCAGGATGCCGTCCTCTACGGCCTGCATGACGGCTATCGAGGTGATGAGCTTGCTCATTGAGGCAATCGCGCAGACTGTCGAAGACGTAAAGGGGCTTTCGTCATTTCCTCTCAAAGAAGCTCTGCCCGAAGATCTGGAGTAAATCACGTTTCCTAGATGGATCCAAGTATTAGCTTAGTCCTGTCAAGCTCCATCACAGTCTCGTGCCAAGCCTTGGATGACCACAAATCAATGTGCGAATCATGGCATACAGTGGTCATTCATGGACTTGCAAAATCATAGAACAGACTTGCCTTCTCTATCTTCCGCTACCAGGGAATAACCTGGCAGCAAACCTGACGCGACGGCATCATCGTAGACTTTGTCTATGCTCTGCATCTTGGTCTATTGAAGTTGACGTCGCGAATTGTTTTGGCAAAGGAGTAAATTGCAAGATATGATGGATACTACGACACCAGAAACATGAGTCGAAAGAACTTGATGAGAACAGTTTTGGTAAGCCATTCATAACATTGTGCCAAAGTCAATGATATTTATATCACGGGAAGTACTAGTGAACATTGTACAGGGGGGTTGAAACCCAACGAACATATCCTGCCAAGTCATCTAGTGGTCCACGCACAAGACTGCGCCGCAGGACTGAGGGGTCAAGAGAAGCGATGGCTCCCTGTTCGGTAACATACTTCCCCAATGCACACATTATGCTGACATATACTGATTCTCCTTCGACACAGATATCGTATGTATTTGCTATCCTCACACTTGTGATTGAACACTTGGTGACTCGGAATAGCAAATCTTTTTTTTTTCTCCATCCGAAATATGTCTTGGTAGAAGATCTCTGGGGGATGTAGCGACTTCAAACCCAAAACAATAAATACGGGAGATTGGAGATGAGCGATAATGAAGATTTCCTCGTGCCAGCCCTTGACTATAGCTGCCACCAGCAATGGATCATGCTTACCTAGTATTTATCTAGAGCAATAGAGACAAAATTCAAAGGTGATTAACAAATTGTCATCGTATTCCACGCAGTGCATTGTCGAGCAGTCTGAACAGGTGTTGGGTGTTCTTGTGGCTGTTGCTTCAGTCGCATAGGACCGACCGACCGTGTCCGTAGAGCTACACTGTGCGCTCCCATTTGCAAGTTCGACTACCATAGTGTGTAGATACCCATCCATCACGGTCGGTAGGTATCAAAGATTCTTTGTCACATATAGACCATGCCCTCTGTCATGAATGTCTCGAATGTGGCACTGCCTCATACGTACTTACTTGCGTCCTTTGGCTCTTTAATGAGTAGGTGAATGCGGTAGGCCATGAAGTTCCATCACTGTGCAGGGGCAATACGTGACAGCCCTAGCGATACTTGGCATTGTGGCCCCAGCATAGTGGTGTAGCAACTGAGGTGGGCTAATAATAGTCCAATAGATTAACCTTGGATTAGCATGACCGCACGATGCCCCCACCCCCTTCATGTTGGTTCCAGGCCATACGACTATACAAACCATACATGTGTACTCTACGCGCCAACGGTCTGTGTGCATCATTCGCTTGCCGCCACATAAGCAATCTCAGATTGGCCTAGCATTCGTCCATATCTTCTGCAAAACTTTTGTTTGTGCAACAGCCTCCTCATTTAAAAGCTGCTAGTTGTCGCTTTCCACCTTTCAATTTGTCGCTCTCCCTCTTCTCTGTCTCCCAGAAGCCGCTCTCTATTGTCCATAATCACAGCGCCGATGAGATAAAACCATGATTCTATACATTTTGCTCAGCCTGACTTTCGTCGGGCTTGTTATTTTGGCCCGGCGCAGTCTATACCCCAAACCGTATCCCGGCATACCATACAACATCGAATCGGCACGCCGCATCACTGGTGATATCCCCAACCTCGTTCCTGTTATTCGGGCAACCAATGAATTCTCGAATTCGATATTCTCCATCACCACGCAGAAATTAGGGCAACCAATTGCACAATTGTTGTTCCCTGGCATACGGAAGCCCTTGATCATACTAGAGGATCCTCGAGAAATTGAGGACATCATCGTGCGGCGCAACAAGGAATTCGACAAGGCACCGATGTCTATTAATCTTTTATATGACATGTTTCCCAATGCAACTTTGACTCAATATACAACGCCTAAACTAAAAGCTCAGAAGCGCCTGTGGGCCACTGTCATGAGCGCCGAGTTTCTTCACAAGGCTGCCGCCCCCAATATTTACAAGTCCACGTTTGAATTGTTGGAGCTATGGCGACTAAAAGCTTGTACCGTGTTCAGGGACCGGCCCTTTAATGCTTTTGAAGATTTTCAGAATGCTGCCTTGGACGCCATCTGGGTAGCAGTAGTGGGCGAGGAGCCCGGTGTCACGAGGCATGAGGTTGAAAAACTGCAGAGCCAAACCGCAGGCGACGGGAAGCTTCAGAAACCACCTCGAGGTGCCTTTCTCAAGGAAGAAGCACTCTACATTGGCGATGCCATTTCTCGAAACTCTAATGCTCCAGTCCCGAAATGGTCGCAGAAGCTAGAGACCTACACACCTCGATTCCGTAAATTTCGACGTGTTGCCGACGCCGAGATAGGTTTGGTGATGAAAAGAGCCGTCGATCGATTTCAACGCCTCGAAGTGGGAACACTAGAGGCTGACGGGTCTGATACCTGTATGATGGACTTGGTTCTCAGAAGACAGGTCCTCGAGGCCAAGAAAGCCAAGCGCCCCATGACTGATCCGACAAAAGATCGAAACATGTTGGACGAGATGTTTGTCATGCTTGTTGGGGTCCGTCATCCTTCCAGACAAGTGGGAAATTTCAGCTAACCATTATCATCAGGGTCTTGATTCCACCGCCAATGCGCTTACGTGGTTTGTCAAATTCATGGAAGCATACCCTACTGTACAAGACGAGTTGCGCCGGGCTTTGAAGGCTGCCTTTTCCAGCACGGAGCCTTCCATTGAAGATATACTCGAAGCAGAAATCCCCTATCTTGAGGCCGCCTGCGAGGAAAGCTTCCGTCTCTCTGGTGTTGCCAAGGGCAGTCTCCGCCAGGCGATTGTAGACACGGAGATTCTTGGCTGCAAAATACCAAAGGGCGCCGAGATTTTCATGAACTATCATTTCAACCACGCGCCTGTTCCTGTCGACGAGTCGAAGCGGACTCTCAGCAGCAAGGCGGCTGCGAGCAAGTTTGGAGACGGAATCCATGGTACGTCGGGCCATGATCTCGGAGTTTTCGAGCCGAGGCGGTGGCTAGTCAGGGATGAGAAAACGGGCGCAGATGTTTTCAACCCGTATGCCTTGCCATCGCTGGCCTTTGGTGGAGGCTTTCGAGGATGCGCAGGTAAGATAACCTTGATGATGCGCCTCACTCACCCTGCCCTATATCAGATTGCTGACCATGGCTATGACAGGGCGTAAACTGGCTACAATGGAATTCCGCATTGTCGTTACGCTGCTAATTCTCAATTTGAAATTCCTCGATTTGCCCGAAGACCTCAAAACTTTGAGCGCTACTGAGAAGATCTTCCGGCAGTCTGACAAGCCGTTTGTGCGACTTGAAGTTCTGTAATGGAGATGTTGAGATATCAGGTCGCGCAGTGCGGCTCGCTTAATAACTTCGTGCTCTTCTTTTCTCATGTGATGCAACTCTTCTATGAGAATGAGTTCTTTCGTGTACACTCGTGTTACGCCATCTGTCTGTATCCGCTTACTCATCCAATCGGTTTTCTTGAAATGCCTTTCTTCAACTTCATCTATATTCACAAATTCCAATTCTACACAATCCCATAGTAGCAAAAATATCAATCGTCATTAGTGGTCTCGACCTGTCCCAACTTCCAGCGACCTCTCCACCAGAAGGCAGTCACTTACGAATTTACGGAACTGAGAATAATGGCGGCGCATAAAAGAAAAGGGAACGTGGTCAAGTCTTTGAAAACAGCCCGGACCAGAAAAGCCACACACGCACAAGTCCACAATATCGGCCATGTCGACTCTTGCCCAACCAGCACATGTCTACTTGCAATACCTATAACTGATGTCAATCATTTCTATACTTTCAGAGCCATGCCTGTTACAGCGATGAAGATTTGTAGGCTGCAAATGAGATTGACAGACTGCTCTGGGGAGGGCAATGGAGACTAGTGTCTTCGGTATCAGTTTGACTTGATGAATATATTGAGGAGAATTTCAGGGAACGTCTCTGGAAATTTCACGGGATGTGTCTAGGTCAGGTCCTAGAGAATAGTAGGGTATACGCCGGAAATTTACCAAGATGATAAGGACGTCGAGTTTGGCGATGCGCATTTCTCGGCTGATACAATAAGAAGAGCCTGCTATTATTAGGACGTTACTTATGTGCACGTAGAAACTATAATCATAGAATTTGGACGCTGCAATGAATCCCGGGACTTTGTTCTTTTTTTTTTTAAGTAGAGAAAGAGAGAGAGAGAGAGAGTGATTTTTAATCTTCAGCCCGTTTCCAAAATTTCCGTCGACTCCTCCGACTCTAAACCCTCGGAGCCAAAGATTCTGCGGGCTGCTGATGACGTCTCGGGTGAGGACATACATGTCTTGAAAACGCTCATCATCCGAGCACAGAAGAAGATCCCGGCAGAAGTCAGAGACCAGGGTAGTCTCGAAGATCTGCAGGCACGATTCCTTGTCAAGACATTCGAGACATGGAATTCCGACTGGAAGATTCCCCTACCGAAATTGACAAAGATACCGTTGGAGGTCTCGTCAGCCCAAGTCGGTTGCTAGAAGCACGACGTGCTGCCGAAATCAACACCAACCAAGAGAAAGGCATCACAGATTTCGGACGACAACGACGATTCAGTTACCAAGTCTCCGTCGACACCCCGAGGCAGCAAGAAGGCAGCCAGCAAGAAGCTCAAAGGCGCGCCTGTATACTGTCGCCCTGAGGCGGAAGCATGACCGTCCATTTTCGATTCCTCGACGGCGCAGGAAGTTACCACGACGACAAGGACGTTGAATTTGACACGGGCTGCTTCTCTGCCGATTTGATGAGGAGAGCATGTTACCATTGGGATGTTGCTCACCTGCAACACATTGGCAGATACAACAACGCGGTCGTGATACAAAAGTTTCGCACCTGGTTGGCTGTAAAGTACTATGCAGAGGAGGTTATGAACGCAGTGCCTCAGCAAGACTTTGAATTCGAAGACTTTAAGCTGCGTTTGCTAGTCTGGGAGCGAATTACGCAAGCCATCAAAGACGAGCAAAAGGCACATCAAAAGTTTTTTCCCCAGCATACGCTTCTATAACCCGTTAATTTTTTTTCTCTTTTTCTCTTTTTCTCTTTTTCTCTTTTTTATTCATTCCACCACACAACAACCATCCTGTTGCAGCACCAAGTGTTTGTATCACTTTTTTAACAACACCAGCCATACAAAGAGTCAATCGATTTGTCCAACAGTCCCACCACATTCCATCAAAGCGTACGTGTTGACATCATCGACTTGCGACACTCTCACGTGTCTGTTACTAACAACGCGCAGGAATTCAAGATGGCCAATGGAGTGTTTATGACCGTGTACGACTGGGATACCGTGCCAGCAGGTATCAAGCCGTTCTTGAAGTCGCTGGCTGTCGAGTCGTTCCAGCGTCACAAGAGCGCAGTCGTCGAGCTGAGTGACGAGCAGCTGAAAGGATTTGCCGACAACTTCGTCTTTGGCACAGGCTGGACCAGCGATGTGAAGCCCAACCAGCCAGCTATGGCTGGAATGACTCTTATGGACGGATCCGTACAGGTGGGCCGTTTCAAGGAGGTACGTAAAATGTTATCTGTGATATTTATCATCTACTGAAAGTATTTGCGTCAGGATCTTCCTCCGAGTCAGGTCAAGCAAGCCAAGCATAACAGGCAGACCAACCCCAATGCGCCGACGAGGTACTTGATCGGCAACCCTACAAAGCCTGATCAAGTCCACCGGTCACGAAAGGCCAACGCGCCCGCCTACTTTCGAGCCCGTATGGACAAGAACTGTCACATGGTCCAACACGACTACATTGATGGTGTTGGCATGTTCGTCCCCATGGAGTACATCGAGTTCGACAATGGTGGCACCGAGGTCAGTGACCGCGAAATCGAGATTGCTTATCGCATGGCCGACGACCGCTGTGAGAAGGCCATCAAGGCGTGGAATCACGATTTGTGCGTCTTCCTTTGGCGCAAGGCCATCTACAACTCTATGCAGGCCTTCCGTGATATTTTGAACCAGACGCATTGCAGCCATGATTACGGTTTGTGTCTGAAAGAAGGGTAGGAGTAGTAGAAGAAGTGGTAATATCTTTGTGTATCTCCCGGAACTCCCTCAAGTTTTCAGCGTCGAAATAAGGAAAGAGTCGGGAACAGCCGGGAGATTCCCAATAAAGTTGTTGGTGTTGAAAAGAAGGAAGCTGGTCAAGGTGGCCCAAAGGAATCGAATTAATATCTAGACACAGCTGACATTGGACCGGGTTGTTCTTCCAGTCACGATTCTTGGACATTGTACCGAAAAGAATCACCTCCATAAAGGAACGAGTAGCAGCCTCATAAGTAAGCAGAGGATTCTCGTCCAAAGATGCCTCCTGCTCCTCGATCTCCTCAATGCGTTTTACTACTGTGCCATTTTCATCCGTGACTTGGTCCTCAAAGTCTTCTTCTGCTTCTTCTTCACAAGCATCAGACTCCTTGAATAAGCCAGTAGTATGATCGACGAGAGGATCCTCCGCATCATCTACTTGAGCTTCACATTGAGCTTCGCTGTCTTTCATAGCTTGTCTAGCCATCTCAAGGACTTGGTCCATGAACTTGGACTGAGCCAGCGTCTGGACTCGGCGAGCATGCTCCACCCTGCTCATGGTCTCACAGAGCCTTTGACTTTCTTCGCTGAGCAGTGTCTTTTTGGCAGCGTAGCGGAGGCGCTTCATTGTGAGCTTCTTTTCCCTCTCAGTGCCCTTGAGGGGTCCATGTGTAACCATAAGCTTCCCCAGGGTTGCATTAAGTGCTGGTCCATGCAGCTGTATCATGTCCTCAGCATTGTGTGAAATGGCCCCTATTGCCAAAGGATGGTTCTGTTGCGCCAAAACCTCGCTTTGATCGCCTTCAGTACCACGGATGCCCAGTCCTAGAGCAGTCATGTCTCTAAACCCGGTCCCGTTGAGATAGTACTTCTCAAGAATCCGTGAGTCGGGTTCGTGATTCATGACTGCTCGGACATCATCTCTGCCAATTGAGAGGGAGAGTTCGGTGGCGGATCTTCGACGAATGGAGGTATACGTGATTGACTCTTCATATCCCAACCACTGTCCTCGAAGCTTGAGGTACTCCGTGAGAGAGTGCGCAGATACAGGGTCTTCACTGACGCCCAGACCACGAGGCACGCTGCCACGGATAACGGGCTGATCGAAAGCCGCTCGCTTGATCTAGAAGTCAAAGTCAGTTGATGGATCCGATGGACTTATCTTGAGCTCAAGACCTTGTTATCGACTGGATTGAATGCAAAGGTACTTACCCGAATCTGGTGGTCATCACTGTTGAGCAGGTCGTCCAGGCTGCTATAGTCGACTAGTATGCCACGGCGCAAGGCAATAGTCAGGAGTCTGTGTGGGATGGAGAAGATGAGATGGTCATAAGACGTAGGTGAGGGTGTTGGTGCTTTGATCGTCCGGAGGTTCTCAGCCTTTCGTAATCCTCGTTCCGGGTCCGGCTGGTTGGTCTTTAGTGCTCAAAAGGTTAGGGCAGCCATGAAACTACCCTTGACTTCACCTCGAGTCAATTGAACGTCACTCCAGGTAAGGTACATTTTGTCCCGTTGGTTGTCACGGTTGGACCACCCAATGCTACCTGGCCGCAAGGCACAGATTCGCATTAAGCACCAGGCCAGTTGGTGTCCTTCCGCAACGGCGATCTCGGGAGTTGAAAGGAGATCGTGGTCGACGAGTTGACGTAACTCGGGCAAACCAACCTCTGTTCGGTTGGGGTGGGCACTCCCGTGTGATGTACACATTGTTCTTCTTCTTGATGAAGTCTTCGTAGACCTCCATCAGGGCAACGATGTGGTCGCTCTTTAGAGCGTTGCTCGCGGTAGCAACATCCCTATGCGTAGCGTCAACAGAGCTGATCTTGAATTGAAAGGAAACGAAACAATGTTGGAAATGAGGAAGTTACTCGTCGATATCCACGTCGTCCTTCTTGGGCTTGGCTCCAGCATCGGCGCTGGAGAAGCTGAGGGAGCCACCACCAGAGCCACGAAACTTGTTCCAGGTCTGCTCCAAGAAGATGGGCAGGCGCTCCTGCGTCTTGATGACGTGCTTCAGCTGTGCTGCCAGAACCCTTTGGTTCTCGTACACAGCAAGTGTTGCCGCATCTGCCGATCGTATCAATCGTATCGAAGAGGAAGATAATGAGTACATTTTCAACCTCATGGAAAGCGTTCGTGAGGATAAAAAAGCGTCAGTCGGCTTCGGGTGGCAGGCAACTGGCACCCAAAACAGCCAGGACCGCATATTGAAGTTGTATGAAAGACTTTTGCGTCTGACGCGTACTATGCCTTCCTAAGAGGAGACTGAAGCCATGCCCCAAAGCGACAAGGACCTGCGGATGTTCCCCGTCCAACAAAAGAGGGTGTTGGGGTATCTTCGTAGTTTTGTCACCTTTGTCGCTCAGCAGACGATTGGGAAAGCCATCGATACCCCCCCAAATGACATACATGGGCCTCGTCAAATACCGAGCGGCCATAACATTTTGGGTCAATTACATCCAAGACAGACAAGACATGGCTCGCCCACCCCGCTATCTCGTTTGCAACAAACTGACAGAGTCCATGCGGTACGTGGCCAAAAAGTATGGCATAACACCTCAGCTGCTGCACCATTCGCGTCGAGCTTCGTGGAGACTGCGGTCTTCCTGTTGAGAGATATCTCTAGTAAGGATTTCCATTCACTCAATGATCTCATAGCACGGCTCTTTTTAACTATAAGTAGACAGGAAGCATCCTGCTATCCCAATGCTAAAAACTCTCAAACCAGAGCTAGAGGTCGACCTCTACGCTCACCTTGGGAAGCTGTACAAGCAGCAGCAGCAGCAGCAGCAGCAGAAAGACGACGCCGCGGAGAAGAAACACGAGAAGGTCCCACACAAGACTGCCCTTTGCTGTAGGCCAACACGATTAATACTGTCTCTTCCACGAACCTATTTGAGAATTGAAGAAGAATGAAGTTGCCTACATTAGATGTCCCATGTATTAAATGGATTATCTGTCCGTATCTAATTTCCCATTGTCACATATACGGAAGCTTCATCCGCCCCGAAGTCTTGAGAAAATTTACAACAGGGGCTCCCATCTACAACAGTGGGAAAAGGATCCGACCACACCACTTATAAAGACAAGAATATCGCCGGAGGGCTGCCTGCTTTTCCTAAATCTCTTCTTCGGGCGCTATTGCTTCAAGATAGTGAGGGCCCTCCTGCCGGGCGTATCCAATGGCTATTGTACGGGGTTAGTCCAAGATATGGAGCATAGGTGCATAGCCAAAGTACGAAGATTGTTGGGAATGATTCGGACTTGAGCGCATATGTACAGAGGTGGGGGCTTGGTGATGGTGGTTGTCGTTTGCAGTCACAAGACACTGATTATCTCTGTGGGCGACGCTTTCCCATCACGTTTCAAAACAAGGCAAACCAGTTTCGACTTGAGCGCAGTTTTTCCCACTAAATTCCAACACATAGGTACCTAAATGACCCATTTCAACCCGCCCAACCTGCGAGCGCTGATTCAACACTACTACTACTGCCACATCCGCGCCCTCGACAACCCCAGTTGACCTCACAACCATTTTCTGCCCTCCCTCAATCTCTTCCCCTTTTTGAGCCCCTCTCCTTTGTGGAACCACAAAATTCGTGCAGTTCAAAGCACCCCTCTCGCCTCCCAGATCCAGTCTCAATCCAAGTCAAGATGGGTTGGACAAACAGAACTCTCGTCACGGACAGTGACAGGTATCTCAGGGCCTATGATCGTGGACAGGTGATCCTCCTGGGAAACATTCCGCCAGGAGTCAAAGATGCAGAGCTGCACAATCTGGTCTCGAAGTTGGGCATCTCAACTGCCACCTTTTGGTGGCCGTATGCCGGCAGCAGGCACTCCTGCCACATTGAAGCGGGCCACAAAGAGAAGGCGGCCATCATCATGGCTGGGCTCAACCAGGTCCAACTTCGTGGACAGGCATTGTACACTGAGGCTGTACCAGTACCTCGAAAGAGGCGAGGTTCGGCCATGACTACACTACCGGCTGCTGCGACCAACAACACGGTATGACCCTGAATCACACAGTCTAGAGTAAAGAGAGTACCTAACAGATTTCTCTAGGCCCCCGCACAAGTCGCCGGATCTGTAGAGACTACAGTCACCACTTCTACTGCCAGCGCACCAAGTTCCTCTGCGGCAGTCTCCAACCTCGCGCCGTCTCTTGATGGCATCACTACATCTTTGGCTGATGCCAATCTCAACTCTCAGAGTCCTGTCACCGCACCAAGTTCCTCAGCGGCAGTCTCCACCCCCATTCCGTCTCTGGAGGACGTCACTGCACCCTTGGCTGATGCCAATATCAACTCCCAGAATCTGGTCCCGAGAGGTGGCGGCAATGCTGTTGTGCAAGCTTCAGCCTCATCTGCCTCGGCCTCTGCTCCTGGTAACCGAGTTGAGGGATCACACTCTCGCCCCACCTATCCCATACAGTGGGCGAACGAGGTGCTCCGATACGACGAAGGCGTACAAGAGTTTTATTCAACGTATCAGAGCGGCGAGCTCAGCGACAGTCTTGCCCAGGATGCCTCACTACGGCAGGCCATGGTCCACCGGGGCAAGGACGGGAAGCTCAAGTTCCTGTGTCGCCAATATCCAAGCCCGAACCCGATGAACAAGCATCTCGACGGCAAGATATTTGTTGCCGCCACTTACGACACAGGAGACGAGAGTAAAGACAGGGAAGCACCGATCGGCACTGTCGAATTGTCGGAACTGAGCATAGATGCCAAAGGATGGCACGCATGGGAGTGCCCAGAGTATCCCATTATGAGGGGAGATGTTGACAAGGATAAGCGCTTCGTCCACAAGACGGTTGAAAAGATCAACCACTATTCACCAGAGAAGGACACTGAAAAGTTGTTCAAGTGGCAGCTCTCTCTACTCGATGGCTTGGAAACCCGTTCCTCGTGGAGACCTGGACAAGTTCTTGGTGACAGTGCCACCGCCGACCTCAATGCTTCAATGAGCAAAGTGTTCAAGCGAGCAACTGAGTTTCCCGATCAGCGGTCAACAACATTTTTTGGATACACGCCTAAGTATCGCCGCCCCCAGGTCTGTGGACTCAGCTGGGGAGATTACGATCGATTTTTCGAGTGGCAATTACACGGCCACCCCATTCCAAAAGACGAAGTTAGAAAGGATGGTTGGGAGATAGACCGGACGGCGCCATTCCAGTTCGTGTCTGAGGATGACGACGAGGACATATTCGAAGTTACAGCACAGCTCCCAGAGCAATACGAGCCAGAAGAAGCAATGAAATATCCCCCCCCGAACGCTATGGGAGAGACTCAACGGCGGCAATAGCGAGTACCTGGATTCGCGTTCAAGCGAAGCTGCCGAGACCTCAAAGCAGAAGCGAGTTCTCTAAAAGAGAAGCGGCGCCACTCTTCTAACGAAATTCCACCTCCCCCTTACCTGCCAAGCGATCTCGATTTGCAACAATGCCGGTATTTCGCAAGCCTGGTCAGGAGGATGAGTAATGTTGGTGCTTCTGCACATACTTTTCTACATGCTTATACACACATACTTCTACGTGCTGATGCACATACCCACCTACGTGGTCATGGACATATGTTTCATGTTCTTCTTGCTTCTGGTGCTGATGTACATGTCATTTTGAGTGCTGATGCACATCATCGTTACAAAAGATGGTTCAAACACGGCGGCTGCAGTGTTGTGTTAGTGAAATCCCAAGATAGCTACTGATAATCAATTATGTTTGATACGTTTAATATTTCTTGTACACTCGTGCTTGTGTGACTCTCCTGTTTGATTTTCTTCCCTTTTCAATAATCTGATAAACTAATATATTGGGTATCTGCAGGGTTGGTGATGCCATGGCCAACTACAAGTAGTTGGACGCATTGGAGGTTTGTGTGGTGGCGACGAGGGAAAGGCTCTCAAATGGTAATATAGAGTTCCGTCATGGATCCTCAAGAGCAAGTTATCAATCCTTTCTTTAGACGAGCTGGTCTTAATTGGTGCCATGGCAATTGGTTTGGCAGCTAGGTTGATAGAGGTCGACTGCGTTCAAAGAGGTGCCAGGTCTCGTTACCTATCAAATCTTCCAAGGGTATGTCCATAGGAATACTGACAAGATGTCCATCGACAATATTTGCAGTGAGCTTCTATCAACCATATAGCTTGCTATACGTAGTCAACTGGCCAAATGACAATATTTAGAGCATACAGGGCCATGGGGGGTAATTTTCTTCCTCGTATACTCTTTTTTGTTCCATAGATTGAAATGACCCTTCCTGGCACCTTCATAGGTTTCACTTTTGAGCGATGTGAGGCTAGCACGGCTCCATGACGACTTGGCGCCCACGCATCACCAGGAGGTGCCTGGAACATATCAAGGGGGCGTACGAGCATCAAGCTACGGATCTACGAACTCGCCGGTTGAGATATTTATAGGTTGTAAGTCCTGATTAGTGGTGTGTCAAAATATGATATATCAAATTTCAAGTAGTCAAAGTAGATAGAAACATAGACCAGAGTCACCCGCCAAGTCTCGTTTGTGTATTGCGGTGAATATCAGATCAGTCATTTATATATGATTGGCGCAATGGAGTTTTGTATAGTTGCTGCATATCCCCTCAAAATAGCGAATGAATCCTCCATCCAATCATGAGTCCTTGTCTCTCGTGATTACAACGTAGTATCAAGTTGTCTACCAACTACACTCTGGCCAATAGGCAACAGGCAGGACCGCCATGTATAACCTTCTCAGCATTCAATGAGGGTCCGTCCGAATGGACAAGAAACGAACCAATAATCCCAAGACGAAGAGCACGCCAGCAGCTTGGCCCGTGATTGGCCCGTTCTCTTGCCGTGTCTATATTGAGCTACTATAGACCTACATATGTCTGAGGTTTATGTAGCCTTCCCGTGCCGAAGTGGGCCGCCGATCGTGCGACCTGAGCGATGACTTTGATGGTCCCAAAGGTCCTTGGGCGGTCATGTCAAATTGCTTTTGTTTTTCAAATGGACTATGACTATTAAAGAAAAATGCCATGATTGGCTGTGGTAATGACCATCGCACAACATAAGTAGCGAGCAGCAGGGAAAAAAACGAGTTGCGTATGTCCGTGCATGCCATATTTTCTTTTTTGGATTTCGGGTTCTCCCGGGTTTGCATACAAGTTTATAGTAGTTGGGGAGAGCAACAAGCATCAGCAGCTCGTCATCTGCAAGGGATGGAGACCCTAGCGCTTCACGTACGAAGCAACTGGAAGCTCTCTTGATGGATGGACAAAATCGTCGATGCGTTCATACGCACCACGCCTGCCCACTCATTCCGGATCCGTGCTTTTCTGACGTGCGAATATCAAACTGATCACCCTACCTTGCGCCATGTCTGGATGCAACTCTGCATTATCAAAGTCCCTGGTGGTACACAGTAGGCATGGCTTCGGTAGCATGCAGCGTGCGGCACATTGCTATCTTGATTGTGATATGGATATCAAAAGTACGCGGCTGACGTTTGATGTTGCATTGTCACACCAAGCGGTCAGCCCGGCAAAGAGACGGTCAACAAGATGTGCCTTTTCCCATGAGGAAATTTGAGCCATTGATTTGGCAGACCTCGAGCACGAGGCTGTCGATTGGCGCAAGGCAGTTCTAGTTTCTAGGTACGAGCGATTTGCGAATCCTCGAGAATCTTGTTATTCTTAGAAGCACAAGAAGGTTTTCAACATTCAAGATGGTGAGCACTATGGAATTGCTCTCTCGTAGATCGCTCAGCCAATTGTGACGTCAGATCCGATGAGATGGCACATGGCCCCCGTTCGTTGGACCCTGATGAAACTGGCGGATCCAGGAATAGGATTGTGCCTTATTCACGACTACTGTGACCTAGGATTGCTGATAGCGTCATATCCCGTTGGCTGTGAGTTTTTTTTTTTTTTCTTAATTAGAAAAGAAAAGTATGGTCTTGTGCTCAGCCGTGCTGGTACAGATTTGTCACAATTGATTTACGCTCTACACTAGTCACGTGAATCCACTTGCATCCGCCATGATCTTCGCGGTTGAGGTCATAGCCGGCTGTGAATGCACTATCGAGTACGTATGAGTATCCAGTGGTCTTCTATTAGACCCCGAACTTCCGTCCAAGGAACTCCTTGGGGAGTGGTGTAGTGTGGTGCATACGTGACCTGGCAATGTGGTAGATTACAGATGGTTTCGGAATCTGCATGCAGTAGTGCGCGCAGACTGCTCATCTGTGATAGGCGACGTCCACTGGTGTTCTGGAGAATAGACTTGTTGGAGGCCTCGGGAGGTTTCCTTAGTAGCAAGAGACTATCGGGCCATCATGTACCGCATCTGCAGTAGGAGATGGGAAAGACGATTGACTTTGGACATTATTGTCGCATCGCATGTCCTCACGCGATAACGATCAAGACATTGGCGCTGCCCGCGGCTCAAGGCTGGTTGACGAATGGGGTATGCCAAAGGTCCCCGCATATACTTTGTTGTTGGACGGGGCTCTGCCCGTCGAGTTGAGATGAAGAGCCGAGCCATGGACGTACATAGTAGTTGCTAGCAGTTTTGGTATGCATGATAAATAAGAGAGAGCCATTGCTGACCAATCCGGAATCGGTCGGTCATGAGCTCGGAACACCATCATCTGCAGGAGGAAACAATTGCCAGCAGTCAAAAATGGGGGCTATCTAGGTACAAGGCAAGCAAGCAGGGAGCCGGGGGTTGGATGGTGGATGAAGAAGAAGAAGCAGCTTTTGCTCTTTATGGGGCAAAGTTTCCTCGAAAAGCCGCAACTAATAAGCTTTGCATGGCAGCAGACGCCAAGGCCCCGCGATGTGAGCGTCACTGGTGTGTAGCGTACGGAATACTACCAGTTGCCATGCTGCCCAGACAATTGTTGAGCCCGTCCTAATACTGGCGAACAAATCGTGTGGTACGGGGAAGTGGTCCTCACAGATCCGAGACGCAGTGCCAGATCATCAAACAATTGCAAATCTCAACCGAGAGAGCCCCAATTTGCACACTCTGCGCGACCCGTAACTCCATGTCCATCTCGTGTCTTGGGGCCACCGTTGACCGCACAGGAAAATTGACAAGGATGTCATGTATAAGTCGACAAGCATCTTTTTTGGAGTAAGGAGGGTATCAAAGAGAGAGCTTTTTTGGAAGCGGTGAAAGTTACATTGCTTCCCTAGTGTGATGCTCGGAACGACGAGGAAAGAAAACAGACACACAAAACCATGTCGAATTGGTTGGTTGGCTGGCTGGCTCACTGGAAGTTTAAACAGATGACACGACGGGGAAAGTGCTGGGTGGTGTTCTTTTCTTGACGCGGGAAGCTGCTTCGAGGCAAACAGTATTGGCACGGTAAAACCCACGGTAATAAGGATTGATGTGCGTGTTGCTGTTGCTGGAAATGCCTCATAGAAAAGTTTTGATTTCCAATGCAAATCAATGCCGCGGGTGAACCAGCAAGGGAATCCAGAGGTGAGAAAAAAGTCGGCATCTTGCCGGAAGCGCACACCAACCAACCTGCCTGTGCTAGCCTACCTGGACTGGACCGACTACCCAACTGGAAGCTGGAGCTAGTAGACGTTCCGATGGGGACAAGAGAACCGCTCAATGAGGAGGATCCATAGCCGTCAAGCCTGTTCGGTGCTCCCCTTACCTATTACCACGTTATACTGCCTATAATTTACGGGTCTCGGTGGAGCTTGGAAAACACGTTCCGCGTTGTCACCCGGGATGAAAACTAGTGTGTAAAGAAGAAGAAAAATTGGGCATGATGGGAAATATGGGAATCTTGATAATGAAGACTGACGAGGTTGAACATTTTCATGCTTCAATATTACAAAGATGCATCCTACGCCAATGTACGTCGGCATTGACATCTCAGACTTGAAAAAAAAAAAAAAAAAAAAACAATCAATTCTTTTCTAGCCGCCTCTGCACTAGAGCTGCCTTGTAGTGTTCCATCTAATGTCGGCATGCATTCCAGAAGGTCAAGGTGGTTCTAGACCGAATGCTAGGCGAGGTCCAACAGCCGCGAATCAACAAATATATTTTTATTGATGCCGGCCGTGCGCTGACAATCCCGTCCAAGGAAGAATATTTTCATCCTCTACAGAGTACTTGGTGTTTGCCTTATGCTAGTATGCTTACACTGGCTAGCAGGGTATTGTAATGTTTCTTCTAAATGGAGATGACATGATGAGAGCCACAAAGGCAACACCAAAACCCCCTTTGCGTGACACCTGTTCTTCGTGAGCTTAATCATATGATAGGCAATTGATCATTTTCATTCAAGACTTCTGTCCGAGCCCTTGTCAAAGCATGCTTGGCAGGGGTCTTGGAAGCCGAGTCAAATTGTAGCCACCAGATGCCAGAATAGGAGGCTGTCAATCAAATCGGTGATTTATCAGTACAGTAGCTGAGTGGCGGGCATAGCGGAAGGCAGAAAAAATTTGAACCGCCACCAACTGACAATGGTTGAATGCCGTGACCTGCTAATGATTTCCCGAGCTAATGTCAGCAATTTTCCACATGAGCAAGGACATTCTAGAAGTTGAAAAAAAAAAAAACATATATATGAGCAAAGTCATAACTTGACAACAGCGTCATTAACGCCAATTCCAAACAGGCAATGAAATCTAGGGCGGCCCTTTTCACATGACCTGATCCATCTTGGAAGGACTGCGGGCTGTAGCCGCCGTTTATGGTTTTTTCACGATTTGGCATTCTTTGACCTTGCACACGGTCAATTGGTAGCCGAGTATTTTCTGCACTTCCAGAGCCTCGGTAACGCGCCTGCAGCAGCTATTATTAATATTGTTTCTTATTACTACTATGTTCGGAACACCTACCTGTACCATGCAGACATGGTATTGTACGGTGGAGGATTCAGAAGTGCATACCCAGCATTGCATACTTAGCGTAACAGATCCCCTCGGTGATCCAGCCTTGATCTCGAGCCATTCCAGCGGTCTTGGTATTGTGTTTCGTTTCAGTCGTTGTGTACATTGCACTAGACTGTACCTCGCTGCATTATCTAGGATTCAACGATATAGGTAGGTACACAGCAGTCAGTCCAATGTCATGGGGCTGATAGGGAGATCGTTACTCGGTTGCCGAGAAGTGCTCGAGGGCCCTGCATTTGCCGGCTTCTTTGTACGGGATATGGCGGGCGGAGCGCCCCCCAGTCGAATCCGTTCGAGTTCATCCAACTTGGATGTAAGATGCTAGCCAGTGGGAATCTGCACACGAGTGACATGGAGTCAGCGGCTTATCCCACGCCAAGATCTCATAATGGGTCCATGTGTGCTTGATCCCCTCATCAAGGTGCAGACAGGTGTCCCAGAGTAAAGGTTATGATGCTTTCAACTCCGGCCGACCGCCATTGCTTTTGCGCCAACCGGAGTGAGAATGGGGCTCCCCAGGTACATTCTTTGTCCGTATTAATACTACTTGCTGCACCTTTTCTCCTCAATAGCTAGCGGAGAAGGAGGCCTCTCACTCTCCCTCATCTGCTCACTCACCTTGTCAACCTGAACGTAGTAGTTTTGTCGCAATTCCCACCGCATCATAGTTGCTGGGTATCGATTCCCACTTTTCGAGATTGTGTAGCCGACAACCTACGAGCTACATACGTATTCGCACGAGCACTTGCACGTCAATCCGTCCACCTACGTATTGCCTACTACATTACTACATGTTACATTACCAGCTTACATACTCTATCTGGCCGGCTGCAAAGAACTCTACTCAAATACGTATATCTTACCTGGGTTGCGTTTTTAGCCTCGTTACCCAGGCCCAGGTTATAACACTCTTCCGTTTGTGCCTGTTGGCTTCCTCGCCTCCACGACTCGAATTGCCCAGCAGCCCAGCATCCTTCTCCATATTAAGAATCGCCATTCGACGCATGATTTTTTTTTTTTTTTTTTTTTTTAGCGGTACCACGAACCGTGCTCCATAGCCGACCTGGCTTGCAGTACTGTGTACCTACAGTAAAAGGTTAGGTCGCTGCACAACACCCTAATTGGAACCCCATAAAGAGCTGTCTCAACTACCTACCTGGTACATTTCCTACGCTACATTACTCTTGCACCTGAACAAGGGCTATTCTGTCTGGCTGCTCCACAGCCCACCCCGATTTGTGTCTGTTATTCACCAGACTGGCATCTGATCCGCCCGTTCGCTGTAATCAGTTTTCAAAGAACGTGTCGTCAGTACCTACCTACCTATTTACATTACTAGCAACCAGACAAGTCAATCACAAAAGCGAATGAGCGAGCCAACGACGCCGCCGCCGCCGCCATCTATCAATACCCGCTTGTTTTGTCATTTAATCATGATCGCCCACAACTCAACATACCGAAGTCTCTTTGAGTTGTTCCCATTGCTTGTCCTCTGACACTTGTTGGAACCAGTCGTAGGTTCCTCCCGCCAAGCTACCAGATCAACACAACCATCTGTCCACTAGACATACATAGTCAGCCAGTCAGAGAACCGCTGCCCTGACTTACTCGTTTTGGGGGTTTTTGCATCGACGTTTTAGATTCACACAAGTCATAAGAGTCTACCTATCCAGTCGAACAGTAACGTCGCCTCGCCCCCCTTTGTGCGCACGACGCACAACCACAGCCGTGCTTCTAGAATCCTGCTACTGTTACATACCTACAGTATCTACCCACCAACAGCGCCGCACAAGAAAGTGAGAGCGAGGGAAGGGGAAACCCCCCAGATTAACATTCCATCCTTCAGCTGCTGACAAAACCGACACAAGCGCCTCACTTTTTTCCATACCTGTTTTTAGTGGCACCTGCCCTGGAAACTGAGCTAAAAAAGTAACAATAAAGAGAAGTCCATCAGTCACTCCACTGAAGAGAGGGGCGGCGATTCTCTAGCTTGCCGATAATACCTGGTCGGAGGTCCTGCTTTTGACTCTTGACCCTGGGCGTCGATTTTTTTCGATTATTTTTTTTTCCCTCTCCCTTCAACCTTTTAGTGCCCTCCGGTACAGAAAATAGAAAAAAACCTCGCCTCGCTAGCAATTCCCCCCAAACGCCCGCTACTTAGCACCCGCGCCAGACCCCAAAGAGCACTAGAGCCCCAGCGCCGGTCAGCACCTGTAGCGCACCGGACCATTTCGGTGCGTTCAGTCAGTCGACACCCTACAAATTCGACTGTAACCCGCTTTTCCGATCTCCTCTCTCTCTTCCTATTTCTTTGGCCAGGGAAGGAGAAAAAAAAAAGAATTGAGAAGTTCCGCCATTGGGAGCAGCAGTTGTTTTGCTCTTCACGTTTGTGTTGCCAGCACTCGGGCTTAGCCCACCCCCCAGGCGATTCCGCCGCCACCACTGTCATCATCTGTAACACAAAGCCGGTCACCTCTGGTCTTTTCCACCATACACCTATTGAACGGACGCGTCGCATTTCCTCAAATCGCCCCCCAGTCGGCTCTACCCCACGGCCAAGCACCCCGGCACAACCCTTGGTTCTTGGTCCCAAGCCGGCAAATAGGCAATATCACAAGAAGCCCCCGACGCTTTCCTCATGACAATGTCCAGCTCTTCTATAATGACGAGCGCTTCGGAAAAGACGACTCCTCCAGTCTCACAGCCGTCGTCCATCAGATCCGTGGAGCTGTCCACTCGTTCACCAAAACTTAAGCCTCAAAATGGCCAACCGGTTGCACCCCTCAATGCCGAGGGTCAGCCGAAGCAACCCGAGAAGGCTTCCGTCAAGGACCGCTTAACCAGAATGTTTTCCAGCAAAGGCGAGGTTCCCAAGCCGGCTTCTGTCAATGGCGATGCATCTCCTGCTTCGACGACCCCCGCCCCAAGCGCAGCCGCCGCCGCAAGGGCTCCCCCAGTACGGAAACAGTCAGTCACTACAAAAGCCCCCGAGGCCACTGCTGCCGCCTCATCCGCCAAGAATGGCCAGTCGCAAAGATATATCCAGAATCCGAATGTGCAGGGTGGCCACGAGCATCACCTCAAGGGCAGCAAGCGTCAGGAGAAGCTTTCAGATATGTGGAAATCGTTGCTTGGAAGGAAACACGAACAAGCCCCAGAAGCAGATCTCTCGCTTGTATCAAATTGGGTAGATACGCTTAAGCAGGAGAAGGAAACGCTGGCAGGAGACCGAAAGGGTGGTCCTAGCGCTAGCAGCACGCTGATTGAGAAGTACGGCAAGTGCCAAGAGGTTGTTGGTCGTGGTGCCTTTGGCATTGTCAGGATATCCCACAAGAAGATTGACAATGGCGGCGAGAAGCTCTTTGCCGTAAAGGAGTTCCGGCGCAGACCCGAGGAGACGGAAAAGAAGTACAGTAAACGCCTGACTGCCGAATTCTGCATCTCTTCCTCCTTACGCCATCCAAATGTTATTCACACCCTGGATTTGCTCAAGGACTCAAAGGGTGATTACTGCGAGGTCATGGAGTTTTGCTCGGGTGGAGACCTGTACACTCTGGTGCTGGCTGCTGGCAAGCTCGAGGTTCAGGAGGCGGATTGCTACTTTAAGCAGATGATGCGTGGCGTTGAGTACATGCATGAAATGGGTGTTGCTCACCGAGACATGAAGCCTGAGAACCTCCTTTTGACATCTCATGGTGCTCTAAAGATCACTGATTTTGGTAACGGCGAATGCTTCCGCATGGCTTGGGAGGAGGATCCTCACATGGTGTCAGGCCTCTGTGGTTCTGCGCCTTACATTGCTCCTGAGGAGTATACAGACAAGGAGTTTGATGCTCGCGCTGTCGATGTTTGGGCATGCGGTGTCATCTACATGGCAATGCGCACAGGTCGACACTTGTGGCGTGTCGCCAAGAAGGATGAGGACGAGTTTTACGAGCGTTACCTCGAGGGCCGTCGCGATGAGGAGGGGTACGGTCCTATAGAGTCGTTGCACCGTGTAAGTTTCCCAAGCTCTCTTTTTTGGGGGCTACATTCTAACAGCTACGCCTAGGCTCGGTGTCGTAACGTCATCTACTCGATTCTAGATCCTAATCCTTCTCGGCGCATTACCGCTTCACAAGTTCTCAAGTCAGAATGGGGCCGTGAGATTAAACTCTGCAAGGCTGGCGAGGAGGGCCTTTGATACGACGTTCATGCATTCACAAGGATTTGACATACTTCAACAACAATGGCATCAAAAGTAGTCTTTCAAGGCACTGATGGTTCTTTTGTGTGTCTGCCACTACAAATGCCCCGGTTTCATATTCACAGCATTTCGAGCACCTACACTCGGACATTTCATCGGAGCAAGCGTCCTGCTTGAATGGTTGAAAGAGTTCTTCATGCTTTAGCACAGGAGTTGCGGAGTTGATTTCTTTTTTCTTCTATTCGTTTCTCACCCACACATTTTGACGCATTTTTTATACCTGACGCGATGAAATTTGGGCATCGATTGGCAAGCACAAAAGCAGGTACCGTCTCAAGCGTCGACCTGTGCGGCACGTTCCACAATCTGGTTCAGTCGTGGCGATGTAGCACCTTGCGAGCGAATGTCATAGTTTACGACTTTTCTTTCATTTGTACACAAGAAGATTCGCATCGTCCTGGTGACTACTCATAGGCACCGAGCTATCTGCTTGTCTTAGCTGCCTGGAGGGATGGGAACTCGCACAACCAACTGTTTACCACTCAGAAAGTCGCAGACCATATTCGAGGTCGTTTAGACTAGACAAGTTGGGTGGAATTCTGCATTGCGGCGCCGGAAGAGGACAGACTAGATCTCGAGGTTCCCAAGTATCCTGGTCCTTCTAGGCTACAGTACTTCGGATAGTGACGCAATCAGAATAGGTCAGATCGTATCATTGCGGACCTTTATTTTGAGTTGAGTATAGTGCAGTACATAAGACATGACAATGTTTCCACAGGGCAGTCAAACTCGACTGACTTACAAGTAATCAAACATTTAATTGTCCAACAAAATTAAAATCAACCATCTCGTTCTTTATATAATCGTACGTGTGACACTTATTTCTTAGTAACAAGTAGGAACAACAATTCGGGAACTTCTCTTTTGCTATATAGCAGCAAGCTTTACGATATCGACTTTATACCAGCAATTATCTTTCTATTCTTAGTTGAGGAGTAGCAACGCGGCTTCGAGTTAATGTATATATGCCACCGAAGTAATGGATTAATGTTCTGAGGGTGAAATATCAGATCAAGGTACGCGTAAAGGCGAAACAGTGTAGGAAGACTTGGTAGCAGAACTTTGCAAACCGAGTCTCACGTCGCATAATACCGTAATGCATCCATCGTATGGCATTGTACAAGCACCCAATCTGCATTCAAAATAAAATGGCGCAGTGGACGGGCGGATTGATGGCGTTTTTACCATCGCAAGAGACTCCTTTCTCTCCAAAAAGTAGTCGTCGTTGGATGCCGGTAAGGGGTCTTGACGAGTATTCGCTCGGCCATGAAACAACAAAATTATTCACAAGGTATACTTTCGACGGGACTATTGAGATATAAGTCTGGTATGAAAGTGGTTGATTTTAGACTACAGCCAGCCAAAGGCCATCGACTGGCTTACTCCCGATTTGGTTTTCCTTCCTCCCAAGTTCATGGACCTTGATCAACGACAAGAAATGATTTTCTTGCTATCAATATGCTAGGTCAAGGCGGAGAGAGACTGGCGAGTTGGTCGACTCCAAGTCGTCCCAGAACAAAAGTAAAGTGCCGTCGGGCAGGGAAATCAAAGTAATCCATGACGATTGGTGGACCCGATATAACCCAATAGAATAGGGGACAAATACACCTTAGGGTAAAACTGATCATGATAATGAGTGTCGAGTCTATATGATCATTTTCTCGCTATTATAAAAGCACGCCGTTATGCTCTCATAAGATGATTGATCCTGAGCGTTGGTTGGTACACCAAATAAATCAGGAGGTATCGCAGACTTAAATGACGGGCAATATTAGAGCATCTAATTTTTTGAGCGATGGAAATGCTCAAACTATAGCAAGGAGAGCAAGAAACAACGCCGATGGAATTTGCAGAGATCAAAGAGTTTGTTGGATGGGTCTTGCCCTGACAGGTCAACCTATAAGACTATATAGCTTTCTTGGTATTGCTATTTTTATTTCTTCACCTGCATTAGCACTTTGAGTTTTAGCATTCAAATCCACATTTAATTAATTCAACCGTCATTGTTAAAACGGGGGTCGTGGCTCAATTTTGATATCTTATCCCAATATTTTTTATTGCTGCTGTGTCATTTACTGCAACTCGAGGATCCATTTCCATATTTGCAAGCAGAAAGAAATCCTATTTTTGGCCAGCCCTAGCAAGAAAATTACACGGATATAAACCATAATTTAAACATGGAGGGACTGAAAAGTACAAATTAGACAAAATCACGCGTGACCAGTAATTAAGGATTTTAGGCTCAAGATAATGTATAAAACTATAACCATAATAATCAAGACAATGCATTCATGGTCAAGAAGAAACAGGTAGGGGATGCGAGAGAGATATTGAAACCAAAAATTATCATACCGTTTATATCATGAATTCGCATTCTTCATCTCAATTACTATTTTCGTCTTGCTTGATATTCAGCCTGCATAGTCATCGGGCATGTGGTCACTAATATATATACTTATAGCAATAACGGGATTATGCTATTTGGGTGCACACAGCTTAAAGTAACAACATATTGTTTATATACCAGCTGCCCATAAATGACCCACGACGTTCGAATCGACGATCCCATGGCTAGGCACGAAGTGATTCATTCGATGGCTGGCCTGAATGAATATTGTTTACGTTATTATTATTATTCCCCTTTCAAAAAAAGGAAAAAAAAAAAGAAAAAAAAGAAACGACGTCATGAGGTGAATAAGGGCAAAAATGTAATCAAATAGCATTGGCCATTGAAACCTCCTATATAGTGACCTTTGAATTATGTATAAACCACCTCCCGAAAACTCCGTCCATACTTCTTCATGCAGACCTCCCATAAGCGGCCGCGGATCCCAGAAAATAAACCACAACGCCTTTGGCGACTTGCCCTTTGTGGATTCTTCTGTATAGAGCCCAATTCCAAAGTCGGCGAAAAGTCCCCAAATCATAACGCAAACATCCGGGTTTCGCCAGATCCATCGGATCCTTATCCCAGGAACCTCGGCGGTGAAATTCCAGTAGTAACAAAAAAGAGAAGCCCTGAGGGGCAGTAAGTGCACCATGGGATTAACCTTTCCCAAGTCATTTTGACTTTGCCGAGTACCTGACAAGTGGATGACACACCCGCCTGATGTCCTGATAAGTCGACCCCAACCGAATCCTGTAATAGAAAAGGACGTCTGGGTCTTCAACCATTGCCCTTTCAGTCGTCAGGGTTTGGCCGCGATCATGTCTGATATATGCATGGCAATCTCGGGTACAGCTTCGTACAGTGTGAAAGCCTCCCGACTCGATCTGCGGCTGTGAGAGTACAACTGCTTCAATAGGTTGATATGGATGGTGCATTCCATGGCCCGTCCAAAAATAGTGTAATATACCCATGACCCGGAAACGATCCCGGCCCCGTATAGATAGATAGTTGAAACATGATCTCGTGTCATTCGCATCAGCGTCATGAGCTAATTGTACAAAGAGACCGCATTATGAGGCTCATAGCGTGTTGCTCAAGAGTGGAAAAGATCCCAAGCTCTTTCGCAGAGGCGCAGAAACTCGTCTCTCTTGGCACGTTGTGTCTCGGGGCTATCACGGCCGCTGCCGAAGGGCCCAGTTCGTCTGGTAGCAGCAGGTCCATGTCCTAGAGGCGGGCTGGCGCCCTCTTCGTAGTCTGCACGGCGCCGTTTGCTAGCGCTGCGACTCTGGTCGTGCTGAGGAACCCCAGTCCTTGGAGACGGCGGCGTCGGTGGCTGGTGGGCAGTGTAATGCACAAGTTTGGGCAAAAGTTCTGCTCGTCCACCAGCCAGTTCATGTTGAGCCTCTTCGGCGGATCTATACTCCCGAGGGCGGCTCGACAGCGGTGCCTGGGTTTGCTGGAGTGGCTGAGGGGGGTGACCTGGCGAAGCAGGAGGACCGTGGCTCGAGGTCGGATACAGACCGCTGCGCCCATTGGCCTCGTGGTGCGAAATTCCAGAGCCAAAAACGTCTGCGATCGGAGGCAATCGGTTTGCCGTCTGCTGTGCAGGCACGTGGTGGATATGCGAGGTGCTCGAGAGGTTCGAGGGCTGGTTGGTGATGTGTCTGGTCAGTGGGTGCGGGTCATGTCTACCGGTAAAGGTTTGACCCAGAGGAGCTGATTGAATGACACGCTCGTTGGCAAATACTTCGTGAGATGGAGCGACAATGCTCAATCCTGGAGGCGCCTTGTTGCGTCTCGACATGCCGGGGGTCTTGGCTGCAAACTGATTCGAAATATCCTTATCCTTGCCAGTGTCTGGCCGCTCGCCCTTTGCTGACTGTTGCTGGAGACGAGCTTCAATGATCTGGCGCTGCTGCTCTCGCACGCTCATACTGCGCTGCAACTGCTCCTTCATGGCAGGGTCCTGTGTGACGAAGCCGGGAGACAAACAGGCGAGTCCAACCTCCATAATTCCAAGCCCGTCTCTTTCGCCCGGAAGTCTAGCCGTCTGTGCTCCCGAACCGGCCAGACCACCCTTGGAAAGATCGAGTTTTCGAGGCCGGTGGCGAGGGGGAGGAATCACTGGAGATCCAGGCTCCTTCTTGACGACGATCTTTGGAGCAGTGGAAGAATTTGGTGCATTTCGACTGAAACATTTTCCAACGTTAGAATTTGTGCCACGAAACGAATGCAAAACAAGACCGTCATCAGATTACTTACGCATTAGGAGATGACTTGGAATGTTGGCCAGCTCTGGTCGGGCTGCCGCTACCTGTACGAGTAACATTTGGTGTCGATGAAGTTGCCGATGGTCGAGTTGCGGCGGGCGAGGTCGAAGGTGGAGGTGCTAGTGCAACAGCGGGGGGTGCACTCGCAGTAGTAGCAGGCGCGAGATCAGCATATGCTGGCCTGTCGTGTGGTGCCGGAGAAGGAGCCATTGCGATTGCTGCGCTCATTGTGAGGAGTTGAAAATAAGTGGTTTGAAAGAGAGATCCTGAGGTTGGTCGTGATGCTGGCGTTTCGCTTTGCCAGCTGAATTAGTGCTAGCCTGAGTATCAGGAAACCTATTAAAGGCTACCTTGGATACGGGATGGCACAGCGTGTGAATGCGCTGGAGGGCACAATTGAATGCCAAAGCCTGGGATAATCCTGCAGATTCCCCTTTTTCTGCGCAGATGGTTATTCAAAGAATTAATGAATTCCGATAGCTTGCTGAACAGTGCTATGCCTGCAGCTCAGAAAATGATGGCGCTGGCGAATGCGCAAGAGGCAGCGTCTAGATAGTAAGCAGACTGAATGCCTTGTTTTTCTTTCCCCCCAAGCTTTGCTTGCTTTTCGTATTACAGATCTAGACAGTGTCCAGATTTGCCGCAAAAGTTGTACTGCTCGTTGCCGGGCTGGTGCCGAACGTTTCTATGCGAGGTTGCTGAGACGGCAATCCTATTATTCTCTCTCGAGTTGTCCCTCCTGTCGATTTTCAAAGCGAGCGGTTTCCACCTGCTGCGTGCCCGAGGACTTTACCACAAATTATTTGAGCGGTGTGAAAGGGTGGTAAAATAAATGTCACTGGGGGTGGTTCCTGCAAGCACCAACGTTGCACGGAGAGATGGGCGAGTCGCCGAGGCGGGAATGTCTCTGGTATAATAGGCAGATGCCGATGGTGGCTGAATTTAAGCGGACCTGGAGCGAGTCGCCCGATTTGCGCGTGACAGGCCGAGTTGTCGTCGACAAGTGAATACCGGCAGAAAAAGTTGGATTTGGAAACTTTTTTTTTTCCTCTTTGCGCACACAAAGATCAGAAAACCAGACAGGTAGGCACGCGCACAAAAAATGGTCCCGAGTTGTTTCGACGGCCGACGAAAAAGGAAAGCGTACAAAAAGGCAGAAGCGAAAGACTCGAGCACACGAGCGGGTGTGTGTATGTGTGTGGTTGAGAAGAAAAGTGAGGGGAGGAAGGAGAGGAGAGAAGAAAAGGGAAGTGTTTCCTGTTACGCGAAGAGGTCTGGGCGGGCGCGCAATACAAGTAGCATGTATACAGGTAGTATGTAAGAGAGAGAGAGAGAAATAAATAAAAAAGAGAGGGAAGGACGAAAGAGGAAAATAAGAAGTCGAGGATGCAGTTCGGGGGATTTCACTATTCTCAAACTCCCTGGCTTATTGATGCTGGCAGTTTATTCGGTAGGTCGCCAGGCAATAATAGGTAGTACATGGGAACGACGAAAACGAGAATTGGCATTGCGCCGCACGCACACACGTACCATAGTAAGGACGCACTACATGCATGTATCTTAGGTATCCTCCAGACCAGTCAATCCAGTCCCAGTCGGTACCTACAATCAATCCAGTCCAGTCCAGTCACCCCACTCCGCTCTCACTTGCTCATACCCAATGCAACGGATGGGATGGGATGTATCATAGCGTTAGGTATGGGATCGATGGGAGGGGACGGATGGGGAGGGGAGGCCCTGGAAAGCCCAAGTAGGTACGTCGTGTACTCCGCTACGGTGACAAACACGGTACATCCGCCCATCAGAATGGAGATCTTTTTTTTTCTCACTCTTTTTCTCTCTTCCCAAGGGAAAGTCACATAGCACGAACTACCTACCCAAAACTCCACTCGCAAGGCCAAGGCTAAAAGAGCGACAGCCCACCCCAGGGCTCTCTGCCTCGATATTGTGGCCGGCCCCCCCTACCTATGTGTGGGCGATTATGATTGATGAAAGGGGAGACGGAATAAGGAGTGACACAGCTGTGTGTGTGAGAAGAGTGGATTCTGACTGGCGCAGCGCCTGGGACTGGAGACTCGAGGCACCAGGACCCCCTGTCCGCCCTCAGGTGTTCGGCGGGAAGCCCCAGCAAAGCACTGAAAAGTCCAGGACATCTGTAGATGCCAGTGCGCACAAGCATTAAAAAAACACACACACACATGCCACTCATCACATACGACACGATCAACACAACCTCGCAATGAATCAATTCTTGGTAGGCATGTGGGCAGGCAATTGAACCAACTGGTCATATTCGTTTTGTCAAGTCTTAGATCTATCTGAATTCTGTGTTACATCCCCGCCAAGATTCTCCACGATACGTCTTTCCAGGAGAGTGGAAAAGCGAACGAACGCATGTACTATGTACGTATACAGTAGTAGTTCGTGTTTCGTTGGTAGCGTCCCTGGTTCTAGATGCGCCCCCAGCGGTCGTGGAAAAGCACACGACAAGTTGATCAGCAAACCTCTCGTATCAGAAGTCCCCTAGCGCGTACACCGGCGACGCATTTCTGGGGAGGATCTCTGACTTGAAGAACCACCCAAATACGTACACAGTGATGAAGCTAGGCATGTAAGTGGTAGGTAGTGTTGGATCTCGGCGGGATTCCGAGTGAGCATGCGTTGGGATCGAGCCCATTGAAGTGAAAGCCAGCCCCCCCAGGCCATGTGGTGTTTCCAACTACCGGAACAAACTTTGTGCTGGTCTCTGACACTACCTAGGTATTCTGCAAAAAGATGAGACGAGATCTTGATGATTGACTCTTGCTTGCGAGATGGAGTATTTATTCGTGTTGGAAATTGAGGGGCCTGACGACTCAGCTTTATTGTCGGCTGGCTTTTTTATTTCTCTCCTGACACAATTCCGCTGTCTGTCTATTCTGTCTTGTCTTCCTTGTGCTCCGTTCCGGCCCGCCATCGTAGACCAGTGGTGAGCATGTGACGCTACCGGAGGAATCAACACATAGGATGACCCTTTGACCTCCTCCCATGAAGGAACCAGGATTCCCACCCGAAGTTCTTGTTGTGCGCAGTCACCTCGACATGTCAATCTTGACCCCTCCCCGTCACAATGGTATGTACTCTGTAGATAAATGTATGCACCTGAAAGAGTGCAGAATGAGCTCAGAATCAAGCCTACTGTGTAACACACGTTGTATTGGTTGGCAGCCGGATGTCATGGCTACTGCTTCTCTAACTAATTCCACGAACAGTAAAGTATTGCTTGCAGATCCATCTCAAGCCCAGTCCAACCCAGGTCAAGCGCGCGGTGGACGAATTCGAGGTGGATCAGGAGCGATTGGGCGCGGGCACGTTAAAGACAAGATTATACTAGGCTCAGAAGGTGCAAGTCGTAATAGTGTCACCATGGCGGACTGGAGAAGGAGTGTTCATCGTCTGTCTCCGTAATCCATAGGCGTGTTTTACATTGATGCTAAAAAACGCCCGTCAGAGCCTACGAAAAGAGCCTACGTTGGAACCCACGAAGAAGGAAAGGAATGAGAAAGAAAATCCAAATGGCCAACCGAACCTCCGTATTTTAGACCAACCACGTAAGAGTGAGCAAGAGGGCAAGATGGAGACCCGTGCAACAGCAGTGCAGCTGCCAGCCGTGCATATCCCCCTCCTGTGATGTTGCTTACTCTGATTGGACACCGCTGAACCAACCTGAGAAGAAAAGAAAGAAAAAGAATTGATATCAACCTTGCGATTCCCGTCAGATGCGACGGTTGGGGGAGGGGAGGGGAGATGGGGATTTCAATAGGCTGGGACTCAACCTGGATGGGCTTGGAAGCTCCTCCTCCTCCAATCCATGTAGCAAGCAGATGTACAGAAGGAGGGACGGAAACGCATTGCAACACCACAACCGCGCGACCTTGAAGCGACTCGACCTCGCTCACTCCGTCTCAGGACGAGGCAACGAGGCCAGAACAGAGCAAGCAAGCAATGGTAGCTAGCTGTGGGTGGACGAGGGGCGGGATTCCACAAGAGCTGGATGGACGTGCTACGCTGCTGCTCGGCGGAGTGGGCAGGCAAGTATATCTGGATCCCGGCCCCCGGCCCGCACTATTGATCCATTTCTTGTATTTGTAAATTGTATTTATTGTGCGGAGTGTACGACAGTCAATCTACCATGTGGTATCTTTGTGTGTACATAAGTGGGATTGTTAGGTACTGTGTTCATGAACAAGAATGGCCAGGACTCGAAAGATTGTCCATCATCAGGTTCATTTCCGGAACATCAGACGCAGCACAAGGAACAAAATGGAAGTTGGCCATTTTCGAGTCGCCAAGATTTGAATGCTTGTTACCTCAAACCGCTAGTCGCATGCTATTTAGAGTTTCTCAGGTGATGGTGGACAGTAGAATACATTACATTACCCTACCACTCTCCAGGGGTACGTAGGGTGACGGGCAGACTAAAAAGTAGTGACCGGCGCCCCTGTCAATCAGAGGAGAGGGCGCACCGCCGCAAATCCAAACGTGGCCCAAGGATCTCTGCTCGCAACTTGGCCCATGAGCTTCTCTACCCAAGACTCGAATAAGGTAACATCTGGGGATGATTCTCTCGGCAGTTCCATTGTATTCGCCGTCTTGCTGCTGATGGGAAGAGTGTTGTCGTCATCTTCTGTTTGTCGTGGTTTGTGGCCGCCACCGCCATCACGATATGATTTCGAGCGAGAGAAAAAAAAGGACCCGTTTGAAGGGTCAGCCCAATTGGTTAACACCGTTCGAGTTCAGATGAATTATCTCCCGGGACCCCCCAA